TTTTAACTCTTAGAATTTTAAAAGATTTGCTTCCATTTTTCTTTTCTTTTTTTTTGATTCTTCATATTCATATTTATGATAAAATATGTTTTTGTTGTTGTTCAATTCTATTAAACATCAAAGTTTTATTCAACATTCATTTTTGTTTTCGCATGTGTGTTTTTGGCATAATTATGATGAAAATTCTTTACGTCTTTATGCGGATCATCATGAATTCTTTCTAACGAATGAATGACATTCTACATACATTACCACCCACACACACAATTGTAAACAAACAAAAACAAAAATCTAAAAGAAAATCAAAAATAATCAAACCTGCAAAACGAACAAAAATAAAAATGAATGATAATCAACAACAACAAAAAACAAACAAACAACAACAAAATAATATCAAACACTAAATTCAGACAAATTGATGATGAATATTATTTGGAAGAAATAACAAAAAATTTAATTTAGTTTCAGAAAGAAAAATGTTTTATTTTCCAATGAATCGTTTTTTTTTGGTTGTTAGCCGCATATGAATAAATAGATGGATGAATGAAATGAATAAAGATGAAAACGACTAAAAATTTCCATTCATTCGAAAAAAGCCCATTTACTTACCTTATAGTTGCATAGAATATTGTGTGCAAAAAAAAAACAAAACAAAATTTTCCCACATTTTCCAGTGAGATATAGGAGATAGTAAACTATCATCAAATAATCTTATCAAATAAACATTGAATTCAATTCAATTCAAGCTAATTCAATCAATTCCTTTTGGCATCTTCATAACTATTCTTATTTTGTTATTTTTGTTTTTTTTTGTCTGAATAAAACATCAATATGGTTTACTTTAGGGGTTGTACTTTACCTGTTTTATTTTAATTTTTAATTTCGGATAAAAAAACCACCCGAAAACATAAAAACAAGTTGAAAATATTTTCATTTATTTTGTTTTTGTTTTTTTTCTTCAACTGGACAACTATTAGTTTACGGAAAAATGATAAAATTTTTGAAATCAAATTTTTTTATCGCTTATGGCTATTTTGTTGTTGTTGTTTTATCGATTTCATCTTATATTCTTAAAATAGGTCAATTGTTTTCATTTATTCCATTCCCTAGTAATGCAATGATATGTAATTATAGATTTAAAAAAAATCAATTTTGAGGGAATTTATAAAATTACTTATAACAGACAATGATGATGACAAAGAATCAAAGAATTTCTTATTGCATCAGTTTTCTTTACCCTAAAGCTATTAGAAAATGTTATTTTAGCGCAATGATAGTGGTAGTTTTTGGAGCATAAAAAATAATTATTCTGAGAAATAAGAGTTCAGTGTAAATAAAGACAACGAAACGAAAAAAATAATTCTCAAGTATCACTTACCCCAATTAAATGAAGAAAAAAAATTGTACAAAGAATTGATATATTCATGCAACAAACACAAACACTCAAGAATGATTAAAAAGTTTATGACAAAACACCCACACAAATCATTATTGATGAATAGAAATATTTTCGCTTAAAGTTAAATAAAAATGCTGAATCTATTGTTGAAAAGTCGAATTTGAAAAGATTGATTCATCATCGTCATCGTAGATCAAAAACATCAATATTTTCAAAAGGAAAAGCGAAAAAAAAATTCCCACCAATTTTCTGTTTCAATTGATAGACAAAATTATTTGATAAAAATAAGGGAAAAAATTCATGTTTGAAGAAAATAAATCAATCTGATGATGCTTTATGATTTGATCAAAAAATGAAAAATAAAATGAATTTACCAGGAATGGAACCTCCTAAATCATGAGAGAAGAACTATTTGATTTTGAAGACGACCAAAAAATGAACATTTTTCTTTTACATTCTGGGTACAACAACAACAAACAATTAAAAAAAAGACAAAATATCACGAACATATGAGACAAATGATGATAAAGTAGATACATTGAATAAAAATTTAATTTTTCAAACAAGAAAAAAAAATTCTAAAAACCCATTAAAATAATGATTTTGAAATTAATTATTGTTTGCTTTTGAACGGGGAAAACAAATTTTCAATTCGATGTTTTTGAATTGTCCATTTTTATTTTTCCATTATTATCATCATCATTTTTTACATTGTTACATTGATAGCATTGATTCAATTTGAAAAAATTTTCATTAATTGATTGTTGATGAAAGAATAATGAATTTTTTTTTTGTTCAGGCAAAAAACAAATTTTTTTCTCAAACGATAAATGTTTTTATTTAAAACCACATTTGGATTTTTGGATTCAAACTGATACACACACAAAAACACGAATGCGAATGATCCAATAATACAAATATGTAAAGAATCCTTTATATAAAAATCAACGAGGAAGAAAAAACGGATCTAATGCGTAAGAGATTTGCGCAGACTCTTCAGTTATTTTTTTAGATAGAATTAATCAAATTTACTTATTCAATGTATGGTTACAAATACGTTTACGAGTTTTGATAATCTATTACTAAATCTTTATTATCAACTAATGGAATAATTAACTTTTTCTTTCAAAAATACAATTCACTGTTTTAATCTGAATTGGTTGGTTCACACATATAAGGAAACAACTTACAAAAATCTACAAATGAAAAAACCAAATGTTTTGAATATAATTTACCAATCTAAGGGTTTAATGATTCATTGTTCTGACTTTTGTTTTTGAAGAATTTTTTTCAAATCGTAAATTGACAAGTGGGTGTGTATATCAAAAATTCAATTATTTTTTTCAAAAAAGTTAGGGTGTTTTATTCAAGGTTTAAGAATTCTATTAACAAAGATGATGATGATATGATGGCTATTACATCAGCATTGAAATGAAAACAATGAACAAAACATGTTCAAAACATTGCATGATGAAATGATGGCCACCATTATTATCGATTACTAAAATTTAAAAAAAAATTTGTAACATTTATGTCTACAGTATGTAACAAAAATAAATTACAAAATATGGCTGACACATTTGACATGGCCCTGCCTCTTTTCCTAAAGATATTTCACTGAACAGAATAGACACAAAATATTTTTTTCACAAAAAAAACAGAACAAAATTGAAACGAGTTACAAATATCAACGGAAATTTTAGATACATAAATCAACTGATAAACGAAAAGAAAGATATTTCTGTTACAAATAAACATTCGAAATGTGTTTTTGTGAGTGAAAACAAGAACAAGAAATGAAAGGTGTGAAATAAAAAATGAAACAAAAAACTTGAAAGAAAAAAGTTTCAAAGAATTTGACATATTGAACATCATCAAAGTTTTTTTTTCATTTTTTTCTAAGTTTCACTTTTGTGTATGTGAAACATTATCATCATTGTTGTTGTTGTTGTAGATCGGAGACCATCCATACAGTAATATATGCGATGTATTTTCGTATACGATAAACGTTATGGCACATGCAGGTGTTACACGCAATATATTTGGAACGATTCCTTTGTAGAATCCTTTGGCACCTTCAAATCTAAACAATAAAAATAAAATAAATAAATAAAATAGAGAAAGAAATTCATTAATAACAACGAATAAGTGTCCATTTATTTTTTCTCCACTTTACACCAAAACTACAATTTTCTTCAGTATAATTTTTTATGTTTAACAATTCAAAAAAAATCAATTCGAATTCAATGTATCAATGATGATTGTAATGATGAATTATTTATTAATAAATTACATACAAAAAAAAGAAAAGAAATCTCATTACAAACGAATGAAATTTGAATCGAAAACAACTAATCATTCAGATTTTTTCTAAATCAAAATCATCATTCGATAACTTTAAAGATCACCGGATTCTCGATTCCAATTGATATGCACAGCATGTATTATTATAACATTATCATCATCATTACATCATGACATCTAAATTTTGGAATGAAACTTTTCGTTTTCATCAAAAAATCTAACCAAATAAGAATTGGTACTTTTTTCCCACACCCAATTTTCTTCTAATGGTATTCATATATTTATCATGTTTAAATAAATAAATTATCAACATATACAAACATGGCTAAGAAATAAAACCATTAAAAATGTTAGGGCATTTTTTTTGTATTCAGATAATGTAAATGGCTGTCGAGTCCGAAAAAGAACCAGAAAATGAAATAAATGAAATTATTTGATTGTCGAAACAAGAACCAGATATTGAGGGAGAGAGATAGAAAAAGGATGTTAACATTGAATATTCACTCAGATAAATTCATTCACAAAAAAAGATCAAAAACATGATGGGAAACAAAAACAAAAAAACGCACACATCGATTGATGAATCGTACGTTTCCAATATATTATATAAGTGAACCAAGGGAATAGGCAATTTTTTCTCCTTTTTCTTTTTGTTTTTTTCTTAGTTCGACATTTCTCTGGCTTTTTTCTCAATAATTTTATCATCATTACAGAGAAATGGATACGGAAAAACGAATCCATCATCATTCAGGTTAAAACTCGAACAATTTGACATTTCCATTCATTTTGTTCAGCAGCATCAAATCTAATTCATTTATGAAAGCTATCTTGGTTTTTTTCTCATTTGATTGGATTAAAAATGTGCGAAAAAATATAATGAATCAAAAAAAAGTTTCTTAAACGAAATTTACATTAAATAATGAACATCTTAGATCATATTCATTCATTGTTTATGTTCGTCAATATTCAAATTTCAAAAGTCAAATGCTAAATTTATATTAATAAAAACATATATAATAAGGCATCTTAAAGAGTGATCGTAATTTGTTTTTTTTTTGGTAAACAATATAATTAATAACTATAATTATTTAAACAATCATTCAGATTTATAACACAAAACAATGATAAAAGCGACAAAAAAAATAATTATTGCAAACACAATTCACAATTGATTAACAAAAAGATAGTCTAAAACTTAAGGACGGAATAGTGATTCAATAAATTATCGAAAAAATAAAGATCGATTGCATTTTCCATTCGGCCATCATCATGATCATCATCATCATCATCAAAACCAACATACTATTACATAATTAAAGATTGTGGTTGTTTGGTCTTGAAATTGGTTCGGGTTTTTTTCTGAGTAAAATTGGTATCACAATTTTTTTTCGAATCGAAAGTTCATTCATCAAATACGAATGATGTTGTTTCAACAGCAGCAATGTCATTGACTATTAAAGATGATAATGATGATGATGGTGATGATTGTGGTTGTTGTAATGGTGATGGTGGAGATGATGATGATGACGGTATTTGATGATCAATAACCGAATCCAATTCAGATGATGGCCGAGAAAAATGTTCATATATAATAAACACGATGCAAATGTTCGGTGTAACATGAAGTAGATAGGCAGCAAGACCTTTGTAAAATCCACGTAATGATTCGTACCTGACATAAAAGACCGAGAAATGAAAAATAAAACAAAAATAGACCAAGACGGGAATAGGTAAGAGAGAGTAACAACAAACACAAAGAAGGAAGTGTTAACTATAATCGAAAAATGTAGCCCTGCTCTATATGAAAATAAATGAATCATGTTGGGAAAAAAAGCATAATAGAGAGAACAAAAACATGGATCAAAATGGAACAATATAAACACTTATTTCATGGAATATGGGTCGTATGCTTTACTTGAAATTATCAGACCGCAATTCGAAGCCATTCATCTTACATCATACCAGATTCTATTGTTTTCGGTCCGATGAATAGGAATTGATAGGAGAATGAATGAAAGAGTTTTATGCATGTTAGAATTAGAATTACCAGAAAACAAAAAAATTTCAAAGGAATTCTCATGAAAATGTACAAACACGTAAACATGTAAACAAAATCCAAAAAATTAAATAATAATATGGAAAGTCGAATGAAGCATGAAAAAATTTGATTTAAATTTTTTTCAATAAATCAACATATTTGAACAATATCCTAAAACCAAAGACAAAAAAAAACGAATCGACTAAATCAAATTATTGATTGAAAAATGAAATTCCATAATTAAGTACAAATTGATTCAAGGCAGCCAATAAAATTAAAAACGATAAAGTTTGAAAAAATAGTACAGTTTTATGCACACACATACCTCCATGTACGACGTATAACATCCATAACTCCATTATAATTTGCATATTGATCTTGAAGACGTGCACGTACCACCTGATATGGATATGTAATGACTGCGGCAAATAGTTTACTCGTAGCAGCACAACCAAGATAGGCTAATGTCCCTAATCTTTCTTCTCGTCTCAAACCATAATGTTCAATATAATATCGCTTCAATTCTTCATAGGCCATAAATTGTAGGGCACCATGTGAGACACCGAATATACCCGGTACGAATCCGCGATATAGACCACGAATGCCTTCAAAACGATAGATTTTAGCTAATGCATCCACCATACCACGATAACGTTTTGTAGGCTGTACAGCGTTTTCACTCATACCACCGTATTGAAGACATAATCTCGTCTTGACCACCCATATTGGATTTGTCAACACCAAAGTCATTATACCCGCTTCGCATGCGGCCATTATATGTTGGCCAGCATTTAAATCCATTTGTATCTCACCAACATTAGACATATGAGATTTTATTGCATTATAACTGTTATAAACATTCGTATACTTATTAAGTAAATGTTTCAACTCAGATGAAAAATTACTTGGCTTACAATAGAAAGTAAAGACCCCAAGAAGTTCCAGCGCCCCAACAATTAGGCGTGACACCCCGATAAAATCCACGAATACCCTCCGAACGAAATATGGTTTTAACGGCATTAACTAGGCCACTATATTGTGGTCTAGTTGAAACTTGACCATCATTGACTGATTATTCGAAAATGAAAATTAGCATTTGTCTAAACGAAAATAATATGATGCCTTACCAGCTAGACGAACTTTCAGTAAATCAAGTGGATGCAATGCCAATGTAGATGCTACCCCTCCGGATATGCCGGCGACTAGATGTTCATATTTCACATTAGATGATAAGGTCATAGAAGGTTTGGACGTTTTTTGGCTTTTAGTAGCCATTAATGGTTGATTTGAATTTGATTTAGAAAATGAATGAGAATCCAATTTATTCATCGCATGAAGCGGCGATAAAAATAATAAATTATTTGAATGCCAAAATTGGGTTGAAAACGTTGCCCTTTAAACCGTTCATTATATATAATGGATCAATCATACAGCCATTATTATTTCAATGATTGCAGATGATAATGATCGATTTTATTTCATATTATTTCAATCAACTATGCAGTAAATGCGATAAGATTGCAAAATTTGCAAATGAAGAAAAAACCTTAAGCATGCATGAACGAAATGAACCATACGTATCATGTAATGAACGAGACTATCGATCTTTGTGATATTCAATGAATCCTTGGATTTTTTGCTTAAAATAACAACAAAAGATAAAAAGAAGAAATTTACACAATCGATCAAATAGAAATTTTCAAAACATTTTCATTGGATATTCATTATGTGTGTGTGTGTGTGTGTGTGTGTGTCCATTTTTTAACAATTTAAATTTAAAATAATAATATATCGAACAACTTCGACTTTTCGATAAGATTTTATGAATCTAAATCATGTACAAATAATACGATATTATTGTCAAGATTACATTTTTCTAGTGGCAGATTCATATCCGAAGAATTCGATAAACTATTATCATCTACTGATGGTGAATGTCCGGGAAGATCACGTGTAGGAAAATTGGTACGCAATTTGAAATTTATCAATTCCATTTCTTTACAAAATACATAATAGTAAAGATATTTGACTGGATCTGTACAAAGAAATCGACGCTCTAGACGTGTACCATTTGGCAGTTTGAACATAATACGCCATGCATTCGATCGATCAGGATCCGGTTCCGGAGATATGTCTGCAAGTAATGTTTTCTTCATGTCTGATATCCTTTGTTTACGTTCCTCTTCAGCTTGCTGCTTTTGTCGTTCAAGACGTTCTTTTTGTTCTATTTTTTCTCGTTCTTCTCGTTTACGGCGTTCTTTTTCTTGATCGGCTTTTAATGATTCTTCAAATGCTTCATCCTGTTGAGCACGAATCAAACTGGCCATATCTCGTTCTTGACGATCGAGACGGGCAGCCATCAAAGAAAATTCATTATTCTGTATAGCAGTACGTAAAGTGGCCACAACAGTATCAACATTGTGAAAGCCTTCCATTTTTTTCATTACAATCATTTTGTGATTCTTAAGGCCAATCAATGCCATAAAAGGGTATTGATTGACCTTCAACGATTGATAAGCTTTATAACCTTCGGGATAATCCACCGAACATGACCAGAAAAGGAGATTTTCTGCGTTAATTAAATCGATAAATTTTTGTGCAGCAATAACAGTTGAACAAAATTTATCAATTTCGCGATATGATGGAGAATGAATGTAGATTAATACGAAACGAATTTCACGTTTACCATGCTCAATCACTTGAGAATAGGTACCACGGAAAAATGTTGGATGTTGTTGGCCATATTTTTCCTCAAATTCGCGAATAAATTGTTCAACTGTTCCATTTGGATCATAATCTGAAAAAAATAGATACGATGTTTTTTAAAACTCATAGCATAGTAGATTTCAAACCTACGTAATGTTGGATAAATCATTGAGATGAAAAAATCATAAATCGTATTCAAAGTATTCATGATCAATATATATGGTAATCTCAACAGCCAGGTAGCCGCATTCCACGGAATCATAAAAAGACTATTATTATTATCATTGTTATTGCTATTTTCATTGTCATTTATTGCACTTGTATTCGAATCATTATCAGACAAAGGTGTCGATGAACTGAGAGCAGCCGAAAACATTGTTGAAGATGTTGGAGCATTTCGACGTCTCAATGATGATGATGTAACATTCGTCTGCTCTCCATTATTATTACCATTTGAATGTTGTATCATATTCTGGATGATATCATGATTATAAGCTCCTTCCAAAGTGAGATCCAGAGCAATTTCAAAATTCCATTCATTTGCCCGCAATATATGATAAGATTCCAAATCATTCATTCCAGATATATCCTAAAATAAATACATCGTATTTAATGCAATATAAATAAAATAGAAACTACTAACTTTAAATTGAGACACTTTTTTCCGTTGATCTTCGGTCAATTGATCACGGATCTGTTCGATAATATCTTGTTGTGAATAATCACTCATTGCTTACTATATTCTATTTACGATCGAAGACTGTAAATCGGCAGAGAATGTATTCAAAAAAATGGATCGTATTCAGGATAATAATAAAAACAAATCTGACAAGCTGAACAAACAATTTGATGATAACAATAATGGTAAAAATGAAGAAATCAGAATTTAATAAAGAAATGCAGCGATATAAACATAATTATAACACATTTGCTCGAGACTATTTCTACTCGTTTGGTTCCAAATGTTTACTTGCGAACAATCACATTCGAAATACGAATTGAATTCAAATTTTTATCTTTTTACAATTGATTTTTTTGTTGTTGTTAGAATTACGGAAATGCAACACATGTTAATCCATCATAGGAAAATATCTGTTTCCACAACAATACAACGATGGGTTCGTTTGTCGACAGATTCATCACTATCGAATGCAGATGGCAGCTCGACAAAGGATAAAATTTCTTTGACATTCAAAGAAAAACTTAATAAAGGTCCTGAATTCGAAGATTTTATTGCCGGTGTCGTACCACGAAATATAAAAACATTTGGTGATTATCAAGGCAAATTGAAACGAGAAATAGGTGAAAATGAGCGACTACGTTTGCCCCCTTGGCTTAAACGAGAAATTCCTGTTGGTCCAAATTATCATCGATTAAAATCGACGCTTCGTAACCTTAAGTTGCACACTGTTTGTGAGGAAGCTAAATGCCCAAACATTGGTGAATGTTGGGGTGGATCAGAGAGTTCAACAGCAACTGCTACCATAATGTTAATGGGTGATACTTGCACTCGTGGATGTAGATTTTGTTCGGTAAAAACCGCACGTAAACCACCACCAGTCGATCCGGAGGAACCGGTCAATACTGCTAAAGCTATTGTTGCTTGGAATTTAGATTATGTCGTTCTTACGTCTGTCGATCGTGATGATATGCCAGATGGTGGTGCGGAACATTTTGCTCGTACCGTCCGTGAAATTAAGCGTCTTTCACCCGATCTTCTTGTCGAATGTCTTACACCAGATTTTCGTGGCCAACATGCTAATGTTGCAACGGTAGCATCATCTGGTTTAGATGTCTTTGCACACAACATTGAAACTGTTCGTGATTATCAAAAATTTGTCCGAGACCCACGTGCCAATTACGATCAATCATTGGACGTTCTTCGATATGCCAAAGAATCACAGCCAGTAATCATAACGAAAACTTCGTTAATGCTTGGTTTTGGTGAAACAGATGACCAGATCAAACAAACTATGGAAGATCTACGGCAAGCAAATGTAGATTGTCTTACATTAGGTCAATATATGCAGCCAACAAAACGTCATCTAAAAGTCGTCGAATATGTAACGCCAGAAAAATTTGCCTTTTGGGAAGATTATGGCAATCGATTAGGTTTTGCCTATACCGCCTCAGGTCCATTAGTTCGATCATCATATAAAGCCGGTGAATTTTTCATCAAAAATTTGATTGCTAAACGTCGCCAAAATAATTCATCATCATCAAATCTATAAGGTAAGATTGACGACATTTTTCATATTTGACAATTTCTATTATCGACTTCTCCGTTCCTCATTGCAAAATTTTAGATTTCAAAATTGTCAATGATTTTGGAAAGTCATAAATTAATCAACAATTATTCACACAAATAAATTTTTTGTCTTTAGTGATAAACAATCAATCAATTTATTTGTTTTTGCTAATTGTAACATTTTTTTTAAATTCACAGGTTAATATCAATGAAAAAAATATCTATGGAGAAAATTGAATATTCTCTCATTGTTAATTATTAGGTTTTTTAATAAAAAAAAAGATTATATTCTCAATTTTAAAGAGTATTTGTGCTGCCACCAAGCGAATCAGCCTCCGAATCTGAACCAGATATAGAAGATCCTTGGCCATCATCATTGTTTTCATGATTCATACCACCAACCGTCTCTTTTGTCATTATTGAAATATCATCATCATCATGGCTACTGGATAGGCTATCCATATTTTGAAATATTTCATACAGTGTTGTAATGAATCGATAAACATCGGTGAATGAATTATATAATGGAGTAGGTGCAACACGCATCACACTTGGCATTCGAATATCACACTATTTTCAAGTTCAAATCATAAAAAGATCAGCAAAACCGTACAAACTAGATTAAATTGATTTTTAATCTCTTACCACAATGCCACGCTTCTGAAATTGTTCGTGAATGATCGAAAGTGGTACGGAAAAAATTAATGATAATTGGGCTCCTCGTTGTTCCGGATCTGATGGTGTAATGATTTTGATGGATGGCATTAATAATGATCGACTATCGCCATTATTATCTGCTGATCGTTGATGATTATTTCGTTTATCCGTTTGAGGGAAAAACGATTTAATCATAAATTCTAAATATCCTGTCAGTAAGTATTCTTTTTGTCGTAATTCTTCCATCGATGTTTGTTCGAATATCTCCAGACTCGTCATAAGCATTGCGTTCAACACTGGTGATGGATTGCTCAATTTAAACATATCAGCACCTAAAGCTGGATCGAAATCACCTTTCATCAGGAATTTCGTTTCTACATTATTACCCCACCATCCTTGATACATGGGAAATGTTTCGCTATAATTTGTGAAATATTTTTCATTCACATAAATTGCTCCCATGCTTCCAGCACCGGCATTCATATACTATTTTGAATTATATGATCAAAATAGCTGAAATTATTATTAAGAATTATTTACCTTATATGTACACCATGCTGCGAAATCGACATTCCATTCATCAAGATAAATCGGGACATTACCTACTGCATGAGCTAAATCCACTCCTACTAATATGCCTTTTTTGTGAGCTGCTTCAGTCAAGCGTTTTACATTCAACAATTGACCTGTATAGTATTGAACAGCCGGTAATAATGCAACTTTAATCTGATCACCTTGTTCATCAAACAATCGGATGATGTCATCTTCGTTTAATAAATTTTCTCCCTAATCAATAAGATTGAATGAAAATTAGTTTGATGATATCATCAACATCAAACTTACTTTTCGAGGTTTTAATAATATCAATCCTTTTTCCGGTGATATTCCATGCGATCGTAGTTGTGATTTAGCCACATACTATCAAATTAATGGGTAAAAACCACAAAGTCAGATGATTTGCTGATCTTAATCAAATATGATAAACATACCGTATCAGAAGGGAATGCATGATCTTCGATCATCAATTTATATCGATTTGAATCGGGTCGATAGAATGTTGCAAGTAGCAGATGTAGATTCACGGTTAAACCGTTTAAGATTGCAATTTCATGTTCTTGTGCACCAACCATACGTGCCATTAATTTTTTTGCCGGAAGATCGGATAATGCAGCCGGTAGATATCCATGAAAATGACTGTGTACACCTTTTTTTGACCAATTATCCAATACTTTTTGTACATTTTGATCCAATAATTTTGGTTTTAAGCCCAATGATTGGCCACATAAGTAGATACATTCTTCCTCAGGATCTTTTAGAATGGTTTTATCAACTTTAAGATAATAATAATAATAAAATAAAAACTTTAAGCATTCAAGTTATCAATGTAATCAATCAAATCAATAGAGTTGTTTTTCCCTCATAATCTTTTTCTATCGAATGATTTGATTTAATATCAACTCACTGTTGGGTAGATGAGATTTCTTTGGAAACGTAAACATCTGCCGAAATGAACGCAACGGATCATGTTTATCCATTAACCTTGCAAATTCAGCCGATTCAATCGATACATTCCATTCGTGAGCATTTTCCCGAAGGATAGACACCGGATTAATTCGTGATTTTGATTGCTGTGAATGAATAGATTAAAATCGATCGAATAGTTTGGTTGATTTATTCGTAATCATAATCATTTTCATGAATCGAAAAAAAGGTACTTACAATATCTTTGATTTTCTGCTTACACTTTGATTTTACTTCCGTAAAATTGTCTCGATGATTTGTATCAGATTCATTATTGGTAATGTTTGTAGTTGACATAGCTATTTTGTCTTTCATTTGAAAAATAAAAAAAAATCACTTTTTGTTACTGATTTCTGAATTAAATGTGAACGATGATGTAATAATCAAATGGATATCCAAAATAAAAATGAAATTGCATTCAAATATATCATATATCGAAGATATCAATATTTCGCGATCGAACCAATATCATCGATCCGCATTTATATACTCATCATGATGATCATTGTTGGTTTGATGATTATGATTGTACGGTGATTATGGTAGTTTGATTGTGGTTGTGGTGGTGGTGGTTTTTAGAAAATCTAGGCACCATCATCATTTTAAACGTCTACATTGTTCTGACATTATTGTTTTATGTCATTTTTTTTTGTGTGTAAAACTTTTCAAATATATATTTTTTTAATTTTGGGGGTCTTAGCTTGTCATCACCTTTCTCGATGGATTGTCTGACAGGATAGCGATCAAAAATTGTCATTGAAACGCCATTTAATCGGTATATGAATAGACCAATTTATAATGATTGTGGATTGAGTTTCAGATTGCACACTTGTGAAGAATCAAGCGATGATGATGATGCTTAACCAGCAGCCTTGAATCTTTTAACAAAGTTTTTATTATGCGACCATATTTTAATGATAAATTGAAAATTTTTTGTCATCCAATTTATCAAGCTTATATTTGTTTCCTCAATTCATTCGAAATAAATATCGATATTTTAAGAAACCTTCGATAAATAAATCTGCAGATATAATGACATTTCATATCAAATATAAAATATTGAATTGTCGAGCTTACATTTCAGACACAAAAATTGACATTTTTATTTGATCTGTATTCAATTTATTATTATATAATTCTTTTTCTTTTAAAATTATCTTGCGACCTGTCTATCATTATTTTAATAGAAATTAATCCATAAATATATTATGATGTTTGTACGGCATAAAGTTGGTTACTAATACGGATGATGATGATGATGACCTTGCCAAAATCATCGGTATCATCCAGCTAATTGGATGCCAAAATATCATTGCCCATTTTTTTTTGATTGAAAAAATTGTTTATTTGTCCATCTATCTTTACAACAATTTGTTATACAGATTTTTTTTTCTAAATAAATTTTCGATCGAACATCATATTTACCTAACGGTCATTATTTTTTTCTATAAATAAACTTTATTTTTATTGTCCATTTGTATCGAGATTATCACCTTTATATCAACATAGGAGGATTATAATTAGAAAAAAACCCTATCGAATATTGGTCGAAAATAATTTCGATTTGTAAAAGTTGTGCAATCGAGAAAAAAATGGCCCACTTTTTTTCAATATAACTTTAATCAACTACAATCAATACAGGTGACAATCAATATTTCAATCCATCACTCAATCAATCATTCAAAGATTGATTAAATGAATTCATGAAAAATCAATGCAAATCATTATTATTATTATAACCACAATTATCATCACCTCCGGTATTGAATAGGTCATGATAATAAAAATAATAATGATAATCATTCGTAGTCACGAAACATTACTACTAACCAACCAGATTTGAGTTTGGGTATCCTTTACAAATGTAAATTGGGATCAAATATATGTAGATTGTTTTTTTTTCATCGCTAAAACATTGGTCTATCATTTGCATATATAATATTATAGACTACGTTTGATATTACAAAATTGATGATGCCTTACAATTCCTGCTACCTGTTATTTTAATGATGATGATGATGAAAAATGACCCTTATTCGTACAAATATTTTCATTTTATTCATGATGAAAAATATTTTCAAGATAATTAACTTTGATAATACATTTTCATCTTATTTAATGAACATTATCACCATAATGATCATCATCATCATCATCATCATGTCAGATAAATTACTTTTTTCAAGATGTATGGATGTCATCATAGGTTATAATCATTATTCGGCAGGTAATAATCATTTTAAAATATTGATGATCAATGTTTTGAATTGATCGATTATTCAAAACATTTGACTATGATTAATTCTTCTTTTTTTTTCGAAAAGAAAAATTTCATCTTACAAGAATGATTAAAAATGTCATCAATAATTTTCATGAAAAAAAATAATCAAGATGAATTTATATCAGCTAGGAAAAAAACAGATTTTATCATCAATGTTTTTTTCCGTAAGATTATTAAGCTAGGGAAAAAAACCAAAAAATGTTTTTGTCTTATGTTTTGGCCATATGGAAAACATCATCAACAACAAAAACCGGATAACGTCACATTGAATAGGTTGTTCTACATTCTCTTCTTAACACACACACAGACAGAAACACTAATTATCTGTTTAGTATATCCCATTTTTTTCAAACTGACAAATTTTAAATAAACAATGTTTACAATCAACCAACCAGCCAATAAACAATTGTCAGTTCATTCAGAATGTTCAAAACGAAAGATGAAAAAAATTATTATTTGTCCATGATTCGAATGGAATTCATTCTATTCAATTCAGTTAATTATATTCTATTTTTGTATGTTTGAAAAACAAAACAAAAAACATTTCTCTTTTCCGATCATCCAAACAACCGACCAAGCCTTGAACTTGACATTTTCAATCGGATCGCTGGTCATTTAGATGATGGTAAATGTGCTGATTTCCACTCAATGAACTATCAGAGAGAGAAATAGAAGAGAGAGAGAGAGAGAGAGAGAGAGAGATGGTAATGATGATGAATGATTTCAGATTTCAAACATGGCAATAAGATGAGCGGGAAAGAGGAATGAAAAAAAAGAGTAAAATTTTTTGGAGAAAAATACCTGGAAATACCGTTTTCTTTTTATTTTTGGTTAGTTGTCGGTGTTAACTTTATTATTTTATTCATTTTAGCTCTTGCCAGTGCACTTAGTGATTGAGTGAAAGATTTCCAGATATTTTTTCTTTTTCATTCGGACATGGTTTTTCTGGTTGTTTGATGATTGAATATTAATTCAAAAACGAAAGAACAAAAATTCCACTTTCAACAACAAAAAAAAAACAAAGTTTACCTATGTTGATGAATTTGTTTGTTTATTATTTTTAGATGATATTATTTTTTTCAACAAACGAATCATAATTCAAATCACGATTGATTTTTGTTAAAATTTTTAAATTCCAATCATTCAAGATGATGTGTAATATTTTGGGTAAATTTTTGTTTTCGTTTAGTTTTGTTCTTTGTTTACAAGTGATTTATTTTATATTACATATATAAGCAGTGTTATCAATGATAATGATGATGGTAATAGTGTTAACTGTTTCGAATGCTGCAACTATCCATCATCATTCGACAAATTTTCCGATGAATCCAGATCAATCACAAAGAACTAAAGCAATTCTGCCCGATTCATCGCCTGTGCAAAGAAGTTCGGATGAAATCGTCCCGGAAAATTTTGTAGCATCTGGTAAAATGGCTTCAACTGATTTTGACAATATTCCTTCACAATTTATTGGACCAAATTATTCATTTGGAAATTCTAGATTACCGATTATCACATCTGGACAATTACCTTTAGGAATATCTGTTACCGAAAAATCTACATTAAATAATTTACCAATAAAAGATGAGAAAATGGACTTACTTGGTGCAGCTTTGAGAAGATATGATATGAAAAGATATTTGCTGAAAAAAATCTTAGGAAATTCGCATGATCTTGATGAAGATATTGATGGCGGATTTTTCAGTAATAAACATCTTAAACGTCATGGAACAGCAGGCGTGGCAGCAAAAGTTCTTGGTGAATTGATTGGCATCAAAATTCGTGAATCAATCGAAGGATTTGGTAAATCATTCAGTGAATATGCAAAGGATTTTACCGCACGAAATTTTGTCAATGCTGGACAATTATTTGGAAAATTATTTCGATTTTCACAGCCATAAAATACAAAAACAAAAACTTTTAAAAATAATACAAATTTGTACATAATAATCTGATAAATTTATTCTAATTTATTGTCAGATTTTAATTTATTTATTTATTTAACAAAAATAATTGTCAAAAAAAACAACTTTTTCTTTTTAAAATCATTATTAAAATTAAAATTCAAAAATCAAGATTGGAAATACCGACCACTAGATGGCAGGGAGTTTTCAATTTACTCAAAAAAAAAAAATTCGATTTGTTCGAAATGAGTGAAGCGGAAATCAATCCTCATAAACAATATTGTTGCATTGATAAAACAATTTTGATTACAGCAATTTATTTTTCAATCCTTTTGATTATCTAAACTGATTTCCAAGAAATATTTTTTCCATTTAATTTTTAGTTTAAAATCGATTTGATCAACTGTTAATATCAGTCAATTGTTTTGAAGTTGAAATAAGTTTATATGAGATTTTTTTTTTTTGGAAAATTAAACTTTTTGAATATATAGCTGCTAAATATGATGAAAATAAACTACGAAGTTTCTCACCAACATTATCGAAAATCAAAGTGAAATGATAAAAATCATGTACATAATTATTGAAGAGAGGTTGAGAGAAAAAAACGGGAATTGTCGTTCGACAGGTTCAGCTGATGGTCTCTCATATACTGGTCATTCGACTAAACCGAAGAGAACCGGCCAATCAAAAAATAAATGAATAAAATTGTGTTTGTTACCTAGTGACCTAGTTAGACGAATATTTATTATTTTCATTTATTTTGTGTTTGTGTCTTGTTATAAAATACTCTCTTTTTATTATAATGAACTTTTTGAAAAACTTTGCTGAAATTCGGTTCATTTGACATAAAATATCATAAATAACTTATTATTAAAATTTGATTAGAATTTGTTTTTGTTTTCCATTGAAACTGAATTTTTTCTATCAACAAATAATGCAATCCATTCGTCCATCTCAATTTTTCAGATTGGCCACGACAAAATGTACATCATTTCGAAATGTTCATCTATCAATTGCCACGTCAATGTCTGGACGTCATCAACAACAATTAGAGAAAGAAGTTTCATCCAGTTCCAGATTAAATCATGTATTAGCTAATGCAAACCGAATTCTTATGTCGACCGAACAAAATGATCAAAATTTACAGAATTTGATCACCGAAGAAGTGATGGTTATTACTCAAATATTACAGAAATTAGTTGGCACCAATTTTTCACTCTCTGAAATTAAAAAGTATGTAAACATTTTGAAAATGTTGTTTTTTTTGTTAAATTCCACATTGTGTTTTGTCCAGATTATATGAAAATGAATCATCTTCCGATCATTTTATTCGTGGTTTAATTGTCCTACTGATTTCGAAAGCAGCTTCATCATCATCATCCAGTAAAACGCAAATAGGGCAACAGGATATTTCGACAATACAATGGCGTCTAGCTAAAATAGTCGAAATGATACATATGGCGGTACTTATACATCGACAAATACGAAACGTTTCATTCAATACATTGGATTCCGGTTCCATTGAGACACAGCTTAATTTGCAAAATAAAATTTCCGTTCTGTATGGAGATTTTCTTTGGGCTAAAGCTTGGAAAGAATTGGCCGACATGGGAGATATTCAAGTAATTGATATGATGGTATCCGTTTTGGTAAACACTTCTACAGGGCAATTTCTTGCCGAAATTGAATCGCATGATTTGAGCCGAAAAATGAAAGTTGATTATTGGCTGGAAAAAAATTTTCTTCTAAATGCCTGTTTACCTGCATTTGGCTGTCGATCAACGTTGAAATTGGCTGGTGTAGATGAACGATTGCAGAAAAATGCTTATGATTTTGGTCAAAATTTCGGCTTTTTCAGCAAAGCATATCAGGAAATAAAATGGTTCGAAAATAATGGCAGTGTTGAAGATTCAAACAATATTCATTCATTGGATATATGTTCATTGCCGGTTATCATGCATTCGATTGAATCTGGTCAATCATTCGATCGAATGATTAAAAAAAATGTATCCGAAAATCACAAACAACCGGGTGAATTGATCATGGATCAACAAGAATTCATTGAAATCATACGTAAAGGTACTGGTCTGCAAAAATCACGATCAATTTTGGAAAATTTTCGTCAAAAATCATTAGGAAACTTGAATGGTTTTCCTGAATCAGAAGCCAAAGTGCATCTAAAATCCATATTGGAAACGATGGATCCATAAATCGAAAAACAATTCTGACTAGCCATCCGAATTCAATTTATTCGTTACCAACAAACGCACATAATGAATATTTTATCAAATCCAAATTGATGTTTTTTTTCACTGTTTTGTTCAAATTATGAATGTGTTTGAATGAATATATTTCAATTTTGTGACCATTGCCTTATTTTTTTGTTGCAGATTTATTTATTTGTTGATGATCATGATTATTAATGTCTCTCAACGGATTTTTTTAGCTTTAATTTGTATTCGGTGTATTTGAATTGACGTGTCAACACACAATTTTGAATCAATGGGAAAATGGAAAAATTCTTCTAACCATTATAGGTTTGTTTGTTTCAAATTCAACCATCACTTGGGACAATCGATATTTCCATGGCTGTCATTCGCAATATTATAGAAGCTCTGTCTCAAAGGATTCATCAATAAATCGATCAAACAAACAGATTAAGGAGAATATTAAAAAAAACAACAAAAATAGTAGCCTAAAATTTTGTTGTTGGTTAGGGATTTTTTTTCAATTATCCCGATTTGACTTTAATTGATCGATTGATGATCAAGTGATCAAAAAAATTCAAAAATTTTATTTTTAAAAATTATTTTTAAAAATTTTTCTTTTTCATTTCGGACATCTATTTTTTCTTTAATTTTATTTTCTGTTACGTTGATTGATGAAGCTGAATGTTGAATACTTCATGTAAAATGGACAGTTTTTTTTCAATTTTCTGTTCAATAGAACAAGTTGGAAAATTGAATTCTCCAACTAAATAAAAACACTTAATTTGTCCCAAGTGGTTCGATATTGACGGATCCTAGGTCTGTTCTTTTTATTGTTGTTGTTGATTTGAATTGTTTTGCGCAACCTAGACAAATGATGAGCGTTGGTATTCTCCACCTGCCGTGAACGATGATGTTGTTGATGAGGATAATGTTGATGATGATGACTGTGGTGGCTAACCACCAAAACCACATTTATCAAAGGTTTTTTTCTATTTTGGTTTTCAGATTGGTCGGCCGCATCGAGAACGTCAATTGTCACGCAATTGTATGTAGGCTGGTCAATTTTGAATAACATTAAGTTTTTGTTTTCAAAAATGAAAAAAAACATTCGACTTCCTGCAGCTGGTTTTCCATGAATGGCCAAAATAACTTCCAAATTCCGGGATGTATTTAATGATGGCAAAAAAAATTATCAATTTTTCGATGTGATTTTTTTTATTGAATAAAGTGTATTCAACTACAATTATTATAAATGAAAATTTTTCTCATTTACGTTAAATCGAAAATGACAAACAATTCTTTTCAAACATCATGACTGATATGATCTGATGGATGGATGGATCATATTTTTAACCCGAGAGATCCATGATCATTTTATGTCATCATCATACATTCGAAAACAAGCGTGAGAACCCGATCAACTATTGTGAAAATAGAACATCATAAATGACTTAATAACTGTATTTTACGTGGGGACATATATAACATATGAAACTAAAATAAAAATAAAAATAATAAAAATCGAACGAAACGATCATACATCGAAGCTAAATCCCAGACTCGATGCCAGTCGCGTGTGACCGAATGAGAGAGCGAGAGAGAGAGAAAGCGAAGTGAGAGCAATAGAACAAGGACATGTAAATGTTCCAATGATCCCATGGTTCAAGCTCTAATTGTACAAATCGAGCATAAATGAAAAAAACGTAAGCGTTTTAACTATGGGAACAAAATGAATGCCATTTTCCCACTGTATTCGATCATTGATCATTGAATCGTGTGTTTACATTAGCAGTTCTTATCGGCCTAGTCAATGAAAAAATGTGATTTTTAATGATTGTGATGCTTAATACAAGAAAGTTGTCTATGAAATTTTTTCATTATTATTGAATTTTATTATCAAAATCAACAAAAACTTTTTTCTCACCTTTAACCTGGTATACCAGATACAATGTCATCATCATTATGCATAACAAAACACAAACTGACAACAATAAAAATTAGCCTATCAACTATGCTGAGTAAACTTGTATGTCGCGTGTCTAAAGTTATCTGACTATGACCACAAGACCGGAAATTTTACTGAAAAGACCAGTGGCGGAAATAGACATCCTCTCCCTTTATTTTTTACTCTAGTTCTTTATTAATATCAAATTAGAGAAAAATTATTCTTAATTTAAAAATTAATTTCAATATTTCAATCGTTCCTTACGATTATCGAAAAGACACTTGACAATTTGGATTGATTTTGATCAATTTTCTCGAAATTGTATTCGATTCAACAATGACCTTGATCATGAGATGGCACGTGTCATTTTTGATGTTTTATATTTATTAAGGCTAGTAAAACTTTGAAAAGAAATGGACAAATTTAGTAAACTTCATGAAATATAAGGATTCTTCAAAGAAAAAACTTTTAATAAATAAAGGAATAAAAAAATTGTATTTTCCCACGTTTTTTTGGTTGAGAATGATAAAATATTCTACCCCCAATTCATCGAAAAAAATTCGAATGAAATATTCGTGGGAAACTGAGGGCGGTCCATTAGAAACCTAACAGGCGGGTCAACATGATATTGGTACACCAATTGGTTGAAGCTTTGAACTACTGGCACCACCCTGCCAACAGTTTCTGGGCTATACAGATGCATCCATACGCCAGATTCAAACTCTGCATTCACAATATATTACAATTACTGACTATGAGTAAAAAAAACTTAGTTTCCGACCGCGTGCCATATAACAGGCAGCGAGCATCCAAATTTTAAGAATCTTACACATTCACCAATCATTGATTCATTTGATCAAGTGACTTGCATACGGTCGGTCACGTGTTCTTCATATTTTATTCTCCATTCGTGTTGAAAAAAACTTGGCGTATTTTTTTGCCAGAAAAAAAACTGTTCCATCATCATAATTATGTATCCACAGCCACAACATTATGGACATCATCATCAAACACAAGTCCATTCATTGACTATGATGATGGCGAATCCGGTTGTTACTGCTCAGCATTATAATAATTCGGCGATACCACCCTCAACAACAAGCTCATCTTTCAGCGGTAATTTTTCGATGATGAACGATTCCGATCAGCCAACATATACAACATTAGTTCCACCACCACCACTAGCATCATCGGGAATTAAACATCATGGAATAAATAGTTGTGGTGGTGGTGGCGATGATTCGATGGCTACAACATCAACGGATGAAGAATTGGAAACAATAAGCCATAGTAGCAGCCATAAGAGGTGAGTGGTCTGATTTTTTAAATACATTTTGTTTTTCTTCAAACCATTGTTAAAAAAGAGGGATCCGCCTCTGGTTGTATTACACGTATTGAACACGTGACGCATCATCGTGCCCATGAACAAAGCCAGAGGAAGTCTTGGAACATACACACTCATTCATTGTAAACTCGCGCGAGTCGCATGTCAGTCTCGTGTCCAGTCTTGCGCCCGAACGGTTGCCTTTAGTTGATACCTAGTAGTATTGGTTAGTTGGTCGATAGGTCGGTGTTGATGTTGCAATCCTGATGATTAAGTCTTTAAGATTGACTTAGCTCTTTTTTATTTTTCGTGTCCGGCCGTGTGTTTGACACATTGTCAGTGTACGTGTGCATGTGTTAGTGTGTGTCTGTGACAAATCATTTATTCTTTTAGATCTTATGAAAGTAAAAAAGTTGGCGTGTGTCGGATCATCTGTACGTTCGTCAGCAGGCGTACGGCGTTTCCTTAAGACGACCTATTGTGTAACAACTCTCACGTGTCCAAATTCCAGTCGTTGTGTATCAGTTTGTAAAAAAACAAAATCTGTTGTAACTGTAAATAGTTGATAGTTCCGGTAGTTATCAGGTGATCGACATGTGGCGCAAAACCGCTCAAACAACAAATTCTAATCACCATCATCATCAGCATCATCATAGCCATGGCCATAATAATAGTAATCATCATCAACAACCGCAACAATCAACACATCATGCACAAAGCATGGCAAATAATCATCCCACCCACCCACATCATCAACCACAACAACATCATCCAACAAATTCATTTACGCAACCAAATAACAAGTTTAGGTCAGTTCAGGGATATAATTATGAAAAACGGGAAGACAGGTGTAATATCCAAGCACATGCAATTCATTTTGAGTGGTTGATTTCGTTTTTTATTTCTTAGTTGATTAATAAATGATTTTTATTTTTTGCATTTCAGTATACAAATGGGCGATACGAATAGCCTTGACAGTAGCTGTCATTTGATGAGCCGAAAAAAACGACGAGGGGTAAGTGTTTCAATTATTTAATTATTGTATTTTTACAATATTTTTATATTGATAGATGATTGAAAAACGTCGAAGAGATCGTATCAACAATTCTTTGCATGAATTGAAACGTCTGGTACCTGCTGCATTCGAAAAACAAGGCTCAGCCAAATTGGAAAAAGCCGAAATTCTTCAGATGACTGTTGATCATTTACGTATGCTACATTCAAAAGGATTCGATGCATTCTCATTTGATCCGCATAAATTTGCTACCGATTATCATATCATTGGATTTCGAGAATGTGCAGCCGAAGTTGCAAGATATCTGGTTTTGCATGAAGGGTTGGATTTTCAGGATCCACTTAGATTGCGTTTGATTAGTCATCTTCAATGTTATTCAGCACAACGTGAAATAAGCCTGAAATCTAGCACAGAATGGAATCCGAGTTTGTTCACAACGCCCATGAATCATACGGCACAACCGTCTTCAACAGCAACTTCAACATCAACTAGCTCGACAATGGCATCATCAACAAATTCAGCTCCGATCACAAATAGTAACAGTACATTACATTCATCATCATCCACCACAACAACTTCTCAGGCACCTAATTCCGGTTGTAGCGATTCTAATAATAACATGCAAACTGCCATGTCATCTTCATATCAACAATCATCTAGCGGAAAATCCGATTCGAATCCATCCAACACACAGCATTCATCATATAATACTGGTTATTATGGACAATATGATACTACCGGGAAATTGGATCATATAAACGGTATTAGTTCAATGTCTTGTAACAATACGGGAATCAAATCACCAATGTCACCTGCATTCACGACATTGAACTATGCAGGTGCTTCTTCAGCTGCCGTCGCCATTCCTAATTCTCCATCAACAACAACCAATTCATATTCATATTCATATCCGACTTCTGCTGTCGGTGGTTCATATTTTGCACCGAATGCTACTGCCGGTTACATGCCAGTAACAATGATGCCTGGTCCAACATCTATGGCTATCTCTTCGAATAATAATCAAGCTGGTATTCCAGGTCAAACTGGACAATCAAATGGACAAGGCAATGTGAATTCTGTTAAACATTATCGTCCATGGGGTACCGAATTGGCTTATTGATATCATATTAAGCTTAATGCTCATTAATTATATCTAGTCATTTTATTCTTTCATTTTGATAAATTTATATATTTTTTTTATCTTAACGTTTGTATTATATGACAAAAAAAAAGAAATATTTTTTGATCACATTTATTTTTGTACAAAAAAGTTTATAAAATTATAAATTACAAAATTCCAATTCAAATCAAATCTATGGTGTAATATCTTATATGAAAGGTATTGAATTTACTCGCATGAAATAAAGCGTGCACATGTTTTAATTTTTGAGTTTATTTAATTTTTTTCTTTTTCAAAATCAGTAAAATGTCACCAACTTGTGATAAATTATTGATGGAAAATAAGATATCATTCGATGAAGTTAAACAATTAAATGATTATTTCAAAGATCTAATCAATAAAATTCCACCGAAAATTTTTTTCAATAAAAACGAACAAATCCTTCAAACAATCGAAAATGCAAAGAGAAAAAAATTTGCTAACAATTCCGAATTATCTGACAAATCAAAACATAAACGAGTCAAATTAGATCCTAGTAATCAACAACGTGTTTCAGATGTTGCACAAGAATTTGTTCAACAAAAAGAAAGTGATGGAAAAATTAATGAACTCCGAAAAAAATTGGCTAAAAGAATTAAAGATCTTCGTGACAGAAGAACCGGAGGCAAAAATGTTCATCAAACAACCCCGAAAATAATGGATAATGATGATGCTAATTCTGAAATCAGCCTGAATAAAAATAAGCCCAAAATTTTTAATGAACAAGGTATGAAATGGAATGATATCAATAAACTAATCCAATTAATTGTATAAATTTTCAGGTAATCTGGTGTTCTCCAAATTCGATTTAACCTCACAGGTAGATTTATCTGCCGAACGGGAAATGACCAAAGATCGTGAACTTAAAAAACAACACAACAAAACTTCATTGCAAGGATTATTAATTAAAGCCGAAAAAGATGAACGAAAAGTTTCCCATTTACAAGCCACTAATTCGAAGGCCGCAGAAAAATTTAAAAAAGCAAGAATATGGCAAACAGTACTAGAAAAAAGTGAAGGTAACAAAGTTCGTGATGATCCACAATTGATCAAAAAATCATTGAAAAAACAACAAAAAAAGAAATCGAAAAATTTTAAAGTTTGGAATGAACGAAAAGAATCGGTTAAAAAACGTCAACAATCTAAACAAGATCGACGACAACGAATGTTGGAAGAACGAAAAAATAAAAAAGAAAAACGTTCAAAACGTTATCTTAAGAAAAATAAATAAGACATTCTTTTATTTTATTCTAATTTAATCACTTTATATGTATTTAACTTAAATATTGAATATGAAACAATAATAATTATTACTGTTGTAATAATGGTGACTGGAATGCCAAGTAAAAGATGAAAGGAGATTTTGGCTGGAAAAAATCGGGTAACAAAATGATTTTGATCCAATAAAGGTACAAGAATGATCCATAGACTGTAATATATTAATATGGATGATGTTATAAACAATATGGTAATGCCAAGTGGACGATCATAGCCAGCTAAAATCATTTTAATTCGATCAATAAATTTGAATTTTATTCTCTGATAAATTATTTTTAATTCGATCCAAAAAGTCACATGCTCAATTCTTGCTTTAAAGCGCCCAGAGTCTTACACACATGCTGTTATGATGTTTAAAAAATTCATTTTACAAAATTTTACAGCTCGGAGAATGTTTGATTCGAACATTCATACAAATGTGTTTTCAATTGAATATTCGTTGACATATCAATTGATCTTAATAGTTTATGATATTTTTGCTTTTGCAATTCATAATTTTCATCATCGGCATCATTTTTAGTAAATTTAAGTTTGAGAGGAGAATCATCCGCAAATAAAGCTCGATGCAAATGATGAACAAGCATGCAGTATAAAACCGATTGTTCGGGTGATTGAAATCGTTCGGATAGTAATGTTTTCAGATAAACTTCCAATGTTTCAAGATTAGTTTCAATTGGATACAATAATAATCGAATCGGCAACAACATCTGAAATAAAATGGAAATAAAAAATAAAAAATGACATGCTCTTTAAAAAAATCTCATACCTCATCGAATTTTAAATAAGACATTTTAACAGAAAATGAATATTCGGATAAAAAATGACAACGGAAATAATTTGAGCACTTTGGCTGTAAATAAACAAAAAGATAATTACAAAATATTGGATTATAATAAGATGAATTGACAAATTGATCGGAAAATTTATTAAACAGTTCGATTATGGTACCCATTCCATCCAGTAATTTATCCTCATTCGAACATTGAATTGGTGAATCGGTTTGAACGAATCGAATCAAAAATCGTCGTAATATTTGATCAATTTGATTGTCGAAAAAATAATCTTCATTGATCAGAAATGTTGTGCAAAGAATCTCAAACAATAATATTTGGTTCACATTAATTTTTTCAAGAAAATGTTCGCTAAAATTCTTGTCCAGATGTTCAATATACAATAGAACGGATGCTAATTCTTCCAATTTGATTACAGATTGCTCTTCTTTATTTTTGGTTTGATTGCTGAAAATGCTTTTTACTTGTGTTAATAATGGATCGAAGAGCCAATAACGATGATCAAATTGAGAATAATTTTCATAGGTTTTCCTTATCATTTTGAAATCTAGATTATCAGCATCTGAATAAAATGATTGATCAAATAGACATTTCTGCAGTAATTCTTGCTTGATATGATTATTATTCATCACATTTATCATGAGAACAAAATTCAATATAAATCTTGAGAATTTTCGATCATTATCATTGAGATCACAATCAATGGAACGAATTGCTTCACCTGTAATAAGACAGGCTTGTGCAACGATATTGATTTCAATTAAATCAAAAATATTAGATGAGAATGTTCCATTAATATTGGCCGTAACTAGATTGATGTAATCGAACAGGTGGTCAAATGTTTCTTTCGAGAATTTCCGTAAGATATCAACATCGGCTATGCAAGCGATACGAATCAAACTTTGCAATAAACAAATAGCAGAATCATGGCGAAACAATGGAACACTATCGAATCCTTTCAGATAAATTGAACCATATGACGGTAGATTTGGTGAATCTCGAACACGTCCACAGATTTCTCGTTTTGCAGTGTTTGAATTGCGTCGACAAGAATCGATTAATTTTTTAAAAAATCGTTGATTATTGCCTAGTAATTTTTCTAATGTTATTTTGATAAATTGATTATCAAGTTTTAAATGTTTGATGATGAATTCAACCAGAACCAATATGCAAAGACTACAATCGAAATCAGGAACAATAGATTCATTATGAATGATAATAAACCATTTCATGGCGATATCATACAGGTCGAAACAATATTGATTAGCATAATCATCAGGACAATTCAATAATTCATGATACATTTTGATCAATAGCATTACACACGAAGCAAATTTGAAATCGAATGTTTTTATAGCCGAATCCAATGATGATGGCTCCGATGGTGTTAATCGTCGACAATAGCTCATTGTTTTCAATAAAAATGGACACATTTCAAAAAAATTTCGCTTTATCATTTTCATTAGGTCATGTTCTGGATTCTGTTCACAAAATGATAATAACTTGATCCATAACCTTAAAGCTTCAATGCTAACAATTGGTATAACTTTCTTGACATTATTAACATCTTCGACAATAAAATCTTCAGGAACTAAGAGAAAAAAGAAATTTATTGAATCGATAATGGCCATTCTATCCATTAGATCGAACAATTTCCGTAAAGTTCTGGACAGTTTATTTTCGACCGAGTTAATGCAACAACGAAATAATTTAAAAATCTTTACCGTGGCTCCACTAATCTCAGAAAGAGATCTTTGTCGAAGACGAGTCAAATTCGTACCGATAGCATTAATTAAATCAGAACAATTAATAATTTTATCTGAAGATTCAGGCGAGTGTCGTGCAAACCGTATCAATATGTCGAAAATATCTTCTTGAAATGGTCCATCCATTGATTCGTTGGTCATATGATTATTCAGCAAATAGGCGAACCTTTCTAAGATAGATGTTCGATTCAATAGACAACCAATAATATCATAGATTAGATATTGTTGATCGGAAAACGATTCAATATCATCTTCATTGATCTCAAGATTCGTTGGTCTAAGATTCAAATCGATTTGATGTCCATGATTGAGAAAATCTTCAAAAATTATAAAACCACGATCAAGAAATATTTCGTCATAAATGGTATTGCATATTAATGCCTTAAGAGTTTGAATGGCGGATTTCCATACGGTATCTGCCGTTTCATCTAAACAGCTTCTGACGATTAAAACGAGCGGTGATTCTTTCAAAAGATATTCGACTAGATTCATGTTGAAACAAGAATCATAAAAACCTTGATAAGCTTTTGTAACAATTTTTTCGAATACTTTCAATCCGATTTGTTTTTGTGATGGAAAGGAACTTTGTAAGTAGATGAACAATTCGTCGATTGTGTAGCCCGGACGTTCGGGATTATCGCCATGGTGATGAAGACCTTGATGAATGGTATCAATTTCTTTTTCAGATTCAGCGGTTAGTAAAACGCCTTCAAAATTGAATCGAGCAACAAGGGAATCAAAGTTTTGCGATTTTTGATCATTTTCTTGGACATTCTGACCCGGATTAACATCGCCAATCCATTCGAGTTTATCATTTTCAATTACATCCATGTGTATATATTTACGAGCTTTAATTTCATCCTTTTTAATAGGGATTTTATCCAAAATGTCTTTGACATTTTTGCTCACTTTTTCTTGATTGTTTGTTATTGTTTCGACAATCGATTCCCTAGTTTTTTGTAAACTTGAACGATATGAAAATTTTTTACTTTTCAAGAATTCTACAGTTTTCGGGCTCAATTTTTTCATTATTTCATCCCGAAGTTTTTCAATATCATCTGGACTCATATTATCCAAAATTTTTTGATTTTCTCGTCTAATTTCCGAAATATCTTTTCGCCAATCTTTAGAACCAAGACCAATCCCAGTGACTATCGAATTATGACCAATCGAATTCCCATCTTTATTCTCATCGATTACATTATCTATCCGTTTCAAACATTTTTGAGCATATAAACTCAAACTACGGGATTTCGTGGATGAATCAACAAATGAATCATTCCCAAAAAACAAACAAGGAGCCTCAGGAAATCCGCTAGTGTTGGTCTCATCATCAACTTCTTTATCAACAAAAGTTGAATCATAGTTTCTTTCGATAATTTTAAATTCTAGATCAACAATATCATGATTATTTTTCTGGTTTTTAATCTCTTCTTCATGATGACCGACCGATTTTGTTTCGATCTTCGGGTTCTGAGCTAGGAATTCATTCTGCTGGCGAAGAAGATCATCTTCATCTTCACAAGCGGTTGGTCGTTTGGTAAACATTGTTTATTTTGATTAATTAAAACTTTTACGAGTTCAAATTTGACGATGACAAATCGTCATGCCTTGACCGTTCATGAATAAAGTGATAATGAGTTAAGAATATTTTATATTTTATTTTTCATATTGTTTGAATAAACAATGAATTATATTAAACAAAAAAACAAAAATCTAAATTTTGGATTTCTTCTTTTTCAATCTTTTCACCAAAGTTTTCTGTCGTTTTAATCGACGTCCATTCATCCAGGCTGGATATTGTCCAAATTTGTTGAGCAAAGTTTTCCTATCACGTTCATTTTGATCGGTTTCCATCGAAATGTAATCGGTATTCTTCTCTTGTTTTTCGACCACATCTATTTGTGATATTTTTGCAATAGTTGCTTTCATTTCTTCTTGCGCTTGTTTTTCATTTTGCTCGGATTTCTGTACCATTTCAACCAAACGTTTCAATTCTTTTTGTCCATATCGAACACGTTTAATTGCACGCATTTTTCGTTTCTGCTTGCTACGAATACTTTTGGCCATTTTCGATACACAAAAAAATTGAAAAAGAGATAATACGAGAATGGAATTTCAATAAGATGGCAATGTAATTTAAAAAAATGAAAATGAAACAAACAAAAACACGTGGAAATCACTTGTTCATAAAGGACGTTAATTCAGAATAATTTACAATTTTATTATGAATTTGATGATATAAATTATTTTGAATCAATCTCAATAAAGAAACAAACAATAAAAAACTTTATTTGGCTTAACTAGAGAAATCGTAATACTGACCAGCTAAAAACAATCAATAGTGGAAGATCAAATATTTTAAAAAGTTTAGGGAAATGAATTCAAAACAATACAATACAATACTTAAGATTTGAAGTAAATAAACACACAAATACTTATAAATTATGCAAATTATTAAAAAAGCAAATCTTCATCGTGTTCATCTTCAAGGATATTGGTCGGTTCCTTAAATTGATTGCCCATTTTTTCTTTCAATAAACGAACATCAGCTTCACGAGCTGCTCGAACTTTCTTCTTTTTTTCTTGTACCTTTTTCAAACGATAAAATTCTTCTCGTTCCATTTCATCCAATTCGGAAATGATATAATTTATTGTTCGTTCGATACGTGGTATAACAACATATTCCAATGCATTAACACGTCGATTTGTTATCTTGATTACTTCGTCCAATGTGATAAAACTTGTTTGCAATGATGCCAATTCGACCAATAGTTTTATTGCGTTAGCATAGTTTTTCTTGATCTTGGTCAATTGTTGCCCGCCACGAGCCAATCCAGCAAATTCATTTGCATCGCTACTATTCTGAAAGGTCTCGAAAATTGGTAGATTCACTCCGGCAACGTTTTCTTTTTTGCATCGAACTTTGAATTGTGCATTTGTCACATTTTGCAATATTATGTGATTAAAATCACTGCCAACGGTGAATTTAGCTTCGGCTAAACTGAAGGATGCTTCACGCATTACATTACCCATCAGATTTTTTGTTTCGATAATCTTTTTTAATATACTTCGGAATCGAATCTGTAATGCATCAGCTTTTTTCTTCAGTAAAGAATGACCTTTTTGTGCTCCCTTCAAACGTGATTTCATCGTTGTGAGTGCCATTCGTGATGGAAAAATATTTATGCGATCTTTGGAACTCATTTTTGTACTTTTACTTTCGAAGATTAAAGAATTTGTCAACTCCAACAGACGAAATCAAAACAACAAAATTGAGTTTTTTATTGGCCTAGGTCATCTATTTCTACCAAAACAATCCTATTTGTTCAAATAGATAATTATTAAATTGTTCCGATATTATTCGATTTAAATTCGTTTATTAAATATTGATTGGGTAGAACTCATTCGGTTGACGATACAATAAATAAAGGTTGTCATGACACCTAGTCGTTTGTTATTCGATTGTCATTGAAACAAAGAAACTTAAGAACAACTAATTCTCAATAGATAAAAATTATCAATATTGATAGTCAATTTAATAATCAAAATATCATTAACATTTTTACTAGCCATGATAATCCATTGGCTACGAAGTGGTAAACATGCGTTTTTTACAATCATCCAATCTTCAATCATATTGACGTTGTTTTTGTTAATAATTACACCCAGATTTGGGCGTTCAACATTGAGCCGATCTGATCGTCGGCCATCCAAAACGCATCAGGTAATATTGTTTTTCTCAAAAAAGACAACATTAAACTGAATTAAATATGCTTAATTTTTCGAAAGCCAATTGAACCAAATCCGCCAGTACTGGAGACCGTATATGAACGATCATTGGTTGTTTCAAGTGTAAAACCAAAAGATATCTTACGTGAACATCGATCGTATAGTCTGAATGGACAACAAACCAAAAATTTCAACGGAACCGTTTTGGCTTATGTGACGCCTGTATGTATTGTTTTTTGTTGTTGTTCATTCTTATGAGAAATCTTTTAAAAAATTAATAGTGGAATTCACATGGTTACGATATTGCGAAATTGTTTGCGCGAAAATTCACGCACATTTCACCTGTATGGCTTCAAGCCAGATTAAATAAGGAGGAAAATGATATTATTGTCGAGGGTAAACACGACATCGATTATGGGTGGATGCAAGAATTACGTACTGAAAATGATCGGATCAAAATTGTACCCCGTGTTCTTTTTGAACGTATGACCCATTCACAGTATCTACAATTGATCACCGATTCTTCATTAGCACGACAGATCGGTCGACATCTAGCTGATCTGGCACGAAAATATGAATTTGACGGTTATGTAGTAGAGATATGGCGTGCATATGCCGGTCAACATCGATTGGATCTTGCAAGAATGTTTGAATGGATTACCGACGAACTGTCACAGTCAAATCTTGAGCTTCATATTGCCGTCCCACCTCCCATTCATTATGGGGATTCTCTTAGCACATTCCAAAAAGATGACATTGAACGTTTAGCACCATATATTCAAGGATTTTCTGTTATGACATATGATTATTCCGATCCATCCAGACCGGGTCCTAATAGTCCATTACACTGGATACAAAAGTGTATTCGACTATTAGCACCGAAAGATACAAGTCCAGTGCGGAAAAAAATCTTAATCGGATTAAATTTTTATGGTAACGACTATTCAATTACCGGTGGAGGGCCGATTCTTGGTACACGCTACATAGAAATTCTGGAAAAACATAGACCAAAAATTCTATGGGATGAGTCATCGGCTGAACATTATTTCGAATACAAGTAAGTTTTTATTGAATAAATACCCTTTTTCTTAATAATTCAAAACGTATAACACGTAGAGAATCTTCTGGTCGTAATCGTGTATTCTATCCGACATTATATTCCATACGAAAACGTATCGAATTGGCTATAAAAATGGGCACTGGATTATCCATATGGGAAATCGGTCAAGGATTAGATTATTTTTATGATATTCTTTGAAAATAATCTAATAAAATGCTTAAAAATAAATATTAAAAAAACATAAATGAAAAATATTTTATTTTAATAGAACGAAGCGCTGAAATTTTCAATTATAATAATTAGTAGCAATATTTTGAAATATTCATATATAGAGAATGTTTTTAATAAGTATAGGGAAAATAATTATTGTTTGGAACAATTTTGTGTAATTGTGTTTCTGTGTGTGTGTGCATGTTACATTCAATTTTCGTACGATTCATAACTATTCAATCGATAGATTGTATGATCCAGACAAAAAAATCTTTTTATGTATGGGTAGGATGTTCAAGTACGTTTATAAGAAAGATATTGAAGCATAAATATACAAACCCAAAATCTTCAACACCAACAAAATTCGAAACAATAATTTAGATCGACTTATTTGTGCTCCTGGTCTATCTCTGGTTAGAATCGATGACTTAAGAACAACGTTTATGTTTTGCGATAATTTCATTGATTCGAATCGTGATGGTGGAAAATGGCTTCTGAAATATCTATGAAATACAATTTCTTAATTTTACCAAACCAAATACAGAATTGAATTAAATGGCAAAATGTGTGTTGAACGAGTTCTTGATTAGAATGAAAAAATTTAAATTAACTGTCATAATTCAATAAAAAGAAACGGGTGTAAAAATTAAGAAAAAACATGCATGTTTTTTTTTGTCAAAGCGGGATTTTTTAGTGATAATATAACAAACAAATCAATGGAATTATTGTCAAACATGATGAATAATTTATGAAAATTTTAAAACACAAGATGAATTTTTTTTGTATCGAATAAGAAGTGGACGTAAAAAATTGACTAAATGCACCTACTGAAAATTATTAAAATGTAATGTGTCGGTGTATTTATGTTCTGGACGATTGATTGAAAGAAAAAAATTCGGACACAAAAATTTGAAAGATATGAGAAAGCCAATAATTTTGTATGAAATTGATTGCAGAATCAGATATTATTATCATCGTTGATAAAATGTAAATTAAAAGGATATAAGTGAACGATTGAAAATTCATCAAATCAGATGAAATAGATGATTATATGATACGAAGGGAGAATTGTTTTTCATCATTGATGGAAGATTTATCCAAAAATTTAAATTAAGCAGAATTCATGCTTTACTTTCTGGCCCCTTTCGAAAATAATATTCGATTCATTGTTCATTGGGTACGGACGGTGGTTGTAGACTGATGATGTTTGATGCCTGATTAGATGAGAGCGAAAATTAAAACGATTGTATGTATGCATTCGTGGATTTGATGAGATTCGTTTGCAAGTAAAATATAGCTGCTTCGTTTTCAACATATGTAATGGCTATTAATGGCTAGGTGTGTTTGCAACAACAAATGTAATCATAAAGTGAAGATATGCTAGTGAATACGACGATTGGTCATGATGATTAAGACAAAATTAATATTTGTGGCTTTTTCGGATTTTACTGCTGGTTAAGTATTCAACAATTATCAGTATTTACTGAAAGTTGTTCAAGCGAAATACATGACATTGAATGAATTTGGATGTAATGCTATTGATCGTGACATTGCAGCTGTTGTACGTTCATCCAAATTCGTTCCAGGATAATGACTGGTACCTTCACCACTACAGATAAAAGATAAATTGATTAATAGAGTAATTGTTTTCATTCTGACATGAATACATACGTGGGATGTGGTTCATTTTCCGAAAATGAAGTCGAAGTATTAGATTCGATTTCGGCTAAACTCAATCTTCAGGTGAGAATACGAATAAAAAATTAGTTACTCATCCCTAATCAAATTACTACCAACCTTTCTGATTCTTTTAAATCGACCAGATGATAACGAGCACGGAATGCAACTAGATGAGCATAATAAGCCGGAGCTGGAATCGATACCGAACGAGTACATCGCACATATGTATGGCAAAGTTGATAGGTCAGCACTTGAATTTCATCTAAAAAATATCAATATATATAGAATTCATATAATACTGGACAATGTGGAATAGACAACTAACCCGCTGAGAAATCATTATCATCCCATAATACATGATAATGTGAAGGGCGACTTGTCCCTTGTATACCAGCATGCGAACATAAATAGAAATCAAATTCTGTAGGATGTGTAATTCCAACATCCACAGTGGTACCGGCCGGAATGTTGCCGCTTTTGCCGATTTGTTCTTTTGGGTTGGCGCAAAATAGCCGGGTATGGTGACGTTTTTGTGTAACAATGAACGTAATGCCAGGACGATAATCGTCTTCAAGTTGAACACATGCTTTACGGATGGCAATCAATTCATGGGTTAATACTTGCTGAAATTGGCCTTCGCTTACACCATCACGATACATTATTATACGATACGGTTTAAATCTTGTAGATCGATAGAATTGTACCAGCAATTCGCGCACCATTGTGCTGAGATCTTGAATGACCTCTTGGCGATGCTGTTGAACGCGGACAGTTGCTGCATAACGACTGGGATGGCCATCCATTGAACCGACAACAGCTGCAATGGATGGTTTTTTAGTATCGCCTGCTGGTGGATGAGTTACATCTGCACCGAGGAATATCACAGGCTCGTTGAACACCTTCGGTCTATTGAATATGAACAAGATTAAACATTATAAAACAAACAGATAAAGTTCATTTACCTCATAGAGGGCACAAGGATATTGTTGACACCACCCAATTTGACATTAATCTTCAAGCATAAATTCGATAATGTTTGTGGAGATGTTTTGACAACATTTCTTGTTTGCACACATTGGGTAGCGATGCCTAATACAGTATCTCCAACACGTTTAACTTCCGCATAGACGGGTGTTTTGCCCGGTAACACGCATACGACCAATTGTAGGCCAACATATGTTTGTCTCAGATAACGAAACATAGGTTCCACTTGATCAGCACCGGTAGCATATTTGCAGAAACATGGTTGTCCAATGATGGGCATGCCAGCATCATTGGAAATTTTCTGCAAACTTTGAGTGAATGAACGCAATGCATCTTCACGACACAAACGTTGCGGTGAGAAACAAGCAATAGCCCATGTTCGGATTTCGACACCCGTGTGAAACTGTTTGTTACGCATATCCCATACACCTAAAACTGGAAAAGCTTGTTGTCTTGTACGCCCACCATATTGAATTTTCGGTGGGGGCAGTACTCGTCCTTTTACTTCCATCATCATATTCGATATGCTTAAACCGAATTCACGTACATAGGGATCATTATTAAAATCTGCTTTCTTTACGAGATTATTTATCTCTCGTTCACGATCTGGTGCAGAACGAGCAGTAGCTTTGATCATCGTTGATGTTTGCATATCTGTCAATTTTCTGATACATCGTTGACCAGATACAATATTACACACTTCAATTGGAAGATAGGTATGTTTGTGCTCTTGACCGACTTGAAGACAAGGCAAATTTGGATATCTGAGATCGAGAAATATAGGGTTTGAAAAAATTCAAAGCAAATAAACAAAGAAAGCTTACCTTAATTTCATTTTATATTTGTCCAGAAAATATTTGGCCACAGTACATTCGATGGTTTGACCATTTTCAAGTTGCAATGGAAAAGATTGTAGCTGTGCCGGACGTCGGGTAACATTGCATACACGATATTTTCGTCGCATAGTACCACAATGTGTGATTTCAATTTTAAGACCTTTGATTTCTTTGGTAAATTTAACCCGCATAGAATCAGACAATGCTTTACGGATATGATCATCACGATAATCCAATACTTCCATTAAGAAATCGACTACTGGCTGGGCTTTATAAAATGCAGTCGCTGAAACATCAATATTCAATGACATTTTCCATTGTGATGGACGGACCGATTGATGAAAACCGAACCAAACTTCACGACCACCACCCAAAGGATGAAAATAACCATCGGGTGTTGAGAAAAAGGAACGTCCGACCGGTGTATATGTCATAGATGGTAAATGACGCATGACAACATCCAATGCTTGTATTGAATCCTGTGGCATCGTACGAGAATTGCCTTTAAGTGCTTCTTCAAGCAAATCAAGATTAACTTTGGACACGTATTTGATTGCGACACGAAAAACTCGATCCTTTCCTTCACCAGGTAGTGTTACTTCCAGTTCGACTTTGTCACGGCCTATAGGCAAATCATCACGTGTGTAGATATTTTTTCGACCATCGAAAACGGGTTTTATGTTTCCAAATATTTTGTTGTATGCTTGGACCATCAATTCGATAATTTCTCTGTTAATTTTTCTTGGACATTTTTCTGGCGTGATGGTCACATCATAATGATGAAGAAAACCACGTGGCATAGTGATCTGGAAATGATTGGCTCGCAGTTGAATAGGATGTCCGAAATGGCCATAATCTGGTCGCCGAGGTGATATAAACTTTGGTCCAGTATAGCCTGGATCACCTACCGCACCACTACCAGCACTACCATTTCCGGAACCACCGTTTCCTCCACCACTTTGCAGACCACTTGTCGATGGAACAACCGAACTTCCTGATGCAACACTACCAATCGGACCTGTTGTAGCACCTCCACCATTACCACCGGTACCAGCTGACCCAACGACTAATGATCCGGTGAATTGGCCATGTTGACCGATTGTTGGTGGCTGCAATTGTGGTAATTGTGGAGCCTTCCCTCTAGAAGCTAAACAAGGACAATATGAGAAAAAACATGTAAAAACGACAAAAAAAAGTTGTTAATTGGGTATATAGAAAAAAAAATTTGGATTTCTGTCCAAAATTTTGAAGAATATAGTTTGCTTACGTTGTGTTCCCATTGGAAACATGTTATTCACAATTGTCTGTTTTTGGTGCTGCTGAATTTGGCTTGATAATAATGGCGGCGAGGATGTTGATGTTGACGATGATGACGAGCTCGAGCCAATTGGTGGCGGCAGTGTCTGTGATGGTCCTCCGGTGGCGACAGCAGCAATCGATGGCGACAATCCGGTTATAGCAGCAGCGGCACAAGCAGCCGATGGTAAAGATGTTGAAAAAATATCGTCAAAGACGACTGCACTCGTCGATAAACCGTTTAAATGTGCGAAAGCCGTGTTGAATGATTTTTGTTGAAACGTACGGATTTAATCCGGAATTTAAAAAGTTGATACAAGTATTTGCGAACAAAAACAAAAATGTTTTTTTCAAGAAACAAGTATAACAAGCACTGGTGAATTATACAAAGGATACTATTGATGTGTATCAGATGAGTTGATTGTTTGACAATTAATAGTGATAAAAGGGAATGAGAATCGAAATTCAATTTAAATATATGTAAATCTAAATATAATAAAGACATGTAAAGAAAAGAGAATATTCTAGGTGTTTGTAAGTTGTGTGGATTAGATTATTGTCGTAATATTTGGTTATGTTAAAATTGAAGAATTCAATGAACGATTGAAAAAAAAAGAAATAGAACATCTATTTTTGTGATTCGCAGCAAAAGATTGGTGTGAAGGTTCGATCTTGACTTAGAACGATTGATTGATTCAAAGATAAAAGTTATTAATGTGCGAGGGGGAAGACCAGGACAGACAAAAAAAAATTCAATCAATAAAAAGTGGAAACTAGACGAGGTAAAACTTGGATAATATAAATTCGTAAATTGTCTATCTTTGGCAATTCATTCTATTAGTTCGCAATAATCTATTTGACCATCGATTAGACATTAATTTTTGATTGTTGTAATCTTGTTTAGTAAGTTGATTTGTGAATGTAATATTATTGACTAAATGTATTCGTATTTTTGGCTAAGGAACAAAAGAAAATGGACAAAAACAATAATTGATTCGGTGTCAGATTTGTGTAAGAGTTTGGATGATTTGGCGATTTAAATCTATTTGAAATTTTGACAAAAATCAGATTCTTCGATTTGCTAATATACACACCCAACAAATTGACTAAAACACACAAGCACACACACATACACAGACACCACAATATTGTTGAGTTATGATTTGAACGTGGGAATAATTAAAATGATAAGGATGATTCTATTCCTATAAAAATTAATGTAAAGGTATAAACAATCGAAAGATGTCATTTATTATAAACTGCATACCTTTAACACAATAATTTTATTCATATGGAACACTAAAATAAATGGTCAGAATAGTGTAAATAATTGTTATAAAAAAAATTATCAAATTCAACGGTAACGATGAAGGTTGAGAGGATTTTGATGGCGTTGATGATGATGAGGATGATAATGATGCTGGTAGTAATAATATTCAATTACCAATATCGTTGGGCAGGTCGATGGGTGTGTATTTTCGAAATAAAAGTTGACGTAATGATGATGATGATTCAACAGGGCCAAGAAAATTAAATTTTTTTCGAATTGATTATTTTTTTATTTTGTTCTAAGTTGATATTTGGCCCGATGAAACAAACAAACAAAACAAAACAAAAAAACAATTGATGACACAACGACAACACCAGTCAGCCATACACAAACCACACTCGAATCCACTCAAACTTACAACCAGGAATTATTGTTCCTGTACACAACATTCACTCATACAAACAGCATTGTCGGATGGATTGATCTGGCTGTGTTGTTACTGTATAGTTTTCTTTTTTGGTAGCCCATAGTGATATGTATAGAAAGTTCGAGCTGGAGCATATACAATCAACGCACTTCTCGATTGGTGGTTCGTTCATTTCAATTTCGTTCGTTGTTCGATGATGAGCTCAAGTTTTAGAAGAAAAAAGTCAATTTTCTCACCAATAAAAGGCGGTGGCGCCTCTTTCCAAATGAAAATTCGCAAATATGACGCCTCGTTTTTTTTCAATATTCGCAATTGTTGTGAATGGAGCAACACAGATGCAACAACAACAAGAAAAATTGAAAAAAAAACGAGCGAAAAAAGTTTTAACGGCAAAACTAAACAGCATACAATAAAGACTGAGAGGTATCGTTATGTATGCTTCTGCTTCTATCAATCGAATAATGTTTGGCAGCATATATAGTGAGAGTAAGTGGTAATAATCAATGTTTAATTGGTTGGTTACATTCTCGAATGAGTAAATCTAAATGGTCGCCATTTTTTTCAGCTTTATAATGTGCTACTGCTATGAATTGTTTTTTTTCGAAATGAACATGCGTATTTTTCTCATTCAAAATTGTCAGTATTTTATTTGCTTCCATTTTACCTACACATACAAAATATCAGAGTTTGATTTAAAAAAAATTTAAATATTCCAACCAAGACAATACCCCTTGTCTTGAAATATAGATTTGGTACTTTCGTTCTTTTTTTTTGAATTGAGGGCACAAGGTAATGGATATGTCAATCTCAAACAATCATGAATCTCAAGATTTTGTTGGCCAAGGATATCGTTCCATTGAAAATTATTAAAAATCAAGGCTAAAATCTAACCTGTGAAAAAAAATTGAAATCAACTGCATGTATAGGACACAATAGAGTTCCGTAATTGTGTACATTCACAAGGTCAGATTCAAATTTCAAGGATTTCTCTTTACGAACCTGGTCCATCTGGTTATTTTTAAACATTTATGAATCAAAGCATCCGGTCGATTTTTTTGTTGAATTTTTTGAGACTTTCATTTCTCAAGGCTGCTACCCTAATTGTCAATAAGGATAACAATAAGGATAAAGAACTTAACAAGTCATGACCTTATTTTTCTGGTCACATGAGATTCAAAAAAAAAACAATAATAATTTTAAAAATTTCAAAAAAAATCTAAATAGTTGAGGATTATGAATGAAAGATGTCGCCACTACAAGTGCACATTTATCATTAATTTTTTTCCGGTTAAAAAATATTAAATTTTAATGAATTTTTAGATTGAATATATATCGATAAGATCAAATCAATCAAAAATGAACATATTAAAAAAAAATTCTTCAATTAATTAAATCAGATATATTTTCGCGCAACTCATAACATACATTTTTTTGATATACTATTCTACATGAACTATATTCTATAGATCTTGATTGGAATAATGTTACCAAACAGACTATATATATATTCTGTTTGTGTTGAATGTTTATGTGCGAATAAAAAATTCGACTATTCAATGATGATGATATTTTTAGCTTATTATTTTATACAAGGACATATATCAAGCAATCATATTACAGCTTGATAGCCTTATGATCAAACCCCGTAGATAGAATGACGTCGATGTACACGATGATTATCGTCATTTTATATTTCTTTAAATGATTAAAAACAAGAATTATTTTTTATCATTCATTCATTTATTGGTGTTTGTGAATTGGAAAAATTCTAGTCTCGAATCATTTTTGTTTTTGTTTTTGAATTCAAAATTTCAAAATGGGTAAGTTTTCACTGTTGTTGAATTGATTTGTTTGTTTATAATATTCCCGAAAGTTTTTAATCGAATATGAATTCATCAATAGTTTTTTTCCAATAACATCATCATTTGTATGAAATAAAATTTTAAGCACAAACATTTAACATGTATATATAGATGAGATAATGATTAACAACAAGTTTAAATATTATTGCAAATCAGATATTACATTTGTAAATATATTTGGGGGAGAAAATAAAATTACAGCCACACATTCACAGGATTAAATATGAATGTGATATGATTAGTTTAGTAAATTTGAAATAAAATCTTTTTTTTTTATTTTATTACTCGGTCTAATTTATTCAAGGATCTCCTGCATTTTATTTATTTCGACATATTTTTGCAAAATAAAAAATCCCTGTTCCATGTTTAATGTTTGATGTATAAATAGTGTTGCAATCATTTAAAATTCAATATTATTAATTGAACACGTGAAATTTTGATCTGAACTTGATCTTGTCCTCAATTACTCTAGATTTTTTGTGTGTTTAATATTGATTGAAATAAAAATAGCTTTATACAACAACGACAACAAAAATGGTGGTGATTGGTAATGGTTGGATCTTTCCATTCGATGATATATTTATTTCATTTTACATTCATACGTGTGTTAAAGTGGTGATTGACGAAATCGAAAAAGTCCTCCCATTTTGTTTTTTTTTTGACTGTTTTTGATTGATTTCAAAGATTGTCTGTTTTATCTCATTCACCACTATCGTCGTCGGAATTGCTGTAATCAAAGGATGTAATTTCTTTTCTTTTTTTTCGTCGGAATGATAATTTTTTTTTGTTCTCTGAATTAATCATTCGAATTTCGTTTTCATTTTTTAGTTCGAAAATTTTCATTTAAATGAATCGTTGTTGTATCGAGACAAATGTTTTTTTATAATGGTGTAACCAACAGCAATCATGTCCAACGATTGTAATAATAATAAACACATCGATGGCTATGATTGTGATTCCACCAAAACATATTCCATATTTATGGTCATGAAATTTGTTAAAACTTTAATGGTGAAATTGTTTCCGATTAATAACAACGATCATAATATGGGCAAATTGCTGAATACAAATTCATCGATTCGATTCGATGAATTATTTAATTTTAATCCAATGGCAAGCCAATTAATTACATCATATCAAAAAAAGGTAAATAATTACCTTTATATAATTGTATATGGAATTTTATTTCATAAGATTCCTAAAAATAAAAGATCTGTCATTATGATAAACAACAATGGGATCGAACATCGGCTGCGATTACGATGGCAATGACCACTGAAGATCAAATGACTGTGGGTGTCAAAAGCAATAAATCATCATTACATTCACAAAAAGCTACACCATCACAGTGGTCATCATCAAATCAATCAAATTCGACTACGACAACTCCGAACAATATAATCAATGCTGATCTTATTGATTTGGACCTAATATCTGGTTCGGCATATACGATGAAATCTAAATCGCAACAAGGATGGATATCGATGCTATTTCAGGCCATTTTACGTGTCGCATTCTTTCCTTTATATTTACGATGGTGGGCCGAACAAACTAGCGCTTTTTTAGTCACCTTATTATTCATTCTATACATCATGCAAATCATTTCTATTCGTCTTTATTATCAGAAAAATATAACAACTACATTTAACAATGCTTCATTTAATTCATCAACGGCAACAAATTCATCATCAACATCAAATTCAACAAAATCGAATGAATTTTCCGAAATTTCTGCAACAGAAGTTTTAATGCCCATTGCTATGATGATTGTATTGGGTATTATACATACACAAATTGTTGGTATCAAAAATTTCAAATTATCGTCAACATCTTCATCGTCATCATATGGAACATCATCATCGAATACTATAAACAACCACTCGAATTTATCATCGACAAATAATGCTCACAAAACTCATCATCATCATCATCATCATAATCATCATTCAAGCTCGCACCAAACCGATTGTTCATCTACATCCGGCAGCTCATCGAGTAGTAGCAGTAGTACAAGCTCATCGGTTGATTCATCACCGGTTGCTAATGTTCATCAACGAATACAGAACCGAATGGCACGTTTGGAGAAATTTCAGAATAATAATAATCATCATTCATCAAATTCTTTACCCACGAATTACCAGAAATCACTTCTGCCAAAAACAAGTCCGATCAATTTGCCTAAAATTCGTTTCTCCAATGAGAATGGCAACCAAACTATTAACCGATCACTTGATGTTGACGATGATGATGATAATATGGTAAATGATTTTCCTGTCATTCCTCCACGAAAGCGTGCCGATTCACTGCCTAGATCATGGTCTAAAAATAAACTTCGAAAACCAAGTCGGCTTCGAACTTCTAAAAAACCGACAAAACCTTCGTTCACATCATCATGGAGTTATGAAGATGACCATCTAAATTCATCACCTGTTTCATTAAGATCGAGTTTATATGGAAGTTCAATCGACTCGGAAGGAACAATTTCACCTATGACGCCAACTGTCTTACAGGTACAGGTGACGCAATCTAAACTTAATTAAGGTTATCCATAATATTTATTTCATTAGGGCGAGGAATGGCCAACCATTCAATCAGATGCTTCATCATTCTTAGATGAAGAAGAAAATAATGCACAATATGACTATTATCCTGATCATTCTCGTGTTCGGAATTCACAGTACAAAAGTCAATCAACAGTCGTTGATGAAGATTATGAAAATCATGATCCAACGCCATCCAATCAATCGAATCAAAGCGATAAAACCTCTAAAATTCATATAGCAGAGAATGGTCCCACCAATACACAACCACCATCTTCAACAACAGCTGCTTCTGTACAAACTGTATCGAATGAATTGAAAGGTTTGTTTTCCATCTTGGAATTCTTTTTCAATTTTTTGTTAATATCCTTATTACAATTCATTCAGTGAGCTGTTCATTGTGGCAGCATAATGTTTGCCAGAAATTTGACCTTTCCGTTGTCGATATAAGTTCATCTATTATACGAAAAGTAGAAACGGTTGAACATAGTAATGAATACATCTATTTGGGAATTTTATTCTCACTCACCGTATCATTAATACCATCATTTTATCGTCTACAATATTCAACTAAAGATGGTCCAAGCATTGCACAAATATTGAATTCATCTTCATTAGCTGTTTCTATCGCACAACCAGTTGCAGCAGCTGCTGCTGATGTATCACATCTATCCGATCTTTATGGATTATTGAATTTTTTTCTTGATGAAGCATTCTATTTCAATCGTAGCGCACGTGTTCGTTTCGTTATACTTACCGCAATGATTGAACGCTTTGTTCTAAGTTTAATTTTTTTCTTCTTACTTTGTGTTACTGAACGAACTTTCAAACAGGTATAATATTTTAAGTAAAATTTTTCGGAATCATTCTAATTTCTATTTTCTTTCAAATCAAGCGGTTCTTATATTCAAAATATTTTTCACATATAACACGACGTGATCGTGCAAAACGGTCACAAATTCCTCATTTTCGTTTGCACAAAGTACGCAATCTTAAAGTGTGGCTTTCAGTTCGATCTTATTTGCGACGGTAAAACTTATAATTGTTCAAAAAAAATTATTCAATCTATTTCTAATTCCTAATTCTAGATACGGTCCACATCGTTCGGTCGATACAATATGCTCGACAACTTTCATCATATCTATTTGTTTATTAACATGTATCAGTCTACAAATACTTAAGGATTCAAATGAATCCTGTACAACTCGATTGATCTGTTGGGAAATGATCTTCTGGAGCTTAGCAATGGGCATATATATTATGCGTCTTATGATACTTGGTTCTCGTATCAATCAGAAATATCGTTCCAATTTATCAGTATTAATTACTGAACAAATTAATCTTTATCTTCAATTAGAACGCAAACCACATAAAAAAGATGCCTTAATGTTGGCTAATCAGGTATTGAAATTGGCCGTCGATCTACTCAAAGAGCTTGAATCACCATATAAGATCTCAGGTTTTAGCGCTAATCCATATCTATATAATATAACTAAAGTAGTCGTGTTGTCCGCATTTTCTGCCGTACTAACCGAAATGTTAGGTTTCAAATTGAAATTATACAAAATCAAATTGATGCGTTGAACAAACCTTTCTCTCCTTTTACGTTTTGTGATAATGTTCCAAAACATACCCCCATATTAACCAATTCAGTAAGCAAGCTGCAAACAAATAACTGATTGTGATTGTTCGTACAATTTTATCTATGTGATTATGTAATTTGAATTGAAAATATATCTATTTTTCTTGTTAAATTGTTAAAATGATTTATGAACTGAAAATAAATTAACTTGCAATATGACGATTATTAGCGAATTTATTCGGTACGTTGGCACTAGATGGTGTTATTAATCAAAATTTGTCCACGTTTTCAATCAGATGGTCGACCGTGAGATCTCATCTTTTTTTGATGGCCAAAAAATGAATTTCTTTTAAAAAGTTCATTTATAATTATCTTAAATTCATTATCTTATTAATTATGAATAGCGGCAGCAGTAGATATAAATTTGCCATCCCATTGGATGCAAATGTACCAATTTCGGCTGAAGAATTCAATAAATTGGTACCGAATCCAGCTAAAAGATATCCATTTGAATTGGATACGTTCCAGAAACAGGCTATTATTCATATTGAAAAAGGAGAAAATGTTTTTGTTGCGGCTCATACATCAGCTGGAAAAACGGTTGTGGCCGAGTATGCAATCGCATTATCTTTCATCAATAAAACACAAGTTATTTATACATCGCCTATAAAAGCTTTATCAAATCAAAAATTTCGTGACCTCCGAAATGAATTTAAAAATGTTGGCATCATTACAGGTTCGTTATTTGTGCATTATAAGCCATTGAATGATTCAAGTCCTTTTTTTGGCGGTCAATAAAGGTGATGTTCAACTTGATCCGGAAGCACCATGTCTTGTCATGACCACTGAAATTCTTCTTCAAATGCTTTATGCCAGTTCTGAAACAATTAATCATTTGGAATTTGTCATCTTTGATGAATGTCATTATGTAAACGATACGAAACGTGGACATGTTTGGGAAGAGGTTTTCATACTTTTACCGTCTACGGTTAAGCTTGTATTACTCAGCGCCACTGTACCGAATGTTGTTGAATTTTCCGATTGGCTTGGTCGTACACGACAACGGCAGATCTATGTAATCAGTACAACACGACGTCCAGTACCATTGAAACATTATCTCTATTTGGGTCGTGATGGTAAAACACAGAATCAACAAATTCTCATTCTCGATGGCGATGGTTCTATCAACAAAGCGAACCACGAGTTAGCTATGGACTTAATGGATCAAAGAAAAGCTAGATTTGGATTTATCAATCGATCACCACAAACCGAACGAAACATATATCTGAATCTGATTCGTCATCTTGAGAAGAATGACAAACTGCCTGTTATCTGTTTCACATTATCGCGTCGAAAATGTGATCAAAACCTTGCAATGTTATTAAATATAAGAGAAGAGAATTCAACATTGACGAACAAAAGAGAAGCATTCTATATAAAACGTTTTATTTACAAACATCTTAAAAAATTAGATAAAACCGATTTCGAGATTGATCAAGTAAGACGAGTTAGTACAATGTTGGTTCGCGGTTTTGGCGTCCATCATTCGGGTATTTTACCCATTCTAAAAGAATTGACTGAAATTCTATTTAGTACTGGTTTGGTGAAAGTTTTATTTGCCACCGAAACATTTGCGATGGGTGTGAATATGCCGGCACGAACTGTGGTGTTTGATTCGTTAAACAAACATGATGGAATTTGTCGACGATTTTTACGGCCCGCCGAATATATTCAAATGGCTGGTCGTGCAGGACGACGTGGCAAAGATACGGAAGGAACAGTCATAATTGTTGCCAAATATGAGGTGCCTTCATTAGTTGAATTGAATCTTGTTATGAAAGGTTCCGCACAACTATTGGAATCACAATTTCGTCTTACTTATCATATGATTTTGAATATGCTCAAGTAAGTTAAACTTGGAAATTTTTATTATCAAAACTTCAAAATTCCAATAATTTTTTTTACACAGGAGTCAAGCTTCGTCCATCGAAAAATTTCTTGAACGTTCATATCGTGAGCATAACAAAGTAATAGCATCATCATCAGTTGAATCTGATATTCAACAGCTCACCAGTAAGATGAATGAGTTGGCTGAAATTTCCTGTGAAAAATGTTCTGTCGATATAGATAAATGGTATGAACATTTTAAAACCTTCAAAGAGTTTAAAAGACCGTTGATGAGCAAAATTGTTCTTCGAGCTTCGGATAGAAAATTATTGAATTCAGGTCGAGTTATTTTATTTGATGATACGGATCATTTTGTGCGGGCTGGTTTATTACTCAAGTCCCTCAAATCGGCTAATGCAATCAATGAATTAATCATATTATTCACAATTGAAAATGGTGATGTGAATGTAAAACCCATACCAGTGCATGAAGTGATATGTTTACTTAATAAACAGATTAAAGGAATCGATTCGGCAGAAATTATTGCCGAAAATGAACAATCAAAGTCATCGTTTGGAAAGAACAAAATAAAATTTGCAACCAAAGATGGGATCCAAAAATTGAATGATCTAAATTTGCCAGAAAATTTTCAGCTACTAGTTTATGCAGCAGATAATTTTATAGGTCATGATAAATTGGGAAAATTAGATCCAGATACTATAATGCTGCTACAGGAATATGGTCGAGGGTTGAAATCGGTGAGCAAGGGTGTATATTCTTGCATTAAATGTGAACAATTCTCATCACATTATCACATGTATCGGGCACGAGCTGAAATGCAAAATTCTCTTGAACAATTAGATTTCAAATTATCTAATGAAAGCTTGGAATTGTTGCCAGAATATCGACAAAGAATTGAAGTGTTGAAAGATTACAATTTTCTTGATGAGCATCTTGTTCTACAACCAAAAGGTCATATAGCATGTTGTCTTGCCGAAAATGAATTAATTATCACCGAAATGGTATTCGAAAATCTTCTTGGTAATCTAAGTGATGAAGCTATACCAGCCGCATTGTCTTGTTTTATTTTTGATAGTAAACAAGCTAATCAAAGTGTTGAATCGACTCAACATATTCAGGAGGTTGAAGAATTGGATCAAATAATCAAGAAAATTGTTCAAATATGCATAAAATTTGGTCGAGCTGAAAATGATCGTGGCATTGAAGATAGTGATACTCGTTATCTAGATCAATTGAATCTCGATCCAGTACGTGCAGTTTATGAATGGGCCAAAGGACGGTATTTTGCTGATATTATGGAATATACTGGTCTTCAGGAAGGTATAATGGTACGATGTATACAACGGGTTGATGATTTGATCAAAAACATTCGAATTGCTGCACGAAATCTGGATCTTGTTGATTTTCAGGCGAAATTGGAACGATCATCTAAAATGATCCGTAGAGATATTGTTTTCATGCCATCATTATATACAACTCGAAGTATGGTTGATCAATTTATTGATCATGATAATAGTGAGCAACAAAGCACTCATATTCAACAGGATATTGTCGATGATCAAATAGACAATTTACAACCTAATAATTATACCGGTAAAGATGATGATGATTATGATGTTGGTATCGATCTGGGCAAAGATTTTTTCAACTATCGATTTGATGATACCGAATTTATTGAAAATCCAGAAGCATTAAATGAGGAAAATTTCAGCGCAAATTTTCTTTGAATATTTTTTCTCAAATTCTATAATTTTATTTAAAATTTTCTTTGTTGAATAAATCTGTGATATCATTCGTCAGAAAAAAATTATGATCAATAAAAAATAATTTTTACAAAGAAATTTTTACAGATTAGTGATGGAATTAACTTTTCAATTTCAATCATCATTTTGAAATGACTGACTGAAAACACCTATAACCACCACAATCAGCCAACCATTAAACAATTCATGGCCATGAATTTAATTTCAATTTTAATCATTTTTTTCAATTACTTATTCAGGTATTTTAGATTTTTTCATTTTAAATTCTTTAGTACAAATGTACCTTTATTTGTGAACATTTGTTTTTCTTATTGACCATGTGCTTATCACAAAATTTAAAATTCATTTGAATCCATTTTCCGGTTGATTTGGTCGTTGTCTGTTTGGATTTCTTTTGAACAAAAAAAAATTTTTTTGTTTTGTTTTTGTTTTTCCTATATCGTTATTTTGTCAAGCAGAAAAAAAATACAACAAAATTAACATTCCAACCATAACATCAATGTTTTGTTTTAATTTCTACAAGTTTTTTGACTGATCGTTGTATAAACAATTTTCAACACATAGAAAAAAATAAAAAAAAACTTTCAAAAGATCCTAATAATCTCACAAATGACGATGGTTGCCTAGAAATTTATGATGATAGCAATTTTGAATGTGAAATATCAGTTTTTTCCCCCAAACAAACACCAAAAACATTAAAATCAACAATATACAACGTGTTCATCATGATCTGGTTGGCTTGCTTACTTGCTTTCCATTCCATTATTAGAATAACATCATCATCATCATAATATTATCTACATAATCGATTATCATCTTTCAGATTTATCATCATTTTCAACCAGTAACGCCTTTGTTGGTGACAGTGATCATCTCATCCATAGACAAACACTCACGCATACACACAAACAGTATCATCAACATTTAATTGTAAATGTAAGGTTCATTTTTCCAAATTAAATAGTTGTTGTATGTGCGCACATACTATTTGTTGATCATTTTCAAATGAATTTGTTTTAATTACATTTTTTTTTTAATAATATTGGATCGGCAAATTTTTCTGTACTGTTTTTTGAATTGGTTACTGTAGGTGTGTACATCATCATCATCTCCATCATTATCATTATTTATTCTTTATAACTTGATTAACACGGATACATCTGATAAATTCTATTCCAAAAAGAATCAGAATGAGTTTAGTTAAACTTGTTCCTATTGTAAGTTTATTATATTTCGAATGTATAAAATATTATCATGTTAAATTTTTTTTAACATCAAACGATTTAAATATATTTTTCAAAAAAAAATAACTAATATAATTAGAGTCGTATCAAATATCTGAGTAAGTATTAATAAGAATCAAAAATTCAATTTCGAATCAATCAAAATAATGATGAATAATCGATTAATATAGCTAAAATTCGTGAAGTGACCATCGATGATCTAACATTTCGTTTACATTATCGTTTTACATTCTCATTTCTAATCATTGGTAGTCTTCTGTTGGCTGGTGAACAATTTTTCGGCAAACCAATACAATGTATCAATATTAAAGATGGAACCGTTCCCGATGCCGTAATCAATTCCTATTGTTGGGTAAATTTTTCTTATTTTTTGAAAAATATTTAAAAAGAATAAAAATTTGATATTTTTTAGATTGAAGGGACATTTACTTTACCTAAAGGATTGATGAAAAGTAATTGGATCTGACTTTACGAATCTAAAATATCAATTAGCAATTCAAATTTTTTCTCTTATAATTATTTTTTAGTTATTGGCTATGAAGTATCTGCTCCCGGTGTTGAACAATATAAAGATTTTGTCGAAGAGGCTAAACATGAAAAAGATGAAGTTATTGAACATTCCTATTATCAATGGGTCGGTGTGGTTCTTTTTCTTCAAGCATTAACTTTCTATGTAGCACATTTATTCTGGAAAGCATGGGAAAAAAGTAAGTGCTTTTATTTTCAGAATTTAATAAATAGCTATCATTTGTTCCGTTTTTCTTTTGATAGACAAAATGAGAGACATAATAAATGATCTGAACAAAGCAATATTGGCTGATGCAAAGAAAACAACAGGGAAATTAAATCTTGTTAATTATCTTTATGCATCATTTGGACGTAACGATAGCTATGCATTTCGATATTTTCTTTGTGAAATATTGAACATGGTAAACGTAATCATACAGATGGTATGTTCTTTTCTGACTTTTCTGACTACTGTCGTTGCTAACATAGAAAAGATATAGATGTTTATCAATTGGTTTTTGGGTGGACAATTCGCTAGCTATGGTCTTGATGTTTTAGCATTTCTTGATGGTGATTATTCTGAACGAATCGATCCAATGGCTAAAACATTTCCAAAAATGACTAAATGTACATTCAGACGATTTGGTCCATCTGGCGATATTGTCAAGTAAGTTGATTAATATCGATTTATGTATCATATGAATTGATATTTTCTACCTTAATTTCATGATTTAGAACTGATCATCTTTGTATGTTACCATTGAATATATTGAATGAAAAAATGTATGTCGTATTCTGGTTTTGGTTATATTTGGTCGCCATATTTTCTGCCATATCAATTATTCGACGAATGGTTTTGATGGTCTTTTCGGGTGTACGATATTTTATACTGGCTAAATTTCAACGATTTGCTGAGCCAAAAGATTTACAGATTGTACTCAAAAAATCCGTTTATGCTGATTGGTTTGTTATCCATCTGGTAAGTTTTAATAATTCAGCAAATTTTTTTTTAATTTTATGAAAAATTTAATTTCAGCTAAGTAAAAATATTGATCCAATGCATTTCCGTGAGGTGATTCGAGATTTAGCTCAACTAATAACAGATGAAAATTCTCCAAAACATCCTAATTATGAAAAACAAATCGATACAAATGTTTGAAAAAATAGTCAAATTTTTTAAAATTTAAATTCGATACAAATTACTTTTATTTTCTTTACAACAATAAATTTGGATAAATCCTTCTTTGCTCAATTTTTTTTCTGTATAAAAAAAAAAACAAATGTTTTCCGCTTCCAATAGGCAACACAAACACACACCTAAATCATTTGTAATATTTTTATAGTTACAAATAAAATGTTAATAAAAGAAAAATTATTTTTCATTTCATTTCATATAAGTGGTAATCAATTGTCTTTATTTGTTTGATCATAAAAAACCAGAAAACGCTCAAAGATAATATCATTATTATCATTAAATTATAATCGAAAACGTCAAGGATATATTATTATAAATATGAGCCCATTTTTTTGATGATGATGATGGCTGAGATGACATCTTGATCTTTTTTTTTCTTGTACTCTTATCAAGTGTTTTGAAGAAGGTCTGGATATTTGCGATCAATGAACGTTATTTATTATTTTTTTTCCAAATGATCGGAATGTTATTGATCGAATGAAATTGATGATTGATATATTTGGATTTCTAGATGCAATAATATTTTTCAAAATATATGAAAGAACTTCATTATTTACTAATCTTGATTTACGAAAAGATGATTTTTTATTATAGTGTTTTATGATTTTTTCCATCTCAATTTTTATTTGATAAGATTTGGTATTGTTTTTCGCTTGAATGTCACGTTATAGTAAAATAATAAAAGCACTTCTAGATGAGAATTATCAAGTGCAAATATTGCAATAATTCTTTAACAAAATCAAGAAAATTCAATTGAATTTCTTTGTTTTTGAAAAGTTTAAATGAAAAAATTACTAAAAATTTCTAATTTTGTGGACAAGAAGAATCATAAGTTATTTATTTATTTATTTTTGTCAACACCACTTGTTGATTGATAATTATCACTTAGTACCGGCGGAATCCTTTGATAAATGAATTTTATTTTTGTATCAATCAAAAGTTCCGATCATAAAAGATGAAAACATTGGTGAACTTGGATTATTTATAATTGTTTTTTGATCGATTGATTGATTGATTGACAAATAACAACAGCAAGGTTACACAATAAATTGGTTTCCACTTACAAATACTATTTCGTATCTGATAACAAAATCATATTAATGATCGATGGGTATTTTTTTCATTTGGGTTTTTTCCGACCAAAACCTCATAATATCAACTTGTTGTTGCAAAACATAATTTTTTAACCGCTAAAATAAAAATTTAAATGATCACGTCGTATGTGAACGGAGATCATTGATAAGTTTGATAATAAAAATAATTTTATTTTTTTCATATGATAAAACGGACGGTTATACCAGAATCGATAATGTGTATTGCATTCTTGATTGGAAATTTATTTATTATCACATTGATCAGTCAGACAAATTTATTTTTTATTTTTTTGTTATTGTTTACACTGCACAATGCAATGCAGTTGTAATTTTTATTTTTTACCTGTTCTATTTATTAAATTTTTATCGATATAAAAATTTTATTTCCAAAAATGTGATGATATATTTATTGTTCTTTTCACATCTCATCAAATATTATATACAAATCAATTTGTGACAATACAAAAAAAAATCGACCGAGGTGGGATTTGAACCCACGACCTTTGGATTGGCTTCTAAGTATTTTTGCTCTCAAAACACAGATGCACTCAAAATTTGGTGGAAGCGAATTCACTTGTATTTAGAGAACAACAATTTATAGAAGTCCAATGCGCTATCCACTGCGCTACGCGGTCAAAGTATTGACAATAGATACAGTTCAATCATATTTTCAACATATGTATTTAAAAAACGGAATGTAATTCATTTAGTTTTATTTTAAATATAACTGATATGTATTCACATCAACCCATATAATATAGTTTTCAAAATAATATGATAATATTTTATCCGTCTGTATTTTTACATTTATGATAACGTTAAATTTACCTATTGACATCTGATATACAAAATCAAATAAAAGTGCTCAATTGAGGCCTTAAGGCCTATTTAAACAACCACACATGCGCAATTTCGAAATGAAAGAAATAAAATGGACCCTTCTTTGTTCGGAGCTAGCTTGGTTAGACTGATGTTGATGCAAATGCACACACAACTGGCTCGTTTCTAAATTCCTCTATTATTTGGCCATCAAAATGCGTTTTATTTTGATCACCATCACTTAACCATTACAGTACATTCAATTAACGTAATCACAAATATATTGTAATTATCATTTTATCAATTTTTTATCGATTGAATTGAGCAGTTCACAATTGTTGAGTAAAAACCATTAATTTTTTTTTATTTTTTTCCCGTTTTATTCTTTACTAATATCATTTCCGAATACATCCTCATTTCGAACACAAAGTAGAAATCATCATTGGCGACCACTTTACATCACTAAAGCATATTATAAAAATTGCATCTCTTTTCAAACTCAACATCATCATCAAAACATTGGGAAGGGCCATCATCTACAAAGCATGCAAGCAGTGAATAGTGTTTTGTCTAAATGTATATGAAACTCGTTTATGGTCGACAACGTTGCTAATCTGCTATTTGCTGCTCTTTGACAATATTGATATCATCATTTTTTGATTGTGTCTGTTCCCTTTTTTCTGGTATTATTGTTTCACTGTTATAAGCATCAATCATTATCATCATTGATGGTAGTACTGCAACAACCATCTCGATGACAAGATAAATTTTCTTTTGGCAAGTGGCAAGCAAAAACACTACGCTTGTTTTAACTCAGTGTCTTATTTTTATACGTACATGTATATGTGATTGTGTGTAGTTTATCGGCTGGACTATGCCAATGTAAAGAAAAAAGTAAAACATCCCCAATATCCATTTGATCACCCACGCATACACATAGCCTATATTTTTTCATCGAATGTTGTAACTGTTGTTTTTTTTCAATTCGATCCGATATTGTTGCCAAAGAATTTCCTTTAAATCTTGTGCCTTAATACTCAATTTAAACCAACGATATTATCATAACATTGGTAACCATATGATCTATTTCGCATACACACAATTCATTTTTATGCTGACAACTATTTGATTTATTTATGGTCGGCAAGAATCTTATTCCATAAAAAAAGAAAATGGTCTATGATGTCCTTGGCTCGATTCGTAGCCTAATCAAAATTGATGATTATTGTATCGATAATAATGTATTTCGTTTACATTATAAAGCGACGGTCATTTTTTTGGTCGCCTTTTCTTTACTTGTCACATCCAATCAATATTTTGGTGATCCTATAGATTGTATACAAAGGGACGATGTACCACCTGCATTACTTGATACATATTGTTGGTCAGTTTTTATTTCTGTTTTTTTTTCAATCAATCAATATTGCTAATCATTTATTTGAAATACATAAAATAGGATTCATTCAACGTTTACATTGCCCGAAGCTTTGAATAAAAAAATTGGTGTCGAGGTGCCACATCCTGGTATTGATAAATATACACCAGGCGAAAAACGTGTCTACCATAAATATTACCAATGGGTGTGTTTCGTTTTGTTTCTACAGGCAGTCATGTTCTATATACCACGTTATCTTTGGAAAATGTGGGAAGGACGACGATTAAAAAGTCTTGTGTTACATCTAGATTCACCGATATTGGACCAAGATACCCGAGAGGTTCAGGTCAGATTGGTTATCGAATATTTCCGAACCAATCTCAGGTATGTTAATAATTTTGATTCTTTTGTAAAGATCATATCATTTTTTTTTTGTTTTTTTTTAAATAATCAAATTCAGATACCATAATACGTACTTTTATTACTATGTATTTTGTGAATTTTTAAATTTTGTCAACGTTATTCTTCAGATGTATTTGATCGATGCATTCCTTGGCGGAGCTTTTTCCACTTATGGTTTTGATGTTATTCAATATACGGAAATGGATCAGGAAAATCGAGTCGATCCAATGATTGCCATATTTCCCCGTATGACAAAATGTACATTCCATCGATTTGGTTCATCTGGTGATGTTCAACGTCATGATGCTCTTTGTATTCTGCCATTGAATATTGTTAATGAAAAAATATACGTTTTTCTTTGGTTTTGGTTTGTCTTTTTGGCAATCATCACTGGAGCATTACTTGTTTATCGATTGTTTGTCATATTTTTGGATCCTGTTCGAAAAACGATGCTCAAATCACGGGCTCGACTTTGTGATCCATACAATTTAAATATCGTTCTCAGTGTTACGAAAATTGGCGATTGGTTTTTACTGTAAGCATTATTGATTATGAATTTGAATTTTATTTGAATATTTTTTCTTTTATAGTTATCTATTATGTAAAAATATGGAAGGACAAAACTTTCGTGAATTTATTGAAAGATATGCTGAAGAAATTATGAAATCTAGTAACGGTAATGATAATGAAAAGGAACCAATAATAAAAAAATCGGGAAATGAGACACCACCTCAAGAAGGATAAACAGATCATTTAAATTTATATCATTAATCATTATTATTGGGACCAAATGCTCAAAAAAACCAATAAGAATTTTTCATAAAAGAACCAAGACAATAAAAGAGACCAAAAAAAACAACAAAAATATTCCAAATCTATTTACAGTAATGAAAATAGCCATTATCAATATTTTTTTATAATTGTTTCGTTTTTTCTTCAAACCCAATTCTAATTAAAAAAATTATTCTATATTTTCTACTGACCCTCTTTCTTTATCATACTGTCTTTTTTTTCGAAAAAAATTATCACATTGCATTTCTTGATCCAATTCTATATAAAAAAGAAAAATTTCGTAATTTTCATTCAAAAAAAAAAACTAATGATTTCTCATTTTATTTCATAGGAAAGTTTATCTTTCAAAAAAATTGAATCAAACAACGATGAGCTTTATAGATATGGAGATAAAATAGTTAATTTAAAAATTTTTCCATTTTTCAAAATTGATATTCTCCTCTCATACATACACAAAGATATCAAATCGAATTATTTTTTTGTTATTTGAAAAAATAACAGAGATTCACTTTTCATCAAATATGTAATATCATAACATTTTAATGAAATTCAAACATATATTATCGTGAGACATTTGTTTTATTATCATTGAAATGAACATTTTCTTTCCAATCTTTTATCATTTTATCGTCACATTGTGACCGAGTGTGGATACGGAGGAAAAAACATTTTCCAAAATGCATGTTTACACAGCAACCAAAAAACAAAACAAAACAAAAAACATTCATTGACGAAACAACTTTGCTTTTTTTCTGTTAAATATTTTAACAAATCCAATGATTCTGCCATTATCAAAACAAATGATTTGTTTGTATTGATTTCATTTTATCTTCATCATTTTTTATATCAATTCTACAAATAATACATAGGATTTTCTTTCTTTTCTTTTTAAATTTTCTTTTTAAAACTTTTTATTCATTCATATGAAATGAAATCGATCTACAAAATGTTTGAAATAATAAATATAATAAAAATTTATTATAATCATTTATAATGATATAGTTGCAAAAAAAATTTGATGATAATTTAAAAAAAATGATGATGATGATCAAAGTTCAAAATTAACTCCTCCAAAAAATTCAATGTTTTTTATTTTTATCATTTTTATCATTTATAAATTTGATTTACGCATCCCTATGGTGACAACATCATTAACAACAACAACAACAAAATGATGTTCGATTCTAAATTGTCCGTTTGTCATCGTGTCATACATCATAATGATGAGGATGAGGATTTCTATACACAACCATACATACATGTACTTTAGTGTATGATTTAGAAATGAAAATGATTTTTCTTTTTTCTTTTTTAATCACAATCAATCCATAATTGTCGTCATTATCTCATCAAACTAATCATCAAATCAGAAAACAAATAGATTATTAAAATCTGTAAAATTCTTTTTTTACATCGTCCCCTTTCAAATAAAATAACAGAAAAAACAAAATAATATCAACTGAAGAGAAATATAAGGCGAAAAAAATTTGGTTTCCCACCTACAATTGCTTTCTATAGATATTGTACCATTGAAAAGGTAGGAGGACCATGGGGTATGGGGGGAGGAGTGTATGGATGTTGACTATCATGTTGCTGTTGATGATAATGGTCTTCAGATAGTGGTCTTTGTATGGTGTGTGTATGTTTGTGATCATAGATTAATTTTGTTCATCCAATTCATCATTCAATAAGATCTTAGTCAATTTAGTTGGCATTTCATTTTTTGTTCATCCCATTTACCAAAAAAAATTATTGAATACCACTGCAATCAACAATTAACCATTAAAAAACAACATTCCAACAGGGACAACCAATCATCATCAATTTGTTTTTATTCGATATTTTAGTTTTTTTGGTTTTGGTGACGATCACCATAACCATCATCGAAAAAATTTACCGGAAAAATTGTTTGCGATTCGTTGTCATAGGATTTATTTTATATTCTCTGTGTGAATTTCATAATAAACGTATCCCGTGTTGATTCCCTTTTCAATGTGTTTGTTTTTTTTTCAGAAAATAGAGTTCAACTAGAATTTTTTCTTCTTAATAATGGAATCCTTATTTTCATCATTGAAAACGTTTTTCAAGAGACCACCAGTTATTATCGATAATCTTGCATTTCGATTACATTATCGTGGTACATTTATCGTATTGGTGGCATGTAGTCTAATGGTAACAAGTAAACAATATTTTGGTGATCCAATTGATTGTATTTCCAAAGATGATATACCGAATAAGTTGTTGGGTAAGTTTACATTTTGATTCATAAATATTTTTCACCTACCTGTTCACAATGATGGTAGTTCAAGGTTAAGGTTTACCTTTAAAACAGTTCATTCATTGTCTGAATGATGAGAAAAGAATTTCAAAAATGTTGAACTCAATTATAAATAAGGACTGGACCTTACTAACGTACTTACCACCAGCAGGTTGTGTTCTGCTTTTGTATGATGATAGTTTTTTCATGCCCCCTATTTCAAATGATTTTTTTGTCGATTATTTTACAGATACATATTGTTGGATACATACAACGTTTAGCATTGAAAATGCATGGAAAAAAACTGTTGGACATGAAGTTCCATATCCGGGTGTTGATAAAGCCACCGATGGACAAAAACGTGTATATCATGCCTATTATCAATGGGTTTGTTTCGTTCTGTTTTTCCAGGCAGCATTTTTCTACATTCCCCGTTTCTTATGGAAAGCATATGAAGGTGGTCGTGTTGCTAAATTAACCGAAAATCTTAATGCACCATTAGGCAGTGATAATAAACGTATCGAATTGTTGGCTAAATATCTCAAAGTTTATGAAAAACGACATAATCATATGTTCTATTTCTATTCATTTATGGAAATATTGAATCTGGTCAACGTTCTTGTACAGATGATGATCATGAATCGATTTCTGGGTGGTGAATTTACTTCCTATGGCTGGGATGTTCTTCAGTTCACCGAATGGGATTGGTCAGTGCGTTATGATCCAATGGTAATTTATAACAACTAATCAGATATGATCAATTCACTCTTTATTAATACTTCATCTAATTTTAATAGATAAAAGTTTTCCCACGTCTTACTAAATGTACATTTCATCGATATGGTTCATCTGGTGATGTTCAAAAACATGATGCCATGTGCATTCTTCCCATCAATATTTTGAACGAAAAAATCTATGTAATTCTCTGGTTTTGGTTCTATATGGTTGCTATTATTTCAGCCATTACTATAATCTATCGGTTAACAACATTACTTTTTCGACAAGTACGACTATCTCGAACTAAAGCTCATTGTTCCATTGTTGATCGTAATAATCTGGAAACGGTACTTGATCGTGTGTCTGTCGGTGATTGGTTTCTGCTTGATATGTTAGCCAGGAATATGGATGCATCTTGTTTCAATCGATTGATTGAACTTCTCAAAGGAAATAATATTAATGCTAAAGTTTGAATTCACTCGAGACATTTTCAAAATATCAATTCGTCCAAATGACCAAATTTTTGTTATAATATATTTTTTAAAAAAGAAAAAATTCTCTATTCAGCTCAAAATGTTTATATTCTGATTGTTTAAACTATTTGTTCTATATTATCTTATTCTCTACAAAATCTTGATAATTTTCTTACAGCTTACGATTGAGAATAGAAATAATTTTCAAACATTTTGAATAAATAAACTGTTTGTATACCATCTGGTGAGCAAAATCAAAATAATTGATTATCGGCTTGGTTTGGGTTCAGTTTTGCAAAAAGATTTCATCAAGTTTTTTAAAAATGTCATCGGATGTTGCTGTAATGAAAGGAAAACTTGATGTTGATATTGAGAAACTTAATCTTGCTCTCACTTTGAATACTGGTCAAAATTTTCGTTGGCGATTAATCGATTCAAATAAATGGTTTGGCGTGATTGCTAATCTTTATGTTGTTATTCTTGAACAATGTGACCACACCATTCATTATGAAGTTATCAATGTTGATTATGTTATCAGTTCTTGGTCAACAAAAGTTTCAACAAAAAAAATTCATGATTCTTTTCATAATCTTCTTGAAAATTATTTCCGATTGGATGTGGATCTTGATTATCTTTACGATCATTGGTCCAGATGTGACTATAATTTCCATCAAATAAGTAGCCGTCTTAAAGGCATACGGTTATTACGTCAAGATATTATCGAGAATATATTTACATTTATTTGTTCATCAAATAACAATATTAAACGAATTTCTAAAATGGTCGAAAATTTATGTCAAAATTATGGCACCAAACTTTTTAACGCCTGTGATCAATCACTCATTACTGAAGATGTCTATTCATTTCCGGAAATCGACAGTCTTGCCGCTGGCGATCATATAGATCGTCGACTAAGAGAACTAGGTTTTGGATATCGTGCTCGATTCATTTGTCAAACTGCTCAGCAAATCATGAATCAAAGCAATCAGAAACCAACTGAGTGGATCAAGCGATTAACTTTGTCGTCCTATGAAGATGCTCGTCTATTATTGATGTCATTGCCAGGCATCGGTGCCAAAGTAGCTGATTGTATTTGTTTAATGTCACTTGGTTTCACTGATTCAGTACCGATCGATACACATGTACTGCAATTGACAACCAAACTATATGCTAATGAAAATCCATCATTTAAAATGACAAAATCATCATTGAGTGCCAAAAAATATAAAGAAATCGGTAAAATATAAAAAAATAATTTGTTATTCCTTTTTAACTCTTTTTTCCAATTAGGAGATTTTTATCGTCAAAAATTTCAATTGCACGCTGGTTGGGCACAGACCGTGCTATTCTGTTCAGATTTAAAAAAAGTGTCGCGTGATAAAATCAAAAAAACTAAAAATGAAAATCAAGATTAAATGGCCACATAAACCAAAAAATTGAGCGTTGATGAGTTTGATAATTCAAAAGAATGTGATGAAAAAATCGAATGGAACAGATATGTTTTGATCTAAAATTGAGGATTAATGATTCCTGGGGCTGGAGGTGCATCGGCATTATTTGATGGTTCATTTATCGGCAGATTGGTAATAATTATTGGCATGTTCATCCGTAAATCAAATGATAACGGAATTTTCAATTTAGCCGTCACCATATATTGAATCTGTATGATTGGACAGGTATTGTAAACGATTGGCAGATTAACTGGTATGGCAATATTCATATCATGCGTAAGTTCACTTTGTGGTTCGATCGTAGCTCCCATTACTGAGGATAATTTTTGCATCAATTTTCGTTCTTCTTCATGTGCTTTGAATGTAACCTCTTGTCGTAATGCACCTTTTAAAACAATCCTTTTCAATGATTGATTATTAATTGTACATTTGATTGGCACTTTTGTTCCTGTGAGGTGGACAATTTTCGAAGAATTTTACAGATAAATCAAATTTATACATTTATTATACACTTACCTAATGTAAAACCTGATCTTGGTATTTCACAATGTAACAATACTGTCTTACCATTTAATAGGCCAATATTTTTACTTTTGTTTTCCATTATAGGAATCTGTAAATTGTAAAATTATAATAAAGTTTTAATAATTTATTTAAACAAACTTACAAGCAATTCATTTGGTGAAATACTTGGAGGCGAAATAATACTAAGTACGAATTCGTTCTTTTCCGATCCAGCTTTAGCTTTAATCTTGTAACGAATGAAACCAAATTGTGCATCATATGAACTTGGTACATTTGGCGGTACGATGAATGAATAGCCAATATCATGTTTACCCGTTGATAATTTTGAATGATAAACTAATTTTGCAGGTGAAAAAAAAATCCAAAATCATTCAAGCTATTCAATTGAATAATAAAAAAACAAACATACCTGTACTTGGTTTATAAACCAATTCCAGTAAGCTTAATTCTTTGATATATTTATCGAAACCATTATTTTTATCATTATTGTTACGGGAACTATCATTGGTCGGTATTTCTACACGTGATTTACCAACTAATTTTATTTCAATACAATCAAAATCCATTTCACCTGTAACTGTTACAATACAATGGCCAGTGACCACTTCGCCACTTGTATATGTTGCACTCGGTCGATCCGGTACCAATGTAACAGAAGTCACTTGATTCATCATTGATTGTTGATTTGGATTCAATTAAAAAATGCAGAATAAAAATGATTTAATAAAAAAATGTCGACATCGGTATCTGGCGTGTTGTTGTTAAAGCATTAAAAGTTTTTGATACAACCTTTTAATTGCTTTATTATTGTTATTGTGTGTTTGTGATCGTGATGACTGGCATTCGGACACACATATACACACAAACACATTTTAATTTGTCCATGGTAACATTGTTGTATTTTGTGTCTATTCAATCTTCATACTCTATTGAAAGCGTTGTATACTGTTTAAGATGACGGTTATCCTCATTGAAGACGTCTAATAAACGTAGTGGTAGAAGATATGAAGAAAAAGAATCCATTTCAATAATGAAGATAAAACGAATAAATGGCGCGAATGTGAAATAAAATTACGTTAGTTTTTCATAATTATAACGTTATTTTTATTTCGATTTTTTGACGTTTGTTCTTACGATTTTAAATGTTTTTTTTTTGCAAAATTTTGCTTGATAAGAACTATTTAGCAAACAAGAAAATGATGAAAATAAACTCAATCGATCATATCGAATTGAAATGATCAAATTGATTCAAGGTAATGAATATACAATTGTCAAGGCAATGAACCATCACATACACATATCGTTAATCAATCTTTGATTTTTTTTGCCTATTCATTATAACTCAATTGTTTGTATTGATTATTAATTTAGGTTAATGTCTTTGATGATTGAAAAAAAATCAAATTAATTAATTTATTCAATCAATTTCGGCAAAATAATCTCATTGCAATATGATTGGTGTGTAAGTGTAACGAATATGAAAATCGATTATTTACAACAAAAAAAGTGATAATAATTGTTGAACACAAAAGTTCGGATTTTAATCATTGGATAATTCACACACACATGACGATGGTAGTCGATACATTCGCATTTTTGGACAATTTATTGCCTTGTGCAATGTTGTATCGAATTGATGATTCAAATTATTTCCAATTTTTTCATGTTCATTATGTTCAATACTGATCAATATATGTGTCCGATATTTTTGTCGACATTTTACTCGAACAAGTTTTTGATTATTACATTCGCTGATATAATTGCAGCTATGATCAGGATTAGAACAAATTTCTACCGGTATTTGTTGAAAATAAAATGAACTTTGTAGAATTAAATGATAAACATTATGAATATCTTTGATGACGGATGGACGTATGTATTTACGATCGGCATCGCATAATGATCCATTTGTTGCTTTTCCTGTCGATGAAGGATTTACAGCGTTGCTATCGAAACTATTCGTTTGGGCAGAATGTACATGAAACAATGATTTATAGCCACTAAAATCATCCATATTTTCCGGCATTTCAGCATACATATCATCAATAATCGATGTACAATTTGTTATTATTGAATTGACGTAATCGCTGATAATGAAAAAATGGAAATAATTGGTCAATTTTTTCTTATGAATTTTTCTTAAAATTATAAATAAATTATTACTTACATTGGATAACTTGAATCATATTCACAATATCCAGCCTGACGAGCACATTCAATGCCTTGTTTTCGAAAATTTTTTATATTTGGATAATTGGAAATTGTTTCGAATACTGGTAATCCGTAACTATTTGCAAGAAAACTTTGCGTATGAAGAAAACCATGATCAGGCCTGAATGATTCGATGTCAGTGAACGCTAATTTATGAATATTATCACTGCTTTCGGTTTCCATTGGATATGAAATATATTTTTTATAATCATGAGAAAATGGTTCTTCCAAACGATTTGTACCACTGGCTTCCAATGATTTCATTGTTCTATTATTAAAACTGAACAAACCTTGAAAAAGACCATCATTATCATCACCATAATCATCATGTTGTCGATCATCTTCCGTTTGTTCATCTGTTTCGATCGGATCGTTCATCTGAATCGAATTGGTTGATAAATCTTTTTTTCCACCTGGTAATGGTTTGAATCCATATTCTAATTTAAGATTCAAGGCTTTTTCTTGATTATAATTGTTGTTTTTTCCGTTTGCAATTTTTTTCATTTGTTTATGATAATAATAATTGTGGTTATTATATTTATTATTCGCTTTACGTTGACGATTATTGATTGAAGTTATAGCTGGATTTTGATAATTAATTTTTTTTATTGATTCAGCCATATCTTCATTTACATATTGATTCGAAAGTTGTTGCTGTTGTGGTATTTTTTTGAATGAACTATAAGCATTGTTATTGTTGGTGGTTGTCAACGAATTTGTCGAATGAATACTATTCAATTTATTCTCACCATCCAGGCCGTCATTATTCAAAGATTTTTCAGTTGGAAATCGAACATTTTGTTTCGATTGTTCCAACATTGATGATGGAGATGATGATGATGGTGGTGGTGGTGGCGGCGGCAGTTTTGATGATGGAAGGAAATCGTTCACACCGTTCGGTAGATCAAAACTCGGAAATGTTTGACCATCGAAGCTTTCCATCGCCAAATGATGATGATCCTCAACTGAAAATTGTCCATTTGATTTAATGAAATTATCCATTTGTGGAACAATCAATGAACCATGTTCATCAAATTCACTTTGCCATAATGAATTCTTTACGAATGATCTTGTGAACAAAGGATTCTTGAGATAGCGATTTAAATTGTTACGAATCAATGAAGAGAATATATTGGATGCTGTCAATCTATTTGAATCAAGTATTATTGAAATGATGATGATTATGAAAATCAATGTATTTTTTGACATGATTGGTGACATTGTCGTACAAATGTTTCAAATTCAGCTGAGCTAATGAAAAAAAGTTTCGAATTTGATTTCGAGTTAGTCGTTTTGTTGTCATAAGTGAAAAAAATCGATTAAAAATCAATTGAAAATTGACATATGGACATTGTAATAATAACAAAACGATTGATTGAAATCAAATCGAAAGATAGAGAGATCAAGGTCTGGAAACACGATTTTACACACACACGTAAACACGGACAATGGGCCTGTAGAATCGATTATTAAAATTACAGGTTACCTTTAAAGATTAGCGGATCTGACGCTATGAAGTTCTCGATCAAAACTGAAAAAGAACAATAAATAAAGATCGACCCTTTTTCATTTTGGACTTTTTTTCTTTATTTGAATGAATACAAATGATAAAATAATCATCTATAGATTGTATTACTAAGAGAGATTTTCTGCTAGAAAGAAAGAAAGAAAAAAAGAGAATTTATTCACCCAAATGGTTAACCAATTTTATTTATTCAATTCAAAACAAATGACGATCATATGTCATCATAACGACCAAAAACCGATCATTCGAATGATAATCAACAAATCTACCAGCCATGACGATAATATCGACCATCCAGATGTAGCTAGTTTTCTATATATCTCAATGATCATTATGGATGGATGAATGGCAAAAATATTTTAATTAGAATGACCGAACAACCATCAAACACCCTCATTGTTGTTGCTCCAGAATTTTTTTTCACCCGATTTATAAATAATGACAAAAAATGGACAAAAATAGTTGTCCACACATGAATGACAGTCAAAACAAAAATGAATAAGAAAGAGAAAAAAAATTATTCATTTATAAAGTATTCACCAAAATGATAATCAAAGAGAAAGAAGAAAAATGAATACCATCAGTCAGGCGTTTGGTTGAATTGTATAATATTTTTTTCTTATTCAATTCGTCGATTCCAAATTGACATACAGCAAAAACAACACTGGACAATAATAGCAGCAAAAATAGAAGGAAAAAATCATAATCATAAGTGTTTTCATATGGATGATTAAATTAATTCGGTCCACAGATTTTTCTGATAAGTGCATCGCTTTAGGGAACTATTTTCATTTTTTTTCTAATCTTTATAAACCCCATAAAACTATTATATTGTTTTATTTTTTTGAATGACCCTCATCATCGTCATGCTATTTATTTTAGAGAAAATGATAATAATTTTTATGATTAATTATTGTTAGCTGGATATTAACTATCCATTTAATTGTATCATGTAGAAATTTTAGATCTATAGGATCTTCTGGAATGTATAAATATACACTTTATGATTAACTGGAAGAAAAGACAAAGAAATTTTTCACTCTTTGATATTTTATGTAGATTGACATGGTATTTTAAAGGGTGATGATTTTTTTAAATTTATTTATTAGGCAAAGAAAGAGGAAAAAATGTCAACCTCCGAATTTTTGGAGCCGAAGTAAGCCTTCAACCATGAAACATTGATAAATTATAATTAGAACATATCTTGATTGTTTTAATTTAGCATTGTTTTTGATTAAAATATAATTTGGTGCATTTTTTCGGTGTGATATATCTTTTCTATATTTATCCAATGGAGGAAACAAAATATTTTTTTAGACATAATTTTAACCATGTACTTCTATTGTATTTTTTTAAAGTTTATTTTGTCATTGTCCAATGCAGTACACTTTCTTATTTTCACTTTTCTTAAACGAAGAATTCATTAAAATTCTTCAACGTTTTGCTGACCAACTAGATATTATTGATAAATTTAGTTCCGACTCAAAATTTTTCAAAAAAAAAATCATGAAAACCTGGAATATGATTATTGTATAAAATGATCATTTTAATTTTTCTAAATAACTTTCATTGTATGAAAGTCTAAGCACGTGATTCAAGAATTTTGTGATCAAAATTTAAAAATTGTCATTTATGAATCATGGATGAATCAGTACAAATCATTGATAAAATAATCGAAATTAATGTGCATAAAGTAAAATTACAATTCATTAGAATTTATCAAACCTTTATGGTATGGATTGGCGATCCATCAGATCCTAAATTCGAAAGTTTAGCAATGGCTGTATGTGATAATTCGACATCGATCATTGCCAATCGACAACAATTGGATTCAATTTCCGATCAAGAAATGGCCAAAAAATTGAGCCATCGTTTCAATAATAATCGTCCAGTATATGTTGCATACAACTACTTACCAGCACTGGCTGATACTGATTTGAAATTGCAAATTGACCAACAATTGATCGAATTTATTCGATCCATTCATCATAAATCTTGATTATTAATTTTTTTTTGTCAATAAATTAAATTAATTTTTGTTGAATTATATTAATATTGAATAAAAACCCGCTTTAGCATTGATTCAAAACAAGGTTTTTTACTTCTTTATTTTGAATGAAACGAGCTAAGAGTATGTCTAAATCAAAAAAACCTGATAAAGGTAAAACCACCAATCGTAAACATACTTCAAAATCAAAATCTAAACAAATGACAAATAGTAAATCCACTTTTGCCGATGCTTTGAGTTGCAGTGTGATTGGAGCATCACAAAAACCAACAACGGAAAAACCGAAATCTGCTGTGGATACAATGAGTGTATTGATGGAATGTACAAAAGTTCAACAACAAATCGAAAATCAAACAATAACTAAATGTACATCAATGAAAGAGTTGAATCGTAAAGGATTTAAAGTAAACGTTGATAAAGGTAAAGACAATATATTCAGCGGTAAAGGTCCCGAGAATCTAGAGATGCTTGTAAAAATTATAAATCTTAAAATGATGACCCCACGATATAGAAAAAATTTTGAACAACAAAGCGTGAAAATTTATAAATTCATTGGAGAGAAGCCGTTGTGTGATTCATTTCCTAAAGTTTATGATATATTTCTCATTGAAAAAGTTTATCTAATTTTTATGGAAGTAGTGGGACCGAAAACTTTATACGATTTAATTGTGGAAAAGGAATCATTTCCAGTACGTACTATACAGCAATGGATGCACCAATTGACCCAAGGTATATGTGTCTTACAACAGTATGGTATTGCTCATCGATTTCTTAAGCTTAAACATTTGGTCATTAATGGTGAACAGTTGAAAATTCTTGGCTGGAGTAAAGCAGTTTTTTTCTGGGATAATCACAAACAGAAAGCGTTGAAACAGCAAAAGGAAAAGCGAATACATAAGAATAACTTTTTGCCACCTGAAGTATTTCAAGATGCATATGATCCATCCAAAGCGGATGTTTGGTCGTTGGGAACTATCATTGTAGCAATACTTACACGTCATTATCCATTTCATGTTCGTATAAAAACGAATTTCAATGATCAATGGCAAATGTTCTCGAAGAAACATTTCATCGATCCTGTGGCTAAAGAATTATGTGATAAAATTTTTGTCATGGATCCAAGAAAACGAATCAAAGCCGCCGACATTCTACGTGATCAATTTTTTCGAACCGACATTATGATCATAGATTCATTAAAAAGTGACCAAAATAAATCCAGCAAACATACAACAAAAAGCAAAAAATCAAGCGAACTGGGTGAAGTCGAATCATCATCATGTCGTAATAAATTACCAACTTTTTTCCAAAGCAGCAACGATAAATCTAAACAAAAATCAACATCGGCAAAGGAACCTTCTAAAAAATCGTCTAAAAAAGAAAGTTCAAAACAAAAATCACAATTTTCAAACAGCAAAGCGATGAGCAAGAGTGCCATTGGAAAATCTCAACAAAATTCAGCACCAATGGGATTAGCAGCTGGTGCTCCAAGTGATAAAGAATCTGCCAAAGCATCTTCCAAAGGATCTTCCAAAGGATCTTCTAAAGAATCTGCCAAAGAATCTTCCAAAGGATCTTCCAAAGGATCTTCTAAAGAATCTGCCAAAGCAAGTGATAAAGCATCTCTTAAAGCATCTTCTAAAGCATCGTCAAAAGCATCTACTGCAGCTTCGAAAGCTTCTGCTGCATCGTCTAAAGCGTGTGATGCAGATTCTAATGCATCTGCTGTAGCTTCTAATGCAGCTTCAGCTTCTAATGCAAATTCATCAAATGATGAAGGAGAAGGAAAAATAAAAATAAAAATTGAACAGCCACCGAAAGACCCATCAAGTGAGTCGAATGATGATAAAGATGAAGTTAAGGATGAAGATAAGAGTGAAGTTAAGGATGAAGATAAGAGTGAAGTTAAGGATGAAGATAAGAGTGAAGATAAGAGTGAAGATAAGAGTGAAGATAAGGATGAAGATAATGGTGACGATAAGATTGGAGAAAAAGTTGGTGAAGAATCGGAAGCAGATGAAATTGGCGCTGAAGAAGATGATGAAGAAAAAGTAACTAATGAAGAATTACAAGCAGCCGAAGAACAAGAAGAATCAGCAAAACCATCCGAAGCCGATGAAGTTGCCGATGAAGAAGGTAAAAAAACGATGTTGGAAGCGGCATCCGCATTGAGTGAGCAACAATCCAGTCAGAATAAAGCAAAATCTGAGGGCGGTGGCAGTGCTTTCGAAGATGAAGAAGGTAGTAATGGATCTGCCAAAGTATCAAATGCCAAAGTATCAAATGCTGCACAACCGCCTGAATCAGAAGATGGTGGTGGTGAAGAGCAACCGGCATCACAACAAGAATCACCATCATCAGCAGGACCAAATGAAAGTGGGCAAGAATCGAGTAATACTTAAAATTATTAGAATAAATTTGAATATTCTTAGCAATAAAATTTTAGATCAATAGATGGCGTCCAAATTCGTTTATGAATTTTTTTCCAATATTTTTATTGGATTAAGAATGAAAAACACGGAGAAAGAGAAAACTTGTTGGCATATAAATCTATTTTGGTTCAGTGAGTGCATTTATTTATTTAGGATATTTTTCATTTGAAGAATCTATTGATTATTGCTTTAATGACTGTGAATATCAAATAATTGTTTGATCATCATGCTAAAGAGAAAAGAAGGAAAACAATAACATTTTAAACATTTTAATGAAACATGGAATATCTAAAATTATTATTATTCAAAATGAATAAATGTTGTTGATCTTGCTTGATATGATGATATTAAGAGAAACTTGAAACGTTATCCTGTTTGCATTGATTTCATTAGTTGTTTTATTTCCTTTGATGTTTGCCATTCGACGATATATCGCGTTAGGCAACAATAATAATATTATGTTTGTATTAAATTTGAATAGATCAATGTTTCGTAATTCAATATGTACAATATTGTTGTTCATTGTTTATCGGATTGAATTCACTATAGCCGAACAGCCATTTAGTTATGATCATCAACCGATCTTCCATTATTCATGGTTTATTCATTTCATCAAAAATCTTACCGATTATTTTTTTGTGATAATACCAGTCGGGCTATTGGTTTTTCTGTCCAAACAAGATCTTTTACCATCTTATAGTAGGTGCCAAATGATTTTTCATCCCCTAAATTAATTTGAATTCATTTTTTAAAGTCAAACACATTCGTTGGATTAAACTCTTGGTGTACGGTGTTCCGGCAAACAATGAACTCCCATTGACCATCGAAGATGATCATCAATCATCCTTATTATCATCTGATGTTGAAGATAATCTAAAATCTAACAAACCAGAAAAATTGGGCGTAAAAAATATTAGTGTTTCCCATTTGGTGTATTGTTTTTTCGGTCTACAAATCTCATTTTTAACATGGGGAATTTTGCAAGAAAAAATTATGACACAAAATTATGTTGTTCACAGTTCTTTTATTGATACTTATTCGAATCAGATAACAGATAATCTACTTTCTATAATTTCCACTGGTAAGATTCATTTTTGATTTTATTTTACATTCAGATTGTCATTTTTCATATGGATTTATTAGATCCGGTAAATCCGAGCATGATAAATATAAAATTTCGAAATGCTCAATTTTTAGTCCTCATCAATCGAGTATTAGCCTTCATCATTGCTGTGATAGTATTATTGTATCAGCAAAATTATCATTCAACGCAACGGAAATCATTTTTTCGAACAAAACAACCACCATTCTATATGTACATCTATTGTTCATTATCAAATATTATGAGCAGCTGGTGTCAATATGAAGCACTAAAGTATGTTAGCTTTCCAGCACAGGTTCTATCAAAAGGATGTAAAATGATACCAACAATGGTAATGAATCAAATCGTTATGGGTCGTACACAGAAACGTGAAGAATGGCTTTTTGCAATCGCTATTTCATTTGGTATGTCTATATTTATGCTTAATGAGAAACGAGAATCACATGGAAATATGAACGAAACAATTAATGATTCATTCACGTTTTCATCGTTTATGTCGGGCATCATCATCTTGGTTCTCTATCTAACATTCGATTCGTTCACATCGAATTGGCAACAATCGCTTTTTGATAAATATCGATCATTGACTAGTCTGCATATGATGGCTGCTGTCAATTTTTATTCAATCCTATTCACATCGATTTCTTTATTGCAACAAAGCGATTTCTTTCCGGCAATCAGCTTATTATTTGCAAATCCTGCTTTAATGTTGGATTGTATAATTTTATCAATATGTTCAGCCGGTGGACAGTTGTTTATATTCCATACGATCTCGACATACGGTGCAATTATTTTCACTTTGATAATGACCTTACGGCAAGCGTTTGCCATTCTCTTATCCTGTTTTATATATTCACATTCAATCACATGGTTAGGTTTTCTTGGTATTGTGATTATTTTTGCCTCATTATTTCTCAAATCCTATAGAAAATTTTCCGAACGAAAAACAAAAACAACTATTACATTAAACAGTAAACCAAATCATCAAAATGTTTGAATAAATGAATTTTAAAAATGTTTATTTGGAAATAGAAATATTTTGAAAGTGTTCATTTTATATTTATCCTTCATAAAATTTGGGTAAATCACCAGCTAATTTAATACGACGTTCGACACCTTTTTCATTAATGATGGCCAATCGTGCTACACCACCACTAGATCCATCACGTGACATTGCCAACGATAAAGCATTGAATACGAGTTGACAACAATCTTCTTTATTCATTCCTTGTCGAAATTGTGAATCAACATAACCATAGATATAGGTAGAACCAGATCCACCAATCGATATAGGTTGTCGTACGACCATACCACCAAGTGGTATCGTATAAACTTGTCCACCATATCGACGATCCCATCCGGCACAAATTATTCCAGCCGTCATTGAATCGCGATAATTGTAGCACATATCTCGAAATAAATTGGCGGCGATAGGAACTAAAGCCGGTTCACCTGTTTCCATCTGATAGAAATCCAAATGATAGGCAACAACATCAGCAATTGCTTGTGTATCGGCTGCACTTCCAGAACGACACACATAAATATGATCGGTAATTGGCGTCAATTTATCTGTTACACGATTGGCGATATAAGCACCAGAGGTTGTACGTGAATCGGCTCCGATGACAACTCCGCCATCGAATTCTAAGGCCATAATTGTCGTGCCAGTAGAATGGGGTCCATCGAACGAATCATGAATGACCATATCTTCAAGATGAGTTTTGCCATATGGAATGGCCGAAAAATCGGACGTTATTTTAGGTTCGAAAGCCATCGTTATGTTAGGTTTGATTTTTATTACTATTGTTGATCGTAACACTCAAACGGCAAATTAGCAAGTCATGACAGAGAACTGTTTCGACAATACAAGCAACAATAGAGTAAAAATAGGCAATTGTGGTTTTAATTTTTTTTTTCAATTGAAATTTTCTGCTATTTAAATAGCAAACTTGCAATTTATATAATAATTTGCAAATAATAATGCTAAAAATTTTGAAAATCTTAAAAATCAAATCAATTTCTATAATCGAACAGAAGGCACTATTAGCATTTGGCAATAGTAGACACATCAGACGACCAATTGAAGTCAAAGGCGCGAAGAAAACAGTTGGGACATCTTTGATAAAAGGCAAAACAACGTCCAAAGTAAAATCAAAGACATTGACATCGAGAAAGAAACGATCGGGAAATAGAAATAAAATCCGATCAATGGAAAAGAATTCAAAAAGAAAGTCTTGATTTATTTAAGTAATTCCGTAATTTAAAATGTATTTACAAATAAAATTTGATTGAAAAATTTGAATGAAATGTCTAATGTTAAGCGACAAAATCTAATGGTCGATTAAATCCGCCTTTTCGATTCATATATTGACGATATTTACGTTTCTGTAAAACATTAACAGCCGAAACATCATTGCCTTTAACAGGTTTACCTTTTGTTGAATCAAAACCAGCGAAACCCATCAATTTCATCATTTGTTGTTCTTCTTCTGTTTTACCTTCGAGATCTTTATCGGTAATTTCCGGACGATTCATTAGAAATTGTGGGACGGCGCCACCATTTTTTTCTGATTTTGGAGTTCGCGATCTAGATCGGGAACGTCGACGAGCACGAGGTGATTGCGATTTACGACGATCATTGTGTCGATGGTCACGATGATGTTTGCGTTCATCTATTCTACCGCGATGTCGATTACGATCATCAGTGCCAACACGTTCTCGATCATAGTTTCGATATCGCTGTTCACGATCTAATTGTCGTTCATTATCATCGCGTTCACGTACTGGACTACGGGGATAATCTCGGCCTGTTCGATGTTCGCGATGGGATCGAACATTGCGAATTGTACCATTATCACGACCTCGTTCACGTTTACGTTCACCTCGTTCTGGTCTTGCATCATGTCGGGAACGGTTACGAGACGGGAGTGGAGATCGAGATCTACTTCGCATCGCGTTTATAATAATCAAATAACAGATAATTCGTGTGAATACGAATTAATACAATCAGTACCTTGATTATGAAAAAGAGGAAACTATGAATGTTTCTTTATGCAAGATTCAATTTAATAAATTGATAAAATAAAAGATTCTAGCGAAAATTATTTCCAAATACAATCGAGCAACAATCGAGCTGCTTTAAATTTGATTGAGATCAACACTAGATGTCGTTACATAGTTTTGTTTGTAATTTTTTGATGATCCCACGTGTTTACTCAAGTTCAAAATAAATAAGTGAATTTTTTAAAATATTTTTTTTTGAAAAATGCCGCCAAAACGAAAATCCAATCATGAACATCGTTGGAAACCTATGAAAATTGAGTGTGATGATGGCCTAACAGCAGAGGATTTTCAAGGTTTAGTCGCCATCGAAGAGTTAGACAGTTATCATATTATCCATGCTGAACCGAGTAAAAAATCGCTTATCATCGATAATGACAAATCCGAAAAAGAAATGAAGCAAAAAAGAAAGAAAAAGAAATTAAGCAATAATATAAATACATTTGATGTGTCCAGGCAAGAAATTGAAATTGACAATGAAGAAGACAAAGACCTGGATATGTCCCATTGGGGAAAATTGTCTGTACCAGCACCAATTATTCAATGTTTACGGTCACTTCGAATGTCGATGCCAACGTCTATTCAATCGCTTACAATACCAGCTGCAATCAATGATCATATGAATATTTATGGTGCTGCACCAACTGGAAGCGGCAAAACATTAGCATTCGCTATTCCTATAGTCGATCAAATTATCAAGGAAATGGATGAAATGCCGAATAATCCTAAACTTAGATCAATCATTCTGACACCAACCAGAGAGTTGGCCGTTCAGATTAAGCAGCATATTGATAATATATGCAAATTTAGTTCGAAGATCAAAGTAGCATTGATAGTTGGCGGTTTAGCAATACAAAAACAGCAACGAATCCTTTCCAAGCAAAAACCACAGATCATTGTTGCAACACCTGGAAGATTATGGGAAATGCTTACTTCGAAAACGGTTCCATATTTGAATCGTGAGTCACTTATAACCGACTTAAGATCATTGGTCATCGATGAAGCAGATCGAATGATTGAAAAATCACATTTCCGTGAACTAAGATTTATTATTGATTTTTTCAAAAATGATGATCGTAATCCGTTAAAATCTGGCCAATGTCAAGTGTTTATATTTTCAGCCACATTAACAATGAATCGATCCATAAAGAATAAACAACATCATCGATTGTCATTGAAAAAATCAGATCAAGATTCAATTGATTTAATCAAATTATTAAGTCTTGACCGTAACACAGTAAAAATATGTGATTTAACCGATGGTGGTCAGAAGTCGAAACCCGATGCTGAGCATTTGACCGAATCAATCATACATTGTCAAAAAGACGATAAAGATCTATATTTGTACTATTTCGTCTTGAACAATCCAGGTCGAACGATTGTTTTCTGTAATAGTATCGATTGTATACGACGCTTATTGAATCTGTTTCGATTTCTAAAAATGAATCCATTGTCTATTCATTCATCGATGCCTCAAAAGCGTCGTCTAACAAATATTGAACGATTTACTGCCACAAGAAATTCACTACTTTTCGCAACCGATATTGCTTCACGTGGATTAGACATTCCTAATATTGATCATGTTGTTCATTATCAGGTACCACGTTCAGCCGATATCTATGTACATAGAAGTGGTCGTACAGCACGAATTAATAACAAAGGTTTCAGCCTTATCCTTTGCGATCCAAAAGAAGATGCTTTTTTTCTTCGAGATTTCTCGAAAATCATTCATAAAGAATCAATAGCAGAATATTCGAAAATAAACGTGAGAATATTGAAACGTTTAAAAGAACGTATACGGCTAGCACAAGTGTGTGATATGCTTGAACATAAACTACGGAAAAATCGAACGGAAACGAATTGGTTTCGAACGAATGCTGAAGCTTGCGAAATTATTTATGATTCTGATGAGCAAGATGATGGTGAACATCATTTTGATGATGAAATTCAAAATGCCAGTATCCGTGAACGTAAAGATTGTGAACGAAAATTAAAGACCTATGAACATGAACTATCGATTCTATTGAAGAAACCATTAAATTTTAGATCTATTAACAAGTAATATTTGTTTGTTTTTGTTTAATTATACGCCCAAAATGTTTGTATTTTTTTCAAATATTTTTTTTATTCACTTTGTAATCGAATTCAGACACTGTATAACACCTACATTTTTTTTGTGTTTTCGTTTAGCTTTGCATGTTTATCCTTCCTCTTGAAAAAAATATGGAAGCGTCTTTCACTTATTATTTGAATCGATTATTTTTTTCAAATGATTAACTGACCTTGCCCTAAACAAAATTTAAAAAAAATTCTGAAATTCAAATAAAGAGTGGCCTTTTTATATTTGATATTTAATAAAAGTTTTATTCAGATCAAATGATGATCAAGTACACTTTTTTTTCAATTCAAAGTCAAAGTCATTGGTCGATTTGATGGAGTAAAATTGTGATCAATTTGATTGATTGGGTAATTTTTTTGTTGCGTTCGAATTTACGACTAAATAATCAATTTATATGTGAAACAAAGAGATTGCCTCCGAGAAGGTGAACAACCTGATTTGAAACCATCTGGCCATTAATTATGAAATAGTCATGCAAATATTGCTGATTCATAACAAGAATGTGGTAAAATTTCATAATGTCCATGAATTTTTATTTTTAATATATCCAGAATAACCAAGGGCAACGATATTTATCGAATTCATAAAGAGAATATTGTCTTGAGATTACATTATTTAATAGCAATATGGCTCCACCAAAATCGTTGTTAACCAATTCTTTGTTTGATCAAAAGTCAGCGACATATATGGTTGTCAAGACAACCCCCTTTTTTCCCACTCATTCTTGAAAGAGAACCGACAATACTCATTATCCAACATTTAATGTGTATAGCCAATATGTTAAGCATTTGTATTGTTTCTGATAATCAAATTGATTCTTTTCAATTTTATTTCCGTAATATTACTATAAATAACATTGAAAATTTCGGAAAAAAAGGAAGTAACGAATAAAAAACTGGTATAGTTTTTATGAAGGATGACTAGCTTGATGATCTCTTTTGAATGAATGAATGAATCAAACCTGTATGGATGCTATTGAGTTCAATAAACGAATACGGAAAACAAATGAAAATCTATTTACCGCAACTAAGTATCGTTTTTTTTCATTTTCAAATATTTTTCATTAACAAAAGAAAAATTAAACGTATTCAATTATAAATGTCAATTATGACGTCTTGACCATGGAAATTCAAAAAAAACAAACAAAAAATCCATATGTCAAAAAAACGTGCATATCAATACAAGCAAAAAAAGCTAACAAGATCAAATATTTATCCACAATAATGATCTAGACAGATGGCTTATAAAGTATACTTAGGAAAAAATAAATCTAAATTGAATGGATACGATCTCTCATTAAATTACTATGTAAGTACCGATTTTCAAACATCATATTAATATGGCCACCTTTATCCTCATTGAGAATTAAAATCACATTATCATTATTAATTTTGAGCAAAAAAATGACAAAATTATAATCCAAAAAAGAAACACCATCACAATTATCAATTAATAAAATATTGTAACCATACAAACAATGTAGAAATTTATATTTTCAAAATGGAAATTGTTTGTCTGAATAATTTCATCGTCATTGATAACGACAAACAACAGTGAAAATTAAAAATCTATACAGCAACCACGATGATTATGATGATGTTGATCATCATCATTATTTAATGGTAAATTTTGTTGGCGATGATTATTTCCAATGAGAATGAACATTAAAATCATAAAAGAGTCAGAAAAAAACAAGAAATCCAAATGTTTAACTGCTATAATAAAATCCGATCTCGAATACCATTTGCTGCTACAACTTCTTCATTGATTGAGAGAATATGTATGGCTCCCACTACACTATCATTTTGATATGTTGAGTATTGTCGTCATTTAGATGTGACGCCTACGACTACGACGACAAATAATCCCAAACAATATTGGAGCCACAACAACGACAAAAATCATTGGGAATATTGCGTTAATGAATTTTTTTTTTGCATGCGTTCTTGGATTCGAATTCAATCACATCCAATACATACACCAGGACAAAAAAATATAGAAAGCCATTCTTTGTATTTTTAAATTTTGTTCGTTTGTTGTGTAACTTCGACAACAGATATATCTTGCTCAAATTTTCCTCATTGTTTTTCTCTCTTTTTTCTGTTTGTTATCATCATCATCATCATCATCATCAATATTCATCGCCATCTTAATCCATTTGGAACAAAACATTCCACATATGTTTTGAAATATGATACATTGTGGCGTCTTTTGATCGATATTGATAGTGTTGTTTTAGTAGCTTAATTGCTTTCTACCATCAATCATCTGATCAATAACAAAAAAAAAACCAAATTTTTTTGTCACATACATATCTAAATATTCAAAAGTTGTCCCCATTTTTTTTAAATATATCACTTTCTATAGAATTTTGTTTCGCATTTTCAATTTATTTCGCTTATTCAATTTATAATGATTGGTAATAATGAAATAATTATCTCAACTCTGGATTGCCATCATACAACAATTGACAACAAACATCGTTGATCCATATCATTTAAATTAAATCAATATTTCACTTCAATTTTTTTTTTGGTACAATTACATCTCATTGTTATTTAGAGGTAAGTAAAATATTTTGCATTTAAAATGACAAACATGGAAAATATTAAATTGAATTGAATGATTGATAAATTATACACTCGATTAAATGATTCAAGAGATGATAGTCAACATTATCATGTTGAAATCAATTTTTTTTTTGTTGGTAGTTGATTGCAAATACTGCGAAATCAAAAAAAAAATCCAGTAAGTCTGAAATAGAAGCAATGTAAAAAAAATACTTTTAAACAATAATAGTAAAATGTTTAAACAAATATATGTTTTTCGATAACTTTTTCGACAATCTAATTTGAAATCTAATCTTTATTTGATAAACTTTCAAAGTAATAAACAAAAAAAGTTATCTCATCTCAGAAAGGAACCCAAGATTTGGACCTTGACTGCTGCGCTGTATGTTTTTTGTTGTTTGCTTTCGATTTCGATGAGCAAAATTCTTCATTCGTGATATCGTCATTAAAGCGTTTGGAAAAAAACGCAGCATCGTATTTTTTCCGAAAGTTTGACTATTTATATTATCTAGATCGTTGTCTTATTTTTAGAGAAATTTGAATTTATTTTTAGTTCAGCTAAAACATCTTTAATTGTGTGCATTAAAGGTAATTTTTCCGAAAAAAAAATTATAAAAATGTTAGATCCATATGTCGTGATTAGAATTATAACTGTTACCCGAAAACAATAAAAAATGTAATAAAGAATCACCAGTTGAATTTTTTTTCTAGATATGATAAGAATTTATTACCCCTACTACATTCGAAAATGTTCTAGCCACCACCCTTATCTTGACCATATTTGAATGCAATACATATACATTCATTTAGGGTTATTATTATCCATGTTTTTTTATGTATAGTCGATCCAATAATTCATCCATACATGAAAAGACATTCAACTTTGATGTAAAGTGTGTTTGTGTACGAGTGATTTGTTCGTGTTATTTCTTTTTTATCTGCAAATCGCATGTACAAAAATTCATTGATCCATTAGACAATTGCGTGTCTATTGGGTAAGTATGAAGAGAATGAATAATGAAAAAAAGAGAGTAATTGTTTTGGTTAATAACAGTGAAAAAAAAGATCAGAACAAAACGAGGCCAACTACCCTGCCAATCAAAATTGCTTAATTATTATCATCGTCATCGCGCGTAATAATCGTATGACTGTACAAAAACAAAGTCTAAACATTTTCCTTCATTCATAATCACCTTTTATCAATCTATTGCATATAATATTTGACGTTTGCCATATTTTTCACTCACTGTTTAATCATTCAACTTATTTACAAGCTTAACAACAACACAACAATTATTATTATTCAATTAATTTTAAATTTGTTTTTAATTATTTTAATAATACTAGAATCTTTGTGTAAGAATTTTGAGTGAAAAAATTTCGATAAAAATTCGTTCATTGTTTACTTTGGTTTGAATTCGAAAAAAACGTTTTTTTAACGACATCCAACGAACAAAAACTATTGGCACTTTTTCCAGCTACTCATATCTGCCTTTGTCAACAACCTCATCGAACGTGTGATAAAAACATTAAAAAATGGCGATCGATTATTATGAAATTCTGCAAGTAACCCACACTGCATCACCAGATGAAATTAAAAAAGCGTAAGTTTTTATCATTTTTGATTCATATAAATTAAATCTTTGAAATCTTTGCATAATTTCAGTTATCGCAAATTGGCATTAAAATGGCATCCGGATAAAAATCCAAATAATAAAGATGAAGCAGAAAAACAATTTAAACAAATTTCACAAGCATATGAAATTTTGTCTGATGGTGAGTCGATTTTTTCAAATTCTTGAAACAATGAAAAATAACTCCGATATTTTTATATTTGTAATTTAAAGATAAAAAACGTCGTCAATACGATAGATATGGTTCGGTCGATGATCAGCAAGATTTTTTTGGTGCAAACAACAATCACAATCCATTCGCGTCTATGTTCTCATTTAGAGATCCACGTGATATATTCCAAGAATTTTTCCGTGGTGATCCATTTGCCGATTTCCAACCATTTGGAGTTGGCGGTTTTACTCAATTCAATCAAAATGGCTTCGGTTTTGGCAATTTGCAACCATTTGTTGATTCTTTTGGTTTTAATAATACCCATAGCTCTTTCACGACATTCGCATCTGATGATTCATTCACTAATATGAATGGAAATGGTATGCGCTCAAATGTCAAACGCACTACAACAACGACGACTAAATATGTGAATGGTAATAAAATTGAAACCAGAAAGTAAGTAATTGATATGGATAAAAATTTAAGCGAATCTTTCTAATTAAATATTCTTTTCGTGATAGGGTGTTAGAAAATGGCAAAGAAACTGTCACTGTCCATGAGAATGGTATTCTCAAGTCAAAAGTCATCAAAGATGCACCCCAAACTAATCTCACCAAACAATCTATAAAATTCTAATCAAAACCAAACACTTTAATCTGATAATTCATAATTCACAAACACAAAATTAGTTATTGTTAACATTCACAAATACATAAATACAATTTTTACATTTTAAAGATCAAACAATTCATAGGATTTGAAATGACCAATTTATTCTCATATATATTGAACAATGAAATTGTTTGAAAACCATTGATCTTTATTTGATCAAAACAAAACATTTAGAATCATTCCGGTTTTCCTACAATGTTTATTGTTATTTTTTCCTGCATCAAGATTTGATTTTTCCCATGTTGCTCATACTTAACTTGATGAACCATCTTTCTTGAACAAGTATTATCAAAATCATTATATTCACACGAGGATTTATATTTCGAAAAAAATGGGAATGCACAGAACATGAAATAAGTTCTGATACTTTGAATTTAAATATCCCAGATCCATAAAAAATAATTTATTGCTTTAATCGAATTTATTTCGTAAAGAAAGAAGAATTGGTCCATTAAATTATTCAGAAATCGATTCCACAATTTTCAAAATACACAAATTCGTCCTGTTCTAATCCATTCATACATATTGATCTTTTGTACATTATTTTTTTCTTTTTATTTAATTATATCAAATTTTTCAAACAATCGATGAATTTAAAAAGGAATTAATTAAATCATCTTCAAGAATCCTTGTTCACAAAGGTTTGTTTTTTTTGTTCATATATTTTTCTTTCAATGATCATAACTATCTGCAAAAAAGTATGATCATTGAATGTTGAAAAATGTTTTCATTCATTTGGGTGAAAAAAACCTTGAATGTAAGGATGTTTTTTTGAGGGGGGAGATTTTATTTCGAAATTAACTGAAGTTGGTTATGTCTGTGGCTATACATAGACATGATTTATTCGTTCGATGTTCATCATTATCATTATCAACATTGATTTTTTTTATTATCATTGTGAATGTTACAAACACTCACGCACTCATCCATAATAATCAAAGGAAATTTGTGTTTATTTTAAACAGAAGCAACAACAATAGAAAAATAAATAAATGCAAATAAAAAGAATAATATCGTTAAAACCCACACATAGAGAAATTTTCGCGGCCAACCGATATATAAAAAAGTAATGAATTTTAAATGTATAAAAAAAAGTTACATCTCAAATGATAATTAATGGCGCCAATGTTTAATTCAAACACGTTGGATAAGAACGTTGTTTATGTATGATTTTGGATTCTGTTAAAAGAATTAAAATATCATGTGATATAAAATCTTTGATAATTTTATCGGTAAATGATGCAATCGATTGTCCGTTCCAATTCGATACTGAGATTATCATCTCAATTTTCTAATCATATTTTACTGAAAAGATTTATCGGATCCAACACTTTCGATCAATTATCATCAAAAGGATTGTTTTGTTCGCATTTTCCGCAAAGGTAGCTTTGCATTATAGTTTTTCGAATTTTCAATTTTCTTTCTTCTCTCAGTGCAAACATCAATGAAATTTTATCACGAAAACAGATAATCTATGCTGGTTTTGATCCAACCAACAAAAGTCTCCATGTTGGAAATCTTTTAGTTATAATTTCATTACTTCATCTACATCATCATGGTCATCAAATCATTCTACTAATTGGCGATGCTACAGCCCGTATTGGTGATCCTTCGGGTAAAGTACAAGAACGACCTATACTTTCAGATAATTTTATTGATTTGAATGCCATTGGTATTCAACGAGATGTACAACAAGTTTTTGAAAATTATCAAAAATATTTTGCTAAAAATGACAATAGCGATCGAAAATTTATTACTCACCTAAATAGTGAATGGTTTAACAAAATGAATGTTGTTGACTTCATCAACAAATATGCCCGGTATTTACGTATGGGTGATATGTTGAACAAAAGTGCCATACGAGAGCGATTAGAATCTCCGATTGGTCTTAGTTTTGCAGAATTTGCCTATCAAACTTTTCAAGCATATGATTGGTATCATCTCTACAAGCGTTATGGATGTCGAATACAGGTTGGTGGTATTGATCAAACAGTAAATATTCATAATGGTTATGATTTGATCAAAAAAATTGATCAACAACTTACATGTGGATTATTCATTCCATTGATTACGGACAAAAGGGGAAATAAACTTGGTAAATCCGAAGGTAAAGCCGTATTTTTAAATCCCGAAATGACGACACCGTTTGGACTTTATCAGGTTAGTTATTATTTTGTTTCCATTCCAATTGAACTAAAATTTTGTTTATTTCTTTGTAAGAGAAGTATTTTATGCGAATACCCGATCGTGATATCAACCGTTTATTGAAATTATTTTCATTTCGACCCCTAACCGAAATCGAAACATTGATACAAATTCAGATGAAAAATCCGAAACCATGGCAATTACAGAAACGCTTAGCAGAAGAGATGACATTACTGGTACATGGACAAGATGGTTTAGATCAGGCGAAACGAATTACATCCGCATTGTTTGACAAAAATCTTGATCAATTAGGTGACCTTAACGAACAAGAAATCAATGATGTTTTCGACGGTGTTCCTACTATTCATATGGAATTCATCAATCAACAAACTACCGTTCTGAGTCTGGCAATGCGAACGAATTTTTTTCATTCCGAAATCGAAGCAATCAATACGATTAAGGATGGTGGCCTTTACATTAATTATAATCGTCATTCTAAAGCGGATGATTTCATAGAAGATAAACCCGAACATATAATGAAAAATCATATTACAATAGTTAGCTTAGGCAAACGAACTCATTGTTTAGTAAAATGGCTATAATAAAAAAAATTAAGCTTTCCACAATTTTAATAATCCATCGATACTATAGGTAGCCAGAATATTCTGTTTGGGATGATGACAGAGGCCAATAATTTCAGCATCGGCAACTTCCATAGTTTGATCGATCTTTCCAGATTGAACATTAAAGCAATATAATTGTCGATTTTCAGCCACAGCATAAATGAATTCACCATGCGGTGAAACGGTACAGCAGACAAAATCTCCGCCATCTGCAACAGCATTTGTTAACGTTCGAACAATTTGTCCGGACATGTTCATTATGCTGATTGTATTACTACGGGTACAGATTAGAAAATGTTCCGGTGTTTTTGGCATCAATTGTATGGTATTCACTGCTATTTCAATTGTTGCCGATCCAGATATTGCAGTTGATTTATATGAATTAACACATTCAGCATTTTTAAGATTCCATATTTTAACCGTACCATCCGAACTTCCACTGATAACATGATGTTGATCATTGCTAAATATTACGGTGTTAATAAAACTTGTATGACCACGAAATTCTTTCAGCATTTTTCCACTTTTCATTCCATGTATTCGCAATGTACCATCATAGCTACCCGAAAGGACTTGTGTACAATCACGATTGAATTGAATACAGGTGACACCTTTGTTATGAGCTTTATCATAACGGCGTATACACTGACCAGTTTGAATTTTCCAGATTTTTATCTTGCCATCTTGACTGCCAGAAACAAGCATTTCGGAATCTTTACTAAACGATAAACTCAAAACAGCATCGTCCATCATCATGAATTGCTCCTGTGCTTGATATTTGAGATCTTTACGAATTTTTCCAGTGATAAAATTCCATACTTCGATTAGTCCATCAATGGTACCTGTAACCAAAAATTGACCATCCGGGGAAAATGTTGCACATTCAACGTGAATTTTATGGCCAAATTTGATTATTTTTGAAAGCCTTGTAGGATAGGTTTCATCTTCTTCTTCTTTTATTGATGTTTTTCCACGGAACAAATCAATGGAGCTACCTTGTGGTAATAGGCCTTGATGTTGTTGCCATTTTAATGCCTGGCCAATGAGTACCATCAGTCGTGATGACGGAACAACGGTAACATCTGAACTCAAACTCTGAGCAATCTGTGCACGTCGTTTTTCTTTACAGCTCCCTTCTGGGTAGGCTTCATTTGGATCGAAATAACTTTTGGCCAGCAATGTTTCCAAATGAAGATAACGTTCGGCGTGATCATTTTTCAGTTTTAACATAGGATCGGTTTGTCGAAGCAGACTTCGAGCAGCACCATATTCACGCATTTCAATCAATTCGATTACAAGTTGTTCATACAAATCGACAAGTTTTTTATCCGCAAGATTTAATGGTTGTATAACTTTTAATACAGTTTCCCAATGACCATTTTGAATATCTTGTACAAAAGATTCAATAGAATCGACCGTATTTAATTGAATCGATGATTCTTCTTGCAATACTTGCAACGTTTTATGAAGATTATTTTCTTTTAAAAATTGTTCGATCAATCTTATAACATCGGATGATTCAATTTCAATCGACATTGTTATTTTGAAAATAAAAAACAAAATTCAAAAAATAAACATTCCAAGATAGCTAAAGAAAAGAAACACCTGAATATAAAATTAGGTGTAAATAGCACGATCACGTGATCAGCAACTCAAAATTAAGAAGCGCACACGCATTCAGACAACGGAAAGGGTTCGTCCATGTAAATACAAGCGTAAATGGTGTTGAATCGAATTGGAGAGAAAAAATAATTTTAGAAATTTTTTTTTTTTTTTTAAGGCCAATGTTTTCGGTGATTAAAATTTTGATTAAAAAGGAAGAAAATTGAATTAAATTCCTATGAATTTTTATTTCAATATTTATCCAATAGTCAATGATTATAGCATTGAATATGAATGAAAGAAAATACCTTGACACAGACACACACACTCAAACGTTCGAATGGAATCGTTATGATTCGAAATACCGATTAGTAGCCGGTATTTGAATTTCCGGTAACACTTGATGATTCTATATAAGTGATGATATGAATCTAATGTTATTTTGATACAAATGGTCGATTTTGATTCTTATGATAGATTTAGGTTGACATGTGCTATGTTATTGTTGTATTGATCATCCGTTCTGATCTGTCAAAATTTATAAACACGTGGTATTTTGATTTTTTTTTTGTCACGTGGATAGCACATGGCTTAATATTTTTCAGATGATAATCAGCCGTGAATGGTCAACCTGAATAAACACTAACTTAAACCAAAACGAATTTTAGTTTGGATATTCTTACGTTTCTCGAATCTTTGCTTTTCATCTGATTATCTTTACTTTGATTTTTAATGGCTCATGATTCGGCTTACTTCCCCCATCATATTTCTTATTCATAATATCGATTGAAGATTATTTAGTGCCTTTTTCATGTAAATAAACATTTAACCATGAAAATGGTCTTGCTCTTTCTAATATTGACTTAATTAATATTATTCTCGATCCGATAGATTTATTCGATCCTAAACTATTGATTATCATCGAAAAATGATGAAAAACATCCAAGCTAGGTCTTAAAAAATAACAATCAAAAATGTTGAATTTTAATTGTTGTAAATCGGAAATTTTTGACATTTTTATGATACTTCCGGTTTTCGTGGTTCAAGTTGATCATCATGGTTTCCTTTTCCTTTTCGATGACATATCCAAGAATGTATCAGACCCAACAAATATAAAGGGAGGAATCAAGTTACGAAAACCCGCAAATCACCTCATTGCCAACTCTCCGTCGTCATCATCGCTCAATATCGATATGAAAATAGCAATAGCAAGCGCTTGCGCCTACTAAAAATTTCTGCAAATCCAACACATATTTTGATCACAAATTGTTGTTGTTGTTGTTGACCATATTAAATTATAACACAAATGAATACCGCTGCCAAATGTTGAAATCTAATGTAATCTATTTACAATTACAGTGTTTTTGTATCGCCCTTCTCATTCATCAATGAACCACTACCATTAAATTGTTTTCTCAGACAGTTGTTGGCCTTTTCATTTTCTCATTCGATGATGAGTCGTTGTCGTCGTCTCTTTCGCTCGTTTTACTAGCCTCAACAAAATATTCAACCAAATTGAATGCCTCACTATCAATTGAAACAAAAACTAAAGAATTTTTGCATCATTCTTTTGAATTGTTTTAATAGGAAAAACTGTATAAACGATATTTTTTTTCAATAAAGATCTCATTCAATTTTATTATCGATCAGATTTTTCTGTGAGTGTAAACTTTTTGTACAACGCTATGATTTGCTATCAAGTACAGCAACAACAATTGGACAATTTTGTCTCTTCATTCAATTTTTAGCCATAATTTGTTTTGATATATATCAAGTTCAGTCAAAATTAAGTTCATTCATAATTTCACAAATGGAACAGGCTAGCCCTTTACCACCATCATCGTCATCATCGTCATCATCATCATCATCAGCATCAGACCATCAGGATGATCAAACATCGGGTCAACCACAACATCAAGAACAGAATTCGTTCAACAATCAACAACAAAAATCAAGCACAGATCTGATACAGGCAACCATCGATGATAATATACTTAAACGTGAATTATATTTTTTAATCTATAAATTTTTGGAAAGAAGTCCACTACAACAATCATTTCAAGTATTAAAACATGAATTAGAATCAAATGCATGTCTATTACCACCACAATATGATTGGCGTACCGGTAGTGAACGTTCATCAAATGAATTCGGATTAGGTAATGAAATACTCGAGTTAGCTATTAAGCAACATCCACACATCACTGCCGATTATCTATTTCAATCACTAAAACAAGCGCATCAAGCTTTATCGCAAGTTGTGCCACCACCGATTGAAAATTCTATCGTTTCATTCCTATCCGCCGGACGTTTTTCATTAGTACGCCCTATACCTAAAAAATCATTAATATCTGAGCAAGATGAGCGTTTATTACCACTAAATCGTAATCCATTTTCATTGGCATCAATATCTAATCATCGAAATCATGCACCACCGTTGTTGTCGCAACGTTTTTCATCTGTCCATTTTCCCGGACATATTAGTCAAACATTATTCAGCAGGCAATTGGCTGGTCCTAAGCCCATAACACATCTATTACCTGTCGGATTCTATGAACAATATCAAAAATATAATCGTGTACTCGGTCACCTTTCTTCCGTATTCTGTGTTCTATTTGATCGTACCGGACGATTTTTAATTACCGGAGCGGATGATACAATCATTAAAATTTGGTCTGCATCCGATGGCCGTTTATTGGCTACCTTACGTGGACATCAGGGTGAAATAACCGATTTATCTATATCGTTGGAAAATGATATGTTGGCATCGGGCAGTTGTGACAAAAAGATTCGTGTTTGGAATTTACGTACTACGGCTTTGATCAAAACATTAAAGAATCATGAAGATCAAATATCCGGCGTAAAATTTTGTCCGCTTATGACGCAAGATACTCGTTATCTGGTATCGATCTCGCAAGATGGCAGTGTTTGTTTTTATAAATATGATGCCAAAACTCGATTATTTCAGGATGATCCGATTCGTTTTGTCGAGCGTAAACGCCGCGATTCTCAATTAGTATCATGTTCATTTTCGGCAGGTGGTGCATTTTTTGCTGTTGGATCAACCGATTGCAGTCTTTATGTTTATCATGTTTCCGCACCAGCTGGTCCGACAAAAATTCTTGAAATCGAACAGCATACTGATCATGTGGATTCTTTACAGTTTAGCAATCGCTCAATGCTACGATTTATTTCTAGTGGCCGTGATGGTCTCGCACATATTTGGAATTATGAAAAACAAAAATGGAATCACCTCAAGATTGATATCAATCAACGATTAGATGGTCGGCCACCAGAACGTCGAGTAGAAATTGCTGGAACATCAAAAATTTGTGTTTTACGTGTCTGCATGGTAGCCTGGACAATTGATGATCGATTCGTTATCACCTCTTTGACCGATAGTTCTATTAAAGTTTGGTTTTCACATAATGCCAAATTGAAACATGTTTTATATGGTCATGAAGATGAAGTATATATTATCGAACCACATCCTACTGATGGTCGAATTATATTGACTGCTGGACATGAAGGTGCTATAATGATTTGGGATGTGGTCACCGGTACAAATATAAAAACATTTTATAATGCATTGGAAAATTCTCAAGTTCCGGCATCATTGTTCGATGCTAAATGGAATCCGGATGGTACAATGTTTGCCGCAACTGATAGCTATGGACATTTAATCCTATTTGGACTATCACCATCAAATCCATATTCCGAATTACCTGAACATATGTTTTTTCATACGGATTATCGGCCTATCATTCGTGATGCCAATGATTTTGTTATCGATGAACAAATGCAAATCGCACCGCATTTAATGCCACCACCATTTTTAGTCGATATTGATGGGAACCCCTATCCACCAAGACTTCAGCGCCTAGTTCCTGGTCGCGAAAATTGTCACGATCCGCAACTTATACCGTTCGATGGCGGTGATCAGCAAAATGATCAACAAGCTCAACAACAACAACAACAAGGAGCCCTTACGATCGATGATATGATTCAGCGCTTGCAACGAGAACAGCAGCAACGACGGCCTAGTAGCTCAGGAGATATAACAGCTCCTACTTCAGGTTCGTCACCAGCTAATAGTTCGCGAAGTGCACATTCTGTCGGTGATGGTGTCCGTAATGCTGCCAATTTAGTCGACCCAAATGACCGTGTTGTTAATGATGAAAGTAGTACCGGTCGGCCAAGTGGATTTCAAATGGGCATATTCATGCGAAAACCATTAATCATTCCGTTGCCAGAACGAGAAATCGAATTCATTCGTGAACGACAATGTTCGCTAAATAAAATGGAAGAGGAGTATTATCGAACCGAACAGAAAAAACGACCTAAAGAGATTGAACCAATTGAACCATTACCTGAATTTAAACCATTTACGCGACGACAACGGAGAATTTTATACCAGTCCAGTGGTGTAACACGATCATCATCACGATCGAATCGTTCAAATATGAATAATAGCGATCGTACTGAACGTCAATTTTCATTAGTTCCTCTTGATGAGGATGATTCAAATGATGAAGATTTTACCGGTACATCAGAAGAAGAATCGAGCGAGTCAGATGATGCTACATCGGATTCAGATTGGAATCAACCATCAACTTCACGTGATCGAACGCCATTTCCATCTTCAGTGGCTGGTGTATCTAGTGCTCCTGCCGTGCGTAAACGCAAACGTCGTGCTACCGATGTAGAAGATGATGATCATATTCAAAGTGATAATGATGATCAGCATGATACGTCCAATGATATAATCTTTCTTAATCAGCCATCAACTTCACTTGGGAACGAAGGGTCGATTCGATCAAGACGACGAACAAATATTGACGATATTCACAACCCATTAGAAAGGCGTCAAAGGTTCGAGCAAATTAATGTTGATCATCAGTTTAGACAGGTTGAAAATGGCCACCTTGATGAGCAATTTCGACCCCCCGAATGGTTCACGAATAGTAAACCGAAAAGAACGCCTTATTTTCCTCAGATTGGTGATCGTGTTGTATATTTCCGTCAAGGTCACCAGAAATATATTGATGCTGTTCGTGAAACAAAATGTTATAATATCAATCTTGCGACGAAACCATTCCGATTACGTGGAAGTGATTCGGATGAAATATTCGCCAAAATTATCGGTATTCAATATCATGTTAAGCCTCCGCGTCTGGTTACACTACGTATGGTTGTTATTGATCCATTAGCTGAAGAAAACGAAGCTGAACAACAACAAACCAGTAATGTCAATCAATCGTCGTCTAATCATCATCCCCATATCGCCCAACAACAATTTTCTGTTCGATATCATGATCTTGATCATGTTTGTGATTTCATCATTCTTAAACAGTGGTATGATATATCCGTGTCACGTGAATGGCGTGTTGCTGACCTATTTCGATCAGCGATTGATGATCAATGGTGGATCGGACGTATTCATTCGATGCGCTATACAGAAACTAATTCTTATTTTCAATCAATTGAAGTTATTTGGTGCAACGGTGAAAAAGAATTACTAAGTCCTTGGGATTTGGAACCTTTAGAATCGAATTTAGATATTCCTAATCAACCGCCAAATGATGGTCAATCAGTAACAGATGAAGAAAGAATAGCATTTTCAATGATAGATGAGCAAGAATGGCCATTAGAGCAGCGTAATCGTGATCGGGAACGTATAATAAATGGTCTGCTTCGTGTTATGGAATTTTCTCATGCTGAAGAATTTGCCGCTCCCGTCGATCTTAATCAACATCCATTATATGCAATGACAATACCGTATCCGATGGATTTATCTACAATCATGTCGAGATTACGATCGAATTTCTATAGACGTTTAGAAGCGGTCAAATTCGACGTGCGTTTTATCGAATCGAATGCAGCATTATACAATATGCCTGAATCACTCATTGTTAAAAAAGCAAAAATTATTACCGAATGTTGTTTACGTTTCATCGAAGATTCTGAATGTCAAGATCCGACACCGATTATGAATGAATTGAGTAATAATTATGCATCGGAATTAGTGAACGCCACCGGCATCTCAACAACTGCCGATCCCACTCAACAACAACATTCATCATCAATGTCATCGTCATTCGGCCATCAAAGACCTCGAAGATCTACACGTCGTATTCGTTCAAGCATATTTTCCGATAGTGATGTAGATGAAATAAATCGTCCTGGTCGCCCATCAAGATCCGACCGTACTAATCATATTCACAATCGATTGATAACCGAACATGATGATGATAATCGACCACGCAAAACATGGAAACAATTGTGTCGAGAACTTATTGATCAGATTTTTGAGCTTCCAGATTCTGAACCTTTCCGTGCTCCTGTTGATCCAATCATCTATCCAAATTATGCTCATATAATCGATACACCAATGGATTTAACAACAGTGAAAGAACAGCTCCTAGCCGATATCTATGATTCACCGCAAGATTTTGCGAAAGACATGCGTCTGATATTCACCAATTCCAAACAATTTAATACAAGCAAAAAATCACGTATTTATTCAATGACAATTCGTTTGTCGAATATATTTGAAGAGAAAATGCGCTCACTGATGAGCGAATTAAAGTCATCGAGATCCCGTACGAATCGTCAGTCATCGAATGGTGGTAGATCTGGTCGAAATCGTCGTAATGGAAAACTTCGAAACACTAGTCGATTTCAGCGAAAATCATCTTCACCAATGTCACCTACAATTATTAGCCCCTATGAACAGCAATTGACGGGTCCATCGACAAGTCGAAGACGGTGTTTTTCACAACAATTAATGATTATTGATTCGAATCAACCATCAACATCGTCTATCCCATCTAATTATTATAATCAACAACAACAACAACGTTCTAGTCACAGAATTTCAAAGTATTATTATGAATCGAATTCTATGGAAAAATATGGCCTTAGGCATCGAAGAAAACGTATTCGAACGTATAAAGAAGATGATAGTAACGAAGATTTTGATGATGAAGAATCTACCGGATGTTCGCAAAGTAAGTTACTTGCACCTTATTTGTTAATATGTATTTTGATTTTGTTTTTTACTTTTTAAAGATCATGATCAAAGCAATGATGAATATGTAGATGCTGCCAAAATTCCTAGCGATACCAATAATAATAGACCATCAATCGTTAATGATAAATACCATTTACGACAAAACAACCGAAAACCTCGACGATACGATTCCGATGATGATGAAGAAGAAGAATTAGAATTACCTGAAGAAGAGGAAGAAATAAAGGACGAAGAAGATACAGATGAAAAGACAGACGTCGAAGATGATCGTGATGAAGATGAAGAAGAAGACGATGATGAAGAGGATGACGAAGAAGTGGAACCGGAAGAACAGCCAAATGATTCAGATGCAACCCAATTAGATGCTGAAGAAGATGATGATGATAATAAAGAAAATTCCTCATCTCGTACTGGAACGCGGAGGCCAATTCGTGCTGCAGCAAGGAAACGAGTAAATTACGGTGAAAACGACTCTGATTCTGATGATGACTTGGCCGTTAATCAGATTCGTGAACGAAATTCAAATATTCGTTTGACGCATCAACAACCACGACCAGCGCCGACTGTTTTCATTGATTCATTTGCTTCCAACAATGAATCATCACGAGAATCAACAATGTCATCAAATAGTAATCGTTCGGATGGATCTATCAATCGTGTCGGTCGCCGTGCTGCTCGTCGTCGTAACGGCCATGATAATGATGAGGACGATGATGATAGTAATCACCAGAGTTCTTCTGGACTTCGACGTTCCACTCGAAAAATTCAACCAAAACGTCGTTATAGTTCAGATTCAGCTGATGAACAATTTCACCAACAACTGAAATCCCGTATTCGACGATCACGAACATATCAAAAACATTATGATGGCCGTGTAGGGTTGCAAGACCCAAGGAGGACGGGAAGACATGTCCTACTTTCTGAAACTTTGTCGTCCTGTCCTCCTCAAACATGAAAATGTCCTCCTTAGAATTTTCCAATAAATGCATATAATTTATATTTAAAAATCATATTATTCAATTAAAAGACTAGCTTTTTAAAAGTTAGATCGTTGTTTGTAAAATGTTGTTTAACCATTCATTTTGTATAAAAATTCTTCAATCATCTCTTTTGTTATTCTGGTAGATGGCACTATTGTAGCTTGTCACGTTATTTCGAGTAAAACACCTTTCATCTCATCTTCTAATCGGATGATCAAATTCATTTTAGAATTTTTTTTTGTGTTTTGATTCATCAAATCACCAATTCCTAACATATGGATCTTTGGGGCGAAATAGTAGATTCACAGATCGATACTAAATCTCATGATTTGTTACTGAATTCAGCTCCGAAAATTGTTATACCTTCAGAATTTGAAATCCATGATCAACAAAGATTTCAAGCGAATCCATTGTTGGTCAGCCACGATTCCATAATTCGATCCGAATGCTCAAGTCAAATGACTAGCCCGTTCTTTGAAACGCTCAAACTATTGGTTACTAACGAACAACAGATTAATGTCTATGAAAATGTTGAACAGCCAAAAACATCGAAAAGCAACGATAAATCCGCGGCTCAAACAATGCGCGAATCAATTATCATGATATTAACACACGTTGGCTTTAATTTTTCCCATGACCTGACCATTGATCTATTGGTCGATGTGCTCGAGTATTATTTGAAATCATTCGGAAAATTACTACGTTTATTTACTGATTCGATGGATTTACAATCACCTAATGATTTTTATGATATTATTGATAAAACTTTGCATCACATGAATGTACCGAATTTCGAGGCTTTACATAAATTCAATGAAGAACTTGTTCAATATTATAATCGAGTAAAAATGGAAAATTCCTCTTCGTTGAACGAAAATATACAAAGAAAATCATGCCAAGAACAACAGCAGATACAAGATGATGATTAGAAAGAAACAAATTAATTATATTCTATTACTTATTATTACAGTGAATAATAATTGAATAAATAAACTTAGTATGATGTGACTTGATGAATTTCTGTTTTGTTTTTACAATGTTTTGATATTCAAGTAAAACAAATGACTTTATTTAAATAATTTAAATTCATGATATTCTGATGTGAGTCATACCAATGAGGTGAGAATAGTCGACACCGAAACATTCATTTTTGTATCACGCTGAAATTTCTGATATTTTCCCATTTAAAAAATCAAATCAATTTTATTTTTTTCAAAAATGGATGTCAAACAACAAATTAATGAAGAATTGAATAAATTCCAAACAATAAGAAATCAATGTAAAAAAATACTTTCGCAACGTGGCCAATTAGAAATACAATTGAATGAGAATAAACTTGTCAAAGAGGTAATGGTTGATCGAAATTTCTAGCGAATCTAATTGTCTATTATTTTTTCAACAAAAGGAATTGGACCTACTCGAAGATGGAGCGAAGACGTTTAAACTAATTGGACCAGCATTAATAAAAATTGAATTAAAAGAAGCTCAAGATAATGTGAACAATCGTATCAAATATATTACCGAAGAATTGTAAGTTATTATTTTTCAGATTTTATACTTATTTCATTCATCACCCTTAATTTCTCTGTCTATCTTTTTTGACACAAAATTAGAAAACGATATGATCAAACATTGGAAACGTTGACTAAACAACAGGATAAACATCGTGAGGCTGTTATGAAATTGGAGCAAGCAACACAACAAGCCATGTCAGCCGCCGTAGCATCAAATCCAAAATAAATTCATTTGAAATATAATTGTATTTTTTCTTTTTCTCTTTTCATTTGTTTGACATTAATTGTTTCAAAATGAATAAATAAAAAAAAATATTAAACAATGATACAAACAATCGGCAGGAAAATGTCAGTCAATTCAAAAAAAAAAAAAAAAAAAATCAATACTGCCGTGGAGGCCAATACAATGAGGTATCTATTGAAAAAGTTCCATTAGATTTTTCTATTACTATTGTATTTGGAATTTGTTTAAAAAATTGGGCAAAACAAAATTTTTTTATGTACAATTAAAATGTATGTGTGTCTGTCAATTTCTGTCAAAAATAGAACATCCACCGATATAGGCGTCAACAGGTTATATGGCATTAAAATATTTCGTTTAACAAATGTAAATAATAAACATTACATCACATGAATGTATCATCAAAATGTCCATTATAATAACTTGAATAGGTACGAGCTTGAAACAATTCTCGTATAAGAGAAGATTTTTCCCTTTCTAATTGTGTGATACGATCACTTTTTCTTGTCACTTCATCGGTCAATAGTCGATTTTGTTCCTTCAACTTGTTGACCAAATTTGGATTGACAACTAATTGTCTTGGCTGATTTGGATCAATACGCCCGGTCGCTAATGATTGTGGTGATAATTGCGCTCCAATTGATTTTATTGATGATGGCAGCCCATTTAATGGTCTTATAGCCAGATTCATGTGAATGGGAAAATTTTGTCCAACATCACGTAATGCTGTTAAATGCTGATTCAATGTCTGTATGCGAACTGCTTGAAAATTTATTCTTTCCTGGTAGGCATCAATATTATTATAATCAGATGCAATGAATGATGATCCACCGGAACGGCTGACAATATTGATTCGATTCTGTAGAACTGATATTTGCCTTAAATACCATTCTTTTGTACGTTCGATTTCTGCCAATCCTCCTATCAATATGTCTTTCTCCTGTTCAAGTTGCTGAAATCTTTTTACCTAATTCGGATACATAGAGAAAGAGAAAAAAAATTATCCATCATTATTTATCCGATTAAAATATTTGACTATTTGACCTAAAAAAATTATCAAAAAATGCATGAAAAAACTCATCTACTTACAGCATAAAGGTCGATCCCATTTGCACCTACGGTATGTCGACGTGGTTCTCGTGGCTGCCTATGCTGACGAATTGATGATCGTCGATGTAATGATGAATGCTGAAAACCACTAAACATTGCCATTGATTGATCATTATTATCGATATAATTGTTTTCATTGGGGACTGATATAACGGGAGCGACGAATTCTTGATCATTAAGACCATCATCATTAATGATAGGAGAGGCCTGTAAATGACTAATGTCGTTATTTTTTTGGCAATTTATATTTGATGTTGGTGTTTGAGCGGATTTTGTGACCAATGAACGTGGCCAATGAAAATCGGTACCAGTATTCTTCGTCTGTAGAATTAAATCATTAAATGATGGCAATGGATGTTTGCTTAAGATATTATCTCTCCAATTTTGCAATGTTTTCATTATGCAATTACGTGAAACAGTTTTTGGTGCAGCATTTCCATCATTAATTATCGTTTTGACTATTGGTGTTTGCTCATTATTATCGCTAATTATCGAATTTGCTGAACTATTATGATAATTAATATGCTGATCTTTTCGGTTTTCATTAGTTGTAGGATGTCGTTGATAAGTATGGCTATGGTGATGATTTAGTAGGTGTGTCTGATAATTCATAGGTATTTGTTGAGAATAATTAAGATGATCAGCAGTGTTAAACGAGAAAGATGATGATGGAGAATTGTGCGAAACATCTATCAAATGTGGCATACTTTTGGCACGACATGCTTGCTGATGTTGTAATGGCTGTTGATTATCATTATTAATCGATGGACGATTCCCTGATGTATGGCCATATTGGCTTTCCAAATATCGATGATTCACCACGCGTTTAATCTCTTCTAATTGATGTTGAGAGAGATGAGGAAATTGTTTGGCTGTTTTAGATGGTTGTTTTTGTTGGTGGGATTCTTTATTCAATGAATTCGTAGATGCAGTTGCTGTAGGTGATTGATCAGAATTTGAATTGTGGCTGACGGTTGAAAGTACCGGTGGTGGTACTTTAGGCTTACTTTTAGCAGCCATAACTTGTTCATATGAAGGAAGCGGTAACTTTTTTGTAGCCGATGTGATTTCAGTTGGCTGTATCTGTTGAAGACATGTGGCAGTGTTTGTCAATTTAGGATTATTAGTGTAAATGATATTATTATTATTCACTTCCGCCGTTTTGTTACTACTCGATGTTGGTGTTGGCGATGATAATGAAGATGGAGGCGGTGGAGCAAATATTTGTGGTTCTGATGATGGTCGATCAACGGAAGTAGATAAAGATGGTGCAGGTGGTGGTAATAATTGAGAATGACTATTTAAATCACCACCATTTGGTATGGTAATCGATGAATCAGATGTAGTCATCGATCGACATTCATCAGTCATTGATGTGATCATTCGAACATCATTAATATCGACTTGATTTTTGAGCAAACAAAGCTTAATACCGGCACAGAATCGATCGAATGTTAGCATACCATTCGGTAGTTTAACTTTAGCTAGACAGGCAATCAGACCTCTGGGAAAAAATGGATCACCATCATCTTCTTCCCATTGATTGGCAAGATCAGCAAAATGAATCGTACCCGATTGCTCTGTATCCATTACATCGAACAATTGTTGTAATGCGGCGACAAATTGTTTGGACATTCCATGTATGAATGGATTATCTTCAGTTGCTTCACACAATTCAATCATTTTTTTATCTGTTAATTTAATCAATTTTTCAAAAGAAAAAAATCAAGTTCGAAACGAAAAATGAACTCAGAACACAAACGTATGATTGATGAATCAATTCTCTACACTTTCTTGACAGGATATCACATCATCATAATCAACTTTGTTGCTCAATATCACACCTGATTCCGATTGATCGATCAATCGATCATTCAAGTTAAAAAGATGAAATTCTAACGAAAACCATGAAGCATTTCTTGATGATGATGATATTGTCGATCGGTTTGCTAGTTGGTTTTTTAATTGATCAATCCTTGTAGAGATGTGGTTTTTTTAACTATTCATTGAGTTTTTATTTTTCAGCATTTCCATTACAAAATCCACATACACACACATCATTGGGCAGGACACGAACACACACTACAATCAAGTAGCATCCATCAGGAAAAACAAGAGCTTCAAATCGATGATGATGATGATGATACAAACATTGAAATGTTCTTCAAATATATAGAATTGATTTTTTATTAAAAAAAAACACCAAACAGGTTGGCTTGAATTCACATCAAAGTCCAGTATACTTGTCATGTGTGTATATAATGTTTGGTCGATCGGTTGGTTTTTCTATTTGCTGGACTGATTATCTTTGAGTGTGTGTATTGAGTGCCCGAAGCCATTCACATTTTAATAACGAACAAATGAATAGAAAAAAAGAGGTTCGATTGAGAAACGGCTTTGGATTGTACACACAATACACACACCATCAAATACGAATGGGACGTTCAACGTTATTGTATAGCAATGCAGCATGCATAGCTTTTGATAGTTTGATAGCCACAGGTCTTGTGCCAATGTCTTGGGAACTATGACATTTTTTCTTTTTCTCAGGATTTTTTTTTAATAATAAAAAAAGAACATATGGCTTGACATTTATTTATAACGGTCTATGAAGAGAGATGATGATGGTAAAAAACGATGAAAAACAGAGGACTTGTTGTGTTGTAGAAATTGAATATTTTAAATCTTTATGTATTCTCACATGATGATAATATTTGAAATTAAATAAAAATTTTTCTTTTACTTTTAAACATTTAATTTTTAAGCTTATCTTTCTTTTTTTTTTTGCTGTAAATCTTTAAAATCAATTAAACCTTTCATCATCGTCATTTAATGATTATTTATGCTTTGAAAATTACAATGATAATCATTTTTAAAATGACCGGTATTTAATCCTGTGGAAAAAAAATCATCCGTATAGGAAATTTTTTTTTTTGCATTCAATTTTTTTTGAATATCGAAAAATAAACGAAATTGACAGCGGCCATTGGACTTTTTCATAAATCCAGTTTGGCGCCAGTTTGAATATCAATCAAATGAATTTGTACGATCGACAAAGTTCATCAATAAGCTCGCAAGGTGGAGCGATATACATATAGTCATCGCAATAAATCAACATACACAACCTACCGGCGATAATTGGAATCATGTGAATCTTATTCGAACAATGATTTTGAAAATTAAAAGCAGTGGCACTATATTCAATCGTGGATCCTATCAAATCTATTGACTACTACAAGGATTGTTTTTTGCTAGCAGAACAGCACCGCCATTTTGCCTTCTTCACACTTTGTATTTGTCGGCTCGGTAATTTTGTCTGTGTGTGTATTCTACAATATTCTTGGATCATTTTTGTTGTTGATTCTTTTGTTTTGTTTAAAATTTTAAAAACAAAGTTTATTATTTTCGAATCAATCAGTTGATTTCTCAATAAAAAATGTCCTTTCAACGGCCATACGGCAATTATCCACCACCACCGTCAAATTATCATCATCAAGGACCACCTGGTATCCCACCGCATCAACAACCACCTTCAAATCAATATGTGGGGAATTCCGGTAATTTAAGTGGTGGTCAAACTCAACATCAACCACCTCCACAATATAATCGTAACGTTTGGAACCATCCACCTGGTATGGCAGCACATCCTTCTCCAGGACCTCCTCCCCTTCCCCCTCATCATGGACAACAACATTCACAATCAAACATTAGTCCATGGATTAATCAGAACATGCCACCGCATATGAATGGGCTGCAGTTTCGTGGATACCAACAATCACCGGCACAACAATATCCAATGGATCATAATCAGTTAAAACATGTGCCAAACATGCGAATGGTAAGCTTAAAAGTATTAAGAATTTTTAAACAAAATAACACTTTTGTCTCAGAGTCAAGGAAATAAACGTCATGCTGATTGGAATTCGAATACACAACAAAATCATCATCAGAATAATAAACGTAATCGTCCGAGTAATGTCAACAATACACCAAACAAGAATAATGTTCAAAATAATAATAATAATAATAATAATAAACAACAAACTCCAGGCAAACAAAATAATTCAATCAATAATCAAAATACCAGCAAGAATAATCAACAGCAACAAAATAATCGTAATAAACAATGGGTGAATTATAATAGCCCAAAAAATCGTTATAGCTTTAATAATAAAAAGCGTATGAGTAATAACGCAAAATCGAATCAGGTAAGAATTTTTTAAAATTTCAATAATTTTATATTAAAATTCTGATTAATGGTTTTAATAAATTTAACCTTATTAAGAAGCAGCCTAACAATGCCAATAAAAAGAAAGAGGTACCTATAGTCAATGTCGATGATAATGAACAAAAACAACAGAATGATGATCACAAAGAACAGATTGAAAAGTATTTTCAAAATGTAACCGGATTAATTTGCAGTATGTACAAAATGATTTATCTCATTCCAACTCCTAAGTTTTTTTATCCATTCTTCCATATAGATCTTTGTAATGTATTTATCCGAAATGTTCAAGATGCAAATGTACACTGTAGAAATAATGTCGATCATAAGTCAAAAGTAGAAGCAGAAATAAAAAAACAACAAGAAGAAGAGCTAAAAAAGAAAGAAGCTGAAGAAAAGAAAAAGAAAGAAGAAGCCGAAGAAAAGAAAAAGAAAGAAGAATCTGAAGCGAAAACAGAAGCTAGTAAATCAGATAATGCATCGGAAACACCGACGACAACTGATACTTCAGATACTGTAACCGCTAATAGTGGTGATCAGAAAACTATCGATGCTCAAAACGAGTCATCAATGAATGTGGAATCATCTGAAGTGGAACCAGAAAAAGTGACAACTGTTGAAGTAGATACGACGACTGATGACAAATCAGCCGAAACGACAGCCACATCGACTAATGATGAAGATGAAACGGAAGAAGCCGAAGCATTATCGACTACCATTGTTGAATCAAAAGCGGATGAAGGTAAAAAAATTATTTATAAAAACAATTATTTTGATGGATAAAATTTTTTATTTCATTGAAAAAATTAGATGCCATCATGGCAAAACAGCCTGAATCACATCAACAACAAACACAGATAACACGCGGCGGACGTGGTGGCCGTGGTTATCGAGCTCGTGGTGGTCGTCGTGGTAGGGGGAGAAGATGAACAAATATCTTACAATGAAAATTTAATCATGTACCTCAGATCATCATTGACCATATTCTTTATTTCATAATGTGAAATCACTGGTTTCAGTATATCGACCATCATTTTCATTATCATTAGAAACATAATTTTTTGAATTTTCATTTTGATATATTATTTTTCATGAATTGCATACCTACACAAAAAATGCATTGCTTAATGTATTTTGTACTTTAGACAAATATATTTGTTCATCATTTATATTTCATCATCATTTTTAATCGATCATGAAATAATGATACCTTCATTATTCATTATTGGAAAAATTTTTCTTTATATCTATCTTGAGAAATTCTTGCATAGCAAAACATCAGCGCAAACAAAAAAAAATTTAATAAAAATCCATGGAAATACATCCTCAATCATATTTTTTTGTCACTCGCGACTTCATACTTAATTTCTATATAAAATTGTAAATCATACAAAATGAGAAAATTTAATTTTTAATTAAATTTTTTTTTGTGCTGAGAAAAGCTTTAATGGTATACCAAATAAAATCATTTTTATAAATTGTTTTGGCAATCGATATTCGGTTAATTTCATTGCCAGATTTTTTTTTTGTCGATTGAAATTTTATGGAAAAAATAAAATATTCTACAGTGGTTTTTCATTGGGATTGATTCGAACACATTCAATGATTTATATAACAACATACACGTTCTTTAATTTATAAATGCGTATGCGATTATTCTGAAGAATTTCTATTTAAAAAAAGGAAGGATTCAATTTGATCAATTTTTATTGATGAAACTCTGAATTCCAATTTGTTTGTTTTGTTTTAATTCGATTGAATATGATGATCAAGATTGGTGGTAAGATTTATTGGTTATTTTTTCCAAGTTTTTCTCTTCTTATTCCATCGAATTTACTTATTTTATTATTCATTCGAATTGTGAATAATTCACAATTTTTGAACTAAGATGAACATCTGGAATTAAAAAAAAAATAATTTCAATTTTTTCTCGTATATGAAATTCAGCTTTGTTAACAACAATCATTTTCGTTGTTGTCTAATGGAAAAACATTCCAAATTTAAAACATTTTCTCAAATCTCTTTGATTCTTTGGATTTTTTTCTCTCTAAAATAACTGATCCAAACATTCAACAAATGTGTTTACCATCTGAAATCCGTTCTATATTTGTTGATAAATTCTTCAAAAAAAAAAAAAAAAAAAATTCGAGGACCGAATTCTTTTATATTATTCATTCATAAAGAACTGATTCCTAAATTCTATGTGTAGAAATTTTAAATTAAATTTCTTACTTCACTCAAATTATTCGGATCAAAGCGATAATCAAAAACCAAAATCCATCATTGATGTTTGTTTAAACATCAATAAGGGATTTTGGCCCAAAGGCTATCGAATAGTAGTAGTATACGTTACGAACGTTAGAAAAATTTTACGTCCGCACACACACAGACACACATTCAATGTGGCCAAACTACTTGTTTTTATATTGTCCGTTTGAATTCAATTCGAGTATCGTTTAACATTGGGAAAAAATTGCGCGCCATAGAAAAAATTTGTTGATTGAGATTTTGTTGTTTTCTTCGTCGAATATGAATGAAAGATAGAGTAATGGAAAGAGATATAGAGAAACTAACTATAGCCGTACTGGTCAGGTCTTCAACAGCGAAACAAGCTTATGTATTTTTTTCAGGCTTTAGTTTTTTTTAAGTTCTTTCTGTCCCTTTCTCTCAATAATTTTCACTCATCCACTTTCGTAAAAAGAAAAGAAAATATGATGAGCATTCAATTCATGTGGTCTTCTCATTGCCATTCGTTGTATGTTTTTTGAATGGTGAAAGCCTCGATTATGGTTTCAATATTTATTTGGCCAACAAATACACATTGGATAACAGCAACAGAAAAACAAATGATTTTCAAGCATCAATGAAAATTTTCATCATCAACAACAAATTATGATGATGACGATGAAGAATGTAAATTATTATGAGAAAGAAATAACTTTTATTCAAATTATTATATCTTGATATGAATATATTTAAGTGTGTGTGTGTGAAAATATTCCCTTGTAGCATTTTAAATCATAATCATAATTATCATTATGTTGAAACATTGAAGTTTCCATAATTTTATCATCAACAACATTGTATTGGATATCATAGATTCAATTTAAGTTTGGTGTTATTTGTTCATCTATGTGAATTTATCTGTGCAAAGTTTTTTTTCTGAATATTTTGTCGTCGTTGTTTTATATTTGTCAAAAAATCAAAGTTAAACTACCACCATCATGTAGATATTATCCGAGCCAAAAAAACATCATATCATAAGTAAGTACATTGTAATAATCATTTAGCCATCTAGACATTTTGATCAGTAAATTTTATAATTTGAAACAAGGATTCGAAAATAAAAATACACCGAGAAAAAGATGAAAATAATTCAAAATTTATCCATTTAAATCAACATCATTCATGATCTCGGATATAAATTAGTTATAGGTATTAATCTTTGATCGGTCTGAAATGGATGATAAAATTTATGGTAAAAATCTTGTTTGTTTTTATATTTGTTTTGAGATCTAACTTCTGGTTCAACAACTTTAGTAAAATTTGTATTTTTTGTTTGTTTGTTTTGCATCTCATGATGAAAATCTCTAAATTTTCTCCAAATATACGGATGTTTGAAACCTAACCCTGTTTTCCATTCAAAGTTTTTGTTTTGATTTTTTTCCCTTTCATTCTTTGTTTGTTTTCTTTCAATATTTTAGTAATTATAATTGATCTAAAACCCAATGATTTTCTATTTAAAAAAAAGACAAACGAAAATAATCCTTATGTTTCTGAAATCTGCAGATATATTTCTCAACTTATATTTAACAAGATGAAATAATTTTTTAATCGGATTGATCGATTGATTGATTGAATTGTTTGATTGCTTCTTTCACTGTGTGTTTGTATCACCAAATATCTTTCTTTTTTTTGAAATCGAAATAAACATCAAAAATACGTTATATGTAAATCGAGCAAATCCTTGTATCTGTTATTGATCGATTTGATTTTTGTTCTCTGTTTTTGGTCGCCCTTCCTATGCTCATAGATCGATAAATAGATTTTAGGTTTCTGTTTCAATCGGCGAAAAAAAATCCCATCTTTATTTTTCACCATCAAATGGTGATGACGGGATTTTTCCTGGTAATTTTTGTTTAACAAGAAAAAATGATAAAAAACGGCTAAAATTTTTCTTGTCTTGCCCATAACGAAATTAGTGACATAGTGGATTTGGGTTACCTGAATGGATTCCTGTTGTTATTGTCACCATTTTCAATTCATTTTGATGATTGACATTCAATATAAATATATAGTTTTATCAATTGATTCATAAATCCATTACATCGATCATCAATAATTCGGTTGAATCATTTCGAAACAAAATGATGGAGAGCGAGAGAGAGAGAGGAAAATTCTATTCAATTTTGTCACGAATTCGTTACTTTTATAATGTATTATATTTTTGAAAGGATTTTTATTATTTTCTTTCGATTCGGTTTCATGATGACTATATTATTTTGAATAGGAAAAAATCGATGAATTAAAAAGAAAATTGCACCGTAAAATAATGATCACTATTCCCTAGTGAAGAAACTTGAAAAGGAAAAAGGATTTAATGAAATAATTTTTTAAAGATAAACTTCTCAAAAAATTAAAAGCATCATTCAATACCACGTGTAATTATAATCTAAAATAGCTATATCAAGTTCAAAAACATATATAGGATTGTATATCAACCGTACTTGGAGCAAATGAATGAATATAATTTCCATCATCAATAACAATTAATCGATGCCAAATGACCTGTCCTCAATTTTTCTCGAACAAAGAAAACAAAAATAGAAAAAAATACCCTTTATATAACTTTAATGGTTGAATTAGTATAAATGGATGACCATTAAAGATGACCATATTGTTCCATTATGGTCATATATAAATCTAAATAATAGTATAATTTCAGGAATGGCATTCAGGTATTAATGTTTGCCTCTCCTTTGAATCTATCAACGAATAACCGAATGATGATTGTTCATTCATCGTTTTATTAATTGATTTTTTTTGCTTCTTTACATTCAATCCAATTGAATAGATTCCATTCCCTTTGTTCATTGTTGTTGTTGATGTTGCTCAGAGTAAATCATTAATTTTAATCATTTTTTCCAATTCAATATAAAAAAACAATTTTTTTAATTCTCCATTAAAAGCTAGGATTAAATTTTCGATCATTTTCAATAATAACATTGTGTATAAATAAGTGTTAATTGGGATATTTTGTGGTTTTGTTTGAATGAATCTTTTCAAATATTTATTTTTTAAGTTTGTTTTTTTCTGAATACTTTTTCTTATCACTTTTTTCAAGTATTCAGATCATCAACATTATTTTCCCAATACTTTGCGTTTTCATTAAAAAAAAATATTCATTTCATTAAAAATGACGCAGAAACGAATTATATAAATGAAAAGAAAATGTTTAAGACTCAAGATCAGCGCAGGCAAACACAAATCCAAACAAACACGGGATTTTTTTCTTGAATTAAGAAAACGAATTGATTCTTGCTTAAAACATACTTTGCCTCAAGACTATGGAGTTCAAAGTTGGGATATACCAAATAAAATCTAAAATGAAAACAAAAATTTGAAATTAATTGGAAATTATTTTTATTTATTCAAAAAAAAAGAATCAGCAAACTTAGATCTTTGAAAAAATCCAAAAAACTAAAATAAAAGTTTATTGAATAAAACATTTGGAAAAAAATTTCGTTTTAAAATTTTCCCTTTCTCTCACCGGAAAAACAAATCAAACATAATAAGCATTTCTTATTTGCCAAAACCCAAAAAAAAACATTCGAATTTGTTTCTCCGAGAAATTCAACTATTTTTAGATACGACATTTTCTGATGTTGTTGTCCATCCCGTTTTCATCGCATTTGATAATCAAAATATTTGCTTTCACACAAACATACAAACATTTATATATTTACGTCAAATTCAATCTTAAGTGTATTTTATCTATCTTTTTTTTTAATCTAAGAAATTGCATAAATATCATCACTATAATTATGCTTTAGTTGCTTTTATTATTATTATTATCACTATAGCCATATACTTATTGAAAATAAAAATGAAGAAACAAAAAAATCCAACGATAAATTATTTGACGATGGCCATGATCTAACTTAAAAAAAATTCATTAATTAATAATCATTATTATAATAATAAATATTTTAAACGTTTTTTTCCAGGTAAAAAATTCGTATAGAAAGGGTGTGGAAAAAAAAGGATTTCGGATTTGCCAACAAAGAAAAAATGACAAAGATACAGCCAAAAATTTTATTGAATAAAATTTTTTCTTTTTTCTTCCTGTTTTGTTGTTCTATACATCATTTGTCATTTCATCCTCATCATCATCACCATCATCATTGGTTGTCGTCGAATAAACATAAATTATTGTGAGAAGAAAATAAAAACGATTTCCTTTTCGATTTTTCATCAAATTCCAATTATTGTTCCAAACATTTACAACCAACACACATGACAGATTGGCCTGATGATGATCAAAAGGAAAAAATAAAAAAAAATTGTCTGAATAATCATCATACATCATTTGTTATTATCGTTTTTTTTCATTTATTTGCGAAATATATTTGGAAATAACCGAATAAAATAAACAAAAATTCAATGCCACTGTTTGTCTGTGTGGGTGTGTGTTTATCACCAGAATAAAATTTTGAAACCTCGAAATAAAACAACTGCAAATTGATTCCTCTGCTTTTTCTTCTTTTTTTGAAAAATTGTAATTTTTGAAAAAAAATTGTCATTACTTATCGAAGAGAAAAGTTTCGTCATTTTTTATCATTTTGGTTATGGTCATCTTAATGATGATGACAGTTATCATTAGTGTTTTATCATATAAATGACCACAAGTACCAACTCTTCTTCATTTTTTTCAAATGTCGTAATCGTGCCATCGTCATAAAATTTAAATTTTTAAATTTCTTCCTTTCCTATCAGAAATAAAACACATCATTGATGTCGACAACGATAATGTCTAAATCATTTAATTCGAAATCAACAACATCCGAACAAATTATGAAATTGATTGAAATTATTCGTTCCAAATATGGTTATGGTTTTACATTGTCCGGTATGTTTTTTTTTGAAAAATGATTTTATTTTTCTTTAATAAATTTTGCTTATATCATGTATTATCTGTTATAAGAGTAGGTTGACTGGTTTTTCAGTTTTATTTTATGTTTTACTTTGAAAAAGAATAATTAGCTTGTTAAAATTCTCACACCTTATCGATGGAAAGAAATGAAAAATTGCATATATTCGATTCAGTTCATCATATTCGAGGAACTTTATTATCCAGGTGTTGAGATTGATTTTAAATATTTTTTTCTGGTAGATGCAGTCAATCAAGATCATTAAAATAAAAATTCATATATAATTTAGATTTTTTTCCCAGATATTAAACAAAAAAAAATGTGATTGTGGAAATACAAACTCTTTTTCACGATAAAATTTCTTATCAATGATGGAAATTTTGTAATATACATTTTTGATTTGTTCATATCTCATTATCAATATCCTTGTGTATCATAAGTTAGTTTTCTCATCACAATACCCAATACAGCAATTTGATCTTTCGATTTTCGAACGATTCAACTTTATTCGATGAGAATTTATATGATAATTCAAATATGAATATCTTATCGAAACATTTTGTGATGACAGATAATGATGTGAATTTAGTCAATCAAAATGATCTGAAAGTTTTAACCATTTGACATTTATTGATATTTCGGGCATTTAAATTAATCAACAAATCCTTTTCATAATCCAAATGACAAATTATCCTGGACGTAGAAGGAAAAAAATCTACATTGATAATTGGATTAAAAAATGTTTACCATTTTAATAGTTGTTATTTATCAATCAATTTCGTTATCTTTTTTCTATTAATCACTTTTATCCAATAAACCATATCAATCTACCATATCAATCATTTATATAATGTAATGGTCATCCATTTATCCATCATATAATGAGATTATAAATCGACCTTTTGTTAAAAAAAATTAATTAATCTTTCATCAATTAATCATCATTTCAATAGATTCATCCAAAACAAGTAATATATGTTTTTTTCCCATTCATTCATTGGTTCCGGAATAGTTTTAAAATTTTCATTTCCTTTTTCTTTTTCAAAAAAATTTTCCCAAGTGAACTTTTTTCAAATGTCACTGAGCCATCAATCATTCAATTCTAATTATGTTTTATAATCATCTGATAATCTCAGACAAATTAGTTATAATTGATATTGGATGTGATAATTTTTTTAAAGTAAAAAATATTCAAAATGACCACAATATGATTCGTTAATTGATGTTCGTGTGCAGTGTCCCTTTTCGAATTAATTTTCTATGTTTTCCAATGAACAATTTGATCATTCAAAGTAAAATTTTTATAATAAAATCATGTGCATTCAATCTGATTAAGTTGAAATTTTGTTTTCTTACTCATACTCAGAAATATACTGTGCTTTATTTTTCAAAAAAAAAAAATATCCTATTAGTATCTTAAGAATCAATAATTTAGGTTATTTGGGTGTCATTTGCGTGTGTGCATGTATTTTCAGACATTTCACAATTTATTTGCAAGAAAATATTAAATTAGTTTTTACTTTTTTTTGTGTAAATAAAGAATTAGCTGAAAAACTACCTTGAAATTATTCATCTTTTGATTTACTAAGTTTGCGTGCTTTCTTTATTTTGGTCATAATAGAATAATTTTTCTTTAAATAATTCTTTTAAGCTTTTATTTTGTCTTTTTTGTTATAAATTATATTCAAAGAAAAAATGGTCACCTTCTTCATTTCGTAATCATGTCTAAAACAATTTGTTATTTTTAGTTGAATTAGTTACATTTATTTTGGTTGTTGTTAAAATTATTTGTCTAGATTTTAATCAAAATTCATTAATAATTCAATTCAGATTCGATTTCAGACAATTTTTTTTGACCGTTTGTTAACTCCCTTAATTTAAGATGACATAACTGTGGTTCTCATTGTTGTTCTGATTTTCCTCCGGTTTTTTCCATCCCTTCCCGGCCTTTCTATCATACCTTCAGAATACAAATATTTATTTTTCAATCGTTCGGAAAGTCATTAGCTTTTTTCCTATTAATCTCATGCAAAAAGTCGTTGGTGACTTTCCAAACAGTTTGTATATAAATATAGAAAAAAATTGCGAATGTTTAAGAATTCTTGTCTATTTCACACAAACAAAAGCCATATCATTAAAGAAATATTTCTTTGAAAATATTCTGGTTAATGGAAATATAAAATTATTTTTTGTCCTTAATGTTTGTATATCATAATGATTACAATAATATTATATTTATTCGTCATTTACTTTGGTAAACTTATCATGAATCATCATCATTTATGACAATTATGTTGGTCCAGAAACACTAATTTTATAACATATGTGGATGATAAACAATGATAAAAGAATGAAATGAATGCACAAGTTGAAAGTATTGACTTGCTGTCGACCTAAATCACACACATTTATGTGTTTCGTTTTTTTCTTCCACTTGATGGTCACGCGATTCTTTATGAGTTTTTTTTCAATATGACTACTTGGTCTGTCATTTTTATTTTGTTTTGTGTAATTCGTGTCCTAGGTACCCGAATGGTAGCAAGTTATTGTCGTTCATGTTAATCTAATCGGACAAAAAAAAATTCTTGACCGGAATAAATGTTTTCTCTTTACAATTTTCTTTTGTCGATTGTTCCATTTATTTGTCCATATTAATATGGATAGGCCTCTATAGTTACCAAAAGTTTGAATTAAAATTCAAATTATATAAAAACTACCACTACACGGCCTATAAAAATTGTAATGACCATGCCATATCAAAAAAAATTCTTTTCCATTAATCGTTTCATTGTCTTGGTTATAATAATTCTGAAAACTTTTTTCCCTGGTTACAATTTGTAAACCCTTTTTGGATTTGCATAATATTACATCAGTTGTTAAGGCCAAAAATGAAAGGTGTGAATGTTGTGAACAAATAAACGAACAAAAAATCACTAGCCTCATTTTTTTCAATGTTTAATATCTTATTATTTTCATGTTTTGCAAATTCAACCAAGAATTTTCTATTACATTCGTTTCATGAAGTATTTGAATCATCTAATAAATTTAATTTTTTTCATTGTATAAAATATCCAATTCAGGTGAAATGCCATGCCGATTAACACATGTCAAAGGACATGCACGTTCGGGTGGTCTACGATCCGGTGATCGTCTTCATATCGTAAATGGACAAAATGTTGATACATTTACACATGATCAGGTGGTCGAATTGATTACATCAATTCCAGATGGACGATTATTGTTACATGTTTCAGCTGCTTCTACTGACGATTCTCTTTCATCATCATCATCACCATCATCATCATCGTCATCTACATTATCATCTTGTTGTTCATCTATTGATGAAAATAATGATAAACAAAAGCCAATGATTTGTCGTGATAATCAAAAACAAAACCAACGTCAATTTAATTCATCTTCCGCTAAAATTGCTACTTCGACTTCAAAATCAATGATGATTGATGTTGATCGAAAATCATCGATATCACTTCTAACTACATCGACACTTCCTAACCAACAGCAATCATCGAAAATGCAAAAATATCGCTCACATCGAAATACTAGACATCATCATCATCGAAATAATCATCGTACTATACCTCGCAATCATCATAATTATCATACGAAAAAACATCGATCAATAAAAAATAATCAATGCAAACGCCAGCAGCAACAAGAACCACAATCTTCAACAACGACAATCTTAAGTCCATCAGAAACATATCAAGATGAATCTCAAATATCATCATCTAGGTATCATTATCGTAACAAACCTAGATTCAAAGATTATAAACGAAATTACCATCATCAAAATCGATATCATAAAAATGGTGATCAATCATGCAATAGCGATGGTGATATCTATACTAATGTAGCCGAACATTTTGAGGGCCTGTGGAAACGAGCATCAAGTCAAACTGGAACGCTCCATCAAACACAATCACAAAAACCATCGTTTCATTCATTCAAATCAATAGACAGCCTATTGGAACGATTTCCAAATCATGACAATCATAAAGATTGTGATGAATCAATGTTACATCAACATTTTCGAAATCATAAAAAATTAGAAAACAAACAAATTCTGCTGAATATTCAACATCAACAACAACAGCAAAAACAACAGTCGTTTGGTGATGCAAAAGAAGTCAATAAAAAAAAGCTATTTCAAATTGAATCTGATCATCAAATGAATGATATAAACTCGTTTAAAGTTGATGCCGATGTTCATCATCATCATCATCAAGTTCAGCCAGACTACCATAATAATGATGGAAAATTATTTGCACTTTCATCAAAAAATTTATCGATGACCAGTGATCAAGATTTAATTCCAAATGAACAACAATTATTTATTGCAAAAAAGAATGAACTATCTAAAACAAAAACAAATTCTACATCAGGCTTTTCTTCTATATCGCCATCATCATCAACATCCATTTCTCCTGGATCATCACCAACATCGACCACTGAACGATTGATAAATGAAACGAAAATACAACCAAACATCGTCAATATTGAACAGCATTTGGTGAGTTCCATTTCAGTTGAATGTTTTATTTCTTTATTTTCTTTTTCATTTTTTTACAATTCAATTCAACAATTGGCTCCTTATTGTTGTTGCAAAAAAGGCGATTTCTCAAACTTGACCTAGTTTAGTTTAGTTTAGTTTAGTTGTCTTGATTTATCTTGGACATCACCTGTCATTTTTTTCGCTGTTGCTTTCTTTTGTTTCTATTTATACAATAAATATGTGATAATGAAAAGAGGATAAAGAAAATATATTCAATAGAATATCGGCTAGCCATAAAATTTCATTTATTCAATTTATTCCTTCGCTAACTATGATGACCTTGTACTTGACTTTTCTTCAAGGTTTTCTCAGAAAAATAATTCATACATTTTAATAATATGATGGAACAAATTTTTCAAAACTATTTGTCAACCGTCATAGTTTCAATGGTCATCTAATTCTATTCAAATATTCGTCTATTGACGAATTGACTTTTGTAGATTGATTGATTGAATTTTTGTTTCCCATTTCATTCATTTTCCATTATTCATTGCCATTATGACTATATTTTGTTTTTTACATTCATTTTTCACTTTATTTCATTGTATTTTTAGCTTTGAAATTCAAATTTTGGGCTATGAATGTGCAAAGCTTTTTATCATTTTTTGATTTTGTTTATGTTTTGCATTGTGGTCGATTGATCAAACATATAACTGACGGAAACTCTAAACTTTCTTGAGAACAAAAAAAAAAGAAACACTTCAAAATATTGAATAACTTCAACTGTGTTAAAGAAGTGGAAAAAAATAGGCGAGGATTTCCGTTTTATTTTTGTGAAAAAATTCCATTCAATTAAAAAAAACAAACAGCGAAAAAATGCCGTTAGTTGAGCATGAAGAATATAATCCGGAAATCGGTGAGACTATTGATCTCTCTCACTCTTGGTTTGAGTCTGAAGAATGCTTTTTCTTGATTTTCAATTTTTTCAAACTTGACAAGTTTGTTATACAATCATTTATCTGGATGTGTGTATCAAGCTGTGAATGATTTTCAAATCTTTTCATTTTCTCATTTATTAACAGTTTTTATTGTTCAAATCATTCATTCTTTCATTCGAAGTTAACCAAAAAAAATAGAAAAATAAATTGCAATAATCAATCACTCAGCCAATTAACCTTCTCTATTTCATCTTTTTCACACAGTGTATCCACTGATTGCAATGTCATCGTAAAACAAAAAAAAAGATGTTTATGTTTTGGATTTTTACTTTTCTTACTTTGTTGTTTTTACAATTGAAACAATACAGAAATTCTAGTTGAAATTTATTCTGGTCGCTTTTGCTATCAAATTCTGTTGTTCGTTTTGTTCGTTTTGAAAAACATTTTGAAAATACTTTGTCATTCTTCATTTTTTTCTTTTCGATTCCGTTTTTTATTTTCAGTAAATTATTTCTATTATTGTCAAAATGACCTTGCTTTCATAGTAAAAAAAAACGGAAACAGAACTTTCAAACTTAATTACATTTTTCTTCTTTTTTCATCATTACTATTTCCATACACTTGGATCGAAAGAACAAAATAAAAATAAATAAATAAACAAATAAGTAAAAATCTGAATCATAGGTTTTGTTTTAACTTGAAATTTCCGAAGCGAATAGTTTTGTTTTTTACTTGTTCTTTCGAATATATTAGAATTATGATTCTATAAACACTATTCAAAATAGAATAAAAATCAACTAGAATCAGAAAAAAAATCGATTTAATCGACATTTAATCGATCGATTTTCATTACTATTATTGTCTTTTGATTTTGATTGTAATTTCTTTTTTTTTATATTGAAAATATACAGTTGTCTTCCTACCGGAACAAAACAAGAAAAAACTGTTTTTCTTATGATTAAATTGTCTTTTTTTTAATTTTCTGTTTTGATTATCTTTTTTTTGCTTTTGTTTTTATAGTTGATGCAATCTTCGAAAACATCACCTCCGGAACTGTTCATTTCAAATGCTTCAACAACAACAACATTATCAACTGATCCTGATCAACATTCGCAAGCAATATTTCGTTCAATCGTCGAATGTATACGAATTGTTCGTTATCGTAATGATCATAATATTTGTCATGATCAATGGATAAATATTCAATCAATATTTGATCATGATCATCATACATCGTCATCTGAAATCATTGATGATGATGAATCGAATTTCCCATTATTAATTGCCATATATCCATGTGAATTATATCTATTTAGCTATAAAATAAATTGTCATATAAGAGCCAAACAAATCATACAATGTCAATTATTATGGCCGACAAATAAAGAATATTTTGTATTAATCATACGTGATGATTTTGACTGGATTCGTGCATTTATAATGAAAGTTTCATCCGAAACCTGGCAATCTCATCAAAATCATCATCAGATAGCTTCATTATTATCAATAAAATGTACTCCAGATCCGATTGCCAAGAATCATTGTCTTGAATTTCCGGGTAAGTGAATTCGATGAAAAAAGAATTGTGAATAAGGTTTCCATTTACATTATGTTATTGCTAATGTTGTTAAAATAAAAATTTACATATGAAAATTATTCACATTGTTCATCATTGCTATTGATGATCCTGTTTATCTGGCTTATTATCATTTCTTATTTTTCATTTAAATAATAATATCTGTTCTTTATTTAATGAAACCAAATTCACAGAAGTCATAATTACAATATGGTTGGATTGATTTTTTCATTAACCTGGAATTAGTTGACTACTTTTTTAATGATAATGAACAAAATCATAATAATAATGATAACAACAACAGTTTTTTTAATGAAATAAAATCTCTAACTAGTAATTGTTAATGGCATGCACCTTTCATTATTTTATTTCTGTTTTTGTATTGTACATACAGTAATCTATACATCGAAATGGATAATATGGTTTTTCTTTTTTGTTCAACATTCACCAGTTTTCCAGAATAATTTACCAATCATTTGAATAAATAAAGAAAAAATATCATATAATCATCGTTATCATTGCAAAACGGATTAGATAATACAATTTTTTTAGGGAATGATTTTCATTATTTATCAAACACGAAAATGAGATTTTTTTTCCTGTTGAATTCTTCCTTCAAAGATTTCCTTGAATCTTAAATTTAATGATAATGATAATAATAATGGTGATATTGTCTTGATATTGAATTCTGTAATTGGGAATCTGAAACACAAAAAAAACAGGGAGATCATTTTTTCCGCTCATATTGAAAAGCGGCCGCTGGTAACAATATATGTTTTACAAGAATTTTTCTCTATTTATTCATTTTTCAATTGAAAAAAAACACAAGTACACATACACATTCACACCAGGGAAATAAAATACCGTCTTGTGTTTACCATTCAAGTTCAAGAAACGAAAAGAATAGGAAAGAAAAAAAGTATATTATAAGAATAATGAATGGAAAAATGTTTGATGATTTGCAAATTAGTTTACTTACTATGACAAAGGACAAAAAAAACATATGACAAAGATTCATGTGAAGATATTATGAAAGAATCAAAAACAGAAAAGCAAAAATTATTCAGCCGATTCAATGAAATATTCTTCGGCAAGTAATTTTTTTACATTTCCTTTCTTCTCTTCAAATTTTAACAATTTTAACATTCATTCATTTATTTATTTTTCAATACTTTTGGAAAATTTTGTTCCCCATCTTTTCCTCTTTGTTATTATTGATGTTGTCGAACAAACAAAACAAAACCTACAAATTTGAAGTTGATCAAGGTTAAACTGAATGATTTAAATGATTTGAAAACAAGTAAAAACAAACAGAAATTGTTCTTTGATATTCATATAAATCTCATTCTTTTTATCTTTTCATGATATGATAGATTTCAAATGAAGAATACAAATAAAATCAATGTGATTTACTCTGTCCTCAATTTTCTCAAGAATTGCATTCATTTTTAAGAGGGCACGCGCACACTGTAAAATCGATGCGATTTTTTTTTCTTATTCCGTTGTTTTTCTTACTTGATATCGTTTACATTTTTTCCCCATCAAACAACTAGAAATAACCGAATTTATATTCTGTTTTATTATGTTAATTTTTTACTGTTATTTTCCTGGGAATTGTCAAAGTTTTTATTTTTCGTTTTATTTCACAAATTTTTTTTCTTTCTTTCTTTTCTCTTCGTTTGATGTTCAGAATGAAAATCAATTTTCAATACCTGATTGAATAATAAGTTGACAGTGAATCAACAATATTTATATGATGAATATTCGTTATATAATTGACAAAATGATTTATCATCATCATCAACATTAACAACAACAACTTTTGCTTCATTAAAAGCACGTCTTTAATATTTACTATTTTTTTCCAGTACATTGCATATTTATGCAAATAACTTTTTCACATATATTCTGTTTATAATGATACATAATTTTTATAAAATTTTATTGAATTATTTTTCATTCTCAAAATCATTTTCTATCAAATTTATTCACTCATTTTTCATTGATGAATAGGTTTTATGAAAATATAAAAATCGTTGATTAGATAATGATAATGATTGTAACCTAATTAAAATAAATAAATAAATAACCTAATTAATTTGTCAATAATTTGTCCTATCAACTAGAAATGAAGAAATTTTTCTTGTTTCGAAATTGTTGATTATAAAAAAAAGTATGAAAGAAAAAATAGATTACATCATATATTTGTGTGTATGTGTTTTATTATGAAGAATTAAGGTGTATTTAAGATCAAAAATGTATGTGTGCCTTAGTTGTAGGCCCGGGTACATTTTTTCTCATTGTTTTTTGTTGCAAGAAAAACTTCAACAGAAAAATGATGCCGATTACAAACATTCATAAGAAAATTCACTACCTACCATTTTTTATTTCTATTTATTTCTTCTAAATGTGAATATTGACTTTTTGCACATTGACGAATGGTACTTCTATGTTTATTATTTTTATTTTTATTATGAAAAAAACTACCTTATTATAGTCGATCTTATCCTAATAATGATGATGATGATTTCAACAATAACGACTAACAGTGTACAATAGTCATTCTCTATAATTGAATTTTTTATTCTTTAAATTTCATATCGAATCAAGAATATTTGAATTTCAAAAAAACAAATCAATATGTTTGAATGATGGTGATGATGATGATTGTCGTTTTGTTAATGAAAACAAAAAAAAATTGTCAAGTGTTATTGTATTTTTGAATTTCTGCAAATTCTGATTAAATATTGAGTTCAAATAAAATGTAACCGAGTACGTCTATTGCGTGTAAAGAAACATTACTTGGTATAATAACAATTGGAAAAATTTCTTCGGTAGTTTTTTTTGTTCAAACAGAGTTTTTGTCTTTGTTTTTTGTATCATTTTTAAGTGTTCAAAATTAATAGAAATGAAAATTTTCAATACCATTTCTTTTATCGGATTGAATAATCGAATTTTTTCTTCATCGTTAAAAAATGTGCAATTTCTGAATGCCATCCGTTATGCTGTATGATAACAACACAACACTTTGATCGTTTTGATTCAAGTTTCGTTTGTGATTTTGATTTCCGATTTCGATTTTTTTTTTTTTCAGTTTCTGTTCCAGACTAAGACCGAAACATGTAATCTTTTTTTTGTTATTACTACTATTATTATTATTTTCATCATCGTTTTTTTCTCTTTTTTGTTTGTTTGATTTAATTCAACATCGCATATAAAAAGGAACGCACACATGTATGTTTGTCTATTTGTATGTGAAGGCTTTCTTTGTATTCTATTCGTTTGTTTAGAAAAAAAAAGTTTCTTGGAACGTGTTCACTTTGTTTTCTTTGTTTGTTTTCCAAAGATACAGTTCATCAAACATAATACTCTACTGTATTATTTGGCAATGAAAAGAAAAGAAAAAATCTATGTAACTAATGTTTTGTTCGAATATATTTTTTGCTTTCAAACTAATTGACATTCATTACTTTTTTAGCCATAATTATAAAGATGATGGAAAAGTATTTTATAAAAAAAAAGAAACAAACAAAAAGAAACTTCTATTCTTATATTCTGAAAACAAAAGAATCAGCTAATAAATTTTCATTCATTCATTCATTCATTCATTTTAATCGAAAAAAAAATCCTTATACCGAAAAAATAAGGATATAATAAAATTAACACATTAAGAAAAGAAAAAAAAAACATGAAAAAGAAAAAAAAAATAATACACAATCAAAGAAAACCAAAAGATTTTGAGAAAAAAAAAGAAAAAAATAAAAAAAATAAAAAAAAAAAATAATAATAATAATAATAATAATAGTAATTAAAAGAAAAAAAAAAAAAATAAAAAAAATTAAAAAACCNTTAGATGAATCGAATCCTCTAAGGCACCACAATTACAGTATGGATCATTTGCACGATTAATTCGATATAGATAGCTTCGAAAATCACCATGATTGGAAATGAATTGAGTGATTACATAATCTGGAGAAAGATTGGAATTCCTCCTATGAAAAATTGTTGGAAAAAACAATCTTGTGACACGGCCATTATTTGAAGATAGCCACAGACGATTCCATTTAATTGTCGTAATCCAACGAATAATTTTTTTCAAAATAATAATAACTAATAAATTAATAAATTAGCTAATAAATTAGCATTGTATTATTCTGGTTGTTTTATTTTCAGTATCTTTGAAAATTATTTGCCAACATTTATGAAAATTCTATTTGATAATCATCAAATGAATCGAAAAACATTGTTGTTAATAACAATCAAATCATTCTTATTTAGTAATAATTTATTTTTTTTCTGATTGTTATCGTTGTTATAACCAATAGATTTTTTGTCATCCGGAAAAATTGACAACAAATTGATTAGATCTTTTTAATCTATTTATTTTATCCATATTCTGAATTCAAATTCATGATCATCATCATCATTGTTGGAATGAATAAGAGAAAAACTACACCATTTTTAATGGGTGAATTTTCTATTCATTTATCTTTTATTTGGTTTTTTATTTTTTTCAAATATTTATTTGATAAAGCAAATGTTTGATTTTAGGGTTTGCCATTCATTACAATTGAAGAAAAAAAAATAGCAAAGTAATTTGAACAAATACATTTTCTACAATTTTTTTCATTTCACCCATATATTTTCATTGATGATCTTACTTGGTTATTTTCTTTTAACCCCTTTTCTTTTATTTCCAGTGAACAAACATACTTTGAAAAATAAAATGTCACGAAAACTTTTTTTTTATTCAATGTTTTCACCCATCAATGGTTGTAGGTGTGTGTGTATGAAATGAATTCTTTAAAAAAAGGTTTCTTGTTTCAGTTTCTAACCCATATTTTTATACAAAAAAAGTTGAAATTCTTTCCATATTCTTGGCCATGAACAATAATAATAATAAAGTAAAATTTTTTAAGAAATAAATAAGATGAAAAATAAACAGGCAAAAGTATTCTCTGTAAATAAATTCTTATTTTTTTTTTTTTTGTTGAATGAAAAAAATAATTTGCAACATTTGTTGTTATTCGTTATAATATTTTTCCAAAATTTAAATTGCATGCCATTTTAAAGTTCATTTTTTAAAATTTTATTTATTTTCTTTCTATCCCTCTTGTTCATTATGTTCTACATTATATAATAACCATCATTCGTTTTGTAAAGAAGAATTTTCATTGAAACTAGGCATACCAAAAAACACGCCCACCCTTTTTTTTATTATGAAACTATGTTGATCGAAAATCATAATAACATGAATTCAATCAGTAAATTCTTAAATCAAGTTTATTCGATTGATTGATTGATTGATGGATTTCAGATTGAGAAATTGTCAAGAATTTTTTTCTCAATTTAAACGAGTTTTCATTTGATTCGTTTTTTTCGCTGATTAGTTTCATTCCTTTATTCTTTCATCTTATAATATCATTTTCTGTGCAAACAGCATTAGCATACCATTTTTTAATTTGATTATATAATTCTTGTTGATCCCTAAAAATATAATGTATTTTTTTTGGATTTCTTTGGTTGTAATTTTCAATTTCCATTATCACATTTGATTAAATATTTGTTCATTTTTTTCTTTTCTTTACAGAAAATTGCGAACCGATATTACGCACTATTTATACGCTTTATCGGCGACATTTAACCAATAATAATAATAGTAATAATAATACGAATAACAACAATAACAATGGAATTGAATTGAATACTAGATCAGAAATGATAACGAAAAAGAAGCCATTAAATAATGACCAACAGGCGACATCGATAACAACAACATCGATTATGGCCAATGACCAGAATAAAATAATTCGGCCTAGATTTTCAAAAATGGATAAAATCCAAGGTCGTACCTCAGTCTTTTCATCACCATCATCATTGACATCGATTAACATGGGTCATAATTTACAAATGAAAAAAAATTTACCAAAAACAATATATGATAGTAGTAGTAATAGTAATAATTGTACGCCCACCAGAATTGAAAAAACAGCAACATTGTCAATGAATGATTTTACCGCTACAACGGAATCGGATTCATTTTTATTAAAAAAACAATTTTATTCATCCGACATGCTCGGTCATATTGTACAACAACAACAACCAATAGCAATAAATGAACAGCAAACACCTATTCCTCCGCCTACATTGTCTTCTACAACAGTTTCGACTACAATGACAACCAAAGAATCTATGTCGAATATAAATTGTAGTGGTAGTAAAATGATGATGGTTGAATCATCATCCGTTTGTCAGTCATCACCGAACAATCATTATAATTCCGAAAATTCACATTCGAAATTGTTGAATTCGTTGAACTTCCAAAACGGTAAAAACAAGGCTAGCATTGGTGAAAGTAACGGAAACAATCTAAAAACTCCAATAATCGCCGGGCACATAGGTAGTAACAATCATATCGATCCAAGTGTTACACCTGACCGATTGCAACAACAATACCAATCAATGGTTTCACCTTGTGAACAAAGATTGCCATCGAATCGTGAAACATATAATCGACCGAAATCAAATGAAACCAGTTCCAAACCAAATTCATTATTTTATTCATCGCCATTTGTTGTTCAGCCAATGATACGAAAGGCCGATTCATTAACGAAAGATGAATGGATTGTCAATGGAAATCGAACAATTCAACTCGATTCTTCATCATCGCAAAAAATCAATGCTTCTCATGTGCATCAAATGGTTGAACTGAATCATTATGATTCTGAAACATCTGATCAACAACAACAACATCAATATTATTTGTTAAATGTGAACAATGTACGACAAGCAGCAGAACGTTATCTTTTGCATCATCTACGTCATTATCATCAAAAAAATCCAAATTCTGATCGTTTAAATAATAATAATAAAAAAATGAGTGATGATACTGATCATCAATTAAAAATTAATAATAATAATAGTGATAATAAGAAATCAGAAGAGCAAGAAGTAAATATCATTAATGATAAAAGTAGTTTAAATACTGATGAAATATCTAGTCAGCAAACAAATACTGAAAATTTAACGGAAAAAATGTCTATATTAACAATACAACATCAGCATCATCGACCACCATTACCACTACCTTCATCATTATCATCATCACAACAGAATTCTTCGATTGACGATGATCAACGAAAATCAATTGATCATCAATCATCAATGAATATTCTGACCGGTCATTCATTTGAACATCATCATCATCATCATGAACATTCATATCAATCACCAACTGAATCATCTTTAATAGCAAACATTACGGTAGGTTATAAAGTTTATTTTAATTGAATCAATTTTTTTCATTGATTATAATCGCTTAATAAACGTCTGAGATCCAAAGTGAAAAATATCATCATTAATGAATTTGTTTTTTTCTTCTTTTCATTAATGATTATTTTCCATTTAATTTTTGAACAATTTTTTTTTCTTTTTGGAATTTTTTTCTCTGATTGTCATTATGAATTGAAGTTGATGTAATTTTTCAAATGGAATTTATATCTATTTTATTATTGTCACTTAATTTGTTGATATATATTCATTATGATTGTTGTTTTGTTAATTTCTTTTAGATATTTAGATATTATGTCAAAACTTTTCTTTGACAGAATTTATTCGTGCAAAATATTTTATTTTATTTTCTGAAAAAATTATTTCCATTTCATTCTTTCATTTGGATACTTTATGTGTGAAATATTTCTGATTAAAATTAATAATAACTATGATTATTAATAAAATTATTCATTCCCATAATCATTGTCAATTTTCATTTTTATTTTTATTTTCAAATAACAATGATGATGATGATTCTCAATGAAAAAACAAACAAACAGAGAGTGTTGAATATTCTTTTTCAAAAGAATAATGATAATAATTCTTTTAAAAAAATATTTTCGATTGACCAATTCATGGAATTCATTCCTGATTGATTGAATACCAAAACAATGTGTGTGTGTGTGTAAACTGTAAAAAAGAATACCAGTGAATCAAATTCCAATTCCATATACACACACAAAAATATATTTCGAACAATGTCTGCCATTTTATTTGCCTACCGAAGCATTGATAATGTAATATTTTTTGTTTTAGAATTAATAATAGAAAGTGAAAACTATGAGAGCTTGTTATTATTATTATTTTTATAATCATTATTTGTTTTTTTCCGTTTCATATAGGAAAATGAAAAGAATTTTGTTTCTCATTTTTATTATGTTTGGTTTTATTAATAAAATATTCAGTAATGATAATATTAATACTATTAATAATGAAAAAACTTTCTGAACTCTTGAGAAATTTTCAAACCAAAATATGAAATTACCGGTTGATGAGAATCTTGTGTGGGAATCTCGTCAAGGCAATAAGCAAATAGAAAACACACCAAATAAAAAAAAACTTTCAATTTCAGAATTGAATCATCTATCTATTGTAGTTTATATATAGTCGAGCATTGTTGATTTTATATAAATAAAATTCTTATCATCATTATGGTCATCATCATTGATTCATCAACACTTGTGAATTTCATCTATTTACTTTTATCAAATTCAATTAATATTTTCATATTACAAGAAAAAAGATTCTATTATCATCATATATATGGTTTAAAGAATTTTCCATGTTCTACTGCTACTCAGTTCCAGCTTAAAGAATTGAAAAAATTTTCTGAAAACATAATTGTAATCATATGATGAATAAACCTTTTTTAATTGATGAGAGACTAACTCATCTTCATTTATGATAATAACGAAAAAAACCTCTTCAGGTTTCAGTTTTTTTTTGGCAAAAACTTTGCAAAAGTGTGAAAAAAGTTTGCAGTATTTAATCATCAATATCGTTTTATAATGAAGAAAAAGTTTTATTGCTTAAGCAAAACGTTTTTTTTTGCTCGAATCATGTGATTTGATCTTCTATGGTTTTTCCGTTTCGAAACTTATTTTTTTGCCAATTTTCAGATGTCATCTAGAGTAAATCAATTAAATTATTTTGGATTTATCTGATAGCAATCTAATAATGGTTATGCAAAGAAAAAATGCTCAATCTCATATGTCTAATATTGATGCGAATTTGTGAGAATTTATGCAACATGCCAAATAGCGACATCGAAAAAATGTGTTCATAGACCTCCCATTATACTCTCATTGTTGTTTATCGTTGAAGCTATCGACATATTTTTATCAATAATAGTTTGGTCGGTTGACATTTCTATCTGATCATTTCAAATGATGATAAGAATAAAACAAGAAAAGAATTCGTAATTTTATTAAATTATAGAAATTTATGGATAGATTCACATCGATAACGACAATAACAACAACAACAAAAAACATCACCAACGACAACCGGAAAAAATTTTCGTGTTAAATCAATTTTTTTCTGTTCGTTTTCATTTTTACTTATAAATTTTTCATATTCATTTTCAAATTCTGAATGATAGGAAAAAAATTTCATTTGAATGTCATTTTTTTCTACGTTTAACGTCTAATCATACGGAGATATTTTCATATTGAAAAATGAAATGGAAATTTTTTTTGTCATCTTTATCGTAACCGGAATTGTGAGAATGTGAAATTGTAAGAAAAGTTACTGGACCCTAAGGGGCTTAATTTTTTTTCACACTATCGCTTTATATTTTTCAAAATTTAAACATTATTATGGATATATGTAGTATTAGATGGTCGTTATCATCATTATAAATGCAATGTTATTTGAATTATTTTTGTTGTTAAAATTTTAACATTCATCTCTTCATAATGTTAAATGAAAACCAGAACACATTTTACACACATTTGGAACACATATTGTTTCGGTTTTTTTTTCTTTTCGATGTACAATTTGGTTCGAATTATTAACTAGTTACAATTTGTAATTTTTTTGGCCAAATTTCTCTATTCTATCAATCAATTAATCAATCTTCGAATGATTGACAAAATTGTGATAGAAAGAAAAAAATACTTTTACTTTTTTCTACGAAAAATATTCTATAGTGGCCTTCTTATTTTTTCATTAAGAAAAAAAATAACATGATGTTTATATTTTTGTGTATAATTTCTGTCCTCCATCCAATAAGAGAATCGACACTAATGGGATTTTTAATGTTTTTTTAAGCGTCAAAATCTTTATAAAGAAACGAACAAGCAAAATAATTTGTCAAATTGATCAAAAGGACAAGAATTTTTTTTTAGACATTAAGATTATGCTTCAATTCATTGGTGGTTATATATCTAATGTTAGAAATTAGATGATGCAAACAACTACAACGACAACAATTTAGGTATTTTTATTTTATTTTATTCGACTAGATAAACTTACTTACTTAATCATCAAAATCATTGGATCATTATTGATTGAATATTTCCCAATTTGGTCTATTTATTTCAAAACTGAACAAAGATTCAAAATGAAAAGATGACAATTTTTATTTGTATCTTTTTTTCCTGTTAACAAAAATAGATAAATTGATGTGGCACAAATATAGCCAAAAGTGTTTTAGTGTTTAGTTCATTGTTTAAAGTGTCTACAAGGTTTGTTTTGTTTTTGTTGTCGTTAGGTAGGATGTGTCGATGTAGCATGAAATGACAAGTTTTTTTATTTGTTAAAAAAAATTATGTTCAATATTAATGATTGATATTGTATCATATGATAATAATGTAAAAAAAGAAGATTCTTTTTCTTGTCCAGATCAATTGAATCGAATGATTGATTGATCGATTTATTAAATTGTGGATGTTCGTACAGATCATTACCATCATGTAAAATTTGAAAAGCTTTTTTTCTCAAAAAAAAATCATTGTTCCAAACATATTTTTATGTCTGTTGTGTAAATTTACATGATAAATTTTCTAAATTTTCTTTTCATCCTTATTGATTCATCATTTTTTCTTTACCCATCGTTATTATCTGGAATCTCTTTTTTTTCACTATTGGTCCCATTGCTAATTCCATTGTCCTTCGCTATACTATTATACTGGTTCTTGGTTTATGTTTTTTTTCTGTATTGAATCCTATGATGAGAAGAATTGTTTTGTTGTTGTTGCCAATTTATTTGGTTCCGTACTTTATTCTTGTTGTTTTATTTTAAATTGTCTGTGTTCTTTTGTTTATAGAATTGTAATGTTGATGATGATCACCAAGCTCTTTAAAAATTCTTTTTTTTCTTCCTTAGCTTTTGGAAAAAAATATGACAGAAAGAAAGAACTTCTCAGTCTTCCTAAATATATTGTATGTTGTCCACGTTACATCATTATTATTACATAGTTTGATTTCGAAATTTGATTCTTCTATCATTGGGCATCAATTTTCTCGCTGATTCCAGATTTTTCACCTACTCTTTCTCTGCATCTTCCCCCTCACTTTTTTATATATTTATTTAAATGCACACTTAAGTTTTCCTCACCGATCACTATAGATATATTTTCTAATGGTTTCTTTTCAATGAAATTCAGTTTCCCAAATGTTTACATAATTTTTTTGTGTCGCAAAACTTTATCCTTGATCAAAATCAAAATCAAAAAATAAAAGAATTTCTAAACACTTGAATGACGAATTATTTGAATTTTTTTTTTTGCCTATTTCCAAAAACTTTCAGTTATCGTGTGCGATAATAAAATCAGGAATACTTTTTGTATGATCAAAGAAAACAGTGTCGGTCAATTTTATTTTATTTTAAATAAAAAATTTCATTTTTGAGCAGTGAAGAAAACTTTTTTCGATCATTGTTTATTTGAAAATGTGGAAAAAAATCTAAATCAATTGTTTTTATATAAAAAAAAAATTTTTATTCAAACATTGCTTGAAGCAATATAATCGTTTTCTATTCAAATAAATCCCATTGGATTTTTTTTCACTTCGTTTAAACAATTTTTTTTATTTAGTTTCCACTAAAATAAATTTTTAAAGTTTCACAATTTTTTTCATTTCAAGTTCGATTTATTCAGTAATCGGATTTAAATGAAATACAATACAAACAACACAAAACAGAACAATACAAAACAAACAAACAAACAAACACACAATTTGTATGAATTATTTCGAAATTTAAAATTCTTATCTGTGAATTTTCATTTCTTACCGTTTTGTTCTATTTCATGATCTATGTTGATTGTTACGTCAACACTGATAAGTATGCAAGTGATGAAAAAAAAAATTTTATCAAGAAACTTGATTTCCTAACATGCGAACAGATTTCTAATGAATTTGAAATTTTTTTCTAATGAATGATTGGAAAATGAAAATCCGTTGACAAAAAAAAAGTAAAATCCGTATTTTTCTTTTCATGTTTTTCACATTGTTTCATTTGATTTGATCTAAAAACAGGACAATCTTAAGACATTTGATAATAGAAATGAAAAGTAAAAAAAAGAAAAGAAAATCCATTAACATCAAAATGAATTCAGTTGTTATTTGTTTTATTATGTTTTCATATCAAATATTCGATTACATCCAAACATACACACATAATGTTCATGTGAGTTTGAGTGTATCTTGGTGCTATAGTCTCAAACTATAAGATGATGATGATGCTTTTGTTTATGCTCCTAATTTATGGAATTTTTATCATTATTTATTATTACTTTTTTCTCTTTCTCCGTTTGTGTCGATTCCCATGATTTTATTTCATTTTTTCCTGTTTTACTATTACAATAATTAATGAAGATGACAATGATAATGACAAAAAAAATAACGATCCATTTTCAATTTTATGTCTAATATTATTGCATAATTATTTTACCAAAAACTGATTAATAATTTATCATTATATTAGATTTTGCTCAAATTCATTCTATTCTTGCTTTCGGTTTATCCAACCAGAAAAAAATGAATATTCAAAAAGTTGTGAATAAATTATTGTAATCAAGTAGAATATTAATGCTGAAAATTTATTGGTTTTTACCTTGTTTGATTTTTTATAATATTCATTTATATGAAGAAAAAAAATGAAATTCAATTATTATCATTAATGAATTCCAAAAATTAAAAAAAAATGACTGGTAGTATTTCAGCACGAATGAATTCGTTCACCATTCTCATTTCATTTATCTGAATTATGTTTTTTTAAATAAATAGAATAAAAATTTGGTCGATTCAATAGTCGTAATTATGGTATTAAAAAGATTGTGTTCATATTCATTGTTGAATTCTTAAAATTCATTGTGTAATGAACATTGAAATGACAAAATTCAATGATAATTGTTTTGTCATTATTGAATGGGATGAAAAAATAATAATAATTGATGATAAATAAAATATCCGGATAATAAATCGATAATTTTTTTGATGATGATGTTTGGAAACAATACATATTTTCAAAATTTCATATATATCAGGATTGTTCATTTATAAAAAAAATGGTTTTTGTCAGTTGCCACTCCTAACATTACAATTCAATCAAAAATTGAATCAATACATCTTTTTTTCCGTAAAATGTTTTCTTTACTTTAAGTGAAATTGTCTTCTTTGATCTCCTTCGCTCGAAATTTTTCTTTTTCAAAACAAAGTTTTTGAACTTTGCAATTTTTTCCCCATTCCATTGAATTACATTATCGTTATGTTTAATGTCACCATTGGTTACAAGAAAAAAACAAGAATTTCATTTTTTTCAATTTTTTTGAATTAAATTGAAAATACGCAATCAAAACAGATTAAAAAATGAGATTTATTATGACGTTACCGTTGCTCTTTACACAAATACACAAACAAAAAAAAAACCTGACAAAATGTTTTTTATTTATTGCGCCCAGATTTGTTGCCTTGCTTTTGTTGGTCTTTTTTTGTTGTTGTCCATCGACAAATATGCTATGTTATTGGCTGAGCAAGCGCTTATACATAAAAAAAAAACTGATGCGATTGTCTGAATGTATCGATGTAATCATTTCTTTCATTTTCTCCCTCTATCATTATTTTTATTTTCATTTTTTTTTGTCGCAAATCATACCCAAAAGGATCGTTGATTTAATCGAAACAAAAACTGATACAATATCTGACTATAGTCGTCTTTCATCATTGTCAATACGAAATATTTTGTCGAAAATGTCATAGTTAATGTTATGTTCAAATAAGAAGAAGCAGTAAAAGGAATTTTTTCTGAAAAAAAGATTCATTATTCTCATCGATATATTTAGATAATGATGATGATGATCGTTAATTAATAGTGAAAAAAAGTTACATATGAACTGGATATAGTTACTGTAATCATAATTTTTTTGCTGTTGTTGTTCGAATAGTGATCATTATTATTATTATTATTACGAAGATGATTATGGTGGAAAAATGAGACCCAGATATATCTTTATATTCATCATCATAATCATCATTCTACACTATCAGATTCTTATTCTTTTTTTTCTTTATGTGATAAATATATAATTTTTTCCCTATTTCATTCTTCTTGTGCTATAGTGATGATTTATTTTTTTTGGATTTGAATTATTTTATTCCAATCAAACCATCATTTTTTTCCTTTAGAATCAAGTAAAAATAAAATAAAATGAAATATTATTATTTTCAGAAATCAATATTAAATTATGTGGAAATCTCAAATTATTATTGTTGTTTCAATGGAAAATGGTTTTTATCGATTTCCAAAACGATATTTGTTATGCATGGACAACAAATATTTTCATATTTTTTGTATTTCTATATTGGCTGTGCTGTTATATCATAATGATCGGTTGAGTGGTTGCAAAATTTTTTTTGTTTTGTTTTGTTTCCTTATTTTCTCCATTTATTTTCTCCTATGCCAACTACAGTATTAATTTGCATTTACTGTTTTTGTTTTTTTTTGCCATCAAATTAATAATCAATAATGAATATTAAATTACTTTAATGAATATGAATTCGAATCGTTTATTTATCCATTTTTTGCTATCATTTTTTCTGTCATGTGTTTTTGTATTTGCACTTTTCGACTATAATTTCCTATTTGTTGTCCTTGATGTTTGTTTGTTTGCATTTTATAATATATGAAAATTTCTTCATAAATTAAATGAAGACTTATACTCCTACGCTCTTAAAAAAAAGAATGCCAAATGAACCAAAAACTACAGTATTATGACATATGAGAAGAGAAAAATAAAAAGAGAGAAAATGAGAAACGAAAAAAAATGTAAAACAAATTGATTGAATGATTTTTCATCTTATATTTTTTTGCTTAATGAAAAGAATCCTTTCATTTAATCGATTTGATTGATTCCCAATAGAATTGAATAGTCTTTATTTTTTTGTTGTTTGTCACCTTTTTTTGTACATTTTTTTTCATTATTATTAGGCTATTATTATTGTTTTTCTCTCTATATGAATTCTTAAATCTTCATCTTCATTTGTATATAGCAAACATTGCGATCAATAATCTTTTAGGTCATTGGATGGGAATGACATTTTCTTCAATCACAATATTATATATTGTCAACACCATTTCAATAACAATACAACAATAACAACAACAAAGAAATGATGAGAAAAACACATTCACGGGCTTAGAAAATAATCTCTTAAAGATCAATGATCATCATTGTGATTTGGATTTTTTTCCAATTATTTTCACCAATGCTATTCATCAACCAAACAGTTTGAAATACATTCTGTTTTTATTTCTCCTCTCTGTTAAAATATTCTTGGAATTTTCTCAAGATTTTCACCTATGAAAATCGTATTGCCAAGCAAAATAATTATACATTCAATTGACATTGGTTCAGTGTAATTGGTAACAGTAAATTAGTTTGACATTTATAAGATGCATACAAACACAAACACAAATATTTATGTATTTGCTAAGCGTTTATGCAGTCAAAGATAAAATACTTTAAATTTTTGTTGTCAAAGGTTTGAATATTAGCCTAACAAGAATTTTATTCTTCATTTTGTCATGGATTTTGGCTTTCAATTATCATAATTATAAATAATATGTTTTCGACCATCATTTTGTTATTTCATTTTCAAGAAAATGGCTAAAAAATCTATTCAATTCTTGAAAATAAACTATTTCTCCATATCATTGGATTAGCATCATTAACATCAATTTCCATTATAATGATGAAAATACAAAAGAATTTAGCTCATGTCAGCATGATGAAAAAAAAGAAAAGCCGATTTTTCAGTCTATTTCATCACAATAGAATATTCTCGACCCTTTTTTTCGGTACGTTCATCCGTTCACTTTTTTTGTGAGGTTAAATAACCAGAAAAAAATACAGATCAGCAACAAACTTAAAAAAAACAAAACTCTTGACTCCCAATTGGATGCTTTTATCATCAGTTTCGTATCATGATCATTATAATGTTGAATTGTTTAATCATCTTTATTCATTCAATTTGTTGTTACTATAGTCTTAGAAACATTTTAGCCATAATGAATATGCATGTCTAATGACAATTGATGATAAAACTTCACTTAAATATGCCCTTGATGTTTTTTTCGCTTGAATACATAATTTAGTTTTGTTCAGCCTAATTTTTTCTAGATTTGTTTGATTTAATCTTTTATGCTATCACTGATCCATGATAATGAAAATTCTTTGTTCAAAAAATGTAAAGCCGCCTCAAACCATTCATATATGAATATATGGATAAGAAATTTAGATATTCGAAAAAAAAATATAAAATCGAATGATCTGAATGATAACGTATAAGATGTTCTTTTGGAACATTTTTTAAAATACCATGTTACTATCATTTTGTCGGAATACTTTGATATTAGTACATAAAAAATGTAAGGTGCATATTTCTTTATCATAAAAAAGAAATTTATTGACAGATTGATACTTTTTTCTATCGATAATAGTAATAACTGTTTTAGATTTTGATACAACCAATTTGAATTTTAGCCTTATCACCATAAACTGGTCAAATTATATCTTATTTCTATCATTATTTTTTTTCCTATTTAAATGTAAAAACAAATGTTAAGATCATTTGTTGATTCTATTTCATAATTTGAATGATCAAACATATTAGCTAATAATAATGATTGATAAACGTTTGAAAATTTTTTTTAATTCAGTTGATGCTGTTGGCCATATCAATGCTTGTATTGGTATGGCACAAGCATTTGCCAAACGTGGACATCAGATTTATTTTCTAAATAATAGCAATTTTTCCGGTTTATTTGAAAAATTTGGCTTCAATGAAATTATTCTTGATCTTAAATCTGATTCTAAAGACAAATCATTTGAAAAAAAGGTCATCGATGAAGATAATCACCCCGTAAAAGATGTTTCAATTAATGATAATTTCGCTGAATGTGGTCTGTTATCAGGTAAATCATCTTATGACCAATTAGATCTTTTCGATCGACATAAGAATGAGCGATTCTTTTGTGAAACGATGTACAATGATATACGAAATGTTCATGAAAAAATGGTCGAAGTTATTGAGAAAGAGAAACCTGACTTGATCATTGTCGATCATCCCTTAGTCGCTCCATGTATTGCATATGGTAAAATTCCATGGGCATTCTCATGGAGTGGAAATCCTCTTCCAGTGTATCGTTCAGAAAAGCTTCCTCCATTTACATCGGGTATGAGATATAATTTTGAAATATGTTACTTATAATATAATGGCAATAAATTTTTCGAAAAGGTTATCCAACGTACGATAAAACTGGGTGGGCAAAATTCAGGGAAAAATATGTTCAAACTATTGCGCCAAGTTTTCAATATTATCAAAATTTATTGAACAAAGAATTCGGTGGGCCTACAATTACATATCAAGACTTTTTTATGCTATCTCCTCATATGAATATCTATGGTTATCCGGAAGAATTGGACTATGCCGACATTGTTACATTACCTGAGCATTTTATTCGAGTGGATGCATTCTGTCGTGAATTACCAGAATTATTTAAACTTCCTGACGAATTCAAGGTACAACCTACTGATAAATTAATCTATTTATCAATGGGTTCGATCGGAAGTTCGAATGTTCAGCTATTGCAAAAAATTATTGGAACATTGTCGAATACACCATTTAAATACATTGTATCAAAAGGCCAACATCATGAAAAAATTAATTTGCCAGCCAATATGTGGGGCCGTGCATATCTACCGCAGACTAGAATTCTACCATTAGTTGACATGGTCATTACACATGGTGGCAACAATACGGTTACCGAAGCATTTTCCTTTGGTAAACCAATGCTAGTTATGCCATTGTTTGTTGATCAATTCGATAATGCTCAACGTATTCAGGAAAAAGGTTTTGGATACCGTATCGATTCACATCGATATGATGATGATGAATTAATCAAAATGATTCACATGATACTAAATGATAAGAAAATGATTGAAAAATGTAGACAAGCTGCCGAACGTTTAAGGAAATCCGATTCGAAACAGAAAGCATGTGAAAAAATTGAACTACTTTTACAAAAAATTTCTCAATAAATTCATTTCAATACATTTCAATTAATTGATGTCGAATTTGTCACATTCATTCTTTTGTTGATTTGCGATTTTATTTTTTTATCTACAACTTTGTCTTTGCAGATTTGTTATTTTGTTCAAATCTATCTACGAATGATTACGATTTTTTTCTTTATAATGTTCATATATAAATGGTGGTGATATTTCTAAATTGGTGTGATTGAATCGGCATTCGATATATCAAATTAATAATGAAGAAATCGTTGAAAATTTTTTTTCAAGCTTGCGATGGTATTGGTCATATAAATGCCTGTATTGGCCTTGCACAAGCGCTTGCCAATCGTGGTCATCGAATCACATTTCTTAATAATCGAAATTTTATCGGAACTTTTCTAAAATATGGTTTCGATGAAATCATTCTTGATGATGGTGGTGATGAAAATAACGTTGATGATCGTGTTAAATCACATCCAATCGAATCTGTTCCCGTTACACAATCATTTGTCGAATCAGGTTTCCTGTCCGCTAAATCATCATATGATCAACTAGATCTTTTCGATCGACATAAAAACGAAAATCTATTCTGCAAGTTAATTTATGATGATTTCAAAAAAGTTCATGAACATATGGCTAATGTTCTAAAAACTGAACAGCCGGATTTAATTGTCATTGACAATTCATTAATACCTCCGTGCATAGTATATGGTCAAATTCCATTTATTTATTCTTGGAGTGCGAATCCATTGATGATGTTTCGTTCAGATAAATTGCCACCAATGATGTCTGGTAAGATTTTAGTGAAAATCAAAATACGATCATTATTTTAAAGAGCGGTATAAATTTCACTCATTATTGATTTTCTTTAGGCTTCCCAACAAATGATAGCACTACTTGGTCAAAATATTCAGAGAAATTAAACAATACCGCCATATCTAGCATAAAATACTATCAGAATTTACTGAATAAAGACTTGGGTTATCCCGAATTTGAAGATGATAAATTTTGGTCAGCCGAACTGATCATTTATGGTTATCCCGAAGAATTAGATTATACTGACATTGTACCAATGCCTGAAAATTGCATACGTATCGATGCATTTTGTCGTATGGAAAACAAATCTTCACAGCCATTATTCGAATTACCAGATGAATTTAAAAATCAAATTCATCCTGAAGATAAATTGATTTACATCTCATTAGGATCGTTCGGCAGTTCCAATATTGAATTGATGAAAAAAATTATTAATGCATTGTCTCAAACTTCACACAAATACATTGTATCAAAAGGACAATTTCATGAACAATTCGATCTAGCAACAAATATGTGGGGACAACCTTATTTACCGCAAACACAAATTCTTCCTATGGTTGATATGGTAATCACACATGGTGGTAATAATACAGTTACTGAAACATTTTCATTTGGTAAACCTATGCTGGTTATACCATTGGTTGCTGATCAACATGATAATGCACAACGTATTCAGGAAAAAGGTTATGGTTATCGTTTGAATCAACATAATTTCACTGCCGATGAACTCATACAATTAGTTAATAAAATTATCAACGACAATGAAATGATTGAAAAATGTAGAAAAGCTGGTGAACGCATACGTAATGATAGTGATTCAAAAATGAAAGCCTGCGAACGAATCGAACAATTTGTCGAGCAGAAAAAAGCAATGATGATGAATAAATAAAAATATTATTGTATATCCTATTCCAAACAATAAATGAAATGAAAACAATTTCTCCAAAAGTCAATAAAATTTTCTCTCCAGTCATCAATCTAGCGAAACGTTGAATGAACATGGACATTCAACCTGAATCATTCGATATTATTGTTGACATTTGATATATAATATTGAAGTTATCATAAAAATTGATAATGATCCAAATAAAAATTCCATACGATCACTAATCTAAAACCATTATTGCGGCCTGAAATTTTTTTTATGGCTTTATTTTTCAAAATAAACTCGATAATTGATAGTATAATTCACTAACTTTTATCTTTTCATCATGATTTTATATTTTGCTAAAATTTCAAATTCTATTAGATGTTATTACGATAATGTTTTGATAAAAAGGCGAAAATGAATACACTCAAACGAGTGCTTTGTGTTGAAATAGATGAAAATTTGTTCTGTGACCATGTATACAAAAACATTCGATTTTTTTTTGTCTTTGTTGCTAAATGTGTGCTACTAATGAAACTATCTAATGAGGAATTTTGGCGGAACTCATTTATTTTTTTAATGTTTTCATCATTTTTTTTTCAAATGAAAGAATGAAAAGTAAAAAAACGAATTGATGATGTTAATCATTTTTGTGACCTTTTTTTGCTGTCATTGCTGCTAATAACTAAATTATGTCTGTATGGTTTTATCGAGTTTCGGATTTTTTTCCTGATCCAATTTCAATCCAATTCATTATCATATCATTAGCTTGTTTTTGTTTTGTTTACTTTTCTCATTTTGTTTTTTATTATTGCAGAGTCTATTTATTCCTATTTGGATTATTTGATTCAATTTTTTTCTGGTGTTGCGTGAGGATTAGCCGCCATCACCGCAATTATTATTGAATGAATTTGTTTTCGAAATGTGTCAGTGTTTGTTCAAGCGTAGGCGTATATATTTTTTTAAATATATAATTATTATACTGGTTTTTGATTCTCCTTTTTCATTCGTTGTTTTGGTTTTAGTTTTTGTTTGTGGAAAGCTCTAGACGAATAGAATTAATTGAAAGAATTGGAGAATCGAAATCAAATGAAAAACAAAAACTGGCTTAGTAAACACAGCGTGTGTTTGTTTGTTTGTGTTTGGAATACCATTGATGTTTTGTGTTGAGAAAAAAAATTATATTTGTAAAAAAATAATGTAACATTTTTTTTACCATTTGAACTTGAAATCAAATAATTGAATCAACAACTGGAAAAATAATTCCATCCTCATTGATTCTTTTTAATATTTGAAAAAACCATGACATTCCATCCTGACTATGTATGCCATTCTTTTATCTATCAATTTCCGTTACTTCGATATATACACGTAAGCCTTGTAGTTTTTTTTTCGATCTGAATTTCTATCCATATCATTATCTCATCGATATATTGGCAGCTCAAAATTGATTGTAAAAAAATTTCTGTTTCCTGTTTTTATCAAAGCTTCAGGGAACAATATAAAACTTTCAAGGCATATCAAAGCATAGTACATGATTTTTCTTTCTTTTTTTAAAATAATTTTTTTCTATCATAGATAAATGCCATAAGTCAATCATTTCATTTGTTCACACCGAATCTCATCATATGATTTTTTTTGTATTAAAAATAAATAAAAACGAAAAATAAATTCCAACATTTAATCAATAAAAAATTTCATTGAAAATCCTACTAACTTCATTAGTTATAATTAACAAATAGCTTAGTCCATAGTTTATTTTTTCATATCCCGTTTAAAGTTTTTATTGTTGTTATTCATAATCCTTGTGTTTGTCGAAATGCAATGAAAATTTTCATTCATCAGCCAATAGATTTTTTTCATTAAAATAAATTTTTTTCAAAATTTCACTTTCAATAAATTCGAATTATGATATCAATAAATTTAATTTTGTGAATACAAATTATGGGTCAAAACATCGTGATTCAATAGAAGAGGCATCGAAAAATTTGCCATCATTTAATTTGAAAAAAACAAACAACACATTTATAATGGTGGATAGAAATTATCGACAAAATTTTTTCTTCCGCATTTGTTGTTGTTGTTTTTGTAATTTTTCACTCAAAAACGACCATGATCATGATCATGATCCTAAATATCATGATGATGATCATTTTCAATTAAAATCACATGCAAAAAATTTGGATCGATCAAACGATCCAGCAAAAATTACAACAAAGAAAATGATTTCTTGTTTTTCTTTCACTAATTCCCGTCATAATAGCAACGATACATCATCGACTATGAATCTATCAAGTCGAATGCGTGAACAAAAATCTTCATCATTAAAATTATTTAATCGAAAAATGGATTTAATGATTGATCATCATCCTCAACAACAACAACAACAGTTTAAAGCTCATAATGAAATCAAATCACGAACACGTAATTCATTGATGATGGTGATGTTAGATCAAAATAATAATAGTGGCTCTCATTGCCGTCATCATCATGGTGTTGATACATTTAATCAAACAAAATCATCCTGCACAATGGAAAATCAATGTTTTCATTTTCTATTAACAATGGTGATATGAATCGATTCAACAACAACAAAAAAATTTAAGGGATATTTTTAGATAGCTATTTCGAATTGATTGTTCATTTTTTTTGAAAAATTATTTATGACAGATCCAAACAAGACAATCGATTCTTATACACTTTATATTATGTTTCTATTCTAACAATCCCCACATAATATTTATTATGTTTGTTCATACAATAATAATCTGATGAACTTCAACCGAATGTTATTATGAGAATCTGACGTAGTTTATTTTCAATCTTATGACAATCATGAATATTCTTTACCATATTCTTTACCATATTTTTTGTCATTTTTATCACATTATATTTTTATTTTTATTCATTTTGTTGACGTTTTTTTATATCTTTTTTTTCACAGGACAATCGTTATCTTTCTGAACAACAACAATTACGAAAACAAATACAAACGGGAACATTATCAATTCAACATGAACAAGGTAATAATGGTGATCATAAAAAGATCCTAGAACAACAGAATCTAGAATCATCATTTCAGAAACAATCACAAAATCAACAACAACAATTAATGACCAATTCTACTGAAAATGATAACAAGATTAATTCAAACAATGAAAAAAATAATGAATCAAAAAATACCCAGTTGCCTAGTAAAAATCATCTGCAATTACAACATCAAAAATCAGTTGCAGTTGATGAATATTTTGTGATGGATGGATCATCGCCTCCACCACCTACTTCAACTTCGTATTTATTACATCATCATCTAGATCAAGAACACAAGGAAAAACATGATGAACGGCCAATTGATGTTGGCTGGGTTGGTGGTTGGGCATCTGATTTTGACATTTTACTTAGGGATTCAATCGGTATCAAAGCTTTCACTGTAAGTAAAAATAGGCGTCATAATAAATATCCTTTTTCAATGAATTTCTTTATTTGTACATTTAGGATTTTCTTCGTAAAGAATTCAGCTATGAAAATTTACAATTTTTTTTGGCTGTACAAAATTTCAAAAAGCTTACTGATTCAGATGAGGTAATTCGAAGAATTGGTGTGTAATGTTTAGAATTTTTCTAATTGATATTAAATTTTTTTTAGATACGGAAAAAATCTCAAGAAATTTACGATAAATTTATTGCACTTTCAGCACCAGACCCTGTAAATGTTGATAGCCGTGCGAGAAAATCTGTCGAATCTGGCTTGAGCAATCCGAATAATCGAATATTCTTGTTGGCAGAAGAACAGGTATTTTTAACTGAATACTAAGGTTTTGATCTTGATGAAACTAATGGATTTATATTTATTTTTAGATTTATAATTTAATGAAATTCGATAGTTATGTACGTTTCCTTAAATCAGATATCTATGAGAAATGTTCAATCTTAGATTTGAAGGGCGAATCATTGCCTTATGAAAATGATGACGCCATTGTTGGTGATACAATCTGTGATACATTATTGAGTTCAACATCATCCGCCAATGCTATTTCGACAAGTGGACGATCTGGTCATAATAGCGGTAAGAATAATCCGGCTGCTGTCAAAAAACGAAGATCATTCATACCTTGGGCTAGATTAAAATCATCGATTAATCATAAAGCATCATCATTATCGTCGATGACTGCACCATCGTCAACCAAGGCCGAAATGTTTGGCTCGAAAAAACAATATATGATGAGAAAATTAACCAATTCAATACATAAAATTCGTTCAAAATCACTGGATGAACATTTAACTAATCATGTGAATAATAAAACACAACATTTAATCGGGTCTGAAACTCAAAGTCATAATTCATCTATCGATAAATCATCCATTATTTCAAATGGGCAAAAAAATCCATTCAACTCGACAAGTCGTAGCTCATTAATGCCTCACAGTTCCGATTCTATCGATTCATCTGATCATAATGTATTTCCTCCATCACCAGATAATATGAAATCAGTGGAAATTATTGATGCCTCATGTTCTCCTCCAACTTCGATACCAACAGCAATAGAACATTTGAAAAGTCATTCCGAAAGTGATCCTGTTTCGCCGGCAAAGTCTTTATCTTTGGCAATGACTACTACTTTATCTTCAACATCAACGGCCAACCTTCCAAATTTACCATCCTCGGCATCGTCTTCATCGTTTAATCACAATTGTAATCGTGATAATTGTCATTTTTTGCGTATAGTGTTTCCCGATCGTTCGCAAACTGTAGTACCATCATCACCAAATGAAACACTTAATAATTTATTGAAAAAATTGTTTGAAAAACGTTCATTAAAATATTTGGCATGGGACGTTTTCATTACCGGTAATGAAAAGGTTAGTGTTTTTTTTTCATTTTTTGATAACATTTAAAATCTGACATTTGTTGGAATTTTATCACAAAATTGTCTAATGATTTTTTGTTTTCTATAGCCATTGGATTTATCAACAAATACTACACAACTTGGATGTGTTGAACTTCGTGTAGAACAACGTGTAATATTTCGTGTTGAATTTCCAAGCCAGGATATTATCGGAGTCAAAACAAGGCCGACAAAACTCTGTTCAGAAATTTTTCATCCATTATTGATACGGTATGGTTACCGTCCTGAACATACTGTAATGACTATTGCTGAAACTGAACAAATAGTGCCCCAAATGTCACCAGTATCAGTACTTGATGGTCAACATATTGTTGTCAGTTATTTTGATGATCTTGAAGAATGGGGTTGGGATACGACTAGAAATAACATTCCAGTTGCATTGAGTTTAGCTGGTAAATCATTTAGTGAAGATAGTAGTATGAAATCGAAAAAGAAAGATGAAAAATCGATGGATGGCCATGCATTGATTGATCAACAACAACAGGCATCATCGGTACCATCGGTGGCTACATATCATAATTTAGGTTCGATTCGTGATCATTTATTGGCCAGTAGATATATCGCTGCCAAAAATAATCAAAGTAATAATTTGAATCTAGAATGTAGTCCTCAGCTAGATTCATATGAATCCCCTACAAATACATCATCATCAACTCCGGGTGATGATACGCAATCGGATATATTTTTTCGTGAATTGATGAAAACTGCACATACAATACCGTCACCACCACGTGGCCCATCATTGACATCAACTTATTCTGCTGCATATGGTATTATCAATAGCAGTTCTCCACCGAACGAAACTACAAGTAATCGTTCACAACAATCACAAACACCGATATCGAATACAAATCGAATACCATATCGAACATCTAATAATTCGTCGCAACAGCAACAACGTAACCAATCTCTTCGCGATCTGCAAAATCATCGACATTTTAAATCTTACCAACCGAGCCCATTATCATATGAACCAGTCCCTGTACCTAGAAGTCTAGAAATGGCTCGAAAACAAATTATGTCCGAAAACGAACTGGGTCAATCGATTTCGTCAAATTCATCACCATCAATTAATACATTACCGTTGGATCTTCCTAATCATCGGCATAAATTGAATAGTCAGCCGATCACAACACAGGAATCAAATAAATTGAATTTGCTACAACCGCAAAAACCGCCATTACGTCGTCAAAAATCTGATCCGCCTACTCAACCACCACCATTACCACCAAAATCAACCAACACCACCAATTTGATGATGAATACTAATAATATTACTACAAACACCATTTGTCCTCCACGACCACCACCTCGAACATCAATTTTTACGCATCGAAATCAATCATTGACTAGTGATAATTGTCAAAATCAATCCAGTTCAATTACAATGACTAATCCTAGTGATTCTAGTTTAGCTTGATTATTCTTGAAGCTTGAAGTTAATTTTAAAATGATTTTTTATAATGTTATATCAGTCAGATAGAATTCAATTTTTGTGTGCATTTTTTTTCTTGCTGTTCTTTTTGTTGTATTTCATTTTTTAGTACATACATAAAAAAGTTGACAGATTTTTTCCTTTTACTAATTGTTATCATTATCCATTTATGCAAAAATTATTGTTTAACCTGTACAACACATCAATATGCCAATACGCAAACTTTCAAAATTCATAAACAAAGAAATAATTTACTTCATCCTTTTTTTCCGATGATAATATCGATTGTTTCAAATCAGATAATTATTTTTTTCAGAAATTAACCTTATTAATAAAAAAAAATATATTTATGTTTAAAATTTCGAATTTAATCTTCATACATTAGTGTTGTATGAAAAATTTATTGATCAATCGTTTACGTTTCTATCATATAAATTTACATAATTCTTCAGATTCGTTTTCTGCACTGAATTTCTTTTGAAAATGAAATCTATACAGTTTCATTATTTTTCATTTTCAAGGGCGTCTTTGATGGATGATGGTTATGTCATTTTTTCCGCCATTTTTTATTTGATCAATATCATTTATTTGATTTTAAATTTATCACTCACCTATTTATTTGATTTGTTTATGAGAAAACAAAACAGGTTTCTTATCAAGATGAATATTATAAATGATTGACACTTTTATATGGAACGCTCTCAATTTGTTTTTCTTTTTGTCCATCGACTTATGAAATAATAGTTTTTTTTAATAAATATGAAATGACACATATCTTCGAAATTCAATCAGTTAATCAAAGCTCGTGTCCCATATCAATCGATCCGATTTATAAGCGAAAAAAAAAGAAGAATAGAAAATATTGCGACCACACCGATACATTTAAGAATCCATAGATTAACTTCAATTACTAATGGATTATAAACATCGATATGATTATCATGATAGTGGTTTTCGTTTTTATGTTCTACTTATCGTCGCATTAACATTATCAGGTTATTGCACTACCAACGATGAAATTATCATCAATCATTTTGACTTTTTTTGGAGATCATTATTCAATGTTTCCGATGAATTTTTTGCACATTCAATTTTACCGACAACATTTTTTAACAATCAAAAATTTTTCTCCCAAAATAATCTCACCTCATCATGCCAGAATGATTTGAGAATAGCTATCGAATCTGTTTGGCATTTACGTGAAATATGGTCGGTGAAATTATTTAATTCATGGTCAAAATCTATGATACCAGCTGGTATGTTCATGGGAACTTTAACCGATTATGGTGATTATGATCAATGTATGAGCATCACTGATGATCAAGAATCAAATCAATCATTGATCATACCACAATATTGTCTGATCGATATGTCCATACCAATGCCTAAACCGCGCCCAACAACACACAATTATTATCACCATACTGAAGGTATTATTCCAGACAAAGATTTGCTTGCAAAAACTGTCAATCTCGACTTTATCGCTGATCAAGATTTATCATCATCGATAATAAAGCAAATGATATTGGCACCAAATCCAACAATTCATGAATATTTAGCTCAAGTATCATCCAATTTTTACTATTCATTTATACGGAGAGGAATTTGTCTTCCCAGCTCATGTACAACAAATGATGTAAATAAAATCATTGAAAAAGATTTTGGTCAAGAATTCGGATGGCAATTGAATGCTGTCATTTGTACACCGAAATCAATGCAAAAATGGAGACCCAATGCATTGCAAACATTTTCCATGTGAGCATTTCTCAAATTGTTTGTGTTTGTTTCGAAATAATAGTAGGAATTTTTTAAATAATTGCTAGATTTATCATCGGTTCATTATTAATCGTGACCATCATAGCAGCAATCTATGATCAGATGTCCAATAAGAAAAACAAAACAATTAGCCAAAAAATTCTCATGTGGTTTTCACCCATATCGAATACAAGAAAATTGTTGTTCTCCGAAACTGATGATGAAAATTTTAATTGTGTTCATGGATTAAAATTTCTATCAATTTCATGGATTATTATCGTTCATACATTAGCCTGGATTGATTTGAATGGATTCCGTATGTTTTTTCTTTCAGGAATTTTAATTATTTGTTAAATTTGACATTGAACTTTTAGGAAATTCTTTTAGGATGAAATTTTTCCTTTCAAAATTTTATCTTCAACCTATATTCAAAGGATTCTTTGCTGTTGAAACATTTTTTTACCTAAGGTAGGCTGATTGTAAAAAAAATATTAATAAGTAATTAATTATGGTGAAAAAAAATGTAGTGGAATGTTGACTTCATACAGTGCATTGAAATATACACGTAGTAATTATCGTAATTTGAATAAAACCACTTACCTGTTGCTTCGATATCTTCGTCTGACTCCACAGCTCATTTTATTCATGCTCATTATGACCTTATTGCCACCCATGTTCGACGGACCAATATGGTCACAATTAATGACATCTATTTCCGATCAATGTTCAAAAACCTGGTGGCATAATCTTATCTATATGCAAAATCTAATCGATATAGACAATATGGTACATTTAAATAACATGTATACATTTGAATAAGCTAATTGCAAATCATTATTTTCATTTTGAATACAATTGAAAGTGTGGTCTTCATACATGGTATTTGGCTGCCGATATGCAACTACATTGGCTATCCTTAATTCCAGTCATTTGGATAATTAAAAATCCACGAAATGGCTTGCTATTGACTAAATTCTTTATCATTGCTTTTATAATCATAACAGGATTCCACATTTATTTGCAAAATCTACCACCAGGTGGCATTGTCACTACACAAAGGTAAATTCTGTAAAATTAAAAGAATTTGCCATTCTTGAATGAATTTCATTTTTTATCACACAGTGACATGCTTGAAGAGGATCGAACCCCTGGAGCTTTTACCGATATATTCTTCAAACCTTGGAGCAATGCCTATGTGTTTTTTGTAGGTTTTATTTTCGGTTTCCACTTGTATGATTCAAAACTTGTTCATAGTTTTTTCTGGACAAAGGTAACAATGATTTTGATAAATTTTCATGAAATTTTCATTAATCATTTATTAAATCAACAAATAGACCAAGATTGTTGCCTGTTGGTTATTGATAATTTATTCATATTTGTTCTGCATTTACAGCACGATGCCTTGGATTTATGGTCAACCATATAATCGATTATTGTCATCAATTTCATATCCATTGAATCGTATTGTTTGGTCTATAATGTTAACATTATTGCTTTTTATGTGCATTACTCGACCACAATCAATGATTGCCCGAATTCTTTCCTGGAGAGTTTTTCGCCCATTATCACGTATGACTTTGTCTGTTTATTTAACGCATGCAATCGTATTACATGTTGCACTTGGCAGTCGACATATTTTAATTGATTTGTCCATTACATCGTTAACATTTTTGTGTTCGTCAACACTACTTTTGTCATATGCTGTTGGTTCAGTATTTACCATTTTGTTTGAAAGTCCAATTGTCAATTTGTTTGGTTATGTTAAACATGATCTACTTCGACAACTTCAACTTCAACAACATTTGAACAACAACAATAGCATTAATTTTAATAATAATAATCAAAAGAAAGAAAAAAGAATAATCAATATTGACCGAAATACAACAAATGTTTAAATAAATTTCTCAATACATATTAATACGCACGTGTTTAAACAAACAAATAATTGTTTTTCTATGATTTGATATTGATGAATATTTTTCTAATCGAAAGTATAAATCTAAAGAAAATTAAATATGCAATCATTTCGAAAATATTCATTGATGATAATAGCCCATTATTTTCCACTATAAATGATTTAATGACCCAAATAATAAAGACATTGCGAAAAAAATAAATTGATTCGTATATTAAATGTAACAAGTTTTTTCGTTGTTTTGCTTGTTCAATGTTTGAATCTGGTTCTTTTAGCAAATATCTTCGACCACCCATCAATGTCTGATAACAAAAATCTGACCAGTCAATCGTATTGCAATCACAATTGAATAATGGCCGTTCTTGCTCATTGATCAAATGATAGATTTCCATGTTATTTTTGCATTGAAAATGCCAATTTTTGGTCGTGAAAAATTTCAATTCTTCCGATGTTGCATGCATAATGCGAGTGATGCGAACTAGAAAAGGGCGATTACCAGTAATTAAACAAAGAAAATCAATGAATAAGGCAAATGGATAATGATTGAATAATTTTGTCCATTTATAGCATAGTTTGTCCCAGCTTGTTTGATACTTATTAGAGTAGTCTTTTTTAACTGGGCGAATCAGTTTCATGGTTGGCATTTGATTTTCATATAAGAAATTTTCATCATTCATTCGTTGCCATGTTATTGAATTTTGTGGGCCAATAGTTTGATGAACAACTTTTCTACATGAATCAAACATAGATGATGCACGATATGCTGCACAAATTAGCAGCGAATTAACGACATAATCGGCAGGAATGATTTCGGCTTTACAATCTAAATTTACTATTAGCGATCTTGCTATTCCGGTGCATAACACTGAAACCATACTTGTATAGCCGGCAAATTTATCGATAAAACCGCGTAATGGTTCACGATATGTACTTGCAACAATTGATGGACGGCAAATTATTACGGGCAGATGACCATATCGCTTATTAACATGCCATTCAGCAATTGCTTTTGAAAAAGTATATGGATTAGGATGGCCATTCAGGATCGGATGCCCATTTTTAATGTTTAATTTTGCAAAATTTTTTTCAAGCATTTTCAGAAATGAATTTAAATCTGGCCATTTAGCAAGATCAAATGGTGGTGGATAGATTCTTTCTTCAATGTTTTTTTGCACACAATTGGAAAACGCGGTAGATACATGAACAATTGATTCAAGTCTTAACATTTGTTCACAAAGACCCATCAAACGATCGGTGCCCTTCACATTCTGTTCGATAAAAGTCTCCAGTACGCCACTGAATTTTACATAAGCAGCCGAATGGAAAACTATCTGCACTTCTTGACACAATTTTTGATAATCTTCATCGGAAATGCCCAAATTATCTTGACAAATATCACCATCAATCGCATAGACTTTGTCAAGTGATTGATGGTCAAAAATTAAAGATGATGAAAACATGTTCTTTAATCGTTGCTGTGATGAAAGCGATTTTTTCGATCGAATCAGTAGATAAATTCGTTTTACTTCCGAACATTCTCGTAATAGTTTTTCTAGTAAAAGTTTTCCGATCGATCCTGTTGAACCCGTGATCAAAATTGTTTTGTTGGCATAAAAATCGATGACCGAGAACGTTTGTTTTTTGTCGGTGTTCATTCTATTTTGATCAATGCTGAAAGAAGGGTATATTCAATTCATATAATGAAGTCGAAATGGTTCCAAACATTAATTAACTTCTTTTATATAGCAAAACGATTTGTGTTCTGTAGAATCAAAGAGAACGTTTTTGCTCATCAAATTTGTGAAACTTTTTGCATTAATTTATTCACTCATTTTACTTTCAATAATAATTCTTATTTCATTTTTTGAAATTAAAAAAAATTTCATTGATAATCTAATCATTTTGATGTAATGAATGGAATAATTTATCGATTAAATCAATGTACATGGAATTTTTTTTGGACAGAACATTTCTAATATAATCTGCTATCATATAAGATATTTTTCTCAATAATACGAATTTCTGATGGAAAAAAATATAAAAATTCAATTATTTTATTATTTTATCTGTTGTTATTAATCAAGACAAAGTTAGAATAATTAAATTTTCGAACAGGTTGAAACAGAAATCACTACAAATCATTTTTATCATATAAAATTCAATAACTATTATGTATTTTATTTGTAAAAAGAGCTAAAAAAATCCTTGAGTTATATTCTTTGGAAATCTATTTTTAAAAAAGCGAAATGAGCTATAACCATTATTCTAGAGTTTTCTTTCTGGAATTAGTTTTTTTGCATTCTTTTCTTTCAGTTAGTTCTTGAACTAAGCCAAAAATGATCATTTTTTGACATTTATACGTTTTGGATTTAATATTTTAGAAGTATTAAGCTTGATCACCAACAATCATCATAGCAAAAAGAAAAAATTCCTGTTTAAAATAGCCAATCTAATATATACTATCTAAAATGTTAAAGAACGAAATCAAAAACTACATATACGACAAGTCTTAAATGATTGTGGAAAAAAAAATTTTCTCAAAATGTCCATCAGAAATCAAATAATTCAATTATCAGTATTAAAATTTCTTAAACTTTGTTGGTACACACTTGAAATGAAACAAAATTCCAATGGAATTATAATTTCATTTCGTTATTTATCCCTCTTCTGATAGTTTTGGTTTTATTATTGAAAAAGTAAACAAACAAACAAAAAATACTGTAAAATTTTGCAATATATAAAACACAAGACAAAAAAAAATTAAATTAAAACGAAAAACTTCTGTGGGTATGCGCTCTTGAAAAGAATTTAATAAAAAAAAACATATTCTGCTTTTATATTAACAGATTTAAAATTTTTTAATTTAATTTTTGATTTCTTGATTTTTAGGATTCGTTGAACAAATCTTGAAAAACCTTGAAACACTTGCTTTCGTTTTTCATTCATTTTCTCACAATGTTAATATTTTTTTCTCTTTGACTTTTTGATATAAATTTTTGCCTGAAGCTTTTTTTCATTACATTTTTATTCACTTTAGTTGAATCATTTTCTGATTTATTATGCATTTTCTTTACACAAAAAATAAAAGACAATTTGATATTCTTTTATTTGAATGTATATCTGATTTTAAAAAAATTAATAACCAAAATTGTTTGAAAAAAAATGATTATTATCTCGTTCGTAATACGCTTTTGCAAAATTTCTCATTTTTGATGATGATATCTAATGATGGAAAAATTAAAGAGAAAAAAACGAATTCTCTCATTTGATCAGCACCATTTCAATCATTTTTCTTATCCAATGTACTTTTATTGAGCTTTGAAATTATTATTTATCTATATCGATCGAAGCAAAAAAAAATTTGTCATCCTGTTTCAATTTATTCGAAAAAAATGTCTGGAAAAAAATATTTTGACAAATATTGTTGATGATGATTATTCGATCAGAAAACTTATTTTTTCATTTATTATTTACTATAATGACTAGTAAATTTAAAAGTAAATTTTTGGGATTTTTCATTTCAGAAAAAATAAATAAATCAATAAAGAATAGAAATAAATGATGATGAAAAATAATGAATTCATTAAATTGATCAAACTTGAAAAAAATAAAAATTCTCTGCCAATTCGAATCAATAGAATTTCGAAATACATACATTTTTTTCATTTTTTCTGTTTGAATTTCAATTCATTTTTTCAATTCAATGCTTGATGATCTTATCAATGTTTTGCAATTCAATATTTTTCTCATGATATATCATTGAAAAAAAATGAGATTTCTCCTCTCTTTCTCAACAGAGTCTGTCTATATAAACATTGTTATTATTATTATGGTGATGTATATGGAAAAGAAAAATACAACCAACTGGAACAATAATGATTTTTTTTCTTGTTATGTTCCAGTTGTTGTTCAATCACTATATATATCAAAGAATTTCATGAGAAACTGAGCTGCTGGGTATGTGTGTGTGTGTGTGTGTGTGTAGTTTTGCTGAATCTAATCATTATCCATTTGGAGTTTGTGATGATCATATCATTTTTCAATTTTTCATACAGAAAAAAACAAAATTGGATGATTCTTCTTTTTTTCTGTTTTTTATATTTTTAAGCACGTTATTTGGTAAACATGTTTTGCCGGATACGGATCCGTTTCTATGAATTTTTCTTTTATTAGACTTTTTTCAACAAAATAACATTTTTATCGATCCACAAGAAATAATTCTTATGAATTTTTTTTTTTGCCTTTATGTGTGCGCTTGAATTTTTAGATTTCATTTTTGTTTTCATTATAAATTTCCGTGAGAATCCATTTAATTTTTTCCGTGTTATTTGTGTTGCAAATATTAATGAATAATAAAAATTTTTTGTTTAAACGACGACAAACAAATGAATAAATAAATTTAGGAATGAGAATTAAAAATCATAAATGCAGAATAAAAGTTTTGTTGTTTTGACATGAATAATAATAATTTTTTATGATTACAACATTCAATTTGTTTCTGTGTTGTCATCGAATTGTTTTTAAAAATAATAAACAAATGAACAAACAAAAACATCCGGATAAAATATACAGAATTATAAATTCGGTATGTATTGAATATAAATTTAGTTGTTATTGTTGTGATTGATGAATGAATTGATAATTTTGATAAAAATTTATCCATTTATTATTTTAATTATAATTTGTATTATCTTTTTCTATCACATTTTTAATTCTACACATTTTTAATTCTTTTTGCAAAAATTACTATCATTTAAAATGTATCTCTTCGCAATAATTTTTTTCTTTTCTTTTTTTCATAATTTTGTAATTTTTATTATTGCACAAATGCCTTAGGGCAGTGTGTATTTTCTCAATAAATAAATAAATATGTATGATGTGTGCGCGAGGGAGGATACTCATTAAAAATTTGTTTGTTTTTTTCAAAAATAATTATAACATTTTCATCATTAAATTTGTTTTCTTCATGTCAATTCTATCTTTAAATTTTCATCAGTATTTTTTATTCATTAATTTTGAAATCTGTTTCTGATTATAATCATCATCCATTTTCATTGTCAATTTTTAGTTCTATTCAATGAATTTGAATGATGAGTAGACTTTTTAGTTTTTTTACTACAACAACTAAAACTAAACAAATGAATTATTTTAAAAAATAAAAAATTTGATAAATTTCAGTAATACAAACTATAGCAATACATTAAGAAATTTGTCTTTTTTTCGATTGAAATATTCATCTTTGATTCATTTGAATGTTCAATTGCATAATATCCGAATTTATTTCGAAATTAATTTACATTAGAATTTGTATTGTTATTGATGGTTGCTATTACGACTGATTAATGAAATTTATTTATTTCCATTTTCTTCGTATTCTCACAATAATAACGTTTTCACTTGATAGGATTCTTGAATCGATACTTTTAAGGTGGATAAGTATCAAGAATGAAATCAGATAAAAGTTTTTTTTATCAATATAACAATGATGCTGAGGAAAATGATATAAACCGAAAACATATAAGAGAATAAAAAAATAAAGATGGAGAAAAGTAAAACATAATAACAGATTGGAAAAAACTAGAAAAAATTATTATAATAATGATTATAGTGTTTGTATCGATAAGAATTCAAATAAATGAAACAAAAAAAATCAGAAAGAAAAACAAAATCTAATCTGAATAAATTTTTTTCTTACCTCTCTTTTTCTCTCTAGCTATTTTTATCTTTAGGATATGTTTTCAGTAGATTTTTCCAAATGGAACAGATAATAATTCTTTTTAGCTCTATTTTTTATCTTTAACTTTTTCCCTTCATCATAATCATAATTCTTTTTTATTCATTTGTTATTATTATCATCATCATTATTTTCCGTTTGTTAACACTTTTTTTTTGTTTATAAAAATTGAAAGAAAAGCAATATGTATTCATAAGTTATAGGAAGAAAAATAAAATCTGCCAATATTTTTTATGGAACCATATATGATTTTCTTTTCATTTTTTGCGTCTTTTTCATTGTGTGTGCAGGTGTATGAGTGTTTGTCTGTGGGAGAAAAAGATGTAAATCAAATCTGTCACTTTTTGCTGTAGTTGGTTGGATTAAAATTAGAATGTTTTTTTCCCAAATAAAATATGATTCGATATTTTGCCCATCTCATTCTAAACTTTTTTTTAAATCTATTCATTTGAAAAAACCGTTTTCATTCAAATCTTCAAAATCTTGTAGGATTGATTTTCATTATCATTTTAAGCTATTTTTGGGATTATTGTTTTGGAAAAAAGTTTTTGTTTGGTATCAGTGATAACGTTATCCTTGTGTTTTTAATGATGATATTAAATTTAAAATATTCCTAGACAATGGTTTTATTCTAACTGCAGTTAATTACTCAGATATTTTTAGCTTTACATCGATGAATGAATTGTGTTAATATTTTCTAATCAACACAGCAGAACTATTGTATTACCAAAACTAACGCTTTTGATGTTTCTGTGTTGGCTAATTGATCTTTTCCAATCATTATCAAATTTTTTGTTTTTAAAAACCTACAATTATTTATTTTGAGATAATACATGCGTAAGCTTACATCAGCAGTGGGTTATCAATTTTTAACCATCTCTTTTTCATATACAGATTACCAATCGATTTTGTCATCACCGCTTTGATCATCATCATTGTTATATATGAAATATCACATATTCAAAACATTATTTGTTTCGGAATGTTAATGATCAAAATATCATTGTTAGAATTTAGTGACTTTGTTCAAAAGAATGTTATAACCCAATGAAATGTAATTAATGGAACATCCATCTTGTATATAAAAATTTTGCTAAATTATCCGATAATCATCAAGTATCCAGGGATTTATGATCTTCATACGTTTGAACAATGAATTTTATTTACATCGTAATTCAGTCATAGTCATTTTATTCCATAGCCACAAATGCGAACACGTAAAGATGATGGTTAAGAATTCTTCAAATATTTCATATATTACGACAATCAACAATGAATAGACTTACTTTAAGCTATCTAAAATTCGTAGTAAATCGTTTTTTGTCATAAACTCAATTTCCAATGAAGTATAGAGAATATTTTTTATAGAAAAAATTGGTCCCAAATGATTTTATCTATCGCTATTTTCTATCTTCTTCCTTACCACATTATCGATTAATTTAGAAGAAATAATACATTATATTCAAGGTTTCTTTCGATATATAATTTTCTTCCATATTGCTGATGTGATAGTGTATTTGCCTTAGTCATCAAATCGAAAAGCAAACATCGAAATTTGAGCATGTGGCCAAATTCAATTTATCGAAATTTTGCCATTTTTTTTGGGAATTCTACTCTTTGAAAATTTCAAGAATACTATTTAAAATTTCTTGAATATTTTGTCAGATCTTTAATTTAACGCGTTCGCTACCAGCGACGCATATATGCGTCGTTTATTTGCTGTAGTTCTATGTGTTTTTCGAAATCTCCGGTAGCGAACGCGTTAAAATGTTTCTCCTTTCAAAAAAACAAAAATTGCTTTTGTTCTCGAAAATTCGATCTTTTTTATGAGCAAAATAATACTCATACAAACATGAAATATACAAGACAAGAATTATCGAAAAAAAGTTCAAATAAATTCATTTTAGTTAAATTATTCAAGTTAATGATGTAAAAATTGAACGCATTTCGAAAAAAAATTCTCCTCAAGCAATTTTCTCATGTGTAATGGCAATATTCTTATTATCAGAATACAACATTTTCACACACTAACACATTATATCAATATTATGTTTGACAAAATCTGACATTTACTATTTCGGAAAAACTTTGAAAAAACTTCATCAAATATAATGATTGAATAATCGAAAATTCTTTCGAAAAATCAACCATTTATGAACCTTTTTTCCTAATTCCATTTTTAAAAATTTTAAATTAAGGTACTATACATCATTATTATTATTATTATTATTATTATTATGATAATAACAATGATCAATATTGTTTTTGAAACATTATTCAAAAAAAGTGATCCTTTTTACGTAATAATAATTATAATAACTATAATTTTATACACTTTTATTCGTAATCTTCATTACACTGTTCGTATACTTTATCATATTTTACTTTTCTTTTGTTAACTTTTTCGTTTGTTCAATGAGCAGCAATATACCAAAAAAAAAATACCAAAATTACATGAATGTATTTCTACAGAAGAATATGGCGTTTATTATGTATTCATGAATTTGTATGTTTGTGTATGAACAAAAATCAGTTTCTTATTTCTTTAGTTCTTTTCTCTTATTCTAATTCTTTGAAGGCAACACTTAATCAATAAATAAAATTTTATGATGATTTTGTTATTGAAGATTATTCGAGAAAAAAACCAATCGAAAATCTTTCATTATTTTTCTGATGATTATGTAATTCTCAATTGACTGTCTATGAAAAATGTTTGAAAAGTTAGTCATCTATTTTTTTTCATCATCGCATCATTTACAGTAAACTTATGTCCAAACATATTATGTTTACTCTATATTTTTTTGTTTGCAGTTACATATAAAATTTTTCGATTAATATTTTATTTATCTGTATAATTAATATTAAAACAATCGATCATCATCATCATTTTTTGTTTGATACTATAAGAATATCAAAAAAACCGGTCTAATCAGGCAAGAATCAAAAACAGCAACAACAACAACAACAATAACAAAAACTGATGTAGGATTTTAATGACAAGAAAAACTATTTATTTTTTGGTTTTTATACATAAAAAATAAATAAATAAATATTTACACTTCCACACACTTACACCCACACATTAGCAATCATTTCTTTCTCATTTTTCCCTTTCCTTTCTTCCACTATTTTGATTTGGATTTCATAACTTTCCTTTTATTTTTTTCAAATAAAAACTATAGAATGATGAATTTTTTTTTTACAAACAAATAATATTGAAACAAAACTTTTTTTTCATATACACAATATGCTTTTGCACTTAAACAAATATACGCTATGAAAATTGGTCTATTTTTGTTGATAAAACAAAACGTATTTATCAATATTAATTTGATAATTATTAAATATTATCTAACTAACTTTGGTTTTTTCAAAATTACGACTCAATATAATTGCTACCTTTTTCTGTTTTCATTAAATCATTATCATTATAAAATATAAACAAAAAAGTTGAACTTTTATTCAGTATTATTTACGATCTGATTACTATCGATTTTATTTTGGTTTTTGGTCTTTGGAGATTATACCTAATTGAATGAAATTGAGTGAAAACAAATGACAAAAAATTTGAGAAAATAAGTAGATAAAATATCTATAACGAGCTAAACAAAAATGGTAGATAGATAAAAATCATTCAATCAAACTCACATAAATGATAATGATAAAACAAGTCTTTGTCATCTTTAAATTTTTGTTGTTGTTGTTGTTGTTGTTGTTAATCTCTTCAGCAAAAATGAATTGATTAGAACAACGACAAAGATCGAAATGGAATCCCCACTGAATTCAAGTTTTTATTGTTCTATTTTTTGTGATTATCGTTAATTTCTTGTTTATTTACTGAATATTTTCATTATTATACAATAAAATTCTATCATTTTTTCAATTATTAAATATTTTTTTTTTCAAGCATCTGCATGAAAAATTCTCAAATGAATTTTGTTTTTTTTCGATTCTAAAATATATTCCCCACAGATTCTCATCATCATATTGATTTTATTTGTTCTAAGTTGTTTAATTTAAGCAGATACGAAGAATTCATCATCAAAAGAACCACGAATGACGTCAAAAGTTTGTCAACATTAACCAAAATTTATCAAATAAACATAATGTTGTATGAAAAAAATCAATGAGAAATTCGGTTTTGTTTTTTTTTAATTTTTAAATCAAATGATTGATCGAAAAGTTAATAATCATGCAAAAATGAATGAAGTGCCGATATTTAGTATAGGTGATGATTCTATGAATATTTTATCAGATGCGGATAATCATCAATCTCAACAACAACATCACCATCAACCGCATTATCATCCAAATCATCATGACAATTATAATGATACAAATTTAATCATTCATATTAATAATTATCAATTTTATGCTATTGTGATACAAGTAATACTTGGTATTACAACCCATACAACGATATTATGTTCATTAGCTATTACAATAAGACGTCGTCAACGTCAAAATCTACATGTCATAAATTGTGGATCGGGTAAACAACAATCACAGATAATACCTGTGATCGATATAATCATCATCTTGATTTTCATCGAATCATTGTTTAAGATTTTATTTCGTTCGGCAATACAGCTAGCATGTTTTTATGGTAAGTAAAATATTTTCAAATGTTTTTTAAAATTTTACTTCATTTGGACTTTAAAAAAGAGAATGATGATTGAGTAAGCCTTTATTTGATATTGTGTTGTCTTATTACTGTGAAATCATACAAGTTCAACAATATATGAGAAAACATTTTATTCTCAATAACTATTCTCACCATCTAAGACCATCCACCATATTTATGGACATAACTGCTATTATCCCTGATGTACACTGTTCATCTGTTTATTTCTATGGCTTATCTTTGTGTTGGGGATTGTTATTTGAAAAAAATGAAATAATAATAATAACGAAGCATAATCTTCTAAAAATAGAGTGAGAGATGAAAAAAAAAGAATTCACTTTTAGTTATTGGTATCATCCGCATTGCTTTTTGAACATTCATTACACCCATGATGACCAAATTCATTTTAAAAAGCAGAAATCATTCTTTATTGACATGCAATAAAACATCATCATATGATGGGCAAATAATTCGCTGTTGAAAACGGACAGAATTAAAAAAAAAATTCATAGTGAAAAAGAGAAATAAAAAAAATTCATTCATTGTTTACATGGGATTTTCTTTTTTTTCAATTTGATCTTTACATACGAATTGAATGTGATGAACAAAAAAAAAACGAACGAAATTCAAAAGATTCAAAATAAACGTTAATTTTTTCCTATAGAATTTTTTTCATGAAAAAATAAAATAAAATTTTAAAATTCAACATTGAAAAACTATTATCCTTTTCTCTTCTTCAATACTTAAAATTCTGGATTTTATTCCATGGTGAATGGATTTATCATTCATTATTGATCATGCGCGTCATTGGTGCATCCATCCATTAAAATAGAGATACAAAGAAATTTTTTTCTGTAAAAAAAATTCTAAAAAAAATTGTTTGTTTATCTGGATGAATTCCACCATAGTCCATTTTCACTGTGTATGTATTTTGCTTGTTTTTGTCTTTTGATTCTTTGAGGCCATTTTTAGTTTACTATTCTGTCGTGATACAAATTTATGATTTGTTTTTGTTTTTTGCTCAAATTAACTCGTGCACAACACATAAGTTTCATGCTTGAATTGGAATTATGGAATTAAAAAATACAAACTATAGACAAATTCGTTTTTTGTCCTCCGAATGATAAATAGACATTTCAAAGAAAATGAAAACGACATCAATAACAATGAGCAAATAAATGATATTATTAAAATCGCAAGAAAAAACAGTTTCGATTAATTCTTGACAAACGATACATTTCAAGAAATGTATATAAAAATACAACATCAACAGTCAGATACGTTTCATTGGATATGAGCTATGATGGAATTGATAGTATTGATAGTGAATGCGATGATGCGGTGTATACCATGTCATATAGCAAATATACGCAAAATTACTGTAAATATATTTCATTGACATTTATATGAATAAAATAATATTCCGTATTCCGGTTATTAGATTTTTCATAATAATAATAATATTGAGTGTAATGTATGCAAAAATCAATCAAATAAAAATAGTAGGCAACTTTGACAGTGAATTGGAATTGATGGAAACGAGAAAACTTCACCTTAATTTCCATTCAAATTCCAACGATTTGATAAATAAGCATTTTTTTAATATCATTATAATGAGTAGTAAATAGGAAAGTATAATAAATTTTCATTCACTATATTTGTTTGTCTTATAATTATTTGTCCTTTTTTGGTGAATTAATAATATTGGAAGAAAATAAACTGACAAAAATGATAAATGTCCATTAATATTTCAAGAAAAATGTTTATAAAAAATTATACGATTATGATTGATTGGGCTTATCCATTCAAAATGACAATATATTATTGATATTTTGTCATATAATCATTTCAAGGAATTTAAACAACCCAAAAAATTATCATTGTTTCGCATTTGATTAAAATGTAGTAGTTTTTTGTTCTTCATTTTATAAATCAATAAACATGGATGATAAGAAATGTTTTAATAATTAGATCATTGTTCTATTTTATTTTTGTTCATTGAACCTTTGTCTATTCAGAATAATATTGAGATATTTTAAAACAACAATATCAATTTTGATTGGATTATCGAATGGATGAAAATAGTTTAAATCTTCATGTTTTTGTTTTGTTTCACTTCATTAGTTTAATTGATTGGATAATAATGAAAAATGGCATTAACTTTATCAGATGATGACGATGATAATAATCATTATCATATATAATATATATAGTCATTAGTCGAATTGAAACTGAATTGGTCTTCTTTTGGGGAATAAAATTTTTGATTAAAATCTAACCGAAAATGACAGTTGAATATTTAATTTAGTAATTCTTTTTCATTTTATATGACTTCTTCACTTCCTTTAGAATCATATTCCTATGAGAATGATACTATTTTAATGTTTTTTTTTCATAAAATAATTAAATTTATAGGCTTTTGCATCATATACAACGATATACTTTGTTATCTTCAAGGATTCGCAATAACTTTTATGCATATATATGTAGATACCTGCTACTGTAATAAGTATGTTCTAGCCATTCATAAAAAAACATTTGAAACAATTATACGACAAGTATATTTTGATAGTTCTTCATAATTTATTCATGAGTATTTTGTTTATATTTTTTTCATTCAAAACTATTAAAAATTTTCTATTCAGTTTTCTATTCCTTGTTTAAAAATTATTAAATGTGAACATGTCATTGTCTGATAATCGATCGATATGGAAATATGAGCTTTTTTTGTTTAGTTTTTCAAAAGTTTTAAACCTGCTTACCAAAAAAATAAAATTTAAAAAAAGTAGATAAAAATAATGATTTATAGTGATTTTAAATGATTAAATGAAAAGATTTGAATTGAACAAAGAAGAAGAAATGCTGTTCTAATGAATTTATTGTTTAGATTTTCATTCTTCCATTTTTTACAAACAATATATATTCTAATTCGATTCTGTTATGTGAACTTGAGCTTGAATCGATTTTTTTGCTATTATAATCATGATGATAATAGAAACAATTATAGAAATATTATCTAAATGAAAACAAAAACAATAGAAAAAAATGTTACTCTAGAAATTCCAATACATTTATTTTCATTCATAATAATAATAAAAATAAAAGATGAAGGAGAATATTGATAATTCATCTTTTGTGTTCATTCAATCGTAAACAGATTCTTTTGATTATAATCAATTAATTATTATTATTTTCTTTTTTGTCTTATAATTTTCATTAAATTAAATGATAATTAATTTTACGTTTGGTTTCGTCTTTTTTCCCTATGAATTAATCATTTGCTGAAACCTATAACTATCAACAATCTTATATCATTCATTCATTCATTTGTTTTTATTTCAACATTTTCAATATTGTGTTATCATCATCAGTTATATAAAAAATTATAAACAACAGAATGATTATCTTTGTAAATGTACGCATATGGTACTTTATTTGACTATGTCATGCATAGTATTTTTGATTACATTACATCTTTGTGCACCTATCTATGGCTTTTCCAATTATCGTTTTCTATATGGTAAGTATCAGAAAATCATTAAAAATATTTGATTTTTACATTAAATATTTCATTTTTGGTTCTCATTTAATAATGATATGATTTTTATTTTTCCTAATGATAATCCTAATGATTTCATGATAATGATTTTGTTTCTGCAATATATTTATTTCTCTTTATATAAAAAATATAGATGAAATAACATGTGCCATTGATTGGTCATCAAGACATTCATGCCCATTCTATGTATATTCATTGATATTAATCTCTGGACCAGCATTTATATCTTTAATTTATTGGACAATTGAGATAACATATAAATCATATTGTTCTTATCGTAGAAATAATGATTTGAAAAATGAATGGAAAATGTTTTGCAAGTATTGTCGTTTTTGCTGTTTTTGTTTTTGTTTACATCGTTCAAGTAAAAATGTTGATTATGATGGTGATAATCCTATTTCCAATAATAATAATGAAAACAAAGATATTACTCAAACATCATTCTATCAAGCTCCAACAATACGTTTCTCTAAACAATCTGAACAAATCGAAATATCTGATCATGGACAATCACATATGTCTCAGCAACCAAAACAACAACAACAACAACAAAATCTTGAATCGGTGATTATTATAAATGAAGCTAATCAAAAAACAATATCGTCATCCATTAATGATGATAATGATAATTTTCAAATAATTCCAACATCCAAATTGCAATCATCTACACCTACATCATCACCATCAATTGAATCTGTTAATCAATTTTCAATGCCAATTGCATCATCCGGTATTTCAGTGAAAAATTTGAATGATGATAATGTTAATAATAATAATAATCCTCATCATCGTCATCAAGAAATGAGTGTTTTGATACATTCAAATACGAATAAAATTGAAACGACAAAATTTGTACCAATAAAAACGGATATTATTGTTACTTCATCAGCAACAGCATCGTTGACATCAATAGCATCAAATAAAAAAGTGCCTATTGATTTAAATGATAATGATAGTAAAAATAAAAAAACTTCACCAGATCATCGAAAATCGAATAAAAATTTTTCAAAATTGAAACGATCTTTTATGTTTTTTCAGCATAGGCCAAGCATCATTCATCGATATACAAACAATCAACGATCACATCATTTTGAACAAAATTCTGCAAATCTTAATACCAATAAATTTACGAGATCCTCATCATTTGGTTGTGGTGGTGGTCAAACTTGTAGTTATGGTGTACGTTCTTATATTAACAAACATAATAATACCGGAAGTTTCTCTGTAAAGACAACAACAACAACAACAACAACAGCGATGACAAATTCTACACAATTCTCGCAACAACATCGTAAACAAAGCCGTTCAATTTTATTCAATGAAACAAAAGAAATAATTTCTATAACAATTTGTTCATGGATTTATATCATTGGTTATTTGCTAAAATTATTCATTTATGGTTGCCATGCTTGTTTACCATCAGCATTATTTCAAACAATGACTGCTACATCAGGATCATCTTCAACAAAATTATTATCAAATCAATTTTTTATCACTTCCATCGATGAAATTGCCTCTACCATTTTATTACCTTTAATTATGTTGTTTGTACATTCAAATTTACGAATAATTTTACATATTTGTTTTGAATCATTATGTTCATCATTAATACGTTTAAGAATGTGGCGATTTTCATTTTTCATCACCACATCGACAAGAAATAACAATTCATCTACGATAAGAACTAGTGGTGCGCGTATGACAATGGATACATTTAATTAAATTAACCAATACAACATCGACCTCTTCAGACTATCATCACTATCTCAGATCAGTTGCTTCCCGATTTATTTTTATTATCTATTTAATTATCAAGAGAAAAACCAATTGATTTTTTGTTTTGCTTTGTTTTTATTGATTAAATAAATTGAATTAATAAATACGAAATTGATTATTTTCATTGAACAAATGGGAATTTCCATTCATTCATGGTGACAAAATAAAGTATTTCGATAATAAACATTGTTATGGAAAAACCGATACTCAATAAATAAACATAAATTAATGATAATGTATTTGTCGCATCCAATGAACGTTCGGTCATATTATTCTCAATAAAGATTTTATTTTTAAACTTAATTTCAGATATTTTTTTCGCATTATCTTCGGCGCTTTTTAGTGTTAAATTTCCTTGATTTTGTAGAATATTTAATTCAGATTGTAACCGGTTGAATTTAATTAATTTAAGCCACATCACTTTCCAGATACCCATTTCATGAATATTTTTTGATATTCGGCGTAAATAATGTTTTGTTTGATTATCAAGACTTTTACGTATGGCTAAATTTACTAAAGTTCTTCGTAAACCTTCAATCGATACGTGTAGTTTAAGATTTTCATAAAAATTCTCTAATAATTCCGCTCGTCTACGATCAATAATGAGTATATGATGGCCGTTACTTAATTTTTCAATTGTTCTCCATGTGGTTAAATCACGATTTTCAACAGGTATTATGAATTTTTTTGATTTCGGAAAATTCTGTTAAAAATTGAATAAAATTTAATAATTCATAAGCAAGAAAATCTGAACAAGTAAAAAAAATTCACCTGTAGATATTTCTGTCCTGTCGAAGATTTCGGATCCATTATGATACGGAAATTCGGGTGTTTTTGTAGTAATGATTCTAATTGATCAAAATAATCAATATTTTGCTCTTTTTCCGATAAAAATAAGGCCAATATGTCTAATGAAAACAATAAGCGCAAAATCACTGATGCAAATATCCAGATTATCAACGAATATCTTAAACTTTTTATAGCTGTTTTCGAATTTTGTCGTAAGCACTGATGATGATAGTCATCATCATCATCATAATGAATACGGACAGAATTTTTCCATTTGGTTAAATCTATTGGAAGAAAAATATTTAGATAAAAAGTAGCAATAAAATTACATCTGAATTATTAATGAATTAAGTTTTGTCATGTTTTAGGTTTAGCCACTCATCAAAAATACATGTAATGTTTATTGAATTTTTTTTTCATTCCGACTAAACAACATTTTACCTTGACCCATGAATAAAGTGAAAATATCAATTAGATTATTAACTAAATGATAAAATCTAAACCAATGATTGTGATTATTTTCATAATAATCATCAATAAACAATGATGAATGAAAATTTTCATTCACATTAATTGTCATTAGACATTCGAATAAATTTATTATGAATGTAAATGATATAAAGCTGATTAATATTAGTAACCAAATATCCAATGTATATGCATGAAATAATTTAAATGGATCATAATCGATTATATAATTTTTTTGACTCAATATTGTTATTGAATGTTCTTGTGGAAATAATTGTTTATCATCCAATAATTGATTACGATTATCATCAAATGAAAACATGTGAGGTATGAAATCAACTTTCTATTCAATAAAATTGGAAGGATCGTTTTATTAATTAGAAAAATAATTCGATTGAAAAAACATCATTACATTCTGATCCACAAATTTTAATATACCGGTCCAAGAACCGTTAGATGTCAGCTTGCCACCGTATTTCTCATCGGAAACTAAAAAGCTTATACTGTTATTAAAAAACGTTTCATTTATTAAAATGAAAATTCTCTAAAATCAAAAAATATACTAACCTACATCGATAATAATGCAGTAACATAATAAAGATTTCATAACTTGATGAACAAATATAATTTTCATTGTGAATAATAAAATGTTCGTTAGGAAAAAGACCGATACGTAAATTACAGCTCGTATTACGATCAACATTTTCACGTTCAATTTTGGCTAGATTTTTAAAATTAGTAGCAAAACTCCACAATATTGATGATGATAAAGTTGGTATCGAATTATTTATTGAATTGTCCAATGGCCAAATAGTTTCATTGAGATCCATTTGGAAACAAAAATCATTGATCAATTTAGGTAAAGTTGTCATTTTTGAAATTTTTGTTTTTGTGGATTCGATGAAAAAGAATTCACTTATGAAAACAACACTGAACAATCTGATTCCATATGACCAATTATTTCTCAAGTCTAGCACAAAATAATAATAAAAGTTACAAACAGTTGTATGTAATTATTATATTACCACTTGAAAACGGTAAAACCAAAAAAAAATTACATTCATTTTTTTGGACTTATTTCAACAAAAACAATAGACAATATTAACAATGAAAACAACAAAGTTTTATTTGAAATGATAAAGTTGTTTCTCATTAATGACAATGACCACCAAATACAATCACAAACATAAATTTGCACGCAAACTTACATGACGATCTTTGTAAATTCTTACTAATTACATTCGTGGTTAATTTAAAGAACGGATATATCTACGATGATCTGTGAATCATATTCAAGGCATCTGTGTTTTCTCTTGAAAGCATGTAGTTTGTTTCTTGATTGAATATTGTTATTTTCATGGCCATTTTATTAGGGAAAAAAGAATACAAACAATTAGATATTGAATGTAGAAAAAAACCATTTTCAAGAAAATTTTTATCTGGTAAAATAATGTTTTTATTTTCTATGGTCACATTCATTCGATTACTCATGAATCTTTTTCTCTGCAACCAGGTTTGTTATTATGGATTCAATGTTATTTGATTCTAAATGAAATCAAATGGAAAAACATAAACATCAGGAATTTGATTCAACGAAAGATCTTTTGTTATTCATTTTTTTCAATAAATAATGGTTAACATTGAAAATATGAGAATTTTTTTTTGTTGCTGTTGTTGTTGTTCGTTTGTCAGTTTGATTGAGGTTGTTTGTGTTCAATATACCAACAATCAACGTTCCGAAATGTAAAATTTAATCACATTCATGTAAAAACAGAATGTCTAAAAGAAAAACATAAAATTTTATTAGCAAACTGAATGGGGAAAAAATACTGGTTGTATATTAATGTTGTTTTCGTTTTATACATTCGATTTCGCGTATCCATTCTTCATCGCTTTCTATTTAATGTTTTTTTAATATTCCGTTTCTTTTTTCTTTATTTAGAAATAAGGATTTTTTTTGTATAAACATATTTTGTCGCCGGAAGAAAGATTGAATAATAATAATATTTATTGAAAAAAAAACTTAATTTATACACACACAAACACAGACATTATTCAATAAGAATCGAAAAAAACTGTTATTTTTTTCTCGCACACATACACTATTCGATTTTTTCGGATTTAATTTCCTATTTTGGTCATTTTAGCTTTTGTTGATGTAGTCGTCCAAATATTATTTTGGTTTTATTTTCGATTTTTTAAAACCTCTTTTTAAAAAATCGCTGTTATATGCTAATAATAAAAATAAAACTAATATTTAAAAAAAACGTCGATCATTTATGAAGCACTCATATGCTTATTTTCTAGCTTTTGTCATTTGTTTTTTTAGTTATTATTTTAGAAATATAAATCATTATATGTTTGGAAATGAAAAAACAATAATCACACAAAGATATTATAATAATATTTTCATAATGTTTTTCTGTATACAGTGTTTTTTCTGGTTTTCCATTTGCTAATTTCTCAATTGCTACGATTCTTTAGTATTGTTGTTTTCCAAATAAAGCTTATCAGTTGTCAAGTTGTTGTAAATAATAATAACGATATAATGTAATTATTGATTTTGCCGTCATCATTTTTGATAATATTTTTCTTATTTTTGTTTTTGTTTTTCTATCTCTAATCTTGTAATATTTTTCTTCATTATGACGTCAAAAACTATGTGAAAGAAAAGAGATTGAGGATGGAGTTATTAGCTGTTTATAAGATCTTATCATATCATGAATGATATGAAGCGGAAAGATTTTTTTCTGTTATGCTTTTATACCGAATCGATACTTTTATAAATTCACAAAAATATTTTCGAGCTGTTTTGCACTTCTATTTTTTCTTATTATTATTATTATTATTATTCGTCTATAATGAATCGGGATTCTGTAAATTTTTAACATTTTCGCATGATCGGATAAAAGAAAAACATGATTTTTTTCTTTATTGAAAAAAACTGTAATACATTTTACACTCATTGAATTACCGATTAAAAAGATTGAAAAGCGTTTGAAAAGTTTTCATGTTTTCTTTACCAAACTTTTATTGTTATTATTATTATTCATCTTGATTTTTATCTCTTTAATCATTCATATATGAACTTTTTCTGTTTATTCAGTGTGTCAGACATAATATTAAAATTTTCACATGATTAAGCAATGTGTTTCATGTTTGTTTACTTGAAATTCTTGCCAAATCCAAATGATATAATAATAATTCTAGAATAAAAATGATAAATACATTCCCGACAACAATCAAATAAATATAGGTGAATGAAAGCATATCTCGAGTGATTATCGATTGTTTTTGTATTGATTCATTATAATCGATTGTTTTTGTTGGATCATAAATTTCATGCATTTCATCATCAATTTGTTGTTCTAATCTATATTGATAATGTTTTAGATATAATTTAAGCCAATTAAAATGAATCAATTTCTCCCAAATCGATGTCAATAAACCATTTCTTATAATGATTCTAGATAAATGTGACAATTTCGTCTTTTCAGGCTCACGTAAATTTCTTCGTATGGCCATATTACCCAACGTGTATTGAAAACCTTCACGTGATACGTGTAGATCATAATTTTTATATGTTTTTACTAATAATTCCGCACGTGCACGTCCCATTATAAGAAAATATGGTCCATTGACTATTTTATCAATAATTTCCCATGATGTTAATTGATGAATGTTTATTTGTATAATAGATTTATTAAGATGAGAATATTTCTGTAAAAATTTCGAATTGAAATTAGATAATTTAGTTAATCTTTTTTTCAAATAGAATAAAAACTTACAAGTAAAAAATTCTTTCCAGTTGTCGATTCAGCATCCATAAAAATTCGATATTCATTATTGTTCATTTATAATTGTTCAAATTCATCGAAACTATCGATAACTTTTTCCTTGTCGGAAACGAATACAGCTAATATGTCTGATGAAAATAATGTTCGTATCATTAACGAACAGATGATCCATAATATTAATGGTTTTTGCAATGTTTGGATGGCAAATTTTCCGGGTAATTGCTGTCGTTGTTTTTGTTTTGATAATATCGATAGTATCGAATGTGATTTTTGTCTCATTCTAACAGAATAATGTGTAATTGGTGTTTTCCATCGAGGTAAATCTAATGTTTTGCAAAACAGAAAAAATAACAAATTAAGTGAATCGAAAAATGTACACGAACCTTGCCCCATAAACAATGTGAATATATCACAAACATTATGTAATAATCGAAAAAAATCCAAATGAATTCTATTATTCATGATGTTATTTGAAGATTGAGTATCTTGATGATTACTGCTATATTTATATTCATTGATAGAATAATGATCATTCGTTATAATTCTATCTGCTATATTTGTAATCAATGAAAATAATATGAAACTAATTAGAATTAAAAGCCATATCTCTCGAGAGAATACTGTGAATAATTTGAATGGATCATCATTATGTAAATGTTGTTTATGGCTTAATATTGTGACCAGATGTTCTTGTGGTATAATGAATTCTGTATCCAATATTGTATCACGTTTATCATTACGTGAGAATTGATGTGGTAGAAAATCAATTTCCTATATGATAATGTCCAATAGAATTAAAAATCCATGCATTTTTATAAAGAAAACAAAAAATAAATATAAAAAAGAATCATATTAATTAATGCAATGCAAAGCAGATCATATTTTATCATTTTTTTTATCGTGCATTCGATTCATTAATTATTTCAACTATGGGTTTACATGATTTTCGGTCAACGAATGTCATGCAAACTTTTTCCTGAAAAAAGCGCATATAGTCAAAAACTAACATCTATTGAAGTGTATATAAATGAAACAAACTTTTTCCGCAATCATTTTGAGTATGCCATTCCAGGAACCATTTACAAGTAGATATCCTCCAAAAGTAGCATTCGATGCGATAAACTTAATACTGTTTAAATGAAAATAATAATAATAAGAAATGAATTTGAAAACAAAAAAAAAATTCAATATTGTTTTTTTATTGCTCCTTTATAGAGAAACAGAAGTATCAATTTTATTTTATTTTTTTACTTGCCTACATCGATAATAATTCAACAAAATCATATAGATTTCATAATATGTTGTACAAACATACGTTTGGTTATTTATTATTTGAAGCTTTTTTATCAAATATGAATTTTTTTGTTTGTAATAATGAATGAATTAATTATTTTATTATGTCTATTTGTTTTGATATTCATACCTCTTCGGGAAATAATCCTGCACGAAGATTACACGTTGTATTTCGGTCAATAAATCTTTCTTCATTCAATATGTTCGAATCGAATATAGTTGAACTTAAGCTCCATAATGATCGTGGTATTCGATTCGAAAATTCCTGAAAAATTCTACTATCTGCTAATGGCCAAATTGTTTCATTTGTTTCCCATTTGAAGCAAAAATTATCGATCAAATTTTTCAATGTAATCGATGATGATTGAAACATTTGATTTGACTTGATCATTTTACAACGACAAAATGATTAAAAAAAAATAGAAAGAGTTTCTTTGCATACAAATAATAACACACCAGATTCATAAATTACGAATTTGTTTGTTACAAATCGTTCGATTTATTTATTCACTTTTATGTTTTTTAATATGTTCAATATTCTATTAGCAGTAATAATACCATGTACCAAAATATGTTCACTGTATATAACAATCAATCATGAACATACCTTGTGAATCATTGTTCTAAATATTTATTGATCTTCAGACAATAAATATGAATTATTTTTATCTTATTTTTCCCGGATGAATTTCGTAACCAGGATACATTTTTTATATCTTTCAATAACAATAAATTCTTGGGATTTTTTTCTTTTATAAGGCAACAGGCTAAATTAAATTTTCAATTTAAAGATATTTTGAAACAAATCATCCATTATCTAATCGATCACACATTGCTTTGACATTAATATATATTTTGGAAACATGTGTGGTGTAATCGCAATAAATCATGTAATCGATTCTTTTGGAAAAATGTATTTTTTAGATTAAATTTATTCATGTGATTAAGGTATAATCGTTTATTTTTCATGTATAAAATATTGAATATTTAGATTTTTGTTTTGCATAAGCTACATATAATCAAAATATTGATATTTTAGTCTAAACTTTCAAAAATTCTTAACAAAAATAATTCAAGAATTGATTTATTCAAAACTTTTTTCTGCCATATATAATGTAAATATTCAAGGAAAAATGTAATCAACGATACTCCTATTGCCATTAAATAGAAATGGATCAATGATGACGCATTCGTTGCATTCAGTATTCGATTTTTAGATTCATTAGGCTCATTTCGTTTGAATCGTAATTCTGATAACTCTTGGCTATAAAAATTTGTATGATTTGAAATCATAAAATCTTGACATTTCATTCGCTGAAATTTACTCTTTAGCCAATTATAACGAAGGAGTTTACTCATAATTAATTTCCGTATACCATGTTGAAAAATTTTCTTTGAAATTTCAATCAGATGTGTTTTACCCGGTTCCTCTAGATTTTTTCGTACTGCAATATTTGACATAGTTGTTAGCCATCCTTCTTTTGATACATGTAGTTTAAGATTTTCATAAAAATCAGCAATTAAATTGGCACGCTCACGATCGACAATAAGAAAATATCGATCATTTATCAATTTATCGATCGTATTCCATGTACTTGCATCTTCATATTCGATGGTAACAAATCGATCAACAAATTGGGCAAATCTCTGAACGTAAAAGAGAGAAAAAAGAAAAGAAATTAATCTTATCTTCGTTTTAGTCATAAATAATATTTGACAATGAAAATCATTAATATGTAAAAATACTTACTGAGCGAAATTTTTTTCCAGTTGTTGATTGTAGTTCAACAAATATACGATAATCATTATGATGCTTTAACCAAATTTCTAGCTGTTCAAATGTATCAACCATTTGTTCTTTTTCCGATACTAATAAAACCAATATATCAGTAGCGAATAATATTCGTAATATGAACGAACCAACCATCCAGAATATTAATGTATTACGTAATATTTGTTTTCAAAATGAATGTTGTCGTTTCATTCGTTTAGGTTGTTCATAAATGCCGACAATTGAATTTTTATACTTGGGAAATTCTTTTACGATGAAACATCATAATATACATGTGAAAAAATTGGATTCATTTTAGGTTATCAATTTGCCTGAAGATAATTTGCATGAAATTTTTTAAGTTACACAAACCTTGTCCCATAAACAATGCAAATATATCGACTATATTATGTAATAAAAGAAATTCTTGTATTCGATGATGCTTATTATTAAATAAATCATAATAATGTTGTTGAATTTTGTTCATTACATATAATGATATTGTGAAACAAACGAATGAAATAAGTATCAACAACCAAACATTGGTAGAAAAAGCCCTAAATAATTTTGATGGATCATTATCAGGTTGATAACGTTTTTGGCTTAAAATTGCTACGGTATGTTCTTGTGGAATGAGAAATCCCGTATCCAATATGGCATCACGTTCATCGTTTCGTGATATCATGTGCGGTATGAAATCGATTTTATTTTCATCAATTAATCGTAATATGCCCGACCATGATGAGCCATTTGCTGACAGAAATCCGCTAAAATTATCATCGGATACGATAAAGTTTATACTGTTTTGTCGAGTAAGAGAAAATAGCAAATAATGAATTTATTTGATTTTAAATTTTTACTTGCCTACAGCCACAATAATTTAGTAGTATTGAAAATATTTCGTAACTTGGTGTGCATACATATTGTTGATCATTAAAAATGAAAAACTTTGAAGATAATTATTTGTTTATTATCAATTTGAATTGTTTTTATTAAACATTTTATCTGCATAATACCTCATTTGGATATAACCCAGCTCGAAGATGGCAATCAGAATGTGTTGTATTCTCAATTTTATAATGAAAATTTTTGGATAATTGTCCAATCATTGATAATTCATTTCTTTTGGATACAGTTGTGGATGGCCATATTGTTCTATTTGAACTAATTTTAAAACAATAATCATCAATTAATTCAGCTAGCTGTAACATGTTCACACTGTTGTCATGATGATTATGTTGCTTCTTGAATTACATTTTATCTGTGATCTCAGTCTAGGTCAAACGATCGAATGATCAATAATTATTGCAATCAAATCAATCATCAGACAGGTGTAAAAAATTCCAAGCCAACAATAACATATTATTGGAATTGGTTTTGTTATCTGGTCTTTTATTGAAACAGTTTGATAAATCATCGATTTTTTCAATTATGAATGTTTGAATGTTTTTTTTTTTGGAAAAAAATCTATTATAATTTTAATCGAAAAAACTCATTCTTTAATTCAATGTTTTTTCTATATGATAATGCCAATTTTTCCGGAAAGTACATTTTCAGACAAATCAAATCATGATTCAGTTCATATTTTTTTTAATCAGAAAATTTTTTTCTTGATTTATCTATGTTTTAAGTGAATTGTTCAATTTTTTATGGTTGAAAATGGATATCTTTTTATTCACATTGTAATATCGAGTATTTGATCATTATTTCAAATAGATATAATTGTGTAGATATCGATTATAGATAGCTATTTTTTTCTTATAATCATAATCATTATCATACTTTAGAAAAACCTGCGTATACACAGATAGGATTATGTTTTTGATCATTCTAATTTTTCTGGTTTGTTGAAACATTAGATTTATTTTATTCGAATGATTTACCTCTTTTTTAATGAGATGTTCTTTTACGTTAATAAACGTAAATGCTTAATTAATCAATGATGAATAATGTGCTATTGAATAATGCAGCTATATTTTGTAATTTATCCTTTGATTTTTAATGACAATGATTCCAAGTCAATATAGTGATCCACATTTTGTTGGTAATCGTAGTGTTGTAGCACATTTAATGGAATGGAAATATGATGATATTGGTGATGAATGTGAACGTTTTTTAGGACCTTATGGTTATGGTGGTGTACAAGTTTCACCGGTAAATGAACATGCCATTATGGATGGTAGACCTTGGTATGAGCGTTATCAACCAGTTAGTTATGTAATTCAAACACGTAGCGGTAACGAACAACAATTTTGTCGTATGGTACAACGTTGCAATCGCGTTGGTGTTCGAGTATATGTTGATGTTGTGCTAAACCATATGACTGGTGGCCAACAAGGCCTTGGAACAGCCGGTAATCGTTTTAATGGCCATTTACAACAATATCCGGGTGTACCATTCAATCCTGAACATTTTAATGGTCATGAAAGTTGTCCAACTGAAAATTTAGAAATTATAGACTGGGATGATCCTATTCAATCACGTAATTGTCGTCTATTTGGACTTCGTGATCTAAAACAATCTTGTGAATATGTTCGTCGAAAACAAATCGAATTTCTGAATAAATTAATCGATTTTGGTGTAGCGGGTTTTCGTTGTGATGCATCCACACATATGTGGCCCGAAGATCTCCGGAATATTTTTTCCCGTTTGAATAATTTAAATGAGGATTTTTTCCCACCAAATTCCCGACCATTCATTTATCATGAAATAATTTATTATGGTGGCAGCGGTATTAATCCTAATGAATATATTTCATTAGGCCACATTATTGAATTCCGTTTCTGGAAAGAGATAACAAACGTTTTTCGTGGCCACAATCAGTTACGTTGGTTACAAAATTTCGGCACCGAATGGGGACTGATAGACAGCTTTAATGCATTCATCATGATTGATAGTCATGATTTACGGGTCGGTCATAATGGTGAACTTGGGTTCAATATTAATTGCTTTGAACCTCGATTGTTAAAAGCGGCTACAGCATTCATGTTAGCATGGAATTATGGAATACCAAGAATATTAAGCAGTTATCGATGGAAACAAATCATAAAGGTAATTGAAATTTCTGATATTATATGACATTTATTTAATCAAAATAAGTTATTCATTGATTTTCTGATCAATCATTTTTATCAATTCAATTTACAGGATGGTAAAGATTTGAACGAATGGGTAGGACCGCCTACCGATTTGTTCGGAAATATTATTTCGATAAAAATCAATCCAGATAAATCATGGAATGATGAATATTGGATTTGTGAACATCGATGGAAACAAATTTACAACATGGTTCAATTTAGATTGATTGTCGGTGATGAACCCATTTCAAACTGGTGGGATAATGGTGATAATCAAATTGCATTCAGTCGTGGTCATTCTGGATTCATTGCATTCAATTTACAAAAATCGAAAAAGAATACCGACAATACTGGCAAAAACGATAATGATAATGACCAACTAGATCTACGTCAAAGATTGCAAACAGGTTTACCAGAAGGAATATATTATGATATAATCAGTGGTGATCATACGGGTAACAAATTGATTACTGTCGATCAAAATGGTTGGGCCGACATTTACATCAGTCACGATGAATCGGATGTTGTTTTTGCTACTCATTTGAAAGCTAAATTATCAAAATAATCATATCAATATTACATTATCAACAACATAAAACATACATGAAAATTTTTGTTATTGTTGTTGTTGTTGTTGTTAATCATCATCATTTATAAATACATTCGAAAATGATGTTTGAGTTTTCTTTTCATACATAAACATGAAGATTCTGTTTTTGTCTATAGATATCATCGGGGAATTCTGAAAACAATAACGAAAAAGTAATGAGAAAACCCAAAAACATTCATGTTTGATTCGGATACATGGTATTTGTATTTAAATGACATTTGAACATTTTTGTAATCAAATCGATATAAACAACTAAAATCAATGAAAATAAAATTCTTTATTATATTACATGATTATATTCTTATTGTTGTTGTTGTTGTTGTTGTTGATGATGATAATGATAAGGAAAAGGATTTTTTCATTACAATCAAATTGAAAATAACAATGTTTTGTAATTTTAAATTCATGAAATAATGATAAGTATACAAAAACAAAATTATTTTGAAATCAATTATTTACTTGAATCATAAGAGTAATATATCCTTGTCACGATGACTTGTTTTTCTCTTGAGAATTTTACAATATAAAAAAATATTTTTACAAAAGGATATTAAAAACTCATAGACACTCATGCCAAAAGAATCATCAAAGCAATTTTTTTCACTCAGATCATTATCGTTGATATATTATTTTTTTTCTTGTTCAATCAAATTGAAAAATATTTTTAAAATCATAATCCACTCCACTTTCATGATAAGAGTTAATGATCAATATCAAATTTCTGGTATATATGAGGTGTTGAAGATGATTGGATAATTGATTCAATTCGATCTCATTTCTACTCGCTGTTGATCGATTTAATATAATTTTTTTGTGTTGCCAATTTTCTCCAATACAGATACAAATATCATATCATGTTACCAAAACTTTATTCAAAATTTATGATTTTGGTGTTAACGCTGTTTGTATGTTCATTTTTTACTAATGTTGATAGCAAATATCACAATCCACATTTCATTGGTAATCGAAGTGTCATTACACATTTAATGGAATGGAAATATGATGATATTGGTGATGAATGTGAACGTTTTCTTGGTCCATATGGTTATGGTGGTGTACAGGTTTCACCAGTAAATGAACATGCAATATTAGATCGTCGTCCTTGGTATGAGCGTTATCAACCTGTTAGTTATGATATACGAACACGTAGTGGTGATGAACAACAATTCCGTCGTATGGTAAAACGTTGCAATAAAGCCGGTGTTCGTATATATGTTGATATCGTATTAAATCATATGACTGGTGCTCAATCAGGTGGGTAGCGAAAATTTTATTTGATATGTTTTTTATCATTATTCATACAACAATTTTTCATTTTTTAAATTTTTTTTTCATAAATAAAAGGAAAGGGAACAAATGGTCATCATTATGATGGTAATACCTTACAATATCCTGGTGTACCATTTGGTCCGAATGATTTTCATGGTCACGAATCATGTCCCACACAAGATTTAGAAATTCATGATTATACAAATCCTAAGGAGGCTCGAAACTGTCGTTTGTCGGGTTTACGAGATTTGAAACAACAATCGGAATATGTTCGACAAAAACAAGTCGATTTTCTAAATCATTTAATTGATATTGGCGTTGCTGGATTTCGTTCGGATGCCTCTACGCATCAATGGCCCGATGATCTTCGATCTATTTATTCTCGCCTACATAATTTGAACAAGGAATTTTTTCCGGAAAATTCTCAGCCATTTATTTATCATGAAACTATTTATTATGGAGGAAATGGGATTAATTCGAATGAATACACATCTTTGGGCCGCATTATTGAATTCCGTTTTTATAAAGAAATCACAAATGTTTTTCGTGGCAACAATCCGTTACATTGGCTGAAAAATTTTGGAACAGAATGGGGATTGGTTCCCAGTGGTGATGCATTGGTTATGATCGATAGCCATGATTTACGTGTTGGCCATACTGGAAAGTTAGGTTTCAATATTAATTGTTTTGAAGGACGATTGTTAAAAGCTGCCACTGCATTTATGCTTGCATGGAATTATGGTGTACCAAGAGTGATGAGCAGCTATTTTTGGAATCAAATTATAAAGGTAATGAATATATTTCTCATTCGACCAATTACTTCTTTATTTATACATAAACAAATTCTATTATTCTAATAATAGGACGGTAAAGATGTCAATGATTGGGTTGGTCCACCATCTGATAAAAATGGTAATATTCTTTCGGTACATCCGAATCCGGACATGACTTGTAATCATGAATGGATATGTGAACATCGATGGCGTGAAATATACAATATGGTAAAATTTCGAATGATTGCTGGTCAAGAACCTGTACATAATTGGTGGGATAATGGTGATTATCAAATAGCATTTAGCCGTGGCAACCGTGCATTTATTGCAATAAATTTGCAAAAAAATCAGCAAAATCTTCAACAAAAATTGCATACAGGTCTACCAGCTGGAACCTATTGTGATATAATCAGTGGCAATCTTATCGATAATAAATGTACAGGAAAATCTATTCATGTCGATAAAAATGGTCAAGCTGATGTCTATGTTGGCCATGATGAATTTGATGCATTTGTTGCCTATCACATTGGTGCTCGCATTGTATCCTAATTTCTCATGAGAATTTTTTAAATGTTCTTTTTCGATTTTTCCATCTTTTTGGTTTATTCAAAAAAAATAAAAATCATGTTCACATTGTCTAAATTATTGTCTTTTTTTATTTAAATAAATATTTGATAAATATTCATGCACTTATCAGACACAAGAGGCTGGCGAAAAAAATTCTTTGTTTTTCATCTCAATTTTTATTTGATACAAAATGATGTGGCAATATCAAAATAATAAAAAAATTTGCCATTATCGATTTCATCATTCTTTGTTGTTTTTTCTTTGGTCGTATGTAAAAACTATAACTTTCATATTGTTGAAAAAACTTTTTGTTTTCCATATTGCATTATATTTATGGCTATTTTTTAAATTATTTATTTTTAACATTCCATGTAATTAATTAGTGAAAAAATGAATCAAAGTTTTTAAAATTAATTTTTAAAATTTGTTTTAATTATTTTTGCTCATTACAGAATAGATAAAAAAAAATCAAACACTACTTTTTTTTGATAAATTTATTTCTCAATTCAATTCTTTAATGTAAAAAATAAATATTATCGATGATAAAAATTCATAAACATTTATCATAGAGGAGCACACGCACACAGAAAACAATTTTTTTAATATTTGATGAAATGGCGTGCAAAAAAAATTACCTAATGACTTTCCAAGCGATATCATTTCATTCAAAATTAATGATTATGATGATTTTAATATGATTGTTCTATAATGAACCATATAGTCAATTAGGCAAGCAAGCGGTTTTTTCCTTGATGGTTTCCAATGAAATCATTTCTCATATATGAATGTAAAATAAATACAATTTGTTAATATGACTATCAAACTGGTTATCGTTTTTTTCATTTGACAAAAAATTCAAACAATAAAATGATAAATGCTGCAATGAATTTTTTTTTTCGTTGAATACTGACATTTGTCATCGTAGCATTGCATGTTCAAACATACAGAAACATAATTACAACGTCATTAGATCGGAAATTGTTGGCAACTAGATAAATATTTTGTGATTATATCAATCTATCCATATACACGTTTCCGTTGAAAATATTTCCGGTTGTTTTTTTGGATGAAAAAAACATGTAACATAATATTTTTAAAAAATCATCAATAAATAAACCTAATGAAACAATTTTTTGAAAATTGTCTTTTATTTAATTATAAAATAAACACCGTTAATTAGAATTTGTTCTTTTAAATTATTTAAATTATCAAAAAAAAAATAAAATAAAAAAAACTTAAAAGATCATTATGATGCAATAAAGTTCTTTAAAAGTTTACATTAAAATTTTTCTTTCAATTATTCAGTGTTTTTCTCGTAGTATTATACTTTTTTTTCAACCGGTTTCAAAAACATTGTCTTTTAGTGAAAAAAAATATCTTAGCATATACTGATAGATATACTGATTATTGACACGAATCCATGATCATTACATTATTCTTGTTATCATGTGTATTGTTACTAATTATCATTATCATTATGGCTATAATATCTTCAACATTTCATGATTATTACGATTTTCAAACAATCGAAAAACGAATAAATTATATTGATAAAGATGAAACCGAAATATCAATAGCAGCCAATCATTTTCATCATCAACAACAATATCAAGAATATTCCGAAAATTCCAATAAAATATTTTCGACCAATATTTGTAATCAAAATTCTCATCATCATGAATTAATAACCGAATTTGGCCACAGTCATCATTATGATGATGATGACAGAATAAAACGAAATTATCATAAACGATGTCGATCAAAAAGCCAATCGAATGATGTTGACAATCGCGATGATTATAACCAAAACAAAATCTCAATCGCTGAGCTAAATCATGTCGATAATAATAATAATAATCGTAAAACGAATAAACGGAATGCAATATATTTCCATGCCCAAAGGTATGATAATGTTTTAGTCCAATGTTTTTGTCAATAGTCTGATGTTCATAAATGAGATTATTTTTTTCAATATATTTTGCAGTTCGATGAATCTTTTTGTCAATTCTCCATTTTCAATTAATAATTGTAATTTTTTTTCGAAACTAAATCAACTTATTCTGTTTTTCCCATTGAAATATTAATCATTTATCAAATGTAAACACTTGAGAGAAGAGTTTGTTTTGGAAAGATTTGACTTCAAAATGAGTGAATTGTTGAGAGCTTTGTCAGAATATCGCATAAATACATTGAATGAATTGTATTGTTTTTTGTTCCGTTTTTTGATTTGAACCCTTGGAATACAAAAAAATATTTTATGTGAATTTTTTATCTGATTGTATTATACATTAATAAGACTAATGATAATCATTTTGTCAATAGATCCATCAGTTTAGAACAACAATTTCAAGCCAATACATTGAGTATTGATCGACAATTTCCTGGTTTTGAATCAATCGATAATGTTAAAATTCGTCGCCGATTGTTTAGTTTTCATCAACGAAATGCATTTGTCTTGGATTCTTTGAATTCTTTGTCAACAAAACAAAATGAATCTAGCAATAGGATTCAAAATCATGATTTAATGATTACCCGGACTTCAAGTTTCAACACCATTGACAATAATAATAATAATAAAAATCAAGATAAATTGCTGACGGAAAATTTTAATGATAATAACAGTGAAAAGCTACGGCAGCATCCGAACAATGTTAAAACAATTCCATTTCAAAGACAGACATCATTCGACGATGATGATGATAAAATTAAAGATTGTTTTCATCAGCATCTCGAAAATTCTATACAAATACCGATAAAAGAACCATTAATTCATCATATTCCAAATCATCAAGTTCATCATCGATCTCATTCATTATATCAACATCAACAACAACAGCAAAAACGCAATAATCCTTTTGACAATAATCATTACAATGACAATAGCATCAATTACCTCGAAAATGATGAATCTTTAAATCCTGATCGTTTGAATAAATTATCTAACAAAAGCGTAAATAGCCTTAAGCATGAAAATGATTCTTATCATTCATTTATTGATAAAGATATTCAAAATTTTATTATAAAATCAAGCAATGAAAATATTGGTTTGTATATATTGAAATCATTTTAATTGAAAATGAATAGCAAATATTGATTTTTGTGTAATTTTGTAGTAAAAGAAGTGAAACACAATATCCTTGATTGGTATGGTTATGAAAAAAAACACTTTAATTTCTATTATAAAAAAATTATTGTTAATGAAAATGATTGTATTGGTAAGAAAAAATAACTATTCATCTATTATACCCTATTATTTTTTTATAATGATGTTTTATTTTTCATTTAAATCCTATCATTCAAATAGTTCGAATCCTTTCTAGACCCCAAAGGCAACCGACATCAAAACAAACACTCAAGTTGATAATGATTGGCGATTCTACTGTAGGTAAAACATCACTTATAAATCGCATTCGTACCGGAATATTTCAATCTGATCCATGTCCAACCATTGGTATTGATTTTCAGGTGAACATATTAAAAAATTTTCCAATACTGAAATTATCATTGATTCAAATTCATTCTAAAGACAGTACAAGCTAAAGTAGATAATGAATATTATGATCTTCAGCTATGGGATACAGCTGGTCAAGAGCGTTATCATTCAATAACAAGAAATTATTATCGTCATGTTCATGCTATTTGTATGGTATTTGACGTTTCAAAAGAGCAAACTTTCCTCAACGTCCGAAATTGGCTGACATCAATCGAAGATACTGTTTCCAAACCGATTCCATTGCTTTTGATTGGAAATAAATGTGATCTTCGATACACTAACAATGATGGCCAATTTAAATTCCTATCTCGACAATCGGGCCGACGTTTGGCTGATGAAATTGGCCCGAATTGTGTATTCATAGAGACTAGTTGCAAGACTGGTTTCAATGTTGATAACATAATGATTATCGCCACTAAAATGATTATTGCCGAACAAAATCGAAAAAATTACAAGAAAATTAATGATGGCCTAAAGGTAGCGAATAAATCGAATTATACCAAAAATTGCTGTTAATGTGATAAATAAAATCCTATGTGCTATCATAATAACCACTCAATTATATAGATTCCCTAACATATTCCGTTCTAGTATTCTTTTTGTAATTAAAGTTTAATTAGTCATTGATAACTGTCAGTAGATGATTATAATGACCAAATGTTGATAATTCCTGCTTCTGCCCGTGGCGGTTTTTTTTGTGAACAATTTGGCGAAGGTTGGTGAAGGTTTAATTTAAAAAAATAAAAAATATTAATATTATTTTTCATTAATAATAAAATTTTATTGTCAAATTACAAATATTTTAATGCTTAGATGGCTATTCGATGAATAGTGAATTCTTGATGACAAGACAGTCCCGGTATTGTTGCATTTGATGGTGCTAATGTTTTATGATGATTCAATATACGATCGGCACGACTTCGTCGATTCTGATATGGATTAGATGTGATCCATAAAACTAAAAATGCTATCAAACGATAAACGATTATATTGAAAATCAGCATTAAAATACAGAAAGTTAGATCATCTTGATCATGTGTCAGATGTAATTTGTACAATATAACTTGCAATTGTTTTCGTTCACAACGACCAAATCCATATTGTAATAAAATCAAAGCTTCAAATACAAAACGAGCTGGTAAAAATTTTGATAAAAATCCGTAAATATAATGAAGACGGTGTATCGGTGTTACTGAATTGCTAAGCAATGCGGAAACACAACTAAAGCCAACAAAATAAGCAATGAGTGTAGTAAAATCACCAGAAGCTAAAATTGCTAATAAATAGCCGACACCTTGTAAAGACATTGCACCTAATATGAATAAGCCGACGATCCAATAGAAGATATTTGGACGGATAACTTCATAGATATTGATTTGATAAGCAAAGAGAAAACATGAAAACAACAAGGGCCATATTTCAATTGTCATTTTCATCACATAAAATGCACCAGTGCTATACCAACCTAAATATCGATATATCAAACAAGAAACGAAATCATGAAATAATCTTGAAATATGATTGGCAAAGTCTTACCATTACGATGTTCATTACGAAAATAAATGAAATCTTTCGAACACATTAATGCACTCTGAAGAATAATCAGACCGAGAAACATGTTCGCATGGGTAATTGTATAGGTATAATTTGTTCGTAAATCCGAATCATCTGTTCGTTGTTGTTCAGTACGGGCGCACGTATTATTAAAATCATCTTCCAGATTTATGCAACCGGTCACTAAAGCGATTTTTGGATCAAATATTAGGCCCATAATTAAACCATCAAGCATTATACATAATGGAAAGATTGATAAAAGTATCCATTGAAATCCGCGAATAAAATAACAATAACGAATTATTAATATCCAGATCGAATGTAATGAAAATCGAACACGATTATTTGGTATGCCATCCAAGACTAATTGTGTCTCGTCATTCAGGCTGTAACTAATATCTTCAATAATTTTTGTCTTTGTTGCTTTTACAAGATTTTTTACTTGATAATCAGTGTGATCAAGACAAGAATATTTTATCAATTCTTCAATAGGAAATGAATTTTTATGAATATCATTGCTGGTTGAACATTGTGATAAATGTTGTCGTATTTCATTTGGATGACCAGCATAGACACAAACACCACCTTTGGCTAAGACATATACATCATCAAACATCATTAATACATCGGTATTCGGTTGATGAATAGAAGTAATAATGCAAAGATTATGTAAACGTGCTAATTTACGTAAGCAATCTGTAACAACTACGGATGAATTTGAATCCAATCCACTTGTAGGTTCATCAATACAAATCAAATTCGGCATTCGTAGCGCTGTTAATTCAATGCCTAAAGCTAGACGTTTACGCTCACCGCCGGAACATCGGTCGACCATCGTATCCCTTGCCTCTTGAAGATCTAATTCATTCAGGATGTTTAACGCAATACTTTCATGATCGACTTGTCCTTCTTCGGATACATTTTTCAGCCGTGAAGCAAAAATCAATAATTGTTTTGCTGTCATTCCGGGCATCAAATGGCCTGAAACTTCTTGTGTAATATAACATGTTTTTGTTGGTGTAAATTTACTCAGATAAAATTTACTCTCAACATTCAATCGAGTTTTCGATCGACCATTCAACACTTTTAACAGTGATGTTTTTCCTGCGCCAGATGGTCCCATCAATGCATTCAATGTGCTGAATCGAAATTGTCCGTTTAAATCACGAAGAATTAATTTCGATTTCTGAATATTCTGAATTGAACGAATTTCTCGCATGGATTGTGATGCAAATAATGTAACCGATCGCCATGCAATCATAATTTTTTCACGTGAAAAATTTTCGAATTCGATTTCATCATCATGTTTAGTACGAGATATTCGATCCATATCAATTTCAATTTTTTTAGGTAATTCAAAAATTTCCGAATAATTTATAGGTTTTAAATCGGCATCAGACGATTGGGTGAATGTCTTTCGATGTATTCGTATGCTGAAACGTAGAATCATTATCAGAAATGTTATCAAACGAATATAAGCAATCATGGCAAGCGTTTTTTGAACATCATTATATACTGTCAATGGGTCGACACCGAAATCTTCTAAAACAAATGATATTTCCATCTCTTTATCACATCGATCTATACCATAAAAAGCATAAATCAACCCGCTTGCTATTGGTTTAACTGGCAAAAAAATCGACATAATTTTAAGTATTGTGTTATTATCATTGAAAGTAAACATATAACCGAGACAGAATTGCATAGTGTTGACAATTGTTAGGCCACAAAGGATAGCAACTTCTATATATCCCAGTGATATTAAGCTAAACAGATGTCCAAAACTTTGCAGATATATGGCATATATCCATATAAAATATAAAAAATTTCCAAATCTCGACCAATTTAAGTGATGATCATCGACATAGCTGTGGTCGACAAAGAAATAGATTGATGCAGTCATATAAACAGCCATTATGCTTATTTCAATAAATCGAACAATAATGAATGACGAATAGAAAACTCCCATACTATACCATTCTTTGTATAAAACTGTATTTAAAATTTATTTTCATAATTTAAAATAAACTTACGATTGTGGTGTTCATTTTTGAAAACTTTCAAAATTGGTATGAATGAAATGCTCGATATGCATATAATACTCAAACCAATTATTGTAAGTGAATATCCTTGATAAATCTTGTATTCATCGCTAAAAGATTGAGCCCCTAGTCGATCACGACAAGTAAAATTATGCATCGATTCTTCATCCATATTCAATGGATAACAAGTGTCTGCTTGAACAATACGGTGATCAAACAATGTTGCAGTAACTAGAAAAATGATTGTATAAAATATTGCTTGAAAAAATAACTTTCTACGCTCGGCAACAAACACGATATAAAACATTCGACATATTTGCAGATAAAAATCCAAAATTGAGAAATTTTTTCGGCCATTTTGAACACCTTTTTGCATAAATTGTAATTTTTCTAATGAAACTTTTTCATTTTCCTTTTGTAATTGCCCTTGTTCTTCAAGCAAAGTTTTATTGGCCAGCATTCGCACACTCTTATCGTTAATGCCTAAATTTCATTTTTTTAAATTAAAAATGCATCAATAATAAAGAAAACATACCTAGACAAGCAATTTTAAGATAAACTTCAATAGGAGGTTGTTCAAGATTTTCAAGCATTCTTAAAATTTCGGCATCAACAATTGTTTTTTCGAGCTTTTGGCGGAGATTATCTGGTGAATCCGAATAGATACAAACACCACCTTTAGCTAGAATATATAGTTTGTCAAATAAGGTCATTATCTCTGAGCTGGGTGCATGAATGGAACATAGAATTGTCATTCGATTTTTGATTAATAATCGTCGAAGACATTGCATAACCAATAATGCTGCATGACTATCCAGACCAGTAGTCGGTTCATCGATAAATAAAAATGTTGGTTTTTTCAACGACATTAATTCTTGAGCAATGGCCACACGACGTTGTTCACCACCGGAACAATTTTCGAATGGATTATCCAATATCGTTTCATCTAACAGTAATTCTTTCAAAACAGCTTGTGTATGCTGGAAGAATTTATTTTTCTGGCCTGGATTTTTAAAACGAAATGCATAGTATAATATTTGTCGAACAGTCATACGGCCAATAATTGTTTCATGAACATGTTGTTCAATAAAACGAATCGAACGATTTGATGATTTTTCAAGATGAATTTCCGAATCTTCACTCAAGCACGAATAAAAGGTACCATTTAGACAGTTAAGCAGTGTGGTTTTGCCTGCACCACTTGGACCAAGGAATCCATTCAAACTATTGCAACGTAGATGGCCATTCGAACGATTAATGATAATTTTACGATCACCACAACAATCCAAACTTAACCAGTTGTCGGCAACTTCATAATTTAGATTTTTCCATGCAATCGAAATTTCATTTATTTTCGGTGATTCTAATTGTTCATCATTTTTGGCAGGTATTGATTTGAACACAGGATTCATACATGATATTGAAAGTCGATCCTGTCGTTGATGTTTATCATTCATGGTTTTGGTTGAATCTGAACAAAAGTTATTTGTGTTTATGTGGTTAAAAAGGAAAAAAAATCGCACTGGTGTGTTGAAAACGCGTAAACAGATAATAAAAAATTCACATCAATTGATTGATGAATGAATCTATGATGCATAATGGATATGGATTTTCCTGTCATGCCATACACATCTATATGCAGATATTGACAATATATTCGCTCATCATGAAAATTTCAAGCAAAAACATTATAATCAAAAAATATTATCGACGAGAGGATACAAAACAAACATTCAACAAAAATAGCTGCCATAAAATTTTTTGTATTATCTTGATTTTATTCGTTTTCGATCAATATCATAATCATTATGGGGGTTCATATTTTGAAATAGAAGCAAAACGTAATTCAAGGTCGAGATTTTTAAAATAAAATTAAAAATTTTTATTGTATTAAAAAAGAAAAAAAATTCATGTTTTAATTATTCTAAATTAAATTATGATTAACAGAATGGTATACAAATTGAATATAATGGTATAGTGCTATTAATTTATTCAATGATATTAGCAAAACCATTTTCGATTAAATAATCACCAACATTAACATCGTCAACAATTAGTGAACACATTAAGTGATTTTTATCATGATCAAATTCCATAGTTAAAACTTCAGCTTTTTGTTCACAAATAAGTTGCTGCAATTCCATAGTGGTTTCTATTTCATCATTTTTAGGCGCAATACCTGTAAAAAAAAAGAGAAAAATTTTCATTCAAATAAAAGAATCAATTTTGAAAAATAATCACCATAAAGAGAGGCACGAACTGATCGTGCTGGAAATGTGATGAGTTCTTCAGGTATTTCGTACAATTGTGAAGACTTATAGAAAGTTTCCATTCCTTTGTCCATTTCAAAACAATTGTATTCATTTGCTACATCATTGAATGATAATATATAAACACGAATGTATTTATTACGATGATGATCGGCTATAGCACCGTATACATGGCCAATTTTTGGGTTGTCAATTTTTTTAATCGAATCACTGGTCATAAAAGATTTTAACTTTAACTTGAATTTTTGATAGTCAGGATCGGCAATAAATTTCAAATAGAAATCACTTGGAGATGTAACCATTTTAACTTTCATGATGAATTGTGCGAATGATTCGGAAAGCAAAGGATGAGCAATCATCATGGATGATGATGATATTATTGGTTCGGAAATGTCCACATCTTTTTGAGAATGATTATTCGATAATTCCACCGGTGCATTGGGGTGTTTGCTTGTAGTTACAACCATATTGGCTTCAGAAACCATTTGTTGTTCAATAAAATTGACAATGTCAATAATTTCATCATTATTTTTACAATAAATATCAACTTTTTGTCGAGCATTGTCTTTTGAAAAAGCAATCCAACAATCAGTACTTGATAAAACGATTTTTTGCACAGCAAGATTAAATTTTGATTTATCGGGATGATTTCCAATTTTTTTATAACTTGCTTCATCAAATTCAAGTCCAAATTTAAATCCCTGTATTGGTAACTTCAAGAAATCGGGGTTGTCACTCAAGATTAAATCATCTTTATCAGCAATATATTCATAGCCAAGATCGAGAAGTAATACATGATACTAAAATATAGAATTGTTGATAATGATGATCATTGAGAATATCACAAACCTTTCGATCAGCAAATTTTTCAATTATTTTTGTCCGTAAATACATATCATTGTGGTGATCATGATAAATGAAAAGATTTTTCCATTGTGCCTTGCTTGTTTTTTCAATGAAAACTATCTCATCCCAGGATTTGTCACAATAATATGCATGCATATCACTTGATAATTTGGCCAAAGAATCCTAAAGGATTAAAAAGATTATATTAAATTGTAATCAGTAATCACTATAATTAAGATGATTGAACATACTCGATATTTTTTGAATTGGACAAATATCTCATTATAGTTCAGATATTTAGTGATAATGCAAGGGATTTTTTCATTGGGATTCGATGTATCAGGAATAGTCTCTTGTAATAAACAGGATAAATCCAAATCGGATAACATTGTGAAACTGTGTTTAATGTACTGAACAAATCAATCTGTTCTTAATTTATTTCAATGTGAAAAGAGCTATGGCATCGATGACACGTGGATGGAAGATTCGAGAGAAAAAAATTGCAAATTGATAGAAATCGCCAAAAATATTGTTCACAAACAACGTGAAAACTTTCCTGATGTAATGTTCGTTAGTGTTTCAAGTCTATTGCGCATATCCAAAGTCAAAAAAAAAGCATGATAATTCGAATTCGATTCATTTATTTTTGCACAAATACACGTGTAAATCATCAAGATATCGTTTATTTCACTCTATTTGAAGACATAGTTTGTATATTTTAGCTTTGGAGAATTTTAATCAAATACGTGAAGGCTATAAACAAATGATCGATTAATATCAAGGATTTTCTGCATCAACAATAGATCAATCTACAACAATGACATCAATGATTGGAAAACAGGCCGGTTGTAATTGTCGGGTGGCAAGATCAAAGGTAAATAGCGAATCAATTGAGCAATATCTTGAATACTTTGGTTGTATTATCGAGATGAACGGATGGAATGATGAACAAGCAGCGAACGGATTTCGTGCAGCTTTAGTTCCGAATACTCAATTGTGGAAGTCGGTTCTTGTGATTCCCATGGCCGATCGAAAATCATTTGCCAAAATAGCTGAGGCTTTACGGGTGTCAACTAGGCAACGTAGAGACTTGATGGTACTAAAGTTTTTCAACCTGACCAGAAAACCTGGGCAATCATTGGAAGCCTTAGCTTTAAACATCCAAAAATTAGTAGAAGAGCTATACCCAGATGCTCCAGATAAAACAAAAAGATCCTTAATTCGTGATCGGTTTTACGAAGCTTTGGGACCTGATTTGATTGCTGCTATCGGAAGTTCAACAAATTTCAAAACTCTCGAGGAATTGAAGATCCAAGCTTTGTTGATGGAAGATGCCTTGTCGGAAAAAGCAAAGGCATCATCATCGAATAACAAAAATCAAAAAAATGGTAAATCAAAATATTGCGATCATTGCTGTAAAGCTGGGCATGATACCGAGGAATGTCGCTTAAAATCAAGAAAAATAAACGTTCGGCTTGCCAGATGAATCGTATTACATCCATTTTCGCATTGCAATAAGGTTCGCTAAAATTGGATCAAACGATTGCATCATTGTTGTCGATTGAGTAATGAATTGGTTCATTTGTTTTTCTGTAATCTGTATTACTTTGATAATTTGTTTAAATGTTGATAATGATCATTAATATTGAGTTATAAGATTTATATTTTGTTAGTAATAAAAAAAAATGCTTCCGTCACTCTGAATACCGATTCCAACCTTGAAATGAAAAGAAAATAATAAGTAGTATAAAAAACAATGAACTATTTTTTCAAGATCTGAAATGAGAATTGATCTTGTCATGGTAACGGTTTTTTATTTGTTTTAAAAACGCATGATGATCACCATAGAGTTGTCCATGGCATAGACAACAACAACAACAACGGCCGTAATTCAATCGATTTCGACATTGAAATTTTTTCTTCATTACAATTTTCGAATTTCACTTGTAATATTCTCATATTTGCTTTAAAGAATTAACACGAAATAATGAGTAAAATTTCTAAATCATCCAATCAATCGAAACAGTTGTTCAATGAAAAATGTTCCATCATATCAATGCCAAAAATCAAAGTGATCCCATTACCTGAACTAATTGATCATCATGAGCCATTTTTAGGTGAGATAATTAGAAAAATTTCCAGTGTTGGGAATGTCGAAGAATTTGATTCGATACAACGAATAAAAGCGAAACAAAAACAAAATCGATGTTGGCAATTTTTGAAATCAACTATCCAAATCATAATCATATCGGCTATTGCACTGATAACTTTATGTTCTTATTTTGTTTTCGATCCTATGATTAGTGATGGTTTGTTTGTCATTTTTTTTTGTGATAATGATTCATAATAATTTTCTATTTGGTTCAAATAGCTATCGAATCGCAATTGAATTTGGATCAAAATTCTTCCATGATCAATGCATGGCAACATCCATCATACCCCTATACAATGAAATTCTATCTGTTTGGATTGAAAAATGCAGCTGATTTTCTTCGAGGCCAACGTCCCATTCTAGTTGAATATGGACCGTTTGTTTACCAGTAAGTTCGTTTTTCTAAATGTATATTCATCAAATTCAAATTGGATTTCTGATTCAAGCGTGGACACAAAACGTACGATTACAAAATGGAAATCCGAATCCATTCAATTCACAGAACAAGCATTTTTTCATTTCGATCCTAATCTTTCATTGCCATTAGGAACCGAATTGACTGTACTCAATTATCCTCTTTTGACAGCTTTATTTATGGTAAAATCAATGATAAAAGAGAATTCTATTTTAGGATTCTTAAGTCCAGTTGTTCAAAATGTTGTAGCAAATGTAATTCAATCTAGTGGTGAGAAAATTATTGTACAAAGACAAGCACTTGATCTATTGGATGGTCATCGAGTAAAATTTTTAAAAAATGTTCAACGCCTTCTGAAACCGATCAAAGCTTTGGGCATTACATTCAATTCTGAATTGGAAAATATGGATTTTGAACATTATTCATTTGGATTTGGGCCTCAAAATTCTGGTCACAAATCAGAATTAAATGAACATTATCGTCACACAAAAAACGGCCATCTATTCGATGGAATTTATAAAATTGCTGGCAAACGAAAACTTAAAGATTTCCGTTCACCATGTAATGAGATCAATGGCAGTTCAGGCATATTTTTTGGGATGCATTTGACAGCACCAGAGATTTCATTTTTTAGCAATTCTGTTTGCCGAAAAATCCGTCTGATAAAAAACTAGTAAGCACATTGAAACGAATTCTTATGATTATCCGAAAGATTATTTTTTCCATCTTTGAAACAGTACACATTATTATCGACCCCTTATCAAAGTTGTACGTTATTCTGTCGATATTCAGTTGTTTAATTCTACATATCAGCCAAATCGATGTTATTGTTTACAACCAAAGTTATCCAAATGTCAAGGATGGCTAGATACATCACCATGTCTTGGACAATTACGAGTGGGTGCTTCTTTACCACATTTTTATAATAGTTTTAGACGACAAAAAACTGTAATAGGTTTACAGCCCGATTATTCCAAGCATATTGGATATTTAGATGTAGAGCCAAATATTGGAATGCCAATCAATGGTCGTATTGCTGTACAATTCAATATGCGTATTTCATCAATACCAATGATTGGTTTACAATCCATACGCAATACAATATTGCCAATGTTTTGGGCCGAACAATCAAACACAATACAAACGCCAATGATTTATTGGCTAATGATTATATCATTAAGTTTTAATTATGGAAAATATTTTATTCTTTTTATTGGAACATTTATTACATTGATATGGTTTTATCGATTTTTCGAAAAACCATAATAATCATCACAATTTTTTTTACATAAGATACTTTGAAAATAAACTATAAAAATGGAATTAAAAGTGACCAATATATGTGCTATAGGACTTGATTGAAAAAAATGATGATGATGATGATCGACATTTTTTTTGTCAAAATTAATTAATTAATCGATGGATGAATGAAACCATTTTGGATGATGAGAACAAAAACCTAAATTGATTAGTATTTAACTGTTCATTTGCACAAACAAATAAACAAACATGTTTAAAATAAAAAAAATCAATAAAATTATAAACTAATAGACATCATGTGTATAGCTTTTTTCTTTATCATGATCATCATACGATTCTTCCTTGACCACAGTCAATGGTAATGGTTCTTTATGTACTGAATGTTCCTTTTTTATAGTAATCCTGTTTCGTATGGATTTTTTTGATAAAGAAAAATTTTTATTAAATTAAAAATTAATTAAAAATTTTCAACAAAAAAAAATTATTATTTAGAAAAAACAAAGAAATACTTACGGAATTGGGAGTGGAAGGGGTAATGGGAGGGGTATAACCAATCTTTTTCGATTCAATAATGATAATAAGAATAATAAAAGCATACGTTTCTTTTGTTTACCAGCTTCAATTTCTTGTAATAATATTACTGTGACTATTATTATAGCCATGAATAGAATATGAACGAAACGCATTTTTGCAAAATTTTATGTGTTCCGAATATTAAATGTTGAAAAAATAAACAAACAAATCAGACGAAAAAAAATTAGCGCAATACAAGATTTTCGAGACACTTTTATACCTTCTGTTTCTATTCTTTGGAGCTAAAACCGTACATTCATCCCTTATTAGCAATTAGTTTTTTGGAATATAATATTTGTTTCTCTTATATCCGATAGAAAAAATACTAGGTTTTGACTCTTTTGCAATTTTTCTGTTGACTCTTTAAATTTTGTTTTGTTTTTTAGCATGAAGATATTTTTTTCTTGTCGCTAAATTTATCCCAAATTTTTAAGCAAGTAAATTTTATTCCAACGCGGAAAAGAAAATCTTGATCTCGATATGATATCATCGACAAAAATGTTGGTCGCAAATAACGATTTTGACAATTCGGAAATTAATTATTAAAAAACTAGATGTTGATAATCTTATTGATATTTTTTTCCTTTTTGAATACGTAAAATCAATAATCATAATCATAAAATAGGTTAAGGTTAAAACTCAAAAGTTGATCCAACAATCAAATTCAATGATGAAAATAAACCCAGACACACTGATCATCCGATTGTTTCGATATTTATCAATTGTTTCGTTGAGAGTGGCTTTTTAATCTTTTTATAGTAGTTTTTTTTTGTCCATTCATATGTTCATGTCAATTGGATTTCAATAATTCATTTCGTCGTTTGTACTTAAGAAAAATATCCAACATGTTTTTTTGCCAATTCATTCATAATTTCTTATTTTTCGGTTACGATCATTGATCATCATCTTCAGGAGTTTTTGTAACAAAATTAACGATGCTGGTTTTTCTCGTTTTTCATCTCAAAATAAAGATAGAGGAAGGAATTGATTTTTTTACTCGCCATGACCACTGGTTTTGTTCATTTTCTTTGCTTATATGGATCGATTTCAATGAATAAACTATTTATAGGAAAATTTTTTTGCTAAAATAAATTGAAAGTGTTTCTCATTCGCTAAATCACATTTATCAACATCATCAAAGGTTCTACTTATAGAAATTTAAGGAAATGAAAATCCTGATTAGATCATGTGATAGATGGACTAACTTTTATCAGTTAAAAAAAGGAAAATGACAAATAAGTAATGATGTATATATGATAGTTTTTAATTAATAGATGCGGATGATAATAGGAAAAATCACGATTGACAATAAAATGAAATGAAAAAGACTCACTGTCAAAGACATATACAAGAAAATCTTTTTTTTTCTTTATTGAGATGCGAATTTTTCAATGTTGATTCATGATTATTTTTTCGAAAGCACTTTGCAATATTTCTCACATCTATAAATGACTTTTTCAAATAATTTATCATGTTTTATGATTCATCAACAATCGCAAATGCAATGGATCATATTGAAATTTCTCCTGTAAATGTTAGTCAACAACAAGGTCGCCAAATAGAATCACAAACACATATATCTTTATGTGTAATATGCAAACAGCCAGTTCAAATTCTTCAAAATAATGATCAACAGATTTCAATCGGCGCAAATTGGAAAAATATTAATGAAGACAAAAAAATCGTTTGTCTTCAATGTCAGGTACGTTTGAGTACGGAAAACTTTTTAAATAATTGTTTTTTTTTCGTTTCGAACATAAACATCATTAATTTTCTTCAAATTAATATAACAGAAATTTTATAATGAATCTATCGAATTGTCAATCCATTCAAAATTCAAATGTATTTGTGACGATAATGTCAATGATGCAAAATCTTTTGATCATTCATTACATTGTGATTATTGTCGTTTTAATAGAATAAATCAATTAAGATCGATTCTAAAATCCGATAATAATTCATCCAAAATCACTGTAATATCAGAGTCACGATGTAGACGAATTGAAACCATAACCGGTGGGTATGCAGGAAGGCAATCAATAATTTATCACACAATAAATAATGATGATGTCAATGATATCATTGTTAAAAAACAGCCACCGAAAACCCAACAACAAACAGTGAAACATCGAATCAATAATAGCAATATTAAAACTATTAAAAAATTAATTTTTCTTTCGTCAAATTCCTTGTCAATGTTTCCATTTATTTCTCAGACACCCGTTTCAACTCAACAATCAAATACACATGATTCACTCAATCCGATGATCGTCAATGCTCCAAAATCTAACTCAATTGAGCATCATCAACAAATCCAACAGTCTTCTACTACACCATTGTCAATACAATCACAACAATGTTCTAAATATGTCAACTCAATTCTGAAAAAAACTCAATCTACAACTGTGAACAATAAAAATGGCCCGAACAAGAGCTCAAAATTATCTAATCGTACGAGTAAAAAGAATTTCGGACAGCAAAGAAATGTTGCAAAATATCGTTTGTTAGCAAACAAGGCAAGTTTTGTGATTTTTTAAAACAGATAAATAATTCAGTTAAATTCAACAGCCAGAAAAAAATAAACAACCGAATGATCTGGCTATTCTGGACTGTTCAATGAATGATAAATTTCAATCAAATCGATTTACAAACTTTTCACTAGTTCAAAATCCCGTGGATCTTGATCGAAAATTGTCGGAAGCCTTAGCCGGCCTGGATTCCAATCGTATTTCAAAGTACCGTTGTCCATTGGAAGAATTATTTCATAATTGGACATTTTTTATCGATCATATCAGTATGATTTATTGGTCTTGTTTTGGACCGAACCAATTACGAATCGAATTGTTTATTAAGAAATTTTGGTCATTTATGAATGATTTTCTATGTTTATATCGCTGTGATCAGATTAATGATCATGCCGTGATTGCATTGGTAAAATCCATACAGGTTGAATCGAACATATCTATCAATCAGATTTTACTATTGAATATATGTTGGCTTAAATTTGGACCATATAGCAGCCATCGTGATTCAAAATCAAGCTCACATCCTTGGTGGATAACAATTAAACCATTTTTATCCAACATAGATAATGATACCAACAAAAAATCGAAATTATTGACAGAAGCATTAGATAATATTGGTTCTATAGCTGATCGTTTTCATATAAACGATATTGAATTGGCATTAGTTTCAACAATTCTTTTACTTAAACATTGTGACAATCAATCGATAAAAATGATGACAATGAATGATAATGTCGCCTGTCATGTATGTCATCGCCCAATGTTTCGTTTACAACAATTATTCGTGGCCATGTTGGAATTGTTTGTCGATGATCATCAACAATTAAATAATGTGAATGATTATGATTCAGCTGGATTATCAAATACTGTTTCTGCTGGTCATAGCGGCAGTACTAATGGTAGTTTAACACAATTAATGTTATTTCTGTCACCAGAATTAGAATATTTTTTTGCTTTATTAAATGCTTGATTTTTTAAATAAATGTTTGAAATAAAATAAAAAATAAAAACAATTTGCAATTATAATCGATTCCATTCATACACAATTGACATACCCTCATAAATTAGAGTTGAATTTGTGGATGAAAATAATTTGTTTAGAAATTTATTTTTCATTTCCATTTTGAAATTTTCACTTTTCATCATCATGTTTCGTGGAATTTTTTTCATCGTTCTAGTTACATGTTCATCATGTTTAACAGAAACGATTGTGAATCCGAAAATTCAAACCCCAACGGCTATTATTGTCGGGAAACAAAACCAGTTACGGATTGGTTCGAAAACTGTATTGGTTGATCGATTTACCGGTATCACATATGGCCACGCAAAAAGATTTCAACGATCAACACCAGCGTGGAAATTGGATACAACAAAAATAAAAATAGATGCAACAAAGCCATCAAAATTTTGTCCACAGCAATCGGGTTTTATCGAAATGTTTAAAGCTGAAATGACCATGGAGCAAAAACAACTGGCACGTATGACCGAAAATTGTCTTCAACTTAATGTTTGGGTCAGTAATAACACCAATGAATCATTCATGCTGAAACCGGTACTTGTTTGGTTCCATGGTGGATCATTTATATCTGATACAACAGCTCGGTTATTATATCAAGGAGAGCAACTTGCAGCACGTGAAAATATTGTTGTTGTCACTGTTAACTATCGATTAGATGCATTTGGCTTCATGTACACTGGTCATCATAATCATACAATGAAGACACAAACAAATGCTGGCATTTGGGACCAATTATTAGCTCTAGAATGGATACAAGAACATATTGAATATTTTCAAGGTGATGCCAAACATATTACCATTGCAGGATTCGATTCTGGTGCTACTTCAGTTGGACTTCACCTTATGTCTCCAAAAAGTAGACGATTATTTCAACAAGCTATAATGATATCCGGATCAGTATATACACAATTAATATCAACTCGTTCTGTCTGTAATGCAGATGTGGCTCAAATGTGGGTCCAAATGGCTACAAAAATTTCTTGCGGTCATGAATGGTCATCGAAAACTCTCAAATGTCTGAAACGAGCCTCAATCGAAGAAATTTTACAATTAATTAATCCATTAGGTTCAATATCGACTGGACCAGAAATTGTCATGGATCTATCGGATGATCTTTTCCCATTCGATAAACTATCCCAAGCAATCGATCAAATTCATACATCAAAATTAGCTATCATGATTGGTTCGACTGATGATGAAGGCAGTCAAGTTTTACCAATCATGAACAATAAACTGTTTCAGCAATTTATTTCCGATCAACAATTATCAAAGAATGAAGCTATCGAACAGATGGTTCAATTAGCTTCGAAACTAGTGCCGCCTCGTGGCTCTAATCATAACAAAGTGAACGGAAAGGATGTTGCCGCATTTTATCTGACTGATTCGAATGTTACTGGAAATTTCAAAACAATCGGTCAATGTATTGGGGATTTTTATGTTTCATGTCCTATGACCCTGTTTGCCGAAAAACTTGTCGAAAAACGACAATATCCTGCTCATTTATATCAATATGTTTGGTCACAAAAAACTCGTCCAAATCGGTTTGCACCATGTTTAGAATGGATGGGTGCTTGTCATGGAACTGATGTTCTAATGATGTTCGGTGTACCATTCATGACACCGAATGAATTTGATGATATTGATCGAGACATTTCGACAAAATTCATGCAAACTATTGGTCATTTTGTTCATCATGGTCGACCAAATTTAGAAAAATGGTTGCCATGGTCATGGAATGAAAATAATTCATTATATATGCCTTATTCGCAATTCATAGATGGTTCTTGGAAATTCGAAACCAATTGGAAACAAGATAAATGTCACAAAGTATGGGCCAAATATTTTATGACCAACGATAATGATAATCAGCATTCGACATGCAGGCGAGAATAATTTATTTAGCATATAAATTTATATATCAATTAATGCTGGTCATGAATTAATCAAAACTGTTTTCAAATTCAAAAATGGAAATCATTTTATCAAAAACAATTGAATTGAATAAATGACAAAAAAATTTCATATTAAATTATTTGTTTGTTCAGTCAGTTTACCTTAATCAATTTTATATCAATACTATGATTATTTTAGTGATACTAGCCATTTTTGGCTTTCCAACATTAATAAATGGCTATTCAACTTTTGAACTTTATAGTGATGATCCGGATATTTTTCGTAATACAAGTGAATTGATTGAATCTCGTGGATTTCAATCAGAAACTCATCGAATGATTACTGAAGATGGCTATATATTGACAATGTTTCGATTAATTAATCCATATTTGAAACATGAACGTCCATTACAGCCAATATTAATACAACATGGCTTATGTGGTAATGGTGATTATTTTATGTTATCTGATCATGAAGCATTGGTCGAAGGTGGACAATTTATGGATCTAAAAACATTACGTCCATTGAATTGTACTGGATTGGATAGGAATGCTTCCGGTACAAGTATAGCATATGTTCTGGCAGCCTGTGGATATGATGTATGGCTGGGCAATTTTCGTGGCAATCGATATTCAGATGGTCATATTATATTGAATCAAAGAATCGGTGAGTAGAAAAAAAATAATAACAATCAATTAATCATAGTTAGTTTTTGTTTCAAATGATTATCAGATCGTGAATATTGGTCATTTAATATTGATCATTTTTCTCATTATGATACACCAACACAAATACATTATGTACTCAATTACACTAGACAACGTAAGTATTTGACAGAATGAAAACTTTATTTTAAAATTAATCAATTCAACACATTAATCATAATTATCAGCACATTTGACGTATATTGGACATTCGATGGGTACAACATCTATATTGCAACTTTTGACAGAAAAAACCGAATATTCAAAATATCTTAAGCCAATCATTCTGTTGGCTCCAGTTACTCATGTTTCTCATATACGATCACCAATTTTATTGTTGGGAGCTTATACGCCAGCACTCATCAAATTCTTCGAGTCAGTCTCTTTCATTTATATTAATTATCAGTTTTAAATTGTTTTTTACCAGAAAAGCTAATTTACCATTTTTTGGTCTACCAAGCCGAATTTGGGCTCTTGTCGATCAATTAGTAGCAACATTCATCTGTGGAAACTCATTGTTTAAACCATTGTGTGCATTATTTTTGTTCATAATCACTGGATTTGATTATCCTAATCTAGCACCGGTAATTTGTTATTATCATTATTTTTCAAATTATGATCTAAATCCTCAAAATTATAATCCAATACATTTTCAGCAAATTATTCCATTTACAACCGGACATTTTCCCGATGAAACATCGATGGCTGCATTTGCACATTGGGCACAACGGGTTGTTTATAATACATTCAGCTACTATGATTATGGAATTGAAGAAAATCTGTTACGATACGGAACAGCTATCCCACCAATTTATAATTTATCCAAAATCGATTCGGAAAATCTTATGTTTATTTCCGGCATAAATGATTGGCTTGCTGATCCGGATGATGTTGATATCCTGAGAAGTCAATTGATTGGTCAGTTTTTTTTCGTAATTATTTCCTACAAATTAAAATAATTTATTCTACATAGTTCGACCGCTGAAAGACTATGTCATTCCTTTTCAGCTATGGAATCATGCAGATTTTCTGGTTGGTACAAATCGTGGTATTGAACAGAATTCAGTAATATTACAATGGCTTCATGAATTTTTTGGTGAAATAAAATCATAATCACAGTGTTTGTAACCTGTTTGGTTATCATCGACAAAAAAAAACACTGATTAAACAAAATAATTAATTATTATTCTTACCTATCATGAAAATTTATACCCAATAAATAAATAGGAAAATTTAAAAATCTGAAACATTGTTTTCATGAAAAAAATGATCCATTCATTTTTAGGTAGACTAAATTAACTGATTGTTCATAGCATATGTCCATATTTGTTGTTCTCATTCGTCATCCGAAGTACAAGAGAAAAAAATCGATGCTGCTTATTGTGTGTCCATGATTTACTCTTTTCTCGAAAAACCTGTTTTTCACTTATATAATCATTATTTTATCCAGTTCAAGATATCATAGGATTTTTTTCAATAGTAATAAAAATTAGTTGATAAAAATGTCATCTAAATCTATTATCAATATCAAATGGCCAAAGATGGTTTAGATGGTTTACATCAATCTTAGATTATCTCGAAATCTTAGCAAAAAGCGTCGTTGGTTCAGTGGTAGAATGCTCGCCTGCCAACAATATTCGGCTATTAAACGGAAGTACGCGGGCGGCCCGGGTTCGATTCCCGGACGACGCAGTTGGTCAAATAATTTTTTTGACCATTTTTTAGACGAATTTGGAATTTTATGTTCAATATTTAAGAATCTGGTTTCAAATTTGAATTTGAATGCCGTAATTACGCGTTTGCATTCTAGATGGCGTTATAAATCTTTTTTTTCTAAATTGTGTTCAATTTATAGATTTGATTTCGCATAAAATCGATAGATGACAAATGATAATTTTATTGAAGATTTTATTTTAAATAATAATAATAAATAAAAATCATTAAAATTTTACTGAGAAAATTTATAAATTTATTTCAACTTTCGGTGTGTGTTCAGCAAGAATTCATTATAGGTGGTATACCACGTTTTACTTTATGCGGCCTTAATTTAGGTACCATTTCAATACAATCGATAATTGGACAAACAGAATAACATAACGTACAACCAGTACAATCTTCCGTAACTTCTGGTAAATGTGTGCCTGCATTAAATTTGATAGCTTGATAGCCCGAATCATTACATGTCATATAACATTTTCCACAATTGATACACATGTCCTGGAAAAATTTAGTACCAGTTAAATATAAGTATAATAAGATCTTAGAAATAGTAAAAACCTGGTTAATTAATGCCACTTTTTGTTCTTTATTATTTAATTGATTAAAAGTTCCAATTTTCGGAAGTGAATATCCGACTAAATCCTATATAAACGAAATGAATTATTAAATAATCTATGTTAAATTCATTATCTAAATTGTAACCAACCTTTAGTTTAATTATCGAAGGTGTTTTCTTGTTCTTCTTAGTACACAATGTTGATTCAATGAAAGCCTTACCAGGAATGGGTTTCCCTTTTTGATGGACGGGTGTCGGTGGTGATTGAAAATTCCATTTCTTGTCATATTCTTCATCATTTAAACTTTTCAAATAAAGTAAGGTTTTTAATCCGGTTATATAATCTTGTATGACGGTGAAATCCTGATTCTGTATAGCACTGCAAATTTGTAGTGCACTTGCACCTGCATAAAGAAATTGTAATCCCGATTCCGCCGAATCAATACCACCAGTGGCCAGAATTGTCAATTCTGGTACGGTACGGGCCACAGCCGAAACAGCACGCAATGCGATAGGTCTGGTTGCATTGCCGGACATTCCACCATAAGTGGTGCGAGCTTCTGCTCCCACTTTTGGCCATGGACTTCCATCGCTTTGTAACCACATTAAACTGGATACAGTATTTATGACAGTTACTCCGTCGGCTCCACCACGTTGAGCTGCACGGGCAATATCAACAATTTCAGTGACATTCGGAGTTAATTTGGCAAAAACTGGTACAGTTGAAACCGATTTGACCCATTTACAAATATCTTCAACCATTTGAGGATTTTGTCCACAAGCTAAGCCCATTCCTCTTTCACCCATACCATGTGGGCAGCTTAAATTTAATTCTAATGCATCAGCTCCAGATTCCGTAGCCATTCGTGTTAATTCAATCCAATCATCTTGATTATATTTAGCCATTATACTTGCGATCATAATATTTTCAGGAAAATCTTTTTTCAATTCAGAAATACATCTACACCAATAAGCGGCTGTTTTCTCACTTATTAATTCAATGTTTAAAAATGAGCTTAAATGTGGCCCATAAAGATGGTTAGATGTTGAACCACGAATAATTCGGGGGGATACATTTGTTACAAGATCTTTATCCAGGCCAAAAGTTTTCGTCAAAGCAAATGCCCAACCTGCTTGAAATGCACGACGAATCATTGCACCCGAGGTAGTAGGCGGCGCACTTGCTAAACCAAATGGATTTGGAAAACGTATTCCACATATTTCGATGCTAATGTCTACCGAATCAATCGGTGTATACATTCTTGGTAATCTTGCTATAGAACCAACATCATTGTTATGTTTACTTTGAAGATAACGATGAATAGACCATGCAGCCGTTTTCCCATCATTAACAGCTTCAACGGTTGTTTCGGAAACTCCGGCTAAATCTCCACCACAAAATACCCATTCAATGCTTGTAGACATAGTGTCAACATCAACTAACGGTAACCCAGTTTTTTCATTCATTTTTAATGGATTCAGTGCTTTGATTACATCAGGATCAGTTAATGATGAACCAAAAGCTGATATAACAAATTGACATTTAATTTTTATCGATTGTTCACGATCCTCAACAAAATGGCCGTCATCATCGATTTCAGTTCGATAAAATTCCATTGATACAATGTGACCTGATTCCATTTTGATATTATATGGAGACATGAATGGCATTAGTTCACATTTTTCTTCGATAGCTAAATTAACTTCTTCTGGTACGGCACGAATATTATTAAATCCACGACGAAATACGACCGTTACTCGTTTGGCTCCACAACGAATTGCTGCTGTTGCACAATCAAATGCTGTATCACCAGCTCCCAGAACAATCACATGTCCATGAAGTTTAGGCAAATTCGCCTCAGAATCGTATAATTTTGATCCTCGTGAAACGGCTGGAAGAAAATCTTTTGATGTATAAAAACCATTACGAGGGCTAAGATTATTGAATATGGAATTTAATTTTGATTGAGGCAACCCAAGGCCTAAAAATATGCAATCATATTTATCCTGATTACGAAGTGATTTCAATGTATAATCGCGTCCCAAAGCTTGATTTGTTCGAATTGTCACGCCTAAATCACACATTAAATCAATTTCAAATTGAACAGCTTGATATGGAAGACGATATTGAGGTATTTCCGTGGCGCTTAAACCGCCAAGAATGTTTTCTTTTTCCAAAATTGTCAAATTCAAATAACCTAAACGAGCTAAAAATGTTGCACAGCTTATGCTAGCTGGTCCACAACCGATCATCGCAATCTTAGATCGAAATACATCAGGAATCTGATGATCAGTTGTCTTCAGAGATGGATCACGAGTTTGTGGAACATTCATTTTTCTGAATACATCTACAGCAAAGTGTTGAAGGCCAGAAATATTAATTGGACCTTCTTCTGTAGCATAAAGATTGCAACCACCAACACAAAGATTCGATGTTGGACATACCATACCGCATGTAAGGCCCAGCGGATTATCCGATAAAATACATTGAGCTGCTCCGTAATAATTCTGAAAAAATAATGAATTATCTATGTAAAGGTATTCACAATGTTTATGTTTACCCTATTAGCAATCATGCCTATAAAAGTTTTGATATCTAATTGAGTTGGACAACTTTTCTGGCAAGGAGCATCGGCACATTTTAGACAACGAGCAGCTTCACGAAGTGCACCACGTTCACTCAATGTTGTTGGTTTAATATCATCAAAATTTTCAATCAATTTCGACCAATCACAACCGTTACGGCCACAATTACGTTTCCATTGAGATTTTTCCTGTTTAGTACGATGGCTAGGAATAACGGTTGCCCAGTTTTTTACACGAGGATTAAGAGAAAGTATATCCTAAAAATGATGATTCATTCCAAAACAATACGATTACGACATAAGAAAAAAATGTTATAAAATAGAATCCAGTGCAAATCAATTAATGAAAAAATATATAATTTATGTTCATCATTCATACTTCAATATCTTGTGAATCTTCGGTCAATTTATGTATTTTTACCGTTGTGCAATGGTCCATTTTCTTTTTAATTATGTTCAATTGTGGATGAAAAAAGAAAAACGCAAACTTTAAACTAGATCTTAATAATAATTTGAAGAAAATTAATGAATCATAAAGTTTAACTTTGTGATTGATGAGACTTAATTGAAATTATCAAATGGGAAAAAGTTTTGTTTGGAAAAAATTTGTTAACACGAATCATCAATAAACTTGGCCACCAATATTTATATAGATTGAATGGAACTCTTTGTATTGTGAAAGCTACAGTTTCGTTCTTTTTTCACGTGATTTTTCTGTATTGATTCGAAAAAAGGCTCCATAGTTTATACTAACTATATTAGATTTACAATTTTTCTTAACTATAGAAACATATATTGAAAAATTCAAAATACTGAACTAAATGCGTCACCACGGATATCAATCAATCATCACTAACATCATCATCATCATTTAAATCAACAAAAACATGAAACAATCATGGATGGTTGTTTCTCATGGAATGACAGCGCTACAATTCTCAGCATCATCAATGCAACTTCGTTTTTTTTGTTGTTGATAAAAGAACAAAGCCAACATTGACAAAATGCTACTTCGTTAATGATAAATTTCTTTAAAAAAATTATACAAAAAAATGTAAATATTTGGATCAAGGAGACATATAATTCTATTTTGCTGTGGTCAGTTTTTAAAAAAATTATAAAATTTTTTTTCGGAAACAGTTTGCTTTCAATTTTTTCGCCATTAGATGGCATTTCATATACGAATACAAAAACAATACAAAAAGATAAATCCTTTTTGTTTGTTTTTTTCACTTGAACTAAAAACGAATATTTTTCATGTAAATTTCTGTCATTTATTAGTTTATATCGAATAAATTTATCCATTCAATTGGCATCTTTCGTCATCATAATGAAGATTAGCCCGAAGAAACAAAAGGAATAATTTTATTCCATTCACATAACATAGGCAAAAAAAATAATGTAACATCATTTGAAATCAGACAAAATGAGCAAATGATAAGAAAAATACAATGTAAATACATTGAAAACGATATGAATCCTCATTGAATATTATCGAACTTTAACAAAAATTTCGTGCTTAGATTTTTTTTTGCTTGGTATGCGATAAGGTCAAATGTATGTCCATTTTAATGCTTCTATCGTTTTTTTTCAAATTTGTATTTTTTCTGGTGTTATTCAGCTAAAGATGTTTCTATTATTGTTTCTATTTCTGATGATAAAAATATGCAAATGGATTATGTTTTTTTTTCCAATCCAGAAAAAAACAAACAAAATCTGTTTATCTGTAGAAATAACAATATGCCTGAATGGAATAGTTTTTTTCACCGTTTATTTTCAAAACATGGAAAAAACCAATGCTAATCTCATCAAATTGATCAACAACAAAAAAAGAAAGAAAAGAAAAAGATTTTTCATCACCATTGATATGATCATCAGCATCATCACCATTAACTATTGAAAAATTAGACAACAAAAATAAAAGTGAAGTGATTCAATCGACATTGAAACTAATATTTTTCTATTTGCCAATATAATACTAATCGATTTTTAATTACTAATGTAAATAAAGTCCAAAAGAAATGTAATTTTATAGTGATAATAATAATCATTATCACCTTTTTATGTAAAATAATAGAGTGGAAAATGTATAGAAATTAAATTGAATATAAAAAAAATGTTTATTTGATGGCTAGCCAATTTGGATCATCAACAATATTACACTGTTTCAAATAAATGGCTATTGCAACAATATTTTTATAATCATAAAGATTTTTGTTATTTGATATAGACACGCATAGTGTAAAAAGAGTTCATAATTTTACGGATCACGACCCAATCATGATTATTATCATGAATTTTTTTCTATTTATTTATTTATTTACTTTACACTCTCATCTTCATCATTATAATATTCAAGTATAGAATATACATCCTTGAAACATCTTTGTTATATTGAATTTGCATGTTTAATAAAGTGACAAAAAAAAGAAAAGAAAAAAAGAAAAATGAGAATGAAAATTTCAACACAATAATATGTTGGCGATCAAATCAATCGTATTGAAAATGAATGAAAGATTTCATTTTTTTCGTCATTTACCTGTGGACAGTGTCCATATTGTACACATTCTTGTGTGCTAATGACAATCAATCACAAATTTCAAAAAAATCACTTTTTTTGGAGGAAGCTTATTTGGAGAATTGCAAAAACATTCAGTGATTAAACAGAAAAAATGCGAGGTCACGAATGTAACGGAATTTTTTTTCAGCATCGACAAAATATATCGAAAATTTAAAGTTAACGAAACAAAAATTTTTTAATATTTTTTCAACAATTATCAATATTAAAGTGAAGAAACGTGAAAAAATATGATCCATAGCCGTAAAATTTATTCTCTTTGTCGAAAAAATAAAATAAATTATATTGCGAACAAATCGTTTTAATCATCATTATTATCATACAAATGTCAGAACAGTACAGAAGCGACAGCGAAAAAAAAACATGATAATTAGAATTTTTTCTTTAATTCGTTCCATCAATTAATTGACAATGATTATCAAGATGATCTAGATTAATGTTTTTTAATCAAAAAATAATAACAATAATTTGATTATCAATCCGAATGAAAATCCAATTTTACAAAAAAAAAGTTTAAATTATTTTGAAAAAAAAAATTTCATTCAGAGAAAACAACTCGACTAAAAAAAATCCAAAATCAAGATTGTGATCATTATCATCATCATCATCATCAGTGAAAATGATCTAGTTAATAATTTTCGAGAAAAAAATGGCCATCATCATCACAATAATGATAATAATCGAATAAACTTTATTTCAAATGGAAAAAAATTGAGCCATCATCATCATCATCATAATCGAAACAACAACAACTACTAACACGAAACCATCTGTTAAATTCAAGTTCCATATGAAAATTGATAATAATCATCATCATTATCAACGATCGCAGAGGTGGTGGTGGTGGTGGTGGTAATGATAGCTGATCTAATCTAATCATCTGAAGAAAAAATGATTTAAAGTTTTTTTCTCATTTTACTTGAATGAAAAAAAAATTGTTACAAATGCAACAGGTGCTTCTTCAATTGGAAAAGGACTGTCGACTATCTATGTTTTTGAATATAATAAGGATAAAAATTGCAGGTGAAAATCGAACCAGGGCATATTTCATAAAAATTTTTTGAAAAATTTCTCATCTGAAATCAATAAGAAAATGTCAAACATTTGATATTTCATATAACAGCAAAAATTGTCCTTCTTTATTGGTTTTGGCTGAATCTTGAAATGCTGAAAAGATGAGATAATAATTAAATTTTTATTAGAATTAACATATTAAATTTTCGATTCATAACGTGTTTGATGTTGTTCTATGTAAAATATAAGCATGTGACACGTGTATGTCATTCAAAATGAATGTGTGGATATTGAAAATGTTGAGTTGAAAAAAATCAAAAAAAATCTTGAAACATGTTGAACTTTATCCATAAATTTTTTTCATGTCCATCATCAAGACGATCAACATACAATCATTCTGATGATAATTATCATCAATAAAAATGGTCAATTATTAAAAAGTAGCTAGATCACCTAACATAAGGTAACGATTTAATTTATATCGAATTAATGAAATGATCATCTCATTTTGTTTTGTTGAATTAATCATTCAGGAGCATATATATCAATATCGATTTTTCTTTGATTGACATAAATATTAATTATACAAAAAAAAAAAAAAATCTCCAATTATTAAACATAAAGCAAATATTTCCATTATATGAAAGAAATAAATAAATGAAATAATCAAACAAACAAAAACAAGATAAATTCATCAAATAGGATTAATGTAAATCAATTTGGACATTTGGTGATTATATTAATCAAATTTTTTTTGTTTTTGATTCAAAATCATAAACAAAATTAATCATTAAATCAATCGCTATGAAACAAAGACAAACAAAACCGAAGGGGATTTTCAATTGGAAAATTTCAATTTTTTGGATTTTTATTTTGAAAATAGAAATTTCAGGATCAAAACATTGTACTATGAGTTGAGGATTAAGATTCTATGTGCATGATTTTAAGATTTCGGAACTATTCATAATGCAGAAATAGCCTCCTAACTGCACAAAAGAAAATCCCTCTTTATCAATGATTATAATGTAAAAATTCTCTTGTTTGCGACAACAACAACAAAATATTTAATCGTCAAAAATTTCACAAAAAATGGAAATTTTTTTTGTATTGAAAATCGAAGAAAAAAAATCCCAAAATATCATTCCCTCTTAGAGATTAAGAACAAAATATCATTTGACAGATCCAAATAAAAGAAAAAAAATCATCTTCATTCAACGGGAATAGCTTTTGTTAATCAATGAATGGATCAAATTAAAATCGAATTAAATCAGTGAAACAGAAAATTTTTGTTGACTATGGCCTTGATTCCATTTTCAAATATAAAAAAGAAAATTATATCGATATCGTGTTTGACCATCGAATACCTAGATATGAAGATAATTTAATGATTATCATCATCATCATCAGTATCAAACGCATGTAAATTTTACAACAACAAAAAAACAATCACTGACAAACAGATGCTTGTCATTTGAAATTTGTATTTAATTCGAATGTAAATATATGGTGTGATATATGATGATGATTATTTTTATGAAAAATTCAACTAATACGAATTTATGTGCATCCTGTATAAATGATCATCTATCACAAGGAACTTGAAATTTAAAGAAAAAGAGATTTTTTTATTAAAGTTTTTTAAAATTTCGATGAAACAAGAAAGATAATGAAATTTTTTGAAGAAAAAAAAACAAAATTAAGTGAACAAATGTAAAAGTTTTCTAATTACCAACGATAAGATTATCGTTTTTTTTGTCAAGTTTTACGCAAACACGCAAAAAATAACAAAACAAAAAACATAAAATTTTGAAATCGAACATCAAAACATCAAAGATTCCGTTAATTATTGAATCCGTAATAAGACGTTTCATTTTTTTACAAAATTTCGTTAATTAATGCTATATGAAACATAAATAGAAATCGTATGTCCATCGTTCATCGTTACAAATAAGTAGAAGAAATAGAACAAGGGACATAATTATTTGTGACAATAGTCTGTTTTTGTGACCTCCATCATGCTTTTTTTTACATTTTATTTCAACAACAACAACAAATAGCAGGTGTAAATGAATATGAATCTATTGAATGGAATTTTCACACAGAAAAAAATATCAACGACAATCCTTTTGTTTTAAAACAAATCTGACGATTTTCAAATTTCAAAAATTTTCAAATGATTAATGAAAAAGAAAATTTCGATGGTCAAACTAGAAAAAAATTGGCCCGTTAATTGTTTGTTGAAATTGCAATTGGATTATTAAGTAAAAAAGCAGTTACAGTGGACATCATTATCGAAATAATCAAATAAAGCTTATGAATAGACATTTTGAGGTCTTCAATCATTCATTCATAGATGATTATGATTATGATTGTTATAAGACCATGACACTCATCATATTTAGATTGAATGAATAAAACAAATGATGAACATTGATTATTGGAACAAATAAAATAAAATAATAATAAATGCATAATTAAAATGATGATTGCCTGACAGACTGATGAATTGAAAAAAATGTTTGACAATGATGATGGTCAATAATAATCGTTATAAGTTAAGTAAAAAAGCATGTATACTTGTCAACACGTGTGTATACGTAAGAGATGAGAATATTTATTGTTAAAATTCATAAATAAGACAAAAATAATGTTGTTTTCGATGATAATTGATGGTCAAATTTTGCCATAACAATAAAACGAATTCATTCAAAACAAAACAAAAAATCAAACTCTTTTGCATACTTTTTTCAGATCAATCAAATCGATTTAGTTATCATTGATGAATGAAACGGGAAATATTGCCAACACACGCACACTGATCATATTTTGTACGACTGTTTCAGAATTATTTTCCATGCCAGTTTTCAATCTTTTTGATTTATGTTAATCAACAGACAAATCAATGGATCATGTTTTTTGTTGCTCTTCTATTCTCTCTATTTATACATAAATAAATAATGAGAATAACAATAATTGACATGAGAAATACAATCATGCGTATCATATTTCCGAATTTGTCTTGGAAAAATCTATCATTCATTTCCAAGCATAAATTCCGCCATACCAAAACATAAACACCGAAAAAACCGATTGAAATATCAACAGAAAAAAATCAATTTATGACAACAAATGGATATAAAATCTATTTATCACTAAGTGATAGCTAAATACATCAATGGTGAATTTCAACAATAAATTTTTTTTCCTATGGTGGTATACCAAGCCTCTTTATTCACAGGCACACAATAAAATATGTAAAATGATCATAATCAGGATTTCCGTATCATCAGTTCGAAACAAAAAGAACGAAAACTAAAATTGTGAATCCAGAGTGTGTGGATTACCGGTTATGTTGTTTTTTGTCTGTCCTTTCCCGTTAATAGTCGAGGATTGTTTTCTTTTGACCAAAAATGTTAATACAAAATGAAAGGAGGGGGAGACAATTTCTTTTCACAACTTTTCATAACTGCCCCCTTGAAAAAATTGATAGAAATTTATTCAAATTTAAAATTATCAAAAATAAAACAGAAACAAAATTCATTTTTTGTATTATAATGATATATCCGTATATAATTATAAAACATCATTATTAAAAAGATGATAATGACTAAAAGAAAACAAGTTAAATCGACAACATCTGGAATTATTAAATTACCGGACAGGATATATACAATTGATTATTACCATAAAATGTTAATTTTTATTTTTTTTATCTTTATTTGATTATCATCATAATATGATTGTCGATATGAATGACGGAAAAATGATTTGAAATTCTCATACATTATCATTACAATAATAATTTATTAATAAATTGTTTGTAGCTTTTTACCCGAACCGAGCAGCCGGCTTTTCATACAAATTTTTGTTTTGAATCATCATAGTTACATAATTATATAATCAATAAACAGTATAGTATTTTGTTCTGTTATCTAATATTGGTGCAACAAGATAATTGTGAAGATGGAAAATTCATTTTGAAATTGAAAAAGAAATGAATTTGTGATTTATGATGAATGTTAAATGATAGTGAAAAAAATGTTGGTATATCCTCAATTTTACTATTTTTTTTTGTTTCATTAAAAAACAATAATGAATTATGAATCATTTGTTAATATGGGCGTCGAAATTTGTTCAATTATCATTATTTTTTTAATGATACATAACAAGGAAGAAGAAAATTGTTTTCAATGAAAATACAAATTTTCAACATTAATCCATTTATTCATGCTTGATTCGAATAACACTGGTGGAACGGAAGAATTATTTCAGAGCAAAAAACAAATTTTCATATTAATTACTTTATACTTTATATTGTTCATTTCCATTATTTTTTCAAATTATCATTTCATGAAATGGATTGATTTATTTATTCCATTATCATTGATTTTTTGGTAATGATAATTTTTCGATTTATTCATATCACATTCGAAAAAAAAGATAAATGTATCAATATTAAAATTGACTTTGTTTCAATAAAAAAGAAACTCTCACACATTATTCGTTATTTATTTCATCTTTCCGCATTTCCTTTAAATCATTTGTTTGCATCATTTACAGGTTGTGTGATGATCAAATTTGAACTTAACCCGTACAGGATTGATGATGATTATCAGTAAATGTTATGGAGATAAATTACTTTAAAGAAGAAAAAACAATTTTTTTCCATCGCTCAAGATTTTCATTTGAAATATAATTTCTGACAAATCTGAGAGAGATAGAGAAAAAAAAAATCTTTTCCGAATTGAATTAAAGCTGTGTTTAAGTTAAGGATGTAAGATTATTATCATCAATTTTGGATGATAATCTTTTCATTTCAAATGTTTGAATTCGAACAAAAACAAAAAACATTTACAGACCAATCTTGATAATAATAAAAAATTTATCACATCATTCATTCGAAAAAGCAAAAGTGAAAACATTTCATTATGATCTCATTGTGATCAATTTAAGTATCAAAACAATGATAATAATAATGATCGATCGATCGATCAATCGATTGACAATTCATCTTGTGTTAATGATAATAATTGAATTGTCAAGTAATATAAACTGTTAAGAAAAAGTACAATTGTTTCTTTTTCACTTGAAAAAAAAACAGTTGAAACCTTGGGAAAAAATGTCACCAGAAAAAAAAGAAGATTGATGCTACTTATTCTTCAAAATAAATAATGAACAAGAAATGATTACAATCCCAAATAATCGTTCAACTGAAAATGAATGATACATTTTTTTTCTTAGATTTGTGTCATCATTACATTAGACACAATAACCTTTTTTCGTTGTTGTTGTTGAATTTTAACATTAAAAAAAATCTGAGATATAGTTTTGAATCAATTTTTTAAAAAATTAAATCGATAAGTATCTAAAATGTCAAATTGATTAGTTTTCAGTTCGTTATTATGAAACATCATTTATTTGCGATTACGTGCTGTAAACAAACAAACAGAAATCAAACTAATAAAATTTGAAATTTACCAATTAAATACACAACCTAAAGATATAATCGATTAGAAAATAAAATTGCAAGAAATTAATTCTAAATCTATAATGAGATGAAAAAAATCCATTCGTGAATCTGTTTTTTAATCATGTCCGCGCTTATAAACCTTTCCATAAAACCAATTAAAATATTATTTTGTACTATACAAACGTGCACGCGTTGCACGTGCACATTTATCTACTTATCGATATTTTTATTTTTTGATTTGAAATACGAAAACATTTATTAATCAAATCAGTTGTTTGTTCCGTTTTTTATATGTCATAATTCATGTATATTTGTCTTCCATAATCAACAAAAATCATATTCAATATTACAATCAACATTATGTTTTACATTACTTGATCATCATGTTCGTCAATTCTCAATTTAATGATGATGATGATGATGTAAAATAATTTGATTGAATAATAATATTTTTTTCTTTTTTTTTCTTTCTTAGCATGATATGACCGTATATCATTGGTTTGGATTGATTTTTTTTCTTGTTTATCAAAATAAATAAAAATCATGATTGATACCACTCACTTGTAGGACCTTAATTTAAATGATATGCTAAGAAAACATGTCTATAGAAACATCTATGTGTGTTATATGACAAGGTATGCAAATATTGTTCGGTTCCATAATTAAAATCATTATGAAGCAATCATATATTACACGCATACACATACATGGCCCAAAGAAACGATGATGACTCTTACAAATTTGAAATCATAATGATGATCTCGCCTTTTTTCCTATTTGGTAAACTTTCTCTTGATGATGATTGTGACAAACAGCATTCAGAGAAGAAAAACAAATCAAATAAAATCCATGTCTGTTCCATGAAGAAAACGACGACGACGACTACGAATAAGAACGAGTGTTTAAGGATTAGAGCAAAGTGAATGAAATGTAAAAATCTTAAGAGAATGATGCTACATAGTATTTTTTTACACAAAATATAAAACGAGAACGAAAATTCTAAATGTTGAATCATATTCCAGAGTATAAAAAGACAGCATTAAAATCGGAGAAAAAAGTAAGGAACAAAAAAATCAAGTTGTGTAAGTGAAATTTCTTTTTCTTCTTCAAGATTGTGAAATATTTTCTTTTATCAATAAGAAATCAGAGAAATAAAAAATTTAATTCGATTCCGTGATAGTTGATCATTTTATCTATTATTTTAAATGGTTGTTGGTGTATGTTTTAATAAGGCCATCATTTAAATTAAGTTTTTTTTATTTCAAAATTTTTTTAGTGACCATCATCTTCAGAAAAGAAAACTGAAACAATAATTCGTTCAACATTTTGAATTATTATTTTATTTTTGTTTCGATTGCAATCATTGTTTTAATATTTTATCCAGTATTTTTTTTGTCTATTTTTTCTCCAGTATTATTATTATCATTTCGAAAATTCCGAAAAAAATAATTCTATCATCATGCAAATCAAGGTGAATTTTTTTAATGATGGAAAAATTTTAATCTCATTGTTTTTTCTCCCGTTAAATTTACATTACAATGTTTAATATTTAAAAAATTGCACATCAACATCTTAGCTTAACGTAAAAATTGTATTCATATTAGCCACATTTATTACGGCTTGTTTGGCTCAAAAAGGTGGTTCATATGGTAAAACTTTGTTGAATGAAAATCGTAGTCCAGCCAGACAAATTCAACAACAACAAGTTTTTCAACAAGCCGCTGTTGCACCAATTGTACAACAAACTTTTCAACAAGCTCCAGTTCAACAGGTAAATTTGAATTTATTATCAATAAAATAATATATTACATTTATTTTTATTGAAAATTTAATTTCTAGTACGAAGATGATCAAGCAGCCGTTGCTGGTCCAGTCCGTCAACGACCAGGAGAAGCAGCATTATCTGCACCAATACCCGATAGTGATGACGGTAGTGGCGAACAACATCCAGCACCTGAACCATATTCATTCTCTTATTCGGTGAATGATGAACAAAGTGGTTCGGAAATATCTCGTGAAGAATCACAGGATGCTAGTGGAAATGTTATTGGTATGTTAAAATTAGTCATATTAATGATGACAACATTCGATTTGACATAAAAACAAATAGATAAATTAGCGTTGATTTAGAAATGATTCCGATAGGCCATATAAAGTAATTAGGCAATTTGGATTGAATTTAGACATAGACATTATTTGATATGTAAAATAGGTCATATTCCAAAACAATGCGCCTAAATTATTTACTCACGAATTTTCACGCCTACATTTAGGATTCTATCATATTCGTGATGCTGAAGGTCGTATGCGTCGTGTTGATTATACAGCTGGTCCTGAAGGCTTTCGTGTAAGTTGAATAACCCATTGTTTTAAAATATGACAAAATTTCAAATTTCTAAATTTGGATTTCGTAATTGTTTATTTTGAAAAATAGGCCGTAATCCGTTCAAATGAAGAAGGTCTTGCCAACAAAGATTCAGCTGATGCTAAATATGAAGTAGATGAAGTTCCAGCCGATCGACAAAATGCAGCAGCACTCGCAGCACAATCACGCGCACAAGCTGCAGGTTATGGACAACAACAGGCAGGACCATCCGGTTACGGACAACAACAACAACAACAACAAGCAGGACTATCCGGTTCATTAAGTGGTTCATCTTATGCAGATGAAGCTGCTGCTGCACCACAACCACAATCAAGCTATGCATTAGCTGGCAATGAACGTCAACGTTTACAACCACAAACGAAAGGATTACCGAAAGCACCAAGTTCATTTGTTTCACCTGTGCAACAACAACGACCTGTAGCACCATTGATTCAGCAAACATTTCAACCGGCTCCAATTGTTCAACAACAACAACAGCCGGTACAACCAACTCAATCCACATCCTATTTTCCATCAAGACCAGCTGCTGCTGTAGCTTCCACATCCACACAAGAACCACAAGTTTTTGAACAACAACATCAACAGCAACAACAACAAAGTGAAGAGGGTAATTATAATTTGATTTAAATACCCTAAATCCAATAGGATTAATTTCCTTCCTTCCTTCCTTCCTTGTTCATATGTTACCTGAAGCTTTCTTTTGAAATCCTTTTCTATGGCCCAATACATAAATATGAGCTCTCATCTAATCCATCCATAAACCCACCAACCAAATCATCATATAAAATATATTCTTGTATTCAAGTGCCAAATTAAAAATTTTTTTTGCTGCTATGAATGATTGCAAATAAAATCAATCAGATACAGCTGCAATTCAACCAATCATAAATCATCGCCATTCATCATCACATTCGTCATCATTTCCATCACGTATAACACCAATTTTACGGCCAGTAAGCCGAGTACAGCCACAACAATTCAAATTACCACCATTTTTTCAACGAGAAGAATATGAAGATCAACAAAGATTACAATCGGTCAAATCAAAACGATGGGCATTACCATTAAATATTTTTCTTCCCAAAGAATATCGTTCATGATCAAAACGATATTGATAACATAGTCAGCGAATATAAAATAACCAAAGGAAAAATCTAATTCACTCAACGTTTAAGCAAATCCAAAAAAAATGGGGCAGTACTTTCGGGAAACAGGATTCATTTGTACCTTTAATAAAAAAACATACATACAAACAAATGTCTTTATGGAATCAATTCATTTTTTTCAATTCAATATCAATGTTTCATTGAGATTTGATATATTTTTCTTTGTATAAAATTAAATCGAATTTTTTTAAATAATTTTCTTATGCCATAAATACATTATTCCTAAGAAAAAAACGAAAAAATTAATAAAAATTTAAATTAAATTTTAGGAAAAAAAATTCAAACAGAATTCTTTTTCCATTATAAAATGCAAACACAAACCATAATTATCGATTGAATGATTGAAACAATCGATTATGATGAATCAATTATGGTTCACCAAGATGATGTTGATGACGGTGGTTATAAAAAAGACCATAGCATCTAAGCTGTCAGCTAATGTAACAAGAAAAATAGATAAACCATCAAATTCAATCTCGACACAAAATCCCGAAAGCTTAAATGTAACTATAGTATTGGTCATAAGTTTTATGGTGGGCTTTTTTATCGGTCTAATCATCTTTCTATACTACATTCTATATTATGAAGGTGAAGGCCGATTATTTGCCGAACGATCAGTAATAACAGAAGATTTTTGTCAATCATCTGAAACATTAGTGCCAGCACTGAAAAATTCAACACCAACAACAACTTCATCAATTTCATCTGAGACGACAAAAAAACAGAAAAAGAAAAATCATCGTCATCAATTGTTCACACCTGGTAATAATGAAAGGAAAACATCAAAATTTCACTTATTAAAGTCCTGTTTTTCTGGTACAATTCGATTTATTTCGAAACGAGTGACAAAACGCTCATATTCATTATCATCATCATCATCATTATCATCATCATCATCATCAGCAACGATACCAACACTAACAACAACAACAACGAAAACAATATCCACATGAAAATTATTAATCAAAATTGATAAATCAACAACGCTTACACCGAAAACATTAACAATAAATCGGACCCGAAAACGAAAAACAATGAATAAATTTACAATAAAATCCACATTTGTAATCATGACCAAACGATGGCGTTAATGATCGTTGTTTTATTTCCCTCCTTTTTTTACCTTAAGAAAATAAAGAAAAAATAATTAAATCCAACAACCCTAGTTGGCCTTGAAGTTTATATTTTTGTTTGTTTTTTTCAGAATTAAAATCTAGTGTGAAAAATTGATTCGAATTCTGAATTCTGGGTTTTTTCTCATTTGGTTGAAGACTAACAAAAAAAAGAAATAAAATTCATCTGGAAAAATTGCCCATTTTTTTCATTTTACCAAAAAATGACAATATTCGCTATGGAAATATTTAGAAAAAATTGTGCAATTTTAAAAATCAAATGCCTAGATAATAATAATGGATAAAAATTGATGCGGCGGCAATGATCCGACAATTTCATCATAATATGGACCATTAAATTGGCCAATTTTTAGCTTGAATGTAGAATGATGAAAAAAAATGAAAAAAAACTGGACTATATCAAATAGAAAAGGTTCATCTTCATCTGGCCATTAAGATGAATGCTATTCGGAAATAGCAACAACAACACCACATCACACCACACACACCCTCTTCACTATAGTTTTCGGTCACCGTCCGTTAATAATTTCAAACATATTTGGTAAAAAAAATAATACTTAACATCAATAAACTTCGGGCAAAACTTAGAAAACTTATACCGGGAATGAATTTAGGTCGACAATTTATGAAAGAAATAGAAAAAAAATTATGAAGTTTTCCTGACACTTGTCCTTCTGATGATGATGATGATGATGATACATGTAGAATAATTATCATTCAAGTAAAAGTTTCAAAAATTTTGAACAACTCAAACTGGAACTGATAATTCTCTTTTGTAAGTGTGTGTGTTTGTGTATTTGTCATCATCATCAATGTAATAAAACTTGTTTTCTTTTCTTATCAAACATAAAACTCTTAATGGACATCAAATAAAAAAAATGATGAACAAAATAGACATAACAAAAAAATGAGCTTATAATGACCGGAATAGAATTCTTGTTATATTCCAATGATAATGATAGTTGTATTTAGAAAAAAAATCGACAAATTTTAAATCGATTTCAAAAAAAATGATGATACATTTTGATAAATTTTCTTCTTTTTTAATGTTCTATTTTATATGATAAAAAAATATGATCATTAGTTTGCGTCGTCCGGGAATCGAACCCGGGCCGCCCGCGTACTTCCGTATATCGAAACTATCGATAATTTTCAAGATGGCAGGCGAGCATTCTACCACTGAACCAACGACGCTTTCAAACTCGGAATGAACATAGGAATTGTACATTGATCCAATTGAACCATTGTTGGTCAATTGATGTAAGTATATGTTTTTTGATACATTTTCATTAACTCAAATCATGCAAGATATTATAGAAAAAAACTTGAAAAACATTACATAATAAGAAAAACAGATATAGTGAATATTGACGTCAATCAAGCAATCAGGCAACTTCGATAGTAGTCATATGGAAAAAACCTGTTTGACTTGTGTGAGCCAGATCTCATCATCATCATAATAATCATGCTTAGATCATCGATGATAGTCAAGTTTTGTGTATAACATATGGACGAAATTTCGTTCGAATTCTAATAACGATAAGATTGAAGAATAATGTTTTTTTTCATAAGAATAATAGAACTTATAGATTCTTGAATTTCAAAAAAAAATTCCTAAAAGTTTTCGGCCTCAAAATGATGATGATCATCAACGTCAACCGTAAATGAATATTAATGAATCATCATCATCATCAGATTCGTTTCTTTACGTTTAGACGATTATAATCACACAATGCAAGACAATGTTATTCTCATTTTCATGATCGTGGAAAAAAGTTTTAAAAGAAAAGAAAAAAAGACAAAAATTTCATTATTCTTCACTTTTTTTGTCGATTTCTTTTTCATCACATACTTTCGAAAGTGTTACTCAATAAAAAAACGAAAGAAAGAAAAAATTCAACATTTAATTTCATCATTTCATGATTGAATCGTTGGAATTGGTGGAAAACATGTTTCAACAAAAAAAAGTAAGATTTCAAAACATTAGGCTTATTTTGCATTTTCATCATATAATGGCCAAAGTTTCTCAACAACAACGACAACCAACATACCATACCATCATCATTATCATCATCATCTTGATCTTATTCTTTTCAAGCCATTTTTTCAATATAAATGATTAGTGTTCATCAATCAGAATATTTTCAAGATTTTGTTCCATGCATCAAGTTTTTTCAAATTCTTTTCTTTTCCACACTGATATTCATTAATTTTGGAAACCATTTGTTTCGATATTTTTCAAAATTGATTCACCATTCTGTTTAATCTAAATAAATAAATAAATTGATTCGAATATTTTCATTTTTTGAAAATTAATAATAATCGTTTGAAGTTTTCAAATGGAGAATTGTTCCTTGTTCTATTCTTTTTCCTAAATAAAAAAATTCTAAAAATATTGTAACAATAATAATAAATGAACAAACAAATTTATGAAAAAAATGTGTTCCAATTTTTTTTTCTTCAAACATTTTTCTATATGTTTTTGGTTTCTTGCATTGAATGAAAATATCTGTGATGATGATATGAATTCATTTTTCATTATTCATTGTGTTCATTGGGATCATCGATATTATTCGTCTGAAATTCTAAAGTGTCGTCATTATTATTTTTTCCTACTCTTTATACAAAAACGGAACAGTAAAAGTATTCAATTTAATCTATGAATTTTTTCAGTTTATTACTTTCATTTTTGTTTAGAATTTAACTTACAACCTTAAAACCTTAAATTAATAGCAGGAAAAAAGATGAGACAAATGGTAGAAATAAGTAGAGAAATCTGTTCTCGATTCACAATAAAAATAATATTCCAATCCGATCAATTATTTTTCTTAGAAAAAAATTAATTCACTATCAGTTGAATAATATCTTGGGTCATATCATTTTGTTAAGCAAAAAAAGTGCATAAATTTTAGTTAAATTCACATTGAGTAATTGTGAAAAAACGATTATAATCATCGAATCAATTTGTTTCAAATTAATTGTGATAATTTTCTTATATCCAATGAAACGATAATAATAATAATCGTAATCATTATATAAATAGCATCAATATGACTTGAAATTGATTACACCATTGGGAACAATTTCAATAAATTTATATATTCTTCTGATGAAACCAAATGTCAATGAATTTTTTTTTGAGCAAAAAAAAACTATTTCAAGCATGAAAAACATCATTGAAATTTTCAATTTTATTTTTATTGTTGTTTTTTTCTGTCCAAACGATTTGATCAGATGCTAATGCCGCCGTTTCATTATAAAAAAAACAAACAAATAAAATGTTAACACAGAATGCTTAGAATCGTATGTTTTGTTTTTTGATAATATTTTTTATGCATTCAGCACCAAATCATTTTCATAAGCAACAATAAAAGAAATTTCCATAAAAAAGTGATGAAAAAATCATAAATATTTGATATGTTATGTAACATATCATACATTTATTATTATTATTTTTGCTTTGCCATAAATAAACAATTGTAAATTACTATAGATATCAATCATTTGACAATTGATTATTGATAATTCATTAAAATACATATAGATCTATTTATTGAATCAATTTCTATTTCATAGGAAAAAAATGATAGATCATAGTCGAAACATGAATCGTAGAAATAAAAAACATTAACAATGGCCAATAATGACAATGACAATGACAACAACAACAACAAAAATTATCCAATTCCCCAGGAGATATATGGCAAAAAAAAGAAGTGAAAATAAGAAATGGATCAAACATAAAACCTCGTGGGGACATATAAGATCTTTTTTTAACAAAACAAAACGAAAAAAAAAGGAAGAGAGAATAAGAGAAAAAAGGAAAGAATCTTTTACTTCATGATCTATGCATGTATGCAAGTTCTGTCGTTTTCGTTTTATTCATTCCTTATCATTGAATTCAATGTAATCAATCAGTTTAACATTAGAAATCGAATGTCAGGTTGAATGTTTTCCCTTTAAATGACGTGTATGTATGTGTGTCTGAATTATTCAATTCATCCATGCTGAAATGAAAAGTCAAAAATAGTCAAAAAAATAGTCGTTTACAGTTTCTATGATTTAAAAGCCAAAAAAAAAGAAAAAAAGAGAGAGAGAAATAAAAATTAAATCAACGAAATATAAAAAGATCAGAACAACAACAACAACAAGTCAATGAGTAAATTCCATCAGAACCATCGAGCCATGATGGACATCAAAATTCAATGGAAATTGATGGAAATGTTATTTTTTTCACATTGATAACAACTGTATGTGTTTATATAATTAGAAATGAAAATATCATCATCTATGACTACAATATCCAAAGATGTAAGATAATAATGTTGAAAAAAAATAAATCGAATTTCAAAGTATGCGAAAAATTCTTTGCAATTTCAATATATACGATATACATTAAATCTTTTTTGGAAAAGAATCTCCTGGACAGAATTTCTTTGATTTAAGAATATTATTTCATTCAACAACAGCAAAATCATTCTAGTAAAATGACTGTCATTGAATTTTTATGCATAAATCAATGATGGTATTTATGGAATGCTGAATAATAATGATGATGATATTATGTAAACCACGATACACAATTAAATGGACTACTCATCATGATGGTCAATCGATCATTAAAAATTGAAATGTGAACCTAATAATATTAATAAAGATTTTTATCATAATCATCATCATAATCGATAAGCAACATTATACACGTGCGGTCATATTACTTTGATTAACATTGATTGCTTTCTTGTTTGCATAAAGGAAAAGATCAAGAAAAAAATACGAGAAAAAAATAAGAAACCAGATTTGAAAAATATATTTTAGTGATTGAAAATATATTATGTTGTTGTTGAGGATGTAAATGATGATGATCAAAAAAAAAAAGAAAAGAAAATGAATGAATGATTATTGTAGAATATGACAATGTTATTGAGATCATAAGATTATGACGCGTTAAAAATGATCTAGTTGACAATTGTCGACGATCATAATTCACATCATCATCATCGACCAGCGACCACAAATGAATGGAATATTCTAAAATAGGCACAAACAAATGGCCAGCCGATATAGCATTCATTCATTCTTTAATATTTCGAAAAGAATACATCTGAAAAAATGATTTTCAAACTTTTTTCATTTCAATATGCCACTACCATTTTAATAAGAATATACTGGCATCACTGTGTTAAGTGTATTAGCCTGTATCAGTGGTATTTCGACATGAATTCGTGCAAATCATTCAGTTTTTCAAATTCCTGGGAAAAAAGTTTAGTTGCTATCCAAAATAACGTCGATTCAGTCATGATTTACTCGTGAAACGGATTCAAACGTCGAAATTTTATTATTGTTTCCTGTAAGTGAGAGAGGTGAAACAATCTCCACTGAAAACATTAATCTGAAATTATATAATAGAAAACATATCTTAAATTCACTGTCATCATCATGTCAATGAATATTTGATATGTATTATTCAAAAAAAAAATTCTTCGAAACAAATATTATATTATGTTGGAAAAAATGAAAGGAAAAAACTTTCAATTTCAGTCATCTTTATCATTACATTTGATTCTGGATAAAGTTTGTGGTGTTGTGTTTTTTTTCATTCCTTCAAACAAATATTGAATGATTGACAATCGATAAAAAGTTTTTTTTCTAATTCTTCTCTTGCAAGATCCAAAAAAATCAAATAAAAAGTTTTTTTCATGGAAGTTATTGATGATGACCAATTATCATCTAGTTTCCGAATATGATTTGTTTGTTCCGATGTTCGAAAAATATAAAATGTTACAAATTCACTATGAATTTCTATCATGGTCATTGATGATCATAACGGCCATGATTAAATATGATAAACATAATGTGGAACAACGACAAAACAGCAAACAATTCAGCGACGATTAATCATTATGAAAAATTAATCAATTTTTTACGATTTATTTATTTCTATTTTCATTGTTGTTTAATGTTGATGAAAATATTCATGTTTCAATGTTTTTTAGCTTCATTATTTTTGAAATCTAATAAATTAAAATTTCAATGTTATCCTCCTCATCAATATAATCGAAAATTTTCAATTGAAATTTTAATTGTGAATTTCATATTTTTCTGTGCCTTATCCACCATAACGATGCCTTCAATCAAATCAACATTATTTACAGATGCATTTGTTTTGACTGATTCGGATAAATCTTCATCAAAACAATCATTTAATAATGATAGATCAAATATTCATTCCACACCAACAATATTCAATGATTACAATCTTGATGATAATGATGATGATTATGATTTTGAACGAAAATTATCATCAACAGTGGTAAAAATTAAATATGGTCTATTACAAGGCTTACTTGTAAAAATGGATAAAGTGTTTGGAAATACAATCAAATCAACCAAAAATCATCATCATCATCATCCAATTCGATTACAACCTGTAAAAGCTTATCTTGGTATACCTTATGCATCACCACCAACCGGTGCCTTACGTTTTATGCCTCCGGTAACTCCTACCCATTGGCGTGGTATTCGTTTAGCAACTGAATTACAATCACTTTGTCCACAACGAATACCATATGCTGATCTTGTATTAAATCAAACAACATCAACTGAAGCATTGAAATTAATGCCATTATCACGATTCGAATGGCTTCGACGTATCATACCGCGAATGTCAAATCAAAGTGAAGATTGTCTTTATCTTAATATTTATACACCGGATTTAGGTTCAGAATGGTCTGAAATAAAAAAATCTACAGTGAAAAAAACATCCGATTCGATTGTCGTTGCCGATCAACGTCAAGTATTTAATCAAGGTAAGTAATAAAGGAAAACTATTGCCAAAAATATTTTCATGTGTTCTATCTTTTCTTCCTTGATTATTTTATCTGCTCATTTCCCATCGATATTTTATTAATCAAAAAATAATAATAATAATCAATCATCCAGAAAATATCACGAAAATAACATAGTGATACAAAAAACACCAATATTCCACACATAAATATTAGAAAAATATATTATATCAAGATATTTGTTTACAGCTTGAATATCAAAAATGATAACCGTCGTTGTTATGTTGTTTTTTTACCCGGTTCTTGTCTTCCTATCTTGTTAGTATTCGAAAAATAAATGTTTGAAAAAGTCACATTATAAACATTCACATACGAAAACAGTAGAACCTAATGATGTCAAAAAAAAAGAACAGAGAATTTTATTTCAAAATTTTCCCTGCATGCAAAATTTAGATCTATGTGAAAATTGGTCAGGAAAAAATCGAAATAACAAATATAGAAAGGATATAATGAATGAACGACAAAATCGATTTTACCATTTATCTATTTGATCTTTTCCCGAAAGGCAATGATGATTTGGATCGACAATTTTCTTATTCTTTTTTCTTTTTGTTACTCAAGATTGTTGATTAGCTATAATGTCTTCATTCGTAATTGTTCAAACAGATGAAGATTCAAATGTGTTTGACACTATCATCAACGACAGAATAACATTAAGCCTGTTAGTGAAATTGTTCAAATATTATTGAAAAAAAAACACAAGCGGATTGAAAGAAAAAAAAATTTAATTTTCTGATTCTTATAAATTATGATGGATAAAATTGAAAAACAAAACAAAATAATTGTTTCAATTGCAAATTGATTTACTTGGTTTTTTTTTGTCCTAACGTCATAGATATGTTGTGCAAATAATAAAGTCTGTGTTCGGGTCGATTTTCATTGTATATAATAATTGTGTTAAAAAATTAAATCGAAAATATCTTTTTCATCGATTCAAATTCTACTCTTTTTTACTATGGCTGATGATTATGATCTGAAGAAATCGTTATCATTATCAGGAACCTTTATTTCATATGTGTTTTCTGAAAAATGGATCAAATATTCAACAATAACATATAAATTGTTATGATAGAATTAAATAATCGATCTCATATTGATCTTTGATATTTCATATAAAAATATATTGTTGACAAATTATATAATATTTGATAAAAAGTTATGCTTTCAAAATATTAAATTCACAGCAAATAATAAATTGAAATAGATAGTTTGTCATTTATTTTTATTTGTATCAAATATTCAATTGAAACAAGAACAAAAAAAAATTCCATAATCAAATCGTGATTATAAGAATTGTGAATTTTTTTTCATTTTCACTTTTTTTCATTCATTCATCCGTTCATAACTATCATTAAGAATGAAGATAAGAGCAAAAATAAAATAAAAAATCTTCAAAATTCATTTTGTAATGATTTTTTCGCACTTTCATGATTATTTTTTCACTAAAATTTTTGTCAATAATGTTAGGTTTCTATTTTTATTGAATCTGATTCTTTTGAAATTTGCACCGATATCGAAACACCATGACTATCATTATTATAACAGTTACAAAAAATATAGGATCGCTTACAATAACAAAAAAATAAAAAAAATAATTTAGAATCCATTTATCACCGGGAAAAATTCCTCTTTTTTTCACTGTAAATTTATAGTTTCATAAGTATTTTTTTTTCTTTTGAATTCGATTTTTTCCGATCATTCGAGTCAATAAAAAAAACAAACTAAGCTTGAAAGAAAAAGAAAATTTAATTTAATTTAAAACTTATAATTTTCTATTTTTATCTTTGTTTTTTTTCTCTCCCTCTCTTTCTTTCTCTGTAGCTAATGACAATGGTGAAAACAACGACAGCGACAACTATCATCATTATTATCATTATCAACAACAACAACGTCAAAAATATAAAAAGAAAATTGAAAATGAAGCCGATTCTTCATTATCATTCGGTAACAACAATAACAACAACAATGATGATGATGATGAAAATAATAAAAATAATGATGACGAAGATGATGATGATGATGATTTAGCTGTCGGAACAATTTCCAATGAAGATGGTGATGATGATAATGATAATGATGATGAATTCAATGATGGTAATAATAATAATCAAGATGATGAAAATGATGGAGTTAAAATAACTGATGAAAATTCGGAATCAACTAGGCTTGATGATGAAAATGATTACATACAATTGATCAAACAAGAATTTATACATCATCATGATAATAATGATCATATGATACGAAAAAGACGTCGTCAAACATTATCATCATCTTCTTCTTCAATGTCTCAAAGAAAATTCCCTGTGATTGTATTTCTTACCGGTGAATCTTATGAATGGAATCCTGGATCATTATATGATGGAACAATATTGGCTAGTTATGGACAAACAGTTGTTGTAACATTGAATTATCGTCTTGGAATTTTAGGTATAATAATTTATTTTATTTTCAATATTTCGTTTTAAATAAAACAAAAAAAGTCATAAAAGTCAAGAGAAAATGATCTATCGGTGGTTAACAAATAAATAACAAATAATAATAAGTCATACAGAACTATATAATAATTTAGCCGTTTAATTTTATTTAAAATAAAAAAAAAGAAGAAAAATGGCAAGCATTGAGAAAAATGTTCATATTTTTTAATAGATGTTTTTGGTTGTCTCAGTTTATCATAAAAAGAAAATATTTTCCCACATATAAAATTATTTATTGTTTGTTTGTTTTTTTGTGAAAAGGAAATTCTGGTTTGCAACTATCCAATGTACATTTAAAAATGATTATCAATGAAAAAAACAACACGAATAATGACAAAAAACTTGCCACAAAGAAAAAAATTTACTCTTTTTTTGTTATCAGTGAAACTATTTTTTAAATGGTTAAAGCCATATGTCAAATGTCATGAACACAACACACACACACACGCAAACAATGACAATGTAACTGATTCTGGAACAACTATGATCACTACTTTTTTTCCTATCAGAATCGATTTTAGTCGGAAACAATTTAACCGAAAACCACCCACATCATTGATTTCAATGAAAAAAGATAAAATAAAATAAAAACCACACATAGAAAATGACACTGAATTTTACCCATAGGAATCTTTGTCACAATGATAAAGTATGACGGCAAAAAAGCTCGTGTGGAAAAAAAACAATACGCAAACAACACTTGAATCAAGGACTAGAATAAAAAATAAATATTAAAAGAAAAATAACATTATGTCCACCAATGAAATAAAAACTGTATGACACAATTGATCTGTGGTCCCAAAGCTATATCTAATGTGTTTGTGTGTTTGTCACTAAGCAAAATATTTTTAGGATATTTGAGTGCGAATGTCCAATCATTTCTATTGTCATTTGCTAATAGCGACTGAAAAAATGCCGATTCCGTAATAATTTATTGCAAGTTATTTTATGAAAAAAACCGATGATTTTAGTTCTTGTTCTATCACTGTTCGTTTTATTATTGAATTAAATTTTTTTCTTTTTTTTGTTTGTTGTTCTGAATGATCGTCCATTAAATCTGTCTTTTTTATTTGTTTGTTTGTCGTGGTTTGCTCTTTTTAAGGATTTTTGCCAGCAAACATCGATGGCACTATGCGTGGAAATTATGGCCTAATGGATCAAGTAGCAGCATTACATTGGATACAAGAAAATATTGAACAATTTGGCGGTGCATCCGATAATATAACTCTTGTTGGTCATGGTTATGGTGCTGCATGTGCTCATCTATTAATGCTATCACCAATGGCTAAAGGTTTATTTAATCGTGTTATTCTTATGAGTGGCTCAGCGTTATCACCATGGGCTATTGCTCGTGATGCCAATGTATATGCCGAACAAGTTGGAAGACAATTAAATTGCCCAATCAAGGTATATTTATTTCTGTAAATAATTTGAAAGATAAAGTTGATTTTAAATCATTAACATTAACATTTTCTAGAAAACTTCATTGATCATTGATTGTCTCCGAACACGAACAATCGATCAATTACAGTTGGTTGATTATCAAGTGCCTGATCATTTAGCTGGATTCGGTCCAATTATTGATGGTATTGTTGTACCACAAGAACCAAGAATTCTTATGCATCAAATGCGACAGTCATTATGGTTACGACAACAATATCAACAACAACAACAGAATCATTCAGAGCCAGAAATTTCATCATCAGCATGGTCAACCTTATCTGCACATTTGCATCAAATTCATTCGAATAATGGTGCTCGAACATCATTATCTAATTCTAGGAATCATCATATCATAAACATTCCAAGTAAAATGTCTGCATCATCATCATTTCCAATCACAACAAAATTCCAGTCGCCACAGCAACAACAACAATCTCCAACATTACCTTGGTTTTATTGGACGACAACAATACCAGATTTAATGGTTGGTGTAACAAGAGTAGAATCACCAATAACCATATTCAGTTCACATGAAGAACGCAATGGAATTTCATTACCACGTCGTGATCGATTATTACGAACATTAGTACGTAACCTCTATGATTATCATCAGCAGGTATGTTTGTCCGTATGTGTGTGTGCGGTTAACTTTAGTTACAAAAAAAAAAGAATTGAGAAAAGTTTTCATTGCATCAAACATTTTATTTTTTTCAGGCTATTTTCTATACATTGATTAATGAATACACAGATTGGACAAAACCATCTATTGAACATCCATTGAATTTAATGGATTCATTAATGGAATTATATGCTGATGCATTGGTAGTTGCACCATTGATTGAATCATTGGATCATCATTATGCTCAATCATCAGCAACAACAAAAAGTTCAACAAACAATCCAACAGTGACATCCAGTAGTTCATCATTTACTACAACAACGAATACACCTAATACCTTTTTCTATGTGTTTCAATATCAGAATGAACATTTTTCCAGACAAAGTTATCATGAACGTCTTGGTGCAGCCTATGGTGATGATCTTGCCTTTATATTTGGTGTACCATTCATACTACATAATCAAGGTGATAATTACTTTTTCCAAAATCATAATCAACATCGCTATTATCATCGAAATTCGGCAAAAAGTAAAAGTAAAACTTGTTATCCTACATTGGATATTTCATCTAATTGGTATCCATCACCATCAAGTGTACCATCATCAAATAAAACATCTATGGGTGAATTAGAATTATGTCAGCGATTCATATCCACTTGGGTGAATTTTGCTATACGCGGGTAAGTGTGAATTTTCACATTCATTACATAGAAAAAATCATTGTTATGATTAATTATATCATTAAAAATGTGATGAAAACTTTTCCAAGCGCAAAAACAATTCTCAACCAAACAATAAACAAATGTCAGCACATCAAACAGCAGAAAAAATGAATGACTGAAAAATTATTATTATTTTAATGTCTACATTAGCTTTTTATTCATTCACAATTGTTAGCTATAGCCATATTGGTTTCTGTATTTTCGATGAGTTATATATTTATTTATTCGACCATTACATGGATGAAAGCCATAAACATTTTATTCCCTTATCTATTTAAAAAAATAGAAAATTCTGGACAACCACACATATTTTTTTCAGGACTGGATTCGTTTGTGAAGCAAAAATGAAAAAATTTAAAAAAAACGAAACAAAATAAAAAATAAAAAATTTATATTTCCAGAATATCGTAAATGTTTGCTGATGTCTGGATTGAAGCCAAAAAAAATGTTTTTTCCTTGCAAAAAATACTTTACAGAATGCTTTCATAATGATATTTTTTGCTTAGATTTGCTTTTGAAGAAATAAAAAAACACAGACGCACACGGATCCCCTGTAATGTTGGCTTTTTTGCCTTGCATTTTTGAATGTTAGATTTGATTCGTGTGTTTGGGTGAATGTAAAATTTCGAAATTAATTAAAAATTTATCGAAAAAAATGGAAGAAAAATGACTGATAATTATTAATTAATTCCATTTCAAATTATAGGAATCCAAATGATGATGATGAAAATATTTCAAAAATTCGATCATTGCCAAAACATTCACGTCATCATTCTCATCATTATCAACAACAAAAAAATTCATTGTCTTTATCATCATCATCAAAGGAAAAAACAATTCCAAAAACACATGATCAATGGATTGCATTCTATGGTTATCAAACCGTACATACATCATGGTCATGGCAATCGAATACAAAATTATCCAACAACAATCAACAACAACAACAACAATGGCCACAATATGATACGACAAAAAAAAGATATTTACAATTTGGTAAGCATAAATTTTTTTTCAACACATTTTTATCATAGACTGAATTACAGAATAATCTTTCATGGACCATTAGATTACAACCAATCTGAAAATGAAATAATTTCTAGAATATTTTTTTTTTGAAACACACAAATATATTTGATTGAGATGAAAAAAACCAGAATAAAAAACTACCAAAAATAAAAGGCCAAAACATTCAAATCAATACAATATATATGAATGAATGAATGTTTTTGAAAAGATAATAGCACCGGGAAAAAAATTTCTTAATATGATTGACACATGCTTCTTTGTTTTGTCTTCACTCGACGTAAAAGCCGGCTATCATTATCATCATTGAAATTTTTTTTTTGCATACACAGAATAAGTTTAAATTGAATTGAATAGAAATTTTTGTTATCAAATTTATTTTAGTTTATTTTTTATTGAAAAGAATTTGTTTACAAAAACTTTTTTTCTCAAATTTCTGAAAATTAGGCCAAAGAGAGGCCTCTTTTATCAATTCAACAGATATTCGAATATATAATCGAATCAAGTTGTCAATAAATTTTGATAAGAAAATATAATTTGTTTTTTTTGAACGGTTTTTCTGGACAATCAAAATCGATCAAAAAAAAATTGAATTACAATTTGTTATTCCATTTAATAATTTTTGTTGTTGTTGTTGAAATATTAAATCTTAAAATAGATATCAAATCTTTTCAATTGATAAGAATGATTCAATCAATCAACAAAATTGAAACAATTTTTTATAATAAATCAATTTCGAACAAAAAACTCTATTTCAATTTTTCAAATGGTAGAAAATATTTTTAGATCAGGTGTTGGTATTGTTCGGCTTTAACATGTATAGATAAGATGTGGGAGCAAAATTTGTTCAGCTTTTTCATTTCTTCTTAATGCATTGCTGTTTTATTAAAACGAAAAACCGGAACATGTACATCTGATATTTCAACGGAACAAACAAACTGAAAAAAAATGAAATCAGCAAACCAAATTGTCGATCTAAGGCAAATTTTTTTATTTTATTTCATTGAAGTAACAACAATTTTTTTATTGTACAATTTCTACCGATATTACATTTTTTTCGGATTGAACGCTACACACGAACACATAGCTAGGAAAAATGTATGTATGTGTGTGTGATTTAGTTTCTGTGAAAAAAACAAAGAAGAAAAAACATTGATGCTGTGCGAAATGAGCAAAAAAAGTTTACATTTCTTCATTTCTTTTTTGTCGTTCCTTCTCCATTACAAAAATATCGGATTTTGAATGCATGAATTTCCTGCATAGGAGAGAGAGTTAGAAGAAAAGAAAAGCCGAAAAAATAGTAATGACATAGAATTTAAACGCTAAAAAAGAGAGAGAAATAAAAAAGAAAGAAATTGCCTATGAGCTGAATGATTTTCAGCTTCGATTCTTGTCATTCATTTATTCATAAATGTATCCCTGCAATGAGAAAAAATGAAGAGAATAATTCAATCGAAGAAAATGGTCGTGAAGCAGATTTACAGAATATTTTGATCAAAACACAACGACAAACAAAGACAACGATGACAACAAACAAAAAAGTTGAAAAATGTTATATTCTGGATCGAAATAGTAAATTGTTTTCACATTTTTTTGTTGGATTTTTTTCATTTTTCTTTTGTTGAATGGATAAATTTCTGTGACAATCAAATCGTTGCGAATAAAAGTGAAAGATAACAAGAAAGAATATGTGAATATTTTTATTATAACTTGACTATGGCTTAATTTTGCGAATGAAAAAAAACTTGTTTTGACTTGTTTTTCATGATATATAACAGTTCCCAGTTTCTTTATTGAAAAAAATTTGGTCTGTTTTTTTTGTTGTTGAACAAAAAAAATAAGAATTTCATAATCATCAATGTTGAACTGGGAAAAATGATTAAACTCACTGCTACTGTCATTGTATTGTATTTATTTCTCATTTTTTTCAGAAAAAAATATTTGAATCATTTTTGGACCGTGTAACGCTATATATTCAAATAATATTGACTTTAGAAAGGAAATATAAGTTTTGAAAAACCGATACGAGAAAAAAAAACAAAAGTTTTATACATTCTGATATGATCATAAAAGATGATTATTGGTTAAATTCAATCAATCGTGTTTTTTGTTTTGTTATGTTTGTTCAAAATGTCGATCGAATCAATTTCGAAAAATATAGTTAGAAATGAGAATGAAAAATTCAAGCCAATTCTTTTAACCCAATCGTTTCTACACACATCCTCCTTGAAGGAAAAATTGTTTCAAGTGTTCGTGTGTGGATTTATCGATAACAAGAACAAAACAGAGTGTAAAATTCTTAAATGAAAGTCGACAAAAAACAATGAAGACGATAAAATAATCGAACAATAGATAAATAGTAGAATAAAAAAAAGAGAACGAAACAAGAACATTTTTTTCAAATACCGACAACTATCAAAGTATATACAATTTTATGTTGCTTCATTAGTTGTATGTTTGATTTCAAGAATCATTCGCATTGATCCTAATGTTACATCATTTAGAGTTAACATTCAGCTCTATTTAGATTTGAGATTCGATTTGGGTTTTATTTCTTGAAAAAAATTGCAAATCAAAAGAAAAAAAAATACGAATAAAAAAAACTTTTCATCATTTGTCGAACAACACAATAGAATGAATATATGATCAGACCAGAAAAAACAAAAATGAAGAAGAAAAAGAAACCGAAGAAAAAAAGAAAAAAAATCGAAGCTATAAATGTTGAATTGTAAGACATTTTGAAAATGAAATCAACAATTTTTTTCCCGATCGTTCTCACTTCAATTCACACCACTACTAATAATGTTATTCGGGTTTTCTGCCGAATTTTGTAGAATAACATAGAATCAAAAAAAGAAAAAGAAAAATAGAATGAATGAATGAAAATTAACAACAACAACAAAAATGATGATGATTGTGATAATGATATCACACACACAAACACTTACATATCCATTCAGACTATAGGCAAACTTTTCTATTTATCGTTATGTTTCGATCACAATTGAATGGTTGAAAAAAAGATTGCCAAAAGCTGTATGAATCTTGAGGAATGGAATAGAATAAGAAAGAAAAATTAATGAATGAAAATCAAACCAAACACACGCACACACCTCTTTTTCTAATATTTATTAAACATCTCGTTACGATTAGTTTTCTTAACGATATTTTATTTCACTTTTTTTTGTTGCTCCATAAGAAACGATTTTTCATGATAATGATCATGATATTGAAATGGAAACGATATAGAAAATTGATAATGAAAAATTTGAATATGAAACCTATTTCTTTTTTTTCGGAATAAAAATCTCATCAGACAATATTCATCTGTTTTGATGTGTATTGTTTGCAAAGACTGATTTTAATTTTCATTTATATGTATGATGATTAGAAGAGAGAAAATTAAATTGAAATTCCATTTTCACAACATTTATTTTTTTCAATTTGAATTTATTTTTTTCAATTTCATTTGAATAAATAAATAAACTGAAAATCCGACTGTATTTTCATGTATACTAAAATCAAGATAATTTTGACAGCCTAAATCTATAAACATTGATATGAAATCATCAATAGGGTTTTTTTCTATGATGATGTTTACAGATTGAAAAACTTTTGTATCAAATATTCTTTTCAAATGAAAAGAAATATCTTCATGACCATGATATAAAAAAAGCTAAAGTGATGTCCACTTGTGTGTATTATGTTCATGAAATGAATATATTTATTATAAATACCGAAAATTCACGAATATATTCATCATAGATAGATAGATAGATCCAAATATTATTGTCGATTTATACAAAACAGAATGAATTGAATTCCTTTTTTTTCTCTTTATCGTTCTTCAATATTTATAGTTTGAGATACATTGTGTAGAAATAAATAAATAAATATAAATAAAAAGCTAGAAAGAGAGAGAATATAAAACTATTATATTTTGTTTGAGATGTATTATCAAGAAAAGAATGAAAAAAAATATTTGTACAAATATTTGTTTTTCAGTATCTACATCTGCATTAAAACACACACTAACACAGAAATACATAGATCAAATTGGAATTCTAATGAATAAATGAATGAATAATACTTTAGAATTCAAGTTTTGTATTTTCATTATTATTAAGTGACACATATTGAATACACACCCATCTAAAATTGAACATAAACAATGCAATCGGTTCATATGAATAAAATATTTAGCAAAAATTATTTCACTTATTATTAACAAAGTTTTTACAAAAAAAAATCTAGTCTTGAAAATAAAATTCTATTATCTAAATTTTTTTTCTTTTTTATACAAAACACTTACGTATACAAATACGCCAACACTTATATTTTAGGACAATCATCAATTGAATCGCGTGATCATTATCATAGCCATCGATTGTCAATTTGGTTATCGTTAATACCACGTCTACATGTACCAATCGAGCTTAAAGATTCATCAATAATGCCTTTTTATGGATCAATCGATTCAATGATGGAAAAATCGATGGATAATGTTATAAATATTGATAAAAATAATGTTGATGATGATCTATCCGATGATTTTCAACTTGATCAAGATCAATATTTTTATCTAAAACATCATTTATTGCCTGATCATGAAAATATGGATACATATGATGGTAATGTTAAAAAACTATCAATAAAAATACCCGAATCACAACAATGGCAACAAAAACATTTACGACGAAATATGACTAGTTTGTATGAACAACAACAACAGACGTTATATGGACGTATTTATGATACAATGACTAATATGATTATTAATGATGGTTTATCATCATCATTATCGTCATCATCAACAGGAATTCGACCACAAATGTCAACATCTCAGCAACAATATGCTCGACGTCAAATTGAATCAAATAAAAATAAAATTCTTATACCAGAATTAGTGATACATTCCAGTTCAAAACAAAATGATAATATTAAAAATGAAGATAATAATTTAGCAACCAATTCATTAGGAGTAAATTCCGTCGATTCCAAAAATAATTCACATTCGGTAAGTTTTTTTGTGATTCGTTAGAAAGAAAATTTCGAAAAAATACTGTTCAAGAATAAAAATCTCATTCAATCAAATCTGTCATTTTTTAATTCTGTCATTGAATTTAATTCTGATAATCAATATATGATTTATTAGTAACATCGGTATAATGATGATATAAGTGATGAAATAAGCTTTTTTCGTACCCATTTGTCGTCATTGATTATAATTTTATTTACAAAAGAATATAACGAAAACAAATCTAAATTGGTAATAGCAAACGAACTAACTATTCAGAAACGGAAAAGTCTAAAACATAACAAAACAAAAATGATTCATGTAAGCGAAATCGTGTGAAATGTTCAACTGATGAACAACATTGTTATCATTAAAGTGAATAAAATGAATTGAATGACGATGTTGGTAAGAATGAGGGAAAAAGTAAAAACAGCAAAAACAACTTAAGAATTAGCATTATTAAATAGTAATAAGAACATTAGTGATTTTTGTTGTTGTAAAAATGGGGAAGATGATGTAGGGTGAAATTTCATTTTATTCATTCGTGATTAGTGAATGCGAAAAAAGTTTAGGCCGGAGAAAAACAAAAAACAGAAAAAAAGGGATCCAACCTAATTAAAGGAGACATTCGGAATGAAAAAAAAGAAAGACTAAAAGAATCATGTTTTATGAAGAAAAACAAAATTCAACAGAAAAAAAGGTATAAGCAAGCATTTATACCAGAAATTTTTCTGAGAAGAACAAAAGACAGAAAAAACAAGCAAAAAATAGTATTGACGATTGAAAATTCTTTATTTTATTTTTAACTTCCTTCTCATTGTCGTTGTTGTTGTTCATCCGCCTTGTTTTTTCCCCATCGTATATTTGTTTCTATGTTTGTTTGCTGATGTATGAAATGTTGAAATAGAAGACAAAAAACAACAACAAAATACAAAAAAAAACTAAACAAATATACAAAATGATCAACAAACAAGTGAAAATCTATATTATGTTCTGAATATATTGTATGTATGATGAAAAAGTTTAAAAATGTTCAAATAAACAAAAAAAAGATACGTGATATTGGAAAAAACAGAATATAAATACGATCCACACATGTCTCATCTTCATTAACATTCACCGTTATTCTGAAATTTGAATCAAGTTGATCATTTTCATTGCCGAAAATAACCAAAAACAATCGGAGAAAAAACAAATAGTCAAACAAATTGAAATGATGAACCGATAGTTTAAAAAAAAGTAAATTCTTTAAATTTTATAGTATAACAATCTTTGAAATCATATAAGGTGATAGAAATATTTGAAAAGTTTTTCATTGTTTACAACACATCGATTAAAAATGTTTTTTTAAAAGGCCAACATTCGGCTAAAAGGATGAATGAAATAATCATTTTTCTACAACTATTCTGCTGACAAATATTCCATTATCATTATTATATGCAAAAATGTTTGCATCATATGAGTTTGAAACTATACAAGCGTGTCGATGCAGTTATTGTTCCTGGAATTGATCATCATTGTCATTATCATTATCATCATGGAGAGTAGTTTTTGTTGTTGTTTTGTCATATATGATGCATTTAGTGATCAACTTTCTCATCATTTATTCCATTATATACATTCCAAGATGAACAAACATCTTAAAACATTCAGCTAACAAAATAAATAAATTAGTGAAAAAAAGTTGAGAAGATCATTCAATAAAGAATGTATAATCCGAAAAAACATAAGGCAAATACATTTACTCTTTGTAAAATAGCTATTAACTAAATTAAAATTATAATAAATTCACTGCGGCATATGGTGTACATTAGAATAAACAAAACAATAAAAATGTTAAACGTGAAAATTTTTCTTCATCAAAAAAGAATGTTTAACAAATGAATGCATATATCATCATCATCATCATTAATGATTCGACGTGAGAAGAACAAAAAAAGCTCATTATACATTGAAATATGTTTATTATTTTTTGTTGAGAAAATTATTTTGAAATTTTAATAATCAAATGAAATAATAATGATTGAAACTAAAATAATGAATCGATTTTTATGGATCGATTTTAAAATGTTCATCCATAGGCAAATTAAATAAATTTAGATAATTTTTCGAAACAAAATGAATTTGTTTCCTTAGTTTTTGACATTTCTGTCGATAGTTTCTGCAACTGAATGCGAATTCTCGTTATTCAATATTTTAATCGAGAATAGTTTGTCGGTGATCGCTGTCATCATAGTTTGTCGTATATTTTTTTCAACAATTTGTTATTATATTTGTTCACATTTTTCAATAGAACATTTTATCGTTATTGTTTCTAACTATCAGAAAAAAAATTGAAACGATTGTCCGGTTGTTGTCGATAAAACTGACATTCACAGAATAGTTTTTTCTCTATATATTTTTATTTTCTAACATCATTTCTTGTATCGACCATCATAATCAATATCATCATAATATTAATAGAATTGTTTGGAATGATGGAAAAAAGTTCATGAGAAAATAAAGAATTTCGATTTATTTCTCAGCTATGATGTACATTTTATGGATGAAATTAATCAATAATTAATAATCGGATTTTTCTGTTTATTTTTTTATTTATTTTTTATTTTCAATTTATTATATGATATTCCAAACATACAAATCGTTATCATTTCGATTATATATTATGGTCATTATTTCCCAATGGATCATCATTATAATCATAATGATAATATATCACAAGGAATCAAAATCAGCTGTATCGGCACATCAAATTCCATCATCATCATCATTTGTAACTGAAACATATAGCACCTTGGTTTATATTTCATTCATAATCGGTGGTCTACTATTTTTACTCAATTTGATCATCGTTATTGGTGTATATTTTCAAATGAAAAATGGCCGCCAACAACGACGGCAACGACGACGACTTGAACAAGAACAAAAATATTGTACAACATCATTAGATGAACAAATTAATAATACTAATCAACAACAGCTCGAACAAACATCACAAAAACATTTAGATTCTAGTGGTAAAAATAATGGAAATGGTGATGATGATGAAGAATTTTTGGAAATGGCAACCACCACCACGACCATAACTACAAATGATCAATTTAATCGTACACCAAATAAATACATTAACCGAAATCAACAACAAACCGAACATAGTCATCATCATCATCATAATCAAAAATTATTGAATCGTCATCATAGAAATCTCGACAATAGTAATGTTGAATCAACCATAGTGAACCAAAATGATATGAACATTGGATATAAAATAGAAAAATCAACATTACAACGATCAACATTATCAAAAATTGATCATCATAGAATATCTGGCTATAAAGATAAGGTAGAAAAAAAACAATAAAATTGGTTACAACTCAAAAACAGCTAAACAAAATGAATCAATGAATCAGAACAAAGTGGAAAAAATGAATAGACAAAAAACAATCATATTTCTATGAGGGTCAATATTATGATTAGGGATTTCATTTTTTATTGACAAAAGCAGCCATAAAAAATGTAATTGAAATACAAAAAGCAATATGATTGCATTCAACGCAGAAAACAAAACAAAATTATTATTATGTTATTTTAATAAATGAATGAATGGATATGGAAAAATATCCCAGTTGGCAAAAAAAGAAAAATAAATAAACAAATAAAAATGTAAATAACAGAGCGAAAAAAATAATAATTAAAAGTTCTCAAATAGAGAAATGGTTTTTGTTTTTATTATAATTTAGAAATCCTCATAAACTATTACAACAACATACATCCATACATATTTCATTTAGCTGATAATATTCGGACAGATTGTTTTATTCAAGTGGATATGAGAGGAAAAATATTGTTGAATAAGTTTTGCATAAGCAAAGTTTTCCTATTTCTGTTTAACCAAATAATCAAAAATTGCTTTTTTGAAAGGATTATGAGTAGCCAGGAAAAAATTCTTCATTTTTTTTCTATGATTATTGTTAATTTATACATGTTCTTTATGAATATTTTTATGCAAACAAAAAAAAAGATTTTTAATCCATATTATTCATTCATTCTTTTTACAGTTATCAATGTTGGAAACAAATAAAATCCGAAACTATCAACAACATCACAATCATCAAAATAATTATGATGACGCTATTAATAATAATATAGAAATGTTACATTTAGTTGGAAATTCTGCGAATAATGTTGACAGTGATTCTATTTTACAGCAATCATATAAAAATCTTAAAATGAACAAAGTGAATGTTGATAATACTAAATTTCAAACATTACCTTTAAAATATGGTAAACAACAACAACAACAACAAGAAATGACGACTGAATTTTATACCGATTCTGAACCAATTATAACAGCGACATCAACAATTTCTGAACAATCTACACCATTAAAATCAATATTAAAAAATTCCTCACAACAACATCATCAACATTTAGAACAACCGGATACAACAACTTATTTAGTTGCAACCGATTCATATCAGATGTTAGATCCATCCACTAGTAATACTGATTCATTAATATTTTCATCAACAGATTCACAATTATTACAAGATGGACATACATATTTGAATGGAAATGATTTTGTTAACTGCTTTCTTACAGCTACAGCAACAACAATGGAAACTGGTAATGATAATAATAATGAATATAATCATCATCATCATCGTCATAATCATCCACAAATAACAAACATCAATGATAATGCGATTAATGTACAACATCACCAAGATTTAAGCCAACTACCATATATTACATTAACCGAAATGTATCAACAACAACATCATCATCAACAACAACAACAATCAAGCAATAACCAGGATACGGATAGATCATAGATACATACATTGAGAAACCCAGCAAAATTTTTTTCGATTAAAATTAAATCTTGTTATCATTAACATGAAACAAAAAATAAAAAATAGATAACAGCAAGACATTTGCAACCAATGTTGACAAAATATGTTTAAATAAAAAAATAAAAATGAAAATACATTATATAATCGAAGTGAAAAAAAAGGAAAAACAAACAAAAATTCTATGAATTATTCTATCAACTAATTCTGAAAATCTAAACAAGCAGGAATATTATCCATGTTTTTGTTGTCTACAGTTATTTTTTTATAATCCGGGAATGATTCCAAAACCATGCATCCAACATACACACAGAATATCAACCATAAAATACAACAATAACAATAACGAAGTTTCAGTATCTAACACATGGGACAATGGGAATTTTTTTCTCCACTATGTAATACAAACATGAATTTCGAATAGCCAAGAGCTAAAATGAAAATAAAATAAAAAAATAATTTATTCACATTAGTGTTCATGATTCTATGTTGTAAAATTATAATTCAATAAAGCCCAACAGAATAAAGTTGGATATTTATGTTTGTTTTTTTTTCAAAGACCAAGCCACCTACGAATTTTCATCAACACTTACATTACACTATAACACATTGAAGTAAAGCAAGAAAGGACAAAAATGACAATCTAAGAATAAACAATAATAAGAAAAGAATTTTCTTTTAAATATTTATAATCTATAAAGAAAAATCATTTTTCAGATTTGCATCCAATATATATGAACTTAAAAACATAATGAATTCCTAAATATGCTGTATAAATTATCATATAATCTAATGTAATAAATTGTTGAATTCTTAAACAACAACAAGAAGAAGAATATTGTAAAGCCCTCAAACAAAAAAAGAAGAAATCGATGATCATATGGATCCAATTTTTTTATATGTAAATTATTATGAATAAAATGATGAAATATTTGTCAAGAATATGATAATCATAATGAAATCTTACTTTTTTTCTAATAAGGAAAAATAAATAAATGGAAAATAAATTGAAATTATTGGAATGAAACAAAAAAAAACTTTTCCATTCGTCATCATTATCATTAACATTCGAAAAATTGAGTGAAAGAAAAAAAAATATCCGAAAACAACTTTACTTTTTAATTTCAAAATATAACTATGGAATTCTATTTATAGGCAATTCAGAGATCAAAAAAGAAAAATTTTAGTTCGATGCAAATTTGATAATGAAAAATTTATCACAAAAAAAATTAAACTCAAAAGATTTAGATTGCAAAAACATTCGTCATTTTTCTCCTGAACAAGTATAGATTATTATCATTTTTAGATTCCATAGTATATAGAGAAACGAGAAAAAAGAACTTTTATTCGGCTTTCGCTATTCTGATCAAAAACGAAATCAAAATCGTCATTCTACAATTATGAAGTTTTATTTTATTTCAACAATTTAAAATTGAATATATAGAAGGCAATGATGATAGTGAATATAATTGAATTTGTTTAACATTTATTTGTCAAAATCGCAAAAAAAACGATACGAACGGATGATTATGTTGTTTCAATGAGAATGATGATGATGATAACGAATGATGATAAACGATTCAGAATAATAATCAAATGATAGTGATGTTGTGATTATGTAAGGCGCCCTTATTTGATAAAAAAATGAAAAAAAACTTCCCATATCAATTTTTTCCACATGTCGACAATCGTCATCGTAACATTCTATCAAACACATATCAAAATGGAAACAGAATGTAAAAAAAATTTAGATGAAAAGAAACCGACATAGGCCGCCAATCATGAAAACAATTTATGAATGGATTTACATTTTTCATCATTCGATCGAAAATTCATCGTGACTAGAAAACATATTCAATTCAGTAATCGAGAGAAAAAAAATAATGTCCAATCATAAATGATTATTAATATCGGAAAACATTTACAATTCGTAATAATCAATAGAAAAATTTTCAATTTTTTTGGCATTCAAAATCATATCCATTGCTTTAGGTTATGTTTTATCACATTTTAAATAATTGTTTTTTTTCTCTCGTTTATTTAATATTCTATAATTCTGTATCCATGTTTGATAATAATCAGCAATATGTTTTCGATATATTTTTTTATACGTAAAATATTTGTAAATGAATAAAAGTATATTCATAATACAAACTATAGTCACGTTTTAATCGATTTTTATTTGAATAAATGAAATCAAAGTTAGAAATAAATGCAGTACTGTTATTCAATTTTGGCTATGATTATAAAAAAATAATAGCCAATAAAATAAAATGGAAAGAAATCATAGTTAATAATCATGAGATAATGGTAGATGATGATTGTTATTACAATCGATGATGTGTAAACGTAGAAATAAATGAATTGATTTTAGCTTTGATAAATACTAATTTGATCCACGATTCAAATCTATTCTGGTTTTACTATATAATGAATGTAAATGAGAAACGAAATTAAACTTAAAATACGTGCACATTTTGGGAAAAACAAGGTTTCAAAGTATTTTTGGAAACAATTATTTATGAAAATAATGATGGAATGAAAAAAAAGTCATGTCGAGTTCAACAAGAACTTTGATTTTACATTTGAAGTCAAAAAAAAATTCTGTAACACATTAAATTACATAGACATATACATAAGTCAATTGTTTAGTATATCAGATTTCCTTTTTTTCGAATGAAAGTTTTTTTTTGTATGGGATAGGAACGTATTGGTTGATGGTTGTGGTAGAAATAACGAAAAAAAAATTCTACTATTTCTACCACAGAAACAAATTCAAATTGAATCGATCAAGTTTCACTCGTTGAACCGGAATATAAATTCCATGTGTTCTTTGCTTATATGCACCAAATAACTAAAATAGAAATAAAACCGGAAACGGAAATTGGGTTCTTCTTCGTTAATATTATTATTATTATTTTGTGTGATGATTTAGATTATAAGTGAGGGAGAGAGAGAGAGAATGTCAAAGCAAAGCGAAAAAAAATAAAAAATAAAAAAATCCATCGAATGATATGAACAACAAAAGGGTAAATGAGAAAATAAGCATTGAACGACAAAGATAGAATATAATTGATAATGATGAATGTGAAAAATAACGTTCCGAAAAAAGCCAATAAATAATGTGATTTGAATGAAAACCAAATGATGAATTGAGAGGATTTTTTTTTCTTTTCCGTTTCTTTTTTCTCACTCCATTCGATTTGAATGGTAAATGAAATTTGAATAAGAAATAATGAATTTTATTGAATAAAATGCGTATGACAAATAAAATATCAAAAAAACATTCAATTATAGATTTTTTTCCAATGATGATAATCGGTTATCAATCTAGTTCCAGAATCAACACAGAACACATCAGAAAGACGAGATATTAAAATATCCGTACTGAAGATTAAACAAGATTCAATTCGAGTTTGTTTTGACAAAGGAATTTGACATCGAAACAAACGAAATCAGAGAAATATTTGAATCTTTATGATTTTTTTTTGTTGGTGTGCCGATGACATGATCAAACACACATGAATAGATCGTGTGAGAAAAAGTAAAGAGAAAATTAAATATTTTACTGTGCCTTCATCATGATCATAAGCAGCAAAAGATGTGAAAAATTAATAAGTAGAAACAAAATTCAAACGAGAAAAACAGAAAAGATAAATTTTGAGATAAATAGTGATAGCAAAGAACAAAAAAAAGTGGAGAAAGAAGGAAAAAAATTTGCCGAATCATACCGGGAAGAATGAATGAATACGCAATGATTGTGTTGATGATGACAATGATGAAAAAATGAATGAAATTCAATTCTTTGAATTGAATTTTTTCTCTTTCTCTTTCGCATACGCATTTCCCTTAGCTGTTCGTTTCAACATTTTTTTTTTGTTATTTTTTTGCTCCATTTTCATTTTTTTCGCAGATTTTTTGGCATATAAATTTGAATAACTTGTGTGTGTATGTTGAAATTTTAGCCAAAATAAAATAAAATGAAACCTGCCAAAGTTTCCACTTAAATCTTTTTCATGGTATTTCAATGAACAATGAACAGGAGAATAAAAAAGAAAATAAAATTCTCTCCATTCAATGAACGGTATATGTTTTCATATTGACTGCATTTCTTTTTTTCTGCTGATAAAAAAATTTTTGGTAATAATATGGAATCAAAAAAATAAAAATAAAGAAAATATCGTCCAAGTGTCGTGGGTGCAAAAAATAAGTTGATTTGGCAATAAAAAGCTATTTTCTATCCGTATAATAATGATGATCATCATAATAGTTTTAAATGAAATAGAAATGGATAACAATAAGGATATATGGAATCAGACATGGTCAACCTGTACTTATGGAAATAACAAAAAAGAATGAATTTATTGTATTACAATTATTAATGATATTATGATATAAAAAAACACATATCAAATTAAATAAATTGTTGTTGGCATTATTCATAGAAAATTATTATTTAAAAAATTTTCATATTTAAATTTATTTTTCGAAAGACGGATGACAAATCTATAACAAGAAATTAATATTGAAACATTTAAGGTTAACAAAATAAAGTATTATTTTTTTTATTCATTTTTTTTTGCTCATCCAAGCATAAAAATACATTGACAATCTAAAACAAATCAATTGGATCAAGGATTGTTTACAAATTAAATTAAATTTTTTCCATTTATTGAAATAATAAAAATATTTTAACAATGAATGAAAACACCCGAATCGTATGTTGCCGAAAGATGGGGAAAAAAAGAAGAGCATTCTCTTTTTGGAATAGAAATTCATTTTTAGCCTGAATTCAGTGATAATAAAATTGATCGAAAGAATTCAGTATTTAGAATCGGTTTCGTGGAAATCTAATGGTAGTTTTCAGATGTTATTGTTTTGGATCACGAAAAAAACTCTATTTATATCAGTCCAAATAGAATATAGATATCAAAACGAATGAAAAACATTTCAAAATGTTTTCTACACAACGAAAAAAGTAATTTTTCCAACTGTTTATAAAACAATACAAATAAACTCCGAAAAAAATAACAACAAAATCCAGAATGGCCTATAGGCTTAATGATAA